ATAGTTAAAAATCTAATTATAAAGTTTATATTAAATTTATATAAACTTTAATAAAATTAATAATAAAATAAACTTTTATATAAATAATAATATAATATAAATATATATTAATATATTATATAAAAGTATATATATTTTATTATAAAGATTTTTAATTTAAATTATTAAAAGTACTTTTAAAAGTTTATATTTTTATTTACTTTTAATATTTATTTAATAAATTATTATAATAAATTTATAAAATTTTTATTTTAAAATTTTTATTTTAATATATATATATATTTTTTTAATAAAGGAATTTATTTTAAATTTTATAATTAAAGTTATTTAAAATAGTATTATTTAAAATTATATTTTTAACTATAATTTAAATTATAAAATTTTTTTAAATTTTATAAATTAAATTTATAAATAAAAGTAAGACTTTAAGTATATTATATTAATATTAAATATATATATTTAAATTTAAACTTTTATTATAAATTATTTTTATAAAAGAGTTATAAATTTAAGTTAATATTTTATTAAAAGAAAATATTTTTAAAATTTTATATATTATAATACTTTTAATTATAATTTAAATTTTAATTTATTATTAATTTTAAATAAAATTATAAATTCTTTTAATAATTATAATTATTTTTAATTTTAAAGTTAGAATTTAACTTATATTTAAAGGTTTTTCTTTTAATATATAATTAAACTTTTTAAAATTTATTAATTAAATTAGTTTTATTAAAGTAATATTTAATAATAAAATTAAACTTAATTAAATATATTAATTATTAAACTTATTTTTAAATTAATTTATTTTATTTTATAAAGTTATAAAGATTATTATAATTTAAAAATAATAATAAATTTTTAAATTTTTAAAGTATTATTATTAATACTTAAAGTTATTAATAATAATATTTAATTTTTTATTATAAATTATTTAATTAAATTTTATATTAATAAACTTTTTAATTAAAAGTAATAAAATATTATTAAAATATATTTTAATAATATATTTTTAAAAATTATTAAGTAGTTATTTTATTAAAAATATTATATTTAATTTAAATATAAAGTATTAAATTATAATATTAAAGTAAAAATATTTATTAAAATTTAGCTTTAAGTTTTTAAAAGTTTTTAAATTTTTAAATTTTTAAATATAAATAGATTAATTTTATTAGGTTTTAACTTTATTTTATATTAAATAATTATTTATTAAAAGATTAAATAATTTTAAAATATTTTTAATAAACCTTTAATAGAAATTATAAAATTTAAAAACTTAAATATTATAATAGATAATAAAATAGATTATTTTAAAATAATTTTAATTTAATTAAAATTTATTTAAATTCCTTTTTAATTAAAAATTTTAAAATTTAATTTCTTTTAAAAAAGTTATATTTTTAAAATTTTATAAAGTTTAATTAATAATAATTAATTTATAATTATTTAAATATATTTTATATTTTTTATTTTTAAAAATTAAAATATTATTTAAATAAATAATTATATAAATATTAATATAGTTATTTAAAACCTTTATAATAAATAATTAAAATATAGTAGAGGTATTAATTAATTTAAATAATATTATTTTAAATTTATAATAACTATAATAGATATAAAATATAATTTTTATTTATTTTTTAAATATAAATTTAATAATAAATATTTATTAAATTAATTTTTAAAAATATTTTATATTTAATAATTAATTTAAAATTTTAAAACTAATAATAAAAGTAATAATTTTTAATTATTATTTTATTAAAGGTTTAATAGTTAATATAGAGTTAAAAATATTATTTTTTTAAAAATAAATAAAATTAAAGCCTTTATTAAACTTTTATTAAAGGTAATTTATTTAATTTTTAAACTTTTTTAATTACTTTTAAGATTTTTAACTTTTTTAATAATAAATAAAAAGTAAAAAATAATAATATTTCTTTTTAATTTAATTATATAATTTACCTTTTTTAAAAATGGAATTTTTATTTTAACTTTTATAAAAACTTTTAAACCTTTTAATTATAGATATAATTAAAAGATTAAAGGGTAACTTTTCTCCTTTATTTATTCCTTTTAGCTTTTATTAATTTTTTATTATTTAAATTAAAAGGTTATTAATTAAAAAATAATATAATAATAAATATTTTATTTTTAATTTTTATAAAAATTTTATAATTTATTAAATAATATATAAATTATTTTATTAAAATTATTAATTTTAAATAACTTTTAATTTTATTTAAAATATTATAAATTTAAAGTTTTTAATAATAAAATAAATTTAAAATATTTTTAATTAATAATAAATATTTTAAACTTTTTTTAATTTTTAAAATAATTTTTAATTAAAAGGGATTTAAAACTTTATAAATAAATATTAAAATATAATTAATTTTTAATTAATATTAAAGATTTTATTAATTTTTAAATTAAATTCTTTTATAAAAATATTAATTAAAATTTATTTAAATTTAAATATTAAAGTTAATTTTAATATATTTTTAGCTTTATATTATAATTATTTTCTTTAAAATTATAAAAATATTATAAACCTTTATTATTTTCTTTTTTTAATTCTAATTATTAATTTAACTTTTTTATTTTAAATATTATTTTAATAGGTAATTAAAATAATTCTTAACTTTTATTTTTACTTTATTTTTAATAACTTTTTAATTAATAATTATTATAACTTTAAATTTAATTTATAAATATTATAACTTTTATTAATATTAAAATAGTTTAAAATATAATAATAAATATTATTATAATAATAATAAATAATTAGTTTTTATTATTATTAAAAGAATTAAGTTTTAAAATAGTTTTAAAGTTACTTTTTAAGTATTTTAATTAAATTAAATATATAAACCTTTATTTTAAAATCCTTAACTTTAACCTTTTATATATAATAAACCTTAAGTTCCTTTAAAAACTATAATATTATTTTAAAAGGCTCCTCTTATTTTTTATTAAGGGTTTTATTATTTCCTTTATATTTTATTTTTAGTTTTATATTTTTTTAATTTATTTAAATATATTAATTTAAATTACTTAAATAATTTTAACTATTTTATTTTTAATATTTAATAAATTTAAAGTATATTTAATTTAATTTTTAAGGAAATTTAATTTTATAATTTAAAAGAAAGAATTTAACTTAAAATTATTACTTTTAACTTTTATTTTAACTTTAAGTTTTAAAATATTAATAAAAATTAAAAGTTTTAATTTTTTATTAATAAATAAAATTAATTATATTTTAAATAATTTTAAAAATACTTTAAAAGTTTTTTAAAATTATTATTAAAAGTTTTAAATTTATTTTATTTATAATAATTAAATATAAATTTATTTCCTTTTTTAAATTTTATATAAATATTTTAATAATTTTAATATTTTTATTAATATAGTTAAATATATAAATTATTTTTATTTTATTATTATAAAGAAATTATAATTAAAAATATAAATTTTTAAGTTTATTATTTAATTATTATATTATTATAAAGTATAAATTATAAATAATAAAATAATATTAATTAGTTTTAAATTTTTAATTTAATTTTTAAAATAATTTTAATTACTTTAAGAGTATTTATTTTTATTAAAAATTTAATTTTATTTTTATTTTTAAGTAAAGGTATTACTTATTAAAGGGGTATTTAAACTCCTTTTATTATTATTTAAACTTATTTAAGACCTTTTTTTTTAATTATTTATTTTTAATAGTATTATAAATAGTATAAAAAGAAGAATTAAAATTATAATAAGTTATAATATTAGGTATAATAATATAGGTTAAGGGAGGTTTAAAGGTTTATTAAGTTTAGGTTTAATATAAGATTAATTTTTACCTTTTTTTAAAAAAAGGTAAGTAGGCTTTACTTTTTTTTTAATAGACTTTAAGAAGGGGTATAGCTAGGTGTTAGGGTGTTTTTAAGGTGCTTTTTTATAGCTTTTACCTAACTATTATAAAAACTAATAAATTATTAAAATAAAAAAATTAAAAAAACTATTATTAAATAAAATAATATATATTTTTATATTAAATAATATTTTTATTAACTTTAAAAGATTATTTTTAAAACCTTTAAATAATTATAAAAATTATATAATATAATAGTTAAATATATTTATAATAAATATTTAAACTTTATATAATAACTTTTTTTTTATAAAATTTTAAAAAATTAAAATTAAAAAGATATTAATTTAATAATATTTATAAAAAAAGTTTAAAAATTAAAATATTAATTAAAAATTAATAAAGTAATTTAAAGAAAGAAAGTTTAATTTAATTTAAATAAATTATTTATAAATATTAAAATAGTTTAATAAATTTAAATTAAAATTAAATAAATATTTAAAGAAAGTAATAAAGATAATTAATTAAAAACTTTAACTATTAAAAAGGATAAAATTATAGTAGTGGTATAGATAGGGTTAAGGTAAAGGGGTAGTTAAAGGAGGGGGTGGTTGGATTTAGGTGACTATTGAAATGTGGGCTGGGGACGTTATTAAAATGTACGCGTTGCCTCCCACCACGGTGGCTTGGAGGCACGCATCACCCGGAACCTCGATCTTCAAAGCGGCATGCTCTACTTGAGTGCTATGGTCTGCGGTGGCGTCAAACATCGGTTGGGCGGTGCAAATTATTCAAAATGTTCAGTAACCGCTCAAGTGACACAACTTGCTTAACCGCGACCAAAACATCGCCGAGGGTATAAGCTGTACAACTTTGGCCCAGCCGCCAAAGTTTACATGCTTCAGTGTTCTACTTCGTGGTTATTATCGATGGCACGTTTTATCACTACATTCACTGTTCAGCTGGTGAGAAACGCCTTGTTCCATAATATGGATAATATAGGTCGGTAAGTGACCAGTAATTTAGCGGCGTTTACTTGTTCTGAGGTTGCATTCAACGGCCTGTTGGCCCAGACAGAGTTGCAGTCAACCGCCACCAACGTTCATGAGTGGAGCACATGCGTTGAACGGCCATTGCCTCGGCATCCAGTCAGATGCTTTCGCCCCTTGGCTTGCCATCCAGTACAAACTCAACACCGTGACACCAACGGATCTAGCCGCCCAGACTGGTCTCTTCAGCCTTGCCATTCCCAACAACCATGGCGCCAGACGACAGGCCTCAGACTACTGCCCCTTTCGCTGAGGCAGTAAAGGTGGAGAAGCTGGACTCGAACACGTATCGCGTTCATCTCCACGAGGACTACTGCATTGGCTCTGGTATGCAAATCCTGTTGTCCGACCACGCAGCCTGGCACGTCGATGAAGTGAAGCCCCGAGGCGTGTCACTGCATGAGCCACCCATTGAAATAGCTGCTAACACACAATTCTCGTAGTCCCCAATGGCGGCTACACAGCCTCATGCATCCTGGCCGCCGGCCGCCTGCACCTCCAGTCACGCAGCCAGCCGGACGCGTTCACAGCACACTTTGAGTTCCCCGGGCGGACGGCACAGGGGCCCGCCATCATCACAGCAGACGACATCAAGCTCGGCACCCAGCTGTCCACGCTGCAGCTGACCCTGTGGCAGGGCGGCCTACAGCCCACGGCGCCGTGGATCACGCCGGGCGCCTCGCGGCGGACGGTGCTCGCGTACGCGACCCTCGCAGACCTGCGCGGCATGTCGGGCATCTCCCTCGAGACGGGCTGGGGCGCCTCCCCCGCGGCCGCGCTGCCGGGCCCCACGCCGGACTTTGGCGCGCTCCTGACGGGGCGGTCCGAGGCCGGGGCCGGCGACGGGTTCTGGGAGGAGCAGGTCACCCCGCCGAGCAAGGTCTTCCGCTCGCTGCAGAACTGGCGCTTCTTCCTGCCCCGGGGCGGGGCCATCGAGCCCGGGTTCGTGGACATGTGGGCCTGCCGGTCGAACCGCGAGCCCGTGACGCAGGCCGCGCTGGCGTACCTGGTCGACTCGTTCCCGTACAACATCCACATGTACCTCATGTCGCCCGAGCTGAGGGCGCTCTTGCAGACCCCTCGGGGGGGTGAAGGGGGCGGCGGCGGCGGCGGCGGCGGCGACGCGAGGGCGGAAGACCTGCACAACAAGAACGAGCAGCGCGCTGAGCTGTGGTTCCCGACTGTGGTGTTGAACCTGGAGGTGAAGACGGCGCTGCCCGAGGAGGGGCTGGACTGGTTTGCCGTGCGGGTGCAGTCAAAGGTGATCAAGGACGGCAGGTTTGATACGGATGTGATGGTGAGGGACAAGAACGGCGAGGTGGTTGCGTTGAGTCAGACTGTGTCGATGATTGTGAGCATGGAGAGGAATACGGCTAGAAAGGGTGCCGCGAAGGCGTCTCTGTGATGGGTCAATTCATGCCGTGCTAGAAATTAGAAGCCCAATTCAAAGGTGTTCTGCAGTCTGGCCTGGGCCGTAAAGAGATCAAGACAACCGTGGGAAAACCTCAGGCTCGAGTCCTGCTAAAGCAACCTTGGAACGGTAATGTAAGGCAGCACTGCCATGGATCTCGAAAACTGTCGCCTCAGATCGAGGGATTAGCATTTCCTGGGTTTTTTATGAAGCGGCAGGTCAACCTTGGAAAGGGTGAGTGATTACTTTGAGCGACTTCTGTTAGTTACCGAAGAAGAAGCCTATTCAAAGATGTTTTGAGAGACCTCTCCAGGATCAAATGGTGATCAGGACACTGGCGACATGACATTCGACGCGTGAAGGCTGACATGGTAAACAAGAACACGGTGGTGAGTTGACATGAAGCTGAGTCCCTATCTTTGTGCATTGTCCCCAGATTTGAGATTTTCATCCCATATCACTCCGCCAACCAGGCTGGCTGGACTTTCCGACTCAGCTGTAGGACCTTTTGAATCGTCACTTACCTGTGCTGTAGTTGGCGTGGCGACCATGCGTACCTGTTTTTCTTCAACCCAGCCAAAGCTGTCCTTCTGCGTCTTCCTACTTCCACGTCACACAACAACATTCAACAACACCACCATCACATCGAGAAGCATTTCCCACATGTGCAGAGCTTGCTTGACCATCATACCAAGCTTAACTCACAATCATCAACCTCATCGTCATTCCATGCCGTCCAGGATGGCAGCCATCAAGAAGCCCTCGTCCGAGAAGAAGCCCAAGGCCACCCCCAACACCAACCCCTTCGGCCTCACCACTCGTGAGATCGAGATCATGATCTGCGCGTGGAAGTGCCTCGACGAGGTGGGCAAGGTAAGCAAGCATCAGGATCCCCCCGACACCACATCACATCACAATCCAAGCAAGACAAACACAGCGCCACACACATTTGGTGTCATCCGTCCGACTGTTTCCCTCCCAACCATCATCATCACCACTAGCATCATCACCACCTTCATCATCAAGACGCGCCCCTCACAGACAAAAAAAAAAACAGATCGACAAGGAGCTCCTTGCCACCCTGACCAATCTCGGCAACGGCGCCTCCGCCGGCCGCTCGTTCCGCAAGATCATGGCCACCATCAAGGAGGCCAAGGTGGACCCCGCCCCCGGCACCCCAGGCACTCCCACCCCAGGCGGCAGCGGTGATGGTGCCGCCGCCGCCGCCGCCGCCGTCGCGGCCGCCAACCCCGACTCCCCGTCCCTGCTCGCCTCCGACAAGAAGGGCAAGAAGAAGGCCGGGGCCGGCCGCAAGCGGGTCCTGAACGAGACGGAGGAGTCCCCCCACCACGGCAGTGGCAACGAGGAGGGCGTGAAAAATGAGAGCGACGGTGCGGAGGAGAGGCCCAGGAAGATCCCCAGGCTCGTCCTCGGACAGCCCGTCGTCACCCTCAAGAAGCTCGAGGCCGCTGAGGGCGGCGGCTCTGAGGAGCTGGAGGCTGGGGAGGCCTAGGCTGGATCGGAGATGACGGATCACTTGGGGCGGGAGCGATCATTCCGGATGGACTTGTTCTGGGACTTTCCCACCTGGGCTGATATGGTACTGGACAGGGTGATATTACTCTGAGTGGGAACCACTGGTCCAGTTGTACAGTATGGGTTTTGCGTTGGACTTTTCTCTTTTTATCATCCCTATGCCTTATGAGGCAATGTCTTGGAGGGAGATGAATCTGGCCGCACTGCGTACCACACAATCGCGTGGCGGTTGCTACCTTGGTAGATGAAACAGGCAGATGCGATCATTATCTACGGCCATGAATGGACACAAACCTGGCATTTCTTAACAGACTTTTCGCAAGTAAACCGTGAAACCTAGCCCCGTTCCTCATTGAATTAAACAAACTCAAAAGTGACGGCATGTCATCTGATGTCCTACTTCGATCGAAGAGGCACGAGCACCAGACAGCCTGGTTCGTCGCGGCATCTTTGACACCTAAACCATGGGTCATTACTCACTACACAGATATACCCAATGGTGTCCGGAACCAGGGTGTGTAGGTCAAGCCTACAAGAAAAGGTCCTGAGGCAGCAAGTCAAACCGCTTTTGCAAAACTGCCCACCAACCCAACCTTACACCTTGGGCTTGACACTAGAGCCACCTAGCCCGAGCGGTCACCTCACGCCGAATCTCAAGCGCTCTCATTTTTTGTCACGAGCACAAAATTCCAACACTCAATTTTTTTTAAAAAAAAGTTCATTGTTTCATTGCATAACGAGGTAGGCATTTGTGCCCACCGGCATCTCTCAAAAGTTTCCCTAGGCACAGTCTTGTTACCTAGGTACTCTAGTATACCAACCAACGCACCCTAGGCGTCCTAGGTACTCAGCGAAGCTGGGGACAGACAATTCTAGTTTTGGGTCCCAAGGACTCTATGACACTACGCAAATCGGGAATATTCAAAGCACCAGAAAATGAAAAAAAAAATATAAAACACAGGACTTTACATGGCAGGCCGCTGCAATTCTTAACTTTCAACACTCTTCTCATCACAGATCAAGACCTGCACGCTGCAGTAAGACTCAGCGTCTTTGACCCAAACATCCCATCCTCGGAAATCAGAGGGCCGGAAAGTGTACTTATCTCTGGTTTCTCGGTCAAGAAAACGGTCGAGAATAAACCTATCACCACAACCAAAGGCCGGACTGTCATCCCCCCCTCTAACTCACACATCTATCCAGTCCACCAAAGAAACAAACACCACGCAGGCCAAACCAGCAAACATGGGCCTCCCCCTCTACAGCGCAACCCCCAAGTTGCCCAGGGACTTCCCGTACCAGCCAGAACCCAAAGCCTGGGCCCGATTCCTGGCCTGGGAGTCCACAGACCCCCTCACGGAGGATGACAAAAACAGCACCGCGGACGGCGGCAAACCCGTCGAGGAGCTCGACCTCCCCGAGGCAGAGGGCAGGCGCATGCAGAGGTGCAACCCGGGGCTCAAGCCGTGCACCAGGGCGACGGTCAAGGACGACAAGTACCTCTGCCACGGGTTCGTGAGGCTGCGGTGCCCAGACACCGGCCACGAGACCATCGTGCACCGAAGCGTGGTGCTGGAGCAGAGCAAGTGGATCAGGGACAGGGCAGCTGAGCCCGCCCCGAGTACGAACCGGACATGCTGGCGCGAAGACATGGTCGAGGATGCCCTCAGCGCGGCCCCGATCTGCATCCCCAGCCACATCAGATGGTGGCACGTCCTCTGGGCTGTCGATTACATGTACGAGGGCCGGGTCCCGGGGTTCCATCTGCTGGCCGGCGAGGAGTGGCCGGCGAGGTACGCGCTCATGCGGCCGCGGTCGATCGTATGGGGCCTTCTTGAGCTGTGGGAGGCAGGGCACTTCTTCGGGTTGGACGGGCTGAAAGAGCGGGCCGAAGGGGCGTTCATGAATTATTTTTACTATGGAATTGATGCGGCAGTCGCTGACCAATGCTCTCTCGTGGACCTTGGCTTTGCGCCAGCCTCGGCATTCGACTGGCGTCGGCCCCAACAACGCATTGGCTTTGAGTTTGTGCAGGCTGTTTGGAGGTTATACGGGGACCCAGATATGATTCCTCTGGATTACTTTCATATGCATATGGGCGAAGATGGGAAGTTTGTTAGCGACCTCACTGCTCAGGACAGGCATGCTGTTCAGGAATGGGCCCGCACCGTGTTCGACATAACAGACGTGCAGTATGACGGGGGCTATCCGCACAGACAGACCGTATCGGACGGACCGATGCCGCATTATCGGGCGGCCTTTAGGCCTATTATGATGAAAATGTGCGCAGATTTGTCCTGGAAAGACTTGTTCGAGCTGGGGTGGTTCCAAGAGACTGTGTCCAAGGAGGGCTCAACTTATGCGGTGGAGTTCCGGACAGCGCTGGACGAGGAGATGAAGGCGTCTCCAGATAGGTGGCCGATGGATGAGTACCTCGAGGTGCTGGACTGGTGCGAGGGGGTGCAACCTGAATGTTAGTCCTGGGTTGGCTGGAAGTGAAGCAAAGACCAGAGCAGATGTATGGTCAGTATGTAATGTCAACAGCATCAGAAGTAGTTAACAATTCCAGACTTGTCGTGAAACCTAATTCGATTCATGACGTGTGCGCCAGTCAACTGCTCAAGCATGTGTACCGACAGCATGGAAAGTTGACACGGACGCAGCCTTACAGCAGCTCGAGTCGTGGCTGGTCGGCAGAATGTTGACTGGCTGGGTTTAGGAGAAGATAGGCTGTGTAGCTAGCTGTTCAGGGGTAGGGTGGTGAGCATCCTATTCCCCGGAATTTGCCTATCAGGCTGGATCAAGTCGACGACGGGGATCAAGTGAGGCTAAACCACGCCTGTCGACACCATCGAACAAGTGGCATCGAGCCCCTGGGAGGGTGTGTGGCCCGTGTGGCTGGCAGTCAGGAACAGGTGGGGGGTGGATGGACGGCACATTACTTGTACATTGGCAGACTTGACTGACAGCCGGCGCCGGCACACTTGGGGATGGACGACGGATTTAGAGTTGCAGTCGGCTGGCAGATTGGGAGATTGCACGTGTGGTTTTGGGGGCCTTTTTCTCCAGCTTACTCCGTAGTTCCCCATTTGCCCATCCACCCATCCACCACCCTCTCCAGACCCCGACCAACAAGGCCAAAGACGGAAGCAAGGTGTGCCCGTCTGGCCCACGGCTGTTACGTCAGAGCCGCCCTGCGGCCCGAGCAACTCAGCGAGAGCAAAAGCTTGAAGCTTCTGATTGCCCCTCGCCTCGCCCTTTCCCATTTCGTCGCCTTGGCAGGGTTACTAGCAGTCAGTGGGCCGTGGTGGCCCGTAGCTTAGCACAGCACTTTCTATCAGCACCCAGCAGAAAAGGGGAAGGGCGGGGGCAGGCTGGAGCTTCTCCCGTCTTCCCTCATTCCTTCCTGTTGTCCCATGACGGATAGATAACCACCAGCCAACCTAACCTATGGGCTGTGTGCTCTCGTGATAGCTTCACCTGCGGGCTCTTTCCTCTCTCACTCTTTCCTGCACCTTTCTGCCCCTCCTCGTCATAACAAGCATAGATCGACCATTCTGTCCTGTGTGATCTGTCGACAGATCGTGTTCCTGACCAATTCGGTACGTCATTGGCCCACCTTGTGCGACCAGTTCCTTCCGTAACACGGCTTTGCTTTTCACTGTGCGTCGTCGTCGTCTGCCACTTGCTATTTTTGCTACTGCTGCTGCCCTGCTTGCCTGCGTGCGTTGCCTTGCGTCCCCTTTAATGTTACTGCACTGTCCTGTACTGTCTTTGTGTGTTTGGTTGTACCGAGTACTCCGTACCAGTACTTGTACGTGGTACCTCAGCACCTGCCACGCCTGCCACGCCTGCAGTCCGATTCCCTGCCCCTCGCCTCGAAACTCGCCTCGCCAATAGAACCAGCCCGTTGGGACTCGCCCCCCGCCATTACTCGCTGCTGCGCTCACCTGTATGTCATCGCGACTGGCATCCACCCGGCTCCATCTGCCAGTCTGCCCTGTCTGCGTGGTATTCTGTACGGTAGACTACCGCCAGAAAGAGCATTCTTGCTGAGCTGAGAGCAATGCTGGCCTGACTGCAAGGACCTGTCCTGGAGCCCACGACGACATCCTGTCCGCTTTATTGCTCGCTGCCAGGAATATTCTCCTAGTGTGCTGCACTGCATCACCTGTCTGTCGGTCGTTTTTGCATCTATCCGACCTTGGCGACTCTCTGCGTCGAGTCGGGACCTGCATCGACGACACAACGCATACCTAAAGTACCCAAAGTACCAATAGTACCTGCCTCCGTCCTCCACCGCCTCTTCGCCGTGTCTCCCGCCAGACCAGCAGCAACAAGTCAAGCAGGGCGGCCGTGCAGCGAGCCCAGACCATCCTCTTGTTCAGGGGCATTCTCCCTATTCGCATCGGAAGCGGGCCAACACGTTATCGAGTGCGCCATCTGCCCAGCCGAGTTGCCGTTGGTCAGCGCTTTCAAAAAGGGACGAGTGTGTGTGTCCACAACAAGCACGGGTACAGGCACAAGCAGGCTGGGCGGCTGGGCGGCTGTGGTGCTTGTGGTGCTGTGGGTGGGCTTCGACAGGGGCCAGGGCATGCAAGCAGGATCGACGAGTCTGACAAGGAGCAAAACGTCCTTGACCACGGCGAGCCAGTCCGCCTCAGCCAGTCCGCTTCAGCCCCACGGGCACATCATACTACCGTCCAACACCCCACCACGGCCTGGAACAGTCTCTACCGCAGCAAGCACTACATCTATGCGAGACTGCTGCATGCTGCAGCCGAAGCACTCGCGCCTCCTTCCACGGCCTTCGATCCCTCGGCTATACCCTCCCTCGACCTGCCCATTATTCTTGAGATTTCTGGTCTGGTCCTGGTCCTCTGGCCCTGCCTCCTCCTTCGTCCGGTCTCGCTACTGTCAAGACAGCCTGATAGGTTCTGCCGCCGAATCAGCTTGACTCTTTGTCACCTCATCTCCCCACTGCTTGCGCTTGTTCCAGTCACTTCTTGGTTATTTGCAATTCTTATCGTTAGCTTCACTTGTATTGCTCTGTTTGCTGCTCCCGTTGCATGAGTTGGTGTATTCAGTAGCCACAGTAGCCACCCTTCGCTTGTTAGTTACTCTCGAAATTGGTCCAAATTAACACGAGGTCACAATGGCAGACCAAAAAGGTCCGGGGAAAGGAGACGGCGCGGCCGATACGGGGCGCACAGTCAAGTTCTCCACTCTACCAACGAGGCCAGACGATTCAAGAACCCCAGGCTCCCAGAGGCCAAACCTCGACCGAGCCGTCACCCAGTCCGACCTTCTTGCTCACCACCAAGACTCCAACACCAACATTCCAGTCACCCCGGGAATCGGCGTTGAGACCTACGACTCCGGCACCAGCGCTGACTCCGCCGAATCCACCGGCAGCAACTACTTTTCCTCAAAACCACTCCCCCCCACCCAAGAGGCCGTTGCCTCCCCCAACGCCATCGACGACACCATGGCCGCCGAGCCCACCCCCATGACCGGCCATGACATCCTCCGCCGCATGAGCAAGGCCAGCCGCGGCAGGCGGCAGACCCTGAGCGAGATCAAGTCTGCCTATCCAGCCTTGTCGCTGAGCGGCAACGTCATATCTGCCACATTTAATATGCCGCACTCGCTGAGGTATCGCAAGGGAAACGACTGGGTGAGTACGCCGGCGCAGCTTCGCAGCTCCCCGAGGAGGCTGACGTTTTTGCTAATTTTGTTCGCCCTGCAGGAAATGAAAACCCGCCGTGGCCAATCTGCCCTCTTCGACGCCTTCGCGCACCTCTCCTCGAACGATTCCTCGTGGAACCACACCTGCGTCGCGTGGACAGGCGAGATCGAGGCACCATCCGAGCTCCCATCTCCCCCCGATACTCCTCCCATGACGACCACGAACCTACCTAGCCTGAACAAACTGTCCGCCCCGATTCCGGTCGACGTGGGCGCCGAGAAGTCCGCGCCCGCTCCTCCCTCGAAAGATGGGCTCTGGATCCCCAAGGAGGACATGGACAGGCTCGAGTACCAGCTGTCGCATGACAAGAAGATCAAGACGGTGCCTCTGTGGCTGGCGGATGACGCCGACGGCCAAGAGGACGGAATCATGCTCAAGGACCAGTCGAGATGGAGGCGCTATGCGGAGCACGATCTCTACACCCTCTTCCACTACAAGACCCAGATGCCGTCAGACGGCCGGAAGGAGCGCATCCACTGGGCCGACTACTACCGCATGAACCAGAAGTTTGCCAACAAGATCCTCGAGATCTACAAGCCCGGCGACGTTGTGGTGATCCACGACTACTACCTCATGCTCCTGCCCAGCATGCTGAGGCAGCGCGTGCCGCACATGTACATCAGCTTCTTCCTGCACTGCCCGTTCCCGTCCAGCGAGTTCTTGCGCTGCCTGCCGAGACGTAAGGAGATCCTGGAGGGCATGCTCGGCTCGAACCTGGTTGGCTTCCAGAGCTACAGCTACAGCCGTCATTTCAGCTCCTGCTGCACGCGGATATTGTCTTACCCCTCCGATACCGGTGGCGTTGAGGCATATGGCTCTCGGGTCGAGGTCGGGGTCTTTCCCATCGGTATCGATGCCGCTAAGGTTAAGTCCATGGCGTTTGCCGACGAGGTTAACGACAAGGTTAAGGCGCTCAAGAAGATGTATGCGGGGAAGAAGATAATCGTGGGCCGGGACCGATTGGACAGCGTTAGGGGCGTGGCACAGAAGCTAATGGCATTTGAGCGATTCCTCGAGCTGTACCCCGATTGGCACGAGAAGGTGGTGCTGATTCAGGTCACCAGCCCGACCTCGATCGAGGACAACTCGGAGGGCGACGAGAACAAGATCGCCAGCCGGGTCAACGAACTGGTCAGCAGCATTTCCGGCACGTACGGCCACCTCGGGTATGAGCCAGTGCAGCACTTCCCCCAGTACCTCAGCCAAGACGAGTACTTTGCCCTGCTGCGGGCTGCAGACATCGGATTGATAACCTCGGTCCGAGATGGGATGAACACAACCTCCCTGGAATACATTGTGGCCCAGCGTGAGAACCACGGACCCCTGATCCTGTCCGAGTTCAGTGGCACGGCGGGCAGCCTCAAGGATGCCATCCACATCAACCCGTGGGACCTGTCCGGTGTTGCCGACGAGATCAACAACGCACTCACAATGAGCGACGAAAAGAGAGAAGCCATGCACAAGTCCCTGTACCAGCACGTCACCACCAAGAACGTGCAGAGCTGGATCGGCGCCTTCCTGGACCGGCTGGTCGATGTGCTCGGCAGCTCCAAGAATACCATCTCTACCCCGCTTCTCGACCGCGCCCTGATGCTCAAGTCGTACAGGGCTGCCGAGAAGCGCCTCTTCATGTTCGACTACGACGGCACGCTCACACCCATTGTCAAGGAGCCCTCCGCCGCCATCCCCAGTGCACGTGTTATCAACACGCTGACGACCCTGGCGTCGGATCACCGCAACGCAGTCTGGATCATTTCAGGCAGAGACCAGGCCTTCCTCACGCAGCACCTGGGACACATCGACGAGCTCGGCTTCAGCGCGGAGCACGGAAGCTTCATGCGACACCCTGGCTCCAAGGAGTGGGAGAACCTGGCCGAGAAGTTCGACATGGGCTGGCAGTCTGAGGTGATGGATGTGTTCCAGGCGTACACTGACAGGTGTCCTGGTAAGTTAGTTCGGGTTTACGACGGGCCCGCCAGCTGAACCAAAACTAACCTCACTTGGACAGGCTCCTTCATCGAGCGCAAGCGATGCGCACTCACCTGGCACTACCGGCTGGCGGACCCCGAGCAAGGCCCGCACCTGGCGCACGAGTGCCACAAGGAGCTCGAGGCGACGGTCGGGCGCAAGTGGGACGTGGACGTGATGCCGGGCAAGGCAAACATCGAGGTCCGCCCCACGTTTATCAACAAGGGCGAAATCTCCAAGCGCCTCGTGCTACAGTACAACAACGAGATGAGCAACATCCCCGGCAGCGCCGTCTCCACCGGCAAGCCCAACAGCAACAAGGTCGAGTTCGTGCTGTGCCTGGGCGACGACTTCACGGACGAGGACATGTTCCGCGCCCTCAACGGCCTGAGCGCACCGCCGACGGACAAGGGCGAGGAGGCCAAGGTCGACGCGGAGAACGTGTTCACCGTCACGGTCGGGGCGAGCACAAAGGTCACCCTGGCCCGGTGGCACCTGCTCGAGCCCGAGGACGTCGTCGACTCGGTCGCGCTGCTCGCGGGCGTCGGGGCCCACGGCGCAAACGCGGCGGGCGGCGCGCTGAGCATGGGCGAGGTCAACCTGGCGGCGCTCAGCACCGTCGAGGGCCACGTGCCCGAGACCATCGAGTAAGAGGGGCGATACCCACCACTCATGACATCCAAGATAGACTCGCATGGGAATGTTTCGGTTTTGAGGAGTTCAGCCGGCGAAAGAATTGGTGGGCAATTGTGTGCAGGTGTGCGGAATAACTACGGCATCACAAGCGGCGGAGGTAAACGGGACTTTTTGTTGGGTCAGCAACAGCATTGATGGGCAAGCCTTTTTGCGTCTGTTTTGGGGGGGCGGACTTTTTCTATCTACACTTCCTCCCTGCCTCCCGCCCCTCCTCCCCTTCCCCCCCTGTTTTCTGTCTACACAGTTTGAGTTTGATTATTCACCACAGGGTATGACTAGAGTTCACTTTGATAGGATCCATCCCCCGGGCGAGGGGTGCAGATCAAGCAGGGCAAGCAGAGCCACACACGCGATAGATCTTAGACAGATGGCCTGGATAGAGGGCGAGAATCAGAGTTATTAATTATAAAGTACTTGGACTGCCTCTTATGTTGCTTTTGCATCTCCATCACGGATGACTGGTTATTTCATTTGGTACACAAATGATTTGTGGATTTGAGAGAAAGAGAGAGACAGAGAGAGAGAGAGATTGTGTGTGTGGTTATGGTTTCATGACGGGCCCACGGTTCACAGCTTAGGCGCGGTGTCTTGCTCCTTCACCCCGCCCCCTCTGAGCAGTCGGTCGATGTACTCGGTGATGGCTAGCACCTTCTCCTCCTGGAACCGCCGCCCGACCACCTGGACGTTGACGGGCATGCCGTGGTAGAGCTCTGGGTCGTCTGTTTCCCAGTGGGACAGAAGTCAGCAAAGGTTGCGCCTTGGGATGTGTGCAAGTATACCCTATCAGGATCCCGCGAGAACTGTAGGGGGGGTGAAGAGCAACAAGAAAGAAAAAAGAGGAAAGAAGGAGAAGAAAAAAAAGAAAGGCTTACAGTCCTGGTGGACCTTCTTGTTGGCCCTGACGTACTCGTCCCTGATGCCCTCTGGGATCTCGAGCGGGCGCACGACGTCGATGGCCTTGTCTGTCGTCAGGACGGGCAGCACGGCGGCGGTCTGGTCGTTTAGGACCACGGGGAGGGGATAGCCTGGGCATGTTAGTATGTATTCACGAGAGAAACAGAAAGAGACTAACCCACCAATATACCGAATCCCCCCGATCCGCGCAGCACTATACGGCGCAACAGGGGTGATGACAACATCCACCGCCCGGCCGGTATCATTCCCCTCGAGCTCCGCAGTCCCCATCCACCGCCGCAGACACTCCTCCCTGTACCTGCGGATGCGCACGTTGACGCGCTGCACCCCGTCCGCCCCCAGCGGCGGGCTCGAGGCCGCCTTCTTGTCCGGGTCGAACGCAGGCGGCATCAGGCGGTCCGCGGGCTCCCCCGAGGCGCGGAACTGCGCGTGCGCGTGGGACAGGTCCGCGTATGCCGCGCTGCTCCAGAGGTCGATTGCGTCTTGTGTGGCCCCCGCGTCCGGGGGGATGGGGACGACGGCGTGCCCCTGGGCCCGCAGGGCGGCGGCGACCGTCTCGACGGCGCGGAGGACGGGCGGGTGGGGGGTGACGACGCCGTCTGTGGGAGCGACCCCGACGACGAGCTTCTTCTCTTGTCTGGCGGCCTCGTAATACGCGTCCTGGCGCCACGGCATCTCGGCCACGAGCGGGTCGCGCAGCCAGGGCTCGTCGGCGAGGACGGCGGCCACGAGGGCGCGCAGGGCGGTCGCGTTGTCGCCTCCTGCTGCTGCCATGGGCCCCGCGGCGAAGCGCACGTCCGTGAGGGCCTCGAGGCCGCCCACCACGCTTGCGATCCCCGCGTAGGGGAGCCGGCCTGTGCTCGGGCGGAGGCCGTAGGCGCCTATGCCTGAGGCTGGCCAGCGGATCGAGCCGCCTGGGGTGGGTGGGGGGTGGGTGTTAGTTATTGAGCTGACAAGGACGGGGGCGATCGTATAAGGGGGGGGGGCATGCCGATGCTATATACTAGTAGTAGGTTGGTGCTGTCCTACTACTAAGTATCATCGTCCCTGGACTCAGAGAGAGATGAAGTAGACCCGAATCACGAGAAACACGCACCAATATCAGTCCCCAGCCCAAGCACGCTCCCCCTCAGCGCAAGCAGCGCCGCCTCGCCGCCAGACGACCCGCCCGCCGAGAAGCAGCCCCGCCGCAGCGGGCTGGCCACGTACCCGCTGACGGCGCCAAACGTCTCGGCCGCGAACGACGCCTGCGGCACCGCCGTCTTGACGTGGAACACGGCGCCCTGCCGCCTCAGCGCCGCCGCGATGACGGCGTCGCGGCTCGCAGGTCCATCCCCGGACCACGCCGTGAACCCCAGCGATGTTCCCACGCCCTCCAGGTCCACCGAGTCCTTGAGGCTGACGGGGAGGCCGTGCAGGGGCCCCAGGGGCGCCCTGTGCCGTGCAAAGTGGGCGTCGAGCGCCGACGCCGCGGCGAGCGCGGGCGCGAGGAGGAACTCGGACACGCACCCCGTCAGCTGGTGGGCCACGGCCGCGCGGTGGGCAAAGGCCGACGTCACGGCTGCCGCGGACCATGTCCCTGTTGTCGTGCGGGCCAGGATCCCGCTGACGGGCGCCTCGGTGATCTCGATCTCTCCTGGGCTTAGGAACTGCTGGATGAAGCCTGGGCTTGTCAGGTCTGCTGGGGCGGTGTCTAGGGTTGACTTTGGGATGTGCCATTCCTCTGGGATCGCTGCGAGGATGGCGTTGCGTTTTTGTTGGGCTTTGGAGCGCCAGTCTGTTGGTGATGGTGATGCCATTTTTTTGGGGGTTGCTTTTGTTAGTTGTTGTGTTGTTGTGATTTTGTTATACTTCAATGTTAGGACTGTGGTCGTTAGAGTCTACCTAGGTATGCTGTTTGCTGACGACCGTCCATGTTGTATGGTTAGTCCTGGGGCCCTCATTTTATATACATCCAAGCCTGTATACTAATTCATTGACAATAGGGCGCGGGACTGCATGTCAAGCAGGGCAATATGTCATCCTGCCCCATGCCGTGGTTTAATGCAAGGGTTAAGGTCTCTGGCGATGCGTCCATTCCCTCACAGTGGTATTCCAATTGCATGTCTATCAACGTAATTACTAGGCAGGGAAAGCGGATTATCCCCAGGAGCTTGCTTACACACACTGCAGTCTCGGGCCAGCTGTTGGGGGTTCTCTTGAGCCGCGGCATCCCATGTTATCTATACATAGTAGCTAGCGGGCTTTCCCATTTATCCCCCGCACGTAAGCCCACCCCTATCTGTACGACGTGCTGACACAGCGATATCACCGACAGCTCGGACTTACCAGGCCATAGGAAGCAGTCTGGCTGTCCTCGGCGGTCCTCCCCCTTTGCCTTGGAGTGAGGTTATCAAAGTTTTAAGGGTGTGTAACAATCTGACAATTCCTCTAAAAGACAAGTATTTACCCAGGTGACCATGCCGAACAACGCAGCTTTTTCTTTGTGGCTCAAGACCCGCCTGGACTATGGCAACGGGCGTCTTGGTATAGCGTTACTTATATAGATCTATCATATGGAGCTGGAGCTTGATGGCTCATCGGCCCGTCGGCGTTTGGAAGGGCGTGCTTCAATGTCGTCTGCGGATGTGACTTTTCGCTTGTCAACCCCCACTGGCAGTGGCATGGGATCATTCCTGAGATAATATAATTAGTAGAGCACTTTACGTGCAATGATTATATTGTGGGGCGGAAAACGCTGATGATGTGTCGACTCGCGGCGTATATCACAGACATTGTACAAGACTGGCGGGATACAACCCGAGCCTTGCACAAAAGCACAAGCAGCAGGATTAGGTACTCACGGGGATGGCACCGGCATCGCAAGTATGTCAGCGATTGAAATTCTGTCCTCTTCAGCAAAGTCCCTGTTGATTCCATCCGTGATGACACGTTCCAAATCTGCCAAGGTAGGCCGGTCCGCTGGGATATGAGCCATGGTCCAAGCAATCGCCATGCGTAGGTTTATGTCGTAGTGATTAAATGCATCGTCGAGGACATATCCCCCGTACTGTCATAATCATAATGAGTCAGCTATGGTAACTTATCGAGCCCAAGACAGCCCGTCAAGCCATCGGCACCAGTTTTCAATATTTTAATTACCGTGCCCATTTCATAGTCAGTCTCTTCCATCCCAGATATTGTTTGGGTTGTATATTCTGGCGGTCTATCGTAGAAGTTCTGCGTGACAAAACTGTACATGATCTGAAAGTCACATGACAGCAAAGTCAACATCCCAATGCACACATCAGCAATCCAAAATCTACGGGACTGGGGGTCTCTAACCTGCCCTACTTGATACAAATTGGTCCACGGTCCAAATTGTCCACCTGTGTTGTCGTCCTCAACCATTGATTCATAGCCTGTAAAGACTTCCCATGCCGCTGTAAATTGTTCCTAGGCCACGATCGTCATCACTTGGTCTGACCCCAAACTTCAAACCCACATCGGGCTCGGCAACGAGTGAGCTTCGACTTCGGCTATTTGACTTACGGGCGTGTGGCAGCTTGGCTTTCCCTTGATTCTGGAATTTACTGCTGCAGCGCTATGTCGATAGTCAACATTGTGTCCGCATCTGGTGAGGTGTGCGCGGGAATACAATACAATTTGTCTTTTGGGTCCGCGTCATCGGGAAACTGCGAAACGAATCCTAGGTCTATCACCTATGATTACCCTATTAGCAAAATTGACCATATATGCAATTATAAGGTCTGCGCCTTTCATTCTGAGTGTGATATAGTTTTGGGCGGTACTCTAATCTCATGTGGACTTTCGGTAGATTGTGTTTGTAATTTCGTATGTCATCGAACTGAGCCCACGATTGCTGAGATGATTACCCTCACCTGATGTTGTGCGATGCTCCAAAGTACGTCCAGATCATGGGTGTAAATTGATCATTGCAAATCAGGGTCCTGAAATGGATATCCCGACACACATAACTTCACGGAACCAGTCTGTATTCCGCCTTTCCTTCTTGAATCACGGTCGAAAACAGATGTGACGGATCAATGATAAAATGCATACCTTAAATATAGGCACCTGGTCGTGAGAATAAAGGGTTGCATCGTTATCATAGCCGCCAATCATCACTAGAATTGTCAATTAGAACGGAGGCAAGACACAGGAAGGGCAGCATACCATTATCAGTAGCAAGATCCAAATTTACAAATGCGGTATCTGTTGGACCTAACATCGTTCCGTCCGCATCCTTGGGGACCACCTCGTCTCTAAGCGGTACATTGTCCCCCTTGCTGGCGTCCAGCCCGGATGCCCAACGGTCAGGGTATGACAGAGCGACACAGGCTCGAAGGACTACCGATACATGGGTTAGTTCGCTGCATAAGACTTAAATAAGTCTGAAGATTTTTACATACGGCAGAGAAAGATTTTCCATAGCTCCCTGCTGTATAATCGTGCCTTACTGTGAGCAATCCTGCGCAGAAGACCATCTACGTCACCATTGTCCCTGATTTCTACTTGTTAGTCCAATTCAATGGTACCAATTATCGTGGTGTGCGTTCGGGCAGGATTCAAACGACTCTACCGGCATGTACAATGTGACTAACATGAACTCCATCAAATACAGATTCGGGTTGTCGTCAATCTCATCCCCGTCATCTTTGACATCCAAGCCGCGGACAAATTGTCGCTGAATAATATGTCTTGCACCCACCATAGACTATAGGGGACAATTCGAATTAGCCTCGACTTGCGACCTGATACGCCATGTATCATGCGTCTAGTAGAGCAGGGCTGGTATGAGCCGAGCCGACATGATGCTTGCCCATCCATCTGTTTCAGCGTGGCTACCAGCATCTCTCCCTTGACTTACTTTGAGACGTCCCTTCTCTTCTGTCAGATCCATGCTTGTTGATGTCTCTTCATCACTTTTCGGTGTGCTGTACTTGGCCACGATCTTTCGGGCTTGGTTGTTTTCCTCTGTTATCTCAAAGAGGGCTGCTGTTCCTTGCGACCCAGCGCCCAGTAATTTGAGAAACCGCATACGGAGTGGATTCAAGGCCTGAGTCGTGGGATGTGTTCCATCTTGCAGAGCTTGAATTTCTCGCTGTCGAGCGGCTTGCCGTTCACGTGCTTCATCGTCATCTTCATCTTCATCTCCATCTCCATCAAACAGCGGAAGCTTGTTATAAGGCTTACGCTGGACGTTCGCCGGAATGTTGATGTCCGATACATTTGATCTCCTCGGGACAGGCAGTTCCGCCCATTCCTTTACAAAGGCAGCACCGAACCCCCGCTCGAATTCAATCCATTGGGTAGCCTGGCCCCTGTGAAAGTACTCATAATAGCTGTAACTGTGAACAGTGTATGAGTGTGGGCATCGGCATCGTATCTTTCATTTGAAAACGTACCTCCTGCGTAACTCTTCCACAACATCATCATCCAAATCCAAAGGCTGCGAGCTTGAGCCACTGCCTCCCTATACAGCCGAGATGTCAGCAGCGGCAGCCAAAGAGCGCGTGCCAGTCCTCGGGTCCGAGTGTTTCAGCGGGCACTTACAGAGCCGGACATTGTGTATGTTTTCGCTTCTCAATTTCCCCTACTTCCTGGAATTTGGGTGCAGCATCAATATTGAAAAACACAACCGTGGTTAGCATCCTCTTGACACAAATATAAGCGTGACTAGCTATGATGTGAACTTAATGATAGATAAATGGTTTTAACTTTTCATCCTCAAAGGCCCAGTATCGCCCCGGAAACAGTTAGCTTCGACGGTAGTACAGTTAAATGGGGCACAAGGACACGGCATTCGCGTGGACCTCCGATCTTTTTGTTATCGCACAAGCGGGAGAATCAGCGTGCTATTCGCCTATGAAGGTACACCTTCACCGCTTACTATTACAGTCACCAAAACCCTTCTCTTATCCTCAGAAGTGGTGGTTTCATTTTTAATCACCATACATATAAAATATATATAGCGCCTTTATATAATAATAAACACTTAAAACCTAATATTTAAAGAAATATAGCATTAATAATAATAAAAAAAGAATATAGTATATCTATAAATATATAGCTAAACCTTATATTATATAAATAAAATTAAAATATATTACTCTTAATAATACTATATTAAAAAGTTAGTAAAGTAATTATATAATAAGATTAAAATAATCTTAAAATAACCTTTATAAAAAGAAGTTATAATCCTATAATATAAAACTTAATAAGCTAGCTCTTCCTTATTAATATACTTATTATATAGCTACTTAAATCTACCTTTATTAAATAAGTTAAATATATTATAATCTCTATCTTAAATATATAATTAATAGAATAATAATATTATAATAATAAACTTATTTAAAAATCTTTTATATAAATTCTATAAAAAAATTAAAACTCTTTTAAAAATTAAATAAAGTTTATTTATTATATATTAAATAAATATTATATAAGAAAAATAAAAGTTTAAATATTTAAAAATTAAATCTTCCTCCTCTAAATATATTACTTTATTATTAAAGATTTATCTACTTCTATATAATATATAAGGAATATAATAGAAAAGGGAGCCTTATAAAAAAAGTTAGTAACTCTATATATAAATAAATTTAAAGGTATATATTAAGTAATTATTAACTTTATACTTAAAATATAAGCTAATAGCTAATCTAAAAACTAAGAAGATAATAAATAGATAAATAGTTAAATAAAAAATATAATGTGGCCGAAGCCTGTCCTCGGAAGAGCACGCTATAATAATCCTAAGGTAGAAGTTGAAGTCTACACATTGTAAATATCCCGGCCTCAGTGCTGTCTTTCATGACAGTAAACTGGCCCGTTTCAAGAATACAGTCTTACTACGAGACAGCAATATCACGGCGTGCCACGGGTTGTTTTGCACTCACTTCTTTGTTTAATGAGTATTTATTTACGGTCTTCTGCACGAAGTTGGATATTTTGTTGGATCTGCATGGCGGCATTTCTGACCAGGTGCCAGAACTTGAAGCTCAGTGGGGGTTTCCCTGCAGTCTCAACCATCATTCTAAAGTTGCATACTGTGCAATAACGGTTTCTGGCGTGTTGCTTGAACTACGTGGATCTTTTCTCATAGAAAAGCTAGGCATGCCGTGCGAATGGCGCTGTGGCATTGGCTTGATGGCATTCGAGGTGTTTGTTCATCGTATGACTATTAACGCCCTGCATCCGCGGACTTTTGGACTACTGATTTTAGGATCTCCGATCTTTTTCGAATAAAGTTTCCCACAGCTCGATAAAGACACGCTCTGTGAGCCTTTCACGATGAGTCTTGCTAGATATAGGTGTGCAAACCCCCTTGCGAGGGACTACCTATCCTATTTGCATCGATCGGTCCCTTGCGGCAAAGTCATATCTGCCTGTGCTGTCTGGACAGTCACCTTGGACTTTCCTTCATCCACACCTTCATCGGTGCTGTGCTTGTTCTCCTCGAAGTTGGCCTCTTCCGCCGAGGCCTTGGGACCGGCTTCTACGGGGACGTGGTCCCGCATGACGAGGTAAGTTGGGTATACGGCAAGCACTAGAACCTAATCAGCAGCGTGGTCATCCAAAGAACACAGCAGACATGACTCACCAAGCAACGCGGTATTGACGATAAGCGGTACGCGTCCGCCGTGCCAGTTCTGGGTGTTCAGACCAAACGCCACCGCCTGCGCGAAACTCTCCTGGCCCCTGAGGATGCCCGAGAAGCGGCTCAGCTCAGAGATGTTGTCCGTCTTGGTTGCGAGCAGGTAGTACAGCCAGTTCTGCAGCGCCTGGCGCGCAAAGTCCCACAGCAAGAGGACGAAAAAGCCCTCGACGAAGCCGGCGTCGGCCCAGTCGAATGCGGGCGGGTTGGCCGTGTACTTCTCCTGGATGACCCAGCCGTAGACCCACGCGACGATGTGCAGGGCGATCGTGTAGTAGAACCCGACGGTGATGCGCTTCCTGACAGGGAACCCCCTGTAGTCGAGCAGCGTGCTCATGAGCTGCGACGACAGCAGGGTGCCGAAGTTGCTGACGAAGCCGATGAGGGCGCGCGCACGCACGCCGAAGTAGTACGTCTGGAAGTTGCCCGCGTACTGGTTGAAGTAGGCCGCCCAGAAGATGGGGAGCAACAGGATAACATCCTTGCGCTTGCTGGCCTGCCACAGCGCGCGGAACTCGGCCTTGAAGGACTTCTCCCCGCGGATGATGACCTTGCTCCCGTCCGCACGCTGCACCTTCTCGGGCGGCGACAGGAAGTACGCCAGCGGCACGGACAGGCACTGCAGCGCGATGAAGATGATGTACACCTGGTGCCCGACCTTGCCCTTCCTCTTGGCCGCGGCGTTGTTGTTGAGCGCCAGCACGATCGCGCCGCCCAGGAGGGGACCGCCGGTGCGGAACCACAGCCAGATGTTCATGTACCTGCCTCGCTTCCCCGGCTCCGGGTAGCCTAGGGCGATGGCGCCTTCGCTTGCCCAGAAAAGACCCGCGGAGATGCCGCAGGCCACGGCGCCTACGAGGACGAACCACTCGTTGCCGTACCTGTTGTTGGTGTACAGGCCGGCCGAGTAGATCGGGTAGCCGACGGCGCCGAGCAGGAGGGTCCAGGAGAGGCCGATCCGGTTGGCGATGGGGCCGCCAACTAGGCAGAGGATGCCCATCAGGCCGAAGACTAGGGCGTTTGCTGCGTTTACTAGGTATGGAGACTGAGCTCCTCCGGCGCCCTGTTTCATGCTGTAAGCAAAATTTCGTTTTCTTTCGTACATGTGTATAACAGGTAATGGACTTGGGCGACACGGACCAGAGCGCTCATGGCATTCCATAGGCCAGGGGCCATGAAGCCCACTCCCCCGATGATAAAGGCATTGAAGAGCGTGGTGTGGTACCAGATTCGGCCTGTCGCTTTGACAGAGGCAGTGGCACGCTCAATGTCCGCCATCTTGGGAGGCAGGGATTGGCGTACTGGCCGTTGTCTTGGGCGTGGAGAATACGAAGTAAGAGAAACAAACAAGTATTACAGTATATCTAATAACATCCCGATTTATACATTACTTATATCCATATTGGCAAGTAGTAAAGTGTAACTAAGAAAAGTTCTCTCTACAAGATGTTGCATTCTCTCCAAAATGCTCATTTTCCCGCATGATGGCGAAATCGGACCAATAAGTGGGTACTTCCCGCAGTTCCTGTCTCTTGGCAGGAACGGCCAGCTCAGAAGAGCGAATGACTGCGCGAGAAGGTTGGGCTGGAGTCCAGATGGGCAGGTCGATTAGATCTTCGATATGCTGGATAGGTCTGCAGGAGAATTTCTTGACAAATATAATTGGGGGCGATCCACACCCGTTAAACCACTTTCACTGAGGGTATAGGAACGCCTAAGAAGCACGTCTTTTGGTTGCGACGGGCCGGAAAGGCCTCGACTAGTTCTATGACGAGTCTGCTCTCCCTGGCGTCAGATTAGCTCGCGGCCCGCGAGCGATGGTTTCAACCTTGGACGGACTGGTCTGTGTCAAGACTGACTTTGACTTCCAACGGCCCGAACAGGCACGGCCCAACGCTAAGGCTGCTAGCGCAGGAAGACGTCTTCCGGCAAACTTACCCGGGGGGCAGGCCTTCCCTGCCCCCCTACACCCTTAGCGTAGGGGGTGCCAAAAACCCGCAACGGCCAAAACCTCACAACACTCACACCTATCTATTTTTACTACTTTCCCCTATAAAACCCTACTTTTTAATTAAGTATATTTCCTTTATTAAATTTTATATAAGGAAGAAATAAATACCTTTAAAATCCTTATTTTATAAGGATTAATAATAAAATATTTTTAAATTTATAGGGTTAGGGTTTAAGATTTTAGTTTTTTTAGTTAAGGGTTTTTTTAAATTAATATATTTATTTAAATAAATTATATTATTAAAAAATAAAAATATTAGATTATTCTTAGAATTATTATATTTATATAAATAATATTTATAAAATTCTATTTTTAAATTTAAGGTTATTATATTCTATTTCTTTATAAGATTTTTAATATTATAAATTCTTTTAAAACTTTAATTCTTAATCTTTTATAAATAGATTTTAATTTTAAAAATATTCTTTTATATAAAAAAAATTCTATTAAAATTCTATAGGTATTATATTTTTATTATATAATTTATATAAAAAAATATATTAATTTTAAAAAACCCTTAACTAAAAAAACTAAAATCTTAAACTTTAACCCTAGAAATTTAAAAATATTTTATTATTAATTTTTATAAAATAAGGATTTTAAAGGTATTTAATTTTTATTTATATAAAATTTAATAAAGGAAATATACTTAATTAAAAAGTAGGATTTTATAGGGGAAAGTAGTAAAAATAGGTGGGTGTAAGTATTGCAAGGTTTTGGCCGTTGCGGGGTTTTGTTACCCACTCCGCCAGGAGTAGGTAAGTGGAAGCCGAAGCCCACGGGTAACTGAGCTAATCTTAAAACATAAATTATACCTTGTCCTTCCAGGATGGATACTAACTAACTATTGATTTTAGATCCATAAAGGGCTTTAGCTATATTATATTTTTTATTTAATTATTTATTTATTCATTATCTTCTTAACTTTTAGACTAATTATTAGTTTATACCTTAAATATAAAGTTAATAATTACTTAATATATACCCTTAAACTTATTTATATATAATAGAGTTATTAGCTTCTTTTATAAGGCTCCCTCTTTTACTTTATTCTTTATATATTATATAAAAGTAAATAAATCTTTAATAATAAAGTAATATACTTAAAGGAGAAAAATTTAGTTTTTAAGTATTTAAACTTTTACTTTCTTTATATAATATTTATTTAATATATAATAAATAAATTCTATTTAACTTTTAAAAGAGTTTTAATCTTTTATAAAATTTATATAAAAGACTTTCTTAAATAGGTTTATTATTATAATATTATTATTCTATTAATAGCTATATATTTAAAATAGAGATTATAGTTTAACTTATTTAGTAAGGGTAGATTTAAATAGTTATATAATAAGTATATTAATAGAGAAGAGTTAGCTTATTAGGTCTTATATTATAGAATTCTTCTTTTTATAGGGGCTATTTTAAGACTATTTTAATCTCACTATATAACTACTTTACTAACTTTTTAATATAATACTATTAAGAGTAATATCTTCTAGTTTTATCTATATAATATAAAGCTTAACTATATACCTATATATTATATTCTCTTTTTATTATTATTAATACTATATTTCTTTAAATACTAGGTTTTAAATATTTACTACTATATAAAGGCGCTATATATATTTTATATATATAGGGATTCAAAACGAAACCACTAGATCCATAAAGGAACTCAAAAAATACAAATGATCTATATCCATTAGCTTTGGGATACAGTTAATCTTGTTCCCGTTCTTGTTGAAGGTGGCCTGATGGGGGCGTGATGTGCTACGTGAGTTCCAGCTCGGTCGCACTTCCTGAGGAGAGTGAACACAGGCAAGCGGCAGGGACTAGGCATAGGACAATGCTGGCATGAATCATCGTGCTTGAAAGTCCTTGAATTCAATGACAAGTGACGAAAATATTATGGGAATCAGAGTTGACGAACGTATTTAGTGTGTAAAATGCCTGTGCTGTCGGTAGATTTGTCCAAGGCTTCATCCACTGTTTTCCCTTTAACCGTTAACCTCAAATGGTCGAATGAGAATGGTATCAAGTGTGTTTACCGCGTGGTATTGGCTGCTGTGCATTGTTGGTGCATCTTGGGGTTGCTTCAATGTTACTGCGCCGCAGGTTGCAACTTACTGGCAATGATGCCTTGTAGGGATATTTGTGTTCCAGAAGTGGACATGCAAGCTAGAGATACATTTTGGGTGGCCAGTGGAGCGAGCCCGTGAAGCCGGTGTTCCATGGTTAGTGGGGACTGTCATGAACTCAAGGGCTTTGAGGAATTGTAGTAGCGCACCTATCCTATAACTAGATTATAGACCACCCAAGGTCTGCCCCCTCAACTCCCTTCCTCCAGGAGAGAGGAAATTCGCACACCTTTCCAGGTATTTAATCAGAGTATAGAGCTTTGAAGTCTTTATGGCTTTAACAAATAAGCCTTGTTTGTAATTTTAAGGACCATAAAGGGGGTAGGTTTAGGAACTTTGGTCGTACCTACCGGCCCTACTCATAACTTCCACCTCGCTCTTATATTCACCCCCTTCGCCCTAGCCGGCCCTTTTGTGGGAGCATTCTTCGATTTGTATAAGCTACATGCTTAGTCATTAGAGGGTGCGCGACTTTTCTTTCTCTTCTCCAGTCACCTACTCTGAAGGCGGCCCTGGTGGGCACGGGACGGCGTTCCGTTAGGCATCAATGATGTGAACTCCAGCACACTACTTACTGATGTCATGCCTTCGAAACAGCATGATCGGGCTGAGTACTGCCCAACGACAAACTTCCGCTCGACGTCATCCGGTCAAACTGGTTGGTATTCAAAGAAACTTGGTTTTCCAAAACACGGCGACTCACTCTCCAGTCAGGAAAGTGCTGCCGTGGTGGTGACGAGGGCTCATGGGGGCGGGAGATGCTCGCCGCAACACGGGCGAACATTGGAGCAGGAACCCGGAGATTGTTGGAACTGGGAGCAACGCAAGAACAAGGTGGCTTGTCGTGGGGGCTGGAAACTCTAGACAGGCGTATCATGGCATGCTGATCACGTAACTCGAGTAACAACGACTTTAACCATCGAGGAAACTCACCTCGATCGGTACGATTTGGGAAAAGATACTTAAGTGGCCAAGTGTTCAAGAGGAGCCCAGCAAGATCGATCCTACAACTATGAAACTAACGTGACATGCGGCCTGAGAATGAGGAATTTAACGCGGTCACGGAAGGGGTCTCAACGACTCAGAGAGGCGCGCGGCTCAGTGGGAGGACCAGGATAAGCTTGGCTGTCAAGGTTCAACGGAGTTGCAAAGCGACGGTAAGTGGTTCGTTGGTGGTTCGCTGGACCAGAGGGCGGCCGGGGAGAGCTGAGTAAGTTGCCGTGGCGGACCCGATCCCGGGAATCTCCGGAAAGCCGGGTCCTCCCAAAACGGAAGTGCTCCGAGCCGTATTCGCCTGGGTTTTCGGAACCAACACTTTTGCTAGAACCTTACAACACCACTTGTAAAGCATCACAGTGATCAGCCTTACCAAGCTCATCCCAAGTAAGTTCATATACCAAGACAATCCACCCCGCGGGTATTGTGAATCTCAACCAGACCAGCCCTGGTACGCGCGTTCGTTTATCAGCAAGCACTTATTTTTATCACGAGGTAACTTCGACGCCACATATAATACTCCGCAGTATGTATGGATACCCCAGGGAGGGATGGGTTTGAAACGACCGCGGATGACACGCTGATTGTGCCGTTTATTACGGCATGGCGATCAATGTTAGGCTCTGCGTGGTGTGTGGAGTGCGCGCGGCATCCTGGCCGGTCTTGGGTGGCTCATCTTGAATCATCGTTCATAAGCACTGGAGCTCGTTTCTTGTCGATTATATAGTTTCTTGTCTCTACCAAAGTAGCATTGAACCTTACTCGGTCCTGATCCCATCTTTGCGGAGAAGCCATGTCCAGTCCCCCAGGATACCTACCCCTATAGCAATGCTCGTGGCGGCCCCCAAAGCAACAGATGCGAGAGCATGCATATGGACATCAATATGATAGCTACCTTAGTCCTCTAGAGCCCAGCTCGTTGCAACATCTTTCATACTTATCCACGTGGTAAAACCACTGAAGTCAACACGAAAATAGCAGCGGCGAGGCCGTATTAACAGACCAGCAGATCCCCTCACCTGGACACCTTTTGTTTGAGGCAAGAGAAATAAGTGATGTCAACCCTTCAATGCCCTCATAGAGAAATGAACGAACGGAACTTTCCTGTCGGTATATTGACCAATAGTATGTGCAAGCCCATGTTGGCAATGAATCAAGTTTACAAGCCGCAGCGCCCAAGAAGTCTGAGAGCAGCTATTCAAACAAACCTTTGCTATACCAACCATGTAAAACGGGTTCAGATATCGAGTTTGCGAATCGGGTTTCAATCCCTGACTTATAACACGAATTGCTCTGTTGTGCCCCGTGCATTAGATCCTGACGGGGTGTGATACAAGAGAATGCGGGCTGGACTGGGCTAGATCTCGCCCGTAAGAGCCTTTGTGGAGAGGTCATGCGTTTGAGTAATGTCAATGGGGATCGTATGGACTCCCCACGTGTGGACAGGAAGCCGCACGAAAGGGTCAATCGACTTACGTGTTGGTACCCCAAGCTGTCCCAAGAGCCACTGGCACATCGCGTAAAATAATATTTCGCTGAAACGAGTTTTTACCTAAAAATTGTTTCGTATGGTACAAGACAAGATGTCTTGGCTACAATTTGACGGCGATGTGAGTTTAACACATTATGAGTCGTCGACGTAGTAGTTGCTATGTCTTGTGAGCCCTTGGGAAGGTGTTGTCAACATATGTCGTGATGGCCAGACTCCACAGTAGCTGTTACTATAAAACAGCACGCAGAAGTCCTTGTTCCACGTCTCGCAGCCCGTACTGCACGCTCGATGCAATAGCCATCTACATTTGGCCTCCTTCTTCATGAATACTTATTTCCATATGGCCTCGATGTCCTCAGCGAGCCTTCGATGATACGATGTCGTTCCTAATAGAAACAGCCGGCGATGGCCCCGTGCAGAAGCCATGGCGACTGACGTTAACACCGCCCTACTTTGTGCCGGTCTTCGTGACGCCAGAGGGGAGTAGGGCGCCTTCGATCCGGCCCGTTGAATTCGAACAGGAAGACGAAAATATCCCGTCGACATCTCGTCGGAGACGGCTGGTTTACACATTGCTGGTAGCATCCATGTTTTTCTTCGGGTGAGCTTTCCACCGAGCTTGTGAGTAAGGGGAATTCACAGCTACCTGCTAACAAGCCGCGTTGCACCAGCGGCACGTTGACGACGATATTAGCGCCGTATGCCGGCGACATTGTTGAGGAATTCGGTGTGGCTGGTCCTGCTGGCGACTCATTGGCTCCCTTTATTTCTACTATCTTTGACGTCGGTTGGGCAGTCGGGGCTTTGTGAGTTATTCTTCGCAGAAATCTAAAATGCTGAGCTTCAAGACCTCCACTGACAATGGTCCTGCGGCTTTCGCGTCAATCAGACTCGTACCGCCCTTGACAGACAGATTCGGGCGTGCAATGCTGTTTCACGTTTCTGGCTTCTTATTCGGCATGACCACCCTTCTCGCCTGGTCTTCAGGAAGTCTTGGGACCCTGCTTGTCTTTCGTCTGCTCTGTGGTACGGCTGGTGTCTCGACTACCTTGATCGGGGCGGCCATGATTGCCGACATCACGGAGCCTGCCGAGCGGGGAAATTTCATAGATTTTGTGTCCATGATGTCCCCCCTTGGTGGAGTCCTAGGTCCCATCATCGGGATATTTCTGGAAAGAGTTGTACCCTGGAGGGAACTGATGATTGGCTTCAGCCTCTTGGTAAGTCATCACCTCGCGTACTCTTCTGCGAACCTTGTATGGGCGGTTCTTTTGAACAAACAGGGCTGACTAAAGGCTGCAAAGATTTTTGTCTCTGCCTTGATTTCAGTCATCATCGTCAAGGAGACACATAAGGAGACGTTACGGAAGCAACACGGCGTGAAGACAAAAGGCGAGGAGCAACTACCATTTCTCACAGTCTTTGCTGGTGCACTGAAAAAGCCCTTGCAACTTCTATGGAAGAGTCCGGTCCTCGCTCTGGTCTCTGCCCACGTTGCCATTGGATATGGCTTGTCTGTGAGTACTCCAAAGACTGACATCTCAAGTTAGAGAACAGATATGGAGGTTCTGCCTCTTACATTTCCTTCTTTTCCGTTCTATGCTAACAACTAATGTCTCTGACTTAGCAAATGCTTATAACGACAGTAGAGGCTGGTGTGACGGACAACTACCATCCACCAGAGGATCAACTCTGGGTCGTCTATATTGGCCAATTGGTGGGAACATTGGTAGGTACCGCCTTGTCAGCAACTCTACAGCCTGTAGCAGAACGGTTTCTACGAAGGAGGAGCTCGGGAAACCCTGTTGAAGAACATAAGCTTGCTTTGCTTGCCTTCGTATCGCTCTTATGGCCGGTAGGATTTCTGGGTTATGGTTGGTCTATCGAGAGGCTTCTGCCTGTTGCTATTCCTATCGTATTCACCGGAGTCCTGGGGATAGTAAGGGTCATTATGCTGGTGGGTTTCTCTCCGTTCTCAGTCCTAATCCTCACTAGCCTTTCGGACTGCTTCGGGATTTCGCCAGGTCGAGGGCCGCTCGTCTAACCTTGTCACTATGCCGCTCGCTTTTGCTAGACGAGCGTATGTCTTCTGAACTTGTTCAAAGTTGCTGACGCGATGCTTACGAACAGAATCACCTTCAAGTGTACATCTTGAATATTTTTACGAACTATCCGGCCTCGGCTTTGGCCGGCTTCACAGCCGTTCGGACTTTTGGGGGAGCCGTGATTCCCCTAGGTGCTGGTCCCCTATATGATTCGCTCGGGTTCGGCTGGGGCAACACTGTCTTGGCGATCCTAACCGGGTTGATTGTGTTGCTGCTATTGGTAGTCATCGTATTTGGAGAACGGCTTCGGGCAAAGTATCCGGCAGAGTGATCATAAAAGGAATCCAGGCGGTCTGTATATACTAATACTATTGGTTTAATATTTGGTCGACCGTGTGGCTTCTCGCTTCTCTGGTAACAGGGAGACGTGAGCAACCAGGAGACGTGTCCTCATCTTTGACATGGGCTCGAAATAGTCGGACTGTCTCTAACTCCGAGCCTCCCCTGATCGGCACCGGCACGCTATCCGGCGTGTCATGATCAATCCTGAACGAGTAGTGTACTCGCTTCGAGTGGAGTAATCTTTGGGCAAGAGGTTGGAATCGCCGTTTGCCAAAAGCGCTTCTGCCAGCGTGCACCGGCCAGCGTCCTTGAACCCAAGACCCTGGTATAGATGCACCGTGGCCGTGTTCTGCGGCTTCACCATGAGTCGGACAACCAGACTTGAAGCAGTTCTCTCGTTCTCTAGGTAGAGCAATGCCTCCTGGCAAAGCTTTTTCCCTAGCCCGCGGCCCCGATGGTCCGGAAGGTTGAACAAGCTCAACATCTGCCAGAGCTCTGCATGCATGTCTTGGTCCGCGGGCGGTTGGCCTGACTCGTTTGGCAAATCGTACTCAGCCCGGCTGAGAGGGCCTCGTAGCGTTAATTGCCCAACCCATTCGGTGTCCCCCGAGGTATTATGAGACGCGGAGCAAATGAACGTTTCTTTACCCTTCTCGCAAAGACGATGTTCCCAAACCTCGTCGTTGAAGGCTGCTTCGATTTCGTATGTCGAAGAAAATGAGTCGGGAGATGTTTTCAGAGCTTTGAGGCGAAGATTGCGATACTGACTAGCCGAAGTCTTTACTTGGTCAGTCTGCGAAACGCGAAAAAATGTGTAGGAGAAATCAGAGGCCATGTCGCGTGGTCTTGCGTGGGTATGCGATGCCCAAGGAATGATGATGATGTTCAAGTTCCACACCAGTGTCAAAAATGACCCTCTCCATGTATCATATAGGTGTCATATCGCTAGCAACGCCCCACTAAATGCTGTAGATGATAGGGCGTGTGTACCTAGGCCCTATCCGAGGTAGTGATTTTCTGATTTGTGATCATGTTGACCCAAGACATTCTCCATTGATCATTGGGGAAAGACCTGTTAGTACTCTCTAGCAAGAAGCTTTTTATCATGGTGTAGACTATCTAGGTACACAATGCAAATAGAAGAATATGAAATAGCGTAGGAGGCTATATGGGCAATCATATGAAAAGAATCGATCGCGGACAGGCAGATTCCAAGGTTCCGAGGAACCTGAACGCGGGGCATGTGAGCAACTGAATGAGTTTTGATGACAGAGGAGTTGATATGGAGAAAGTCATCCCGGCTCAGCACGACATATCTACTCTCTTCTGCATTTTAAACCTGACCCATCTTCTACTCCCTCTACTAGCAGTCCACGCCGTCATTTCATCCTCGCAAGTTACGTGGAGCACAAGGGCAGTGGAGAAAGTGGGAGAAGGGCGATTCGACCGTATACGCGAGCCGCTAGCTGTCAAACTCGGCTATAGACAGCAGCTGCGGAAGAGTAATGAGGCCAGTCACTGGGTCATTTGAGTGGTGAAAGGTGGGAGTGCCTGTCCAGAGACTCAGACACTGAGTGGCTTGAATGCCAGCACCTGCAACCATGTCTTGAGCCTTGCTGGGGGCCGTAGGAAGCTTACCCTAATATAAATGTACTAGTCCTACCAGTAGTTGCAACCCGTATGCCAGTCCGTCCCACGGGGTGTCAGATGAAGCTGGCAACTATGTTCATGCCTGCAGTCTGGGTAGAGACACTACCAGTTGCCACAATTGTACTCACGATATTGTCAAGGGAATACTACTTTGAAAGAATGTGTTGGCAAGGCTTACTTGTCACCTTATCGTGGAGCTGAACCTTGGAGGTTGTATTTTAGGCCAGCTCCGAATTGTGTCACTATATAGGAAGCTCATATCGTATTATAACTATCGTTATCGGCATCGTATTCTTTCCAAGCGCTGGGTCTTGAGTGCTTACCACCGTATGAAGGCGCCATGTATGTCCTCGGACGTATACAGAAGAGAACGGAGATTCGCAGGGCAAAAAAACGGAGGGTACAGGGCAAGAAGTACCGCCAGCCAATCAGAGGGCTTTATTCAACCTTACTCCACTACCTACACTACCCCAACCAGGTGCTTTTTACACCCTGACCTATAGACCTACCAATCTATGAGAAGGAGACTCAGGAGGAGATTTAGATATTTAAGGACTTGTTAGAGTGCCCTAATAAACGATGAGGAAAGTAGTAGCAAACCACTAGGGCTGAAGAAGCGATGGGGGTAAGCAGATGTGTAGTTAATGACTGTGTATTGTTGTTTTGTGTGGCAAATTGGTGGTGTAAATTAAGGTTGGCGCACTGGGGGTACACGTTGCCCTGTACCCTCCGTTTTTTGCCCTGCGAATCTCCGTTCTCATACAGAATAGAAGCGAAACCACATAGGAAGCTCAGAATTCCATTTCTGAAAGGCTTGTTGCCATTTATATACATTCCGACTGTATTCAGTTCCATGAGAGACCCTGCTCCTTTTCCCCTTCATAAACTGTCATTTGGCACAGCTGGCGCCAGTTGGCGTCGACCGCAGCTGTTGCCAGCTGCGGTGTAACACACCCTCCCCAACCCCGCCACAGCCGCCTGACCGGCGTGACGCCCACGCGGTGGCACTTGAGGCAGCCTCACCTTCGAACACCGTATTATGTGTGGAGTTCTATCAATACACTTGCTTTTGGCTCGAGTCTGCAGGGTTCAAGAGCAACGAAACCCCCCTTCACCGTCTTCATTGCGTTGTCAAACGAGTATGCGGCTTCTTGATACCGAGACCCAGGAACTCAAGTCGTTCTCGGGGAAAGGGGAACTATGTTACGCCATTCTTTCCCACACCTGGGAAAATGACGAAATCCTCTTCGACGACATGGTGACGCCAGGTCACCAGTGGAAAGTCAAGGAGGGCGCCAAAAAAGTCTTGGGAAGCTGTCAACTCGCAAAGTCTCAAGGATACCAATACATCTGGATCGACACGTGCTGCATCGACAAGACCAGCAGCGCTGAGTTGTCGGAAGGTAAGTTTCGCCTGCATCATCTGTCTGGGAGGTGCCGCTAAGAATGTTTTAGCCATAAATTCGATGTTCAAATGGTACATGGAGGCTGCTGTCTGCTATGTCTACCTCACTGATGTCAGCGACGACGGCTCGATCATGGGGTGCCGCTGGTTCGATCGTGGCTGGACGCTGCAAGAGCTAATTGCGCCAACATCTGTCAAATTCTATAACCAAGAGTGGCATTACATTAATGACAAGGTATCTTTATCATTACAGCTTGCTACTATCACCGGTATTGATGAAGCACTGCTACGCTGCGGCCAGAACACTGGCATGGAGCCGCCGCTCATTGGACAACAAGATACGAAGCCCAGAAAGCAGTCATATGGGACTCAGAGGGCCTGCACAGTTAGCCGACTGCATCAGCTAAGGGACTACTGCGTTGCCCAAAAAATGAGTTGGGCCTCGAGACGTCAGACGACACGCGATGAAGACATGGCTTATTGCCTCATGGGACTTTTCGAAGTCAATATGCCACTTCTCTACGGAGAAGGTGGCAGCAAGGCATTCTTCCGATTACAAAGGGAAATCCTGAATACTACCCAAGACCAATCCATCTTGGCTACCGCCTGTCCTTCTGTAAAATCGGACTCCTCTCCAACTGCCCTTGCTTCGGGGCCGGATTACTTCTTGAACAGCGGGACCGTCCATCTCAGACGTAAGCTGACAACAGTCGCAGAAGCACATACGACATACTCTATGACCGTGGACCTGACAAAATTCGGGGTCAATGTCGAGCTTCTGATCGCAAATGAAATTGGGCTTCCATTCAGCGCGCAGCCGTGCTGGTTTGGGATCCTCGATTGCCAGATGGGAAAAAGCCCACTGGGGCGTCCGGTCATTCCGTTGCATCCGATCGAAGAATTGAATGACTCGACCATCATTTGCTCTCGAGGGCAGGGGCTCTTTGAGATATCTCCTGAGCACCCCAGTGGTGCCCGAGACCTGAAGGCCCTCAATGGGTGGCCAGGTCCGGAGCATCTTCCCGACCGTGAGGATTCTTTTACGTTCTTCATGTATTACTGACTAAGCTGACTTTGGACAAGTAGGTATTCTCGACATCCAGAATATCAAAAAGCAAAAGATCACGATCCTTCAAAGCCTTGAACACTTGGATCCAAGTCATTATCAAGAGGGTCTTCCTTGTCCTATTCAGTGCGTTAGCATGAGCTCCGAGTGCCAGCCATACTCAGTTGAGTGTGAGAGCATGGGCCGCGCCATCCTCCAAAACCCTGGCTATCCTCGGCTGCTCGTTTGCATTTTCAGAGATCAGAATGACCGCGTTGGCTATCGGGCGTTGCTGTGGAGTTTACACGACATTTATACCGATCACCGTGCAGAGTTAGGCGGCAATGCAGCGAGCGCGGGAGAGATACTCGACAACCTCAAACAACGTGATATAGTTCTTCAACTCAGTGGCTTTGGGCTCAGGACCACAGACCCACGTCAGGGGTTCTGTAATGGCTCTAAATCGCTGCAGGTGAGCAGCCGCAGCTTTTCATCCACTCGATTTTTACGGGTAGAGGCGGAGGTCTCCACAATGACGTTGTTAGACTGGAAGATGCCTGAAGTCACCGTGGCCACGACTTGCCTCGGATCACGAAATTCTCCACCTAAGGGATTCATGGAGATTGCAAAATGGGCCACACCATACAGTCACCAGTTACCATGGGATCTCTAGTCAGCGGCGCCGGCGGGAGCGATGACTTCTAGCCCTGTCTATTAGTACGGCACGAGGCTGAGGCCACGTGCCCACGTGTTGTATTCTCTAGGCACTGCTATCGGCATTGTGTTTGGTCTTGAGCGTTCATCACTGCACAGAGGCGCCACATACGTTTATATGTATGGGGATCAGAAACTAAACCACCAGTCTAGGGTCGAACTCTCCCTAGGAAGTGAATGGTTGTCTAGTTCCTCAACGGCCACTGGATGTGCAGACGAGGACTTCCATGCCATCACATCATAATTATCTTGAATGTGTATGGACTATGCCATGCGTACTGTTTGGCTTTACCTTGGTTTCATTTTATCCTCTACGCGTCCGTGACTCTTTCATACCCCTACGTCTATTCTTTGGTTTCAGCCACGCCATTGCACTTATCGGGGGACCGGCGGAGAGCCTACCCAATTTGATTACCGACGTACGTGGATGACCCATTTATAGTACCGACGGAACTATGCACTTATAGTTACCCATTGAATCACTTCGTTAATGGTAGATTCTGATCGCACAAGACCGAGGAATAAGGGAAGGCCGTATGAGACACCCTCTCTGGTAACCTTCCAGGGTTATAATGGTACCTATGGACGTCCGTTCACGGCCCTGAAAACAGGCTGCCCATCGAAGAACACAATGCTGGTCCATGCGAAGTGTGTCGATAGCTCCATCTGCAGAAGGCGAGAAAATCTCACCTGACACCTCCGCAAACGAGCACACCAAGCCGCCACCCGAGTGCTGCACATGTGGCTGCCCAGGTGGCAAGCGCCGCCGTACTCGGTGAGCATGGGCTCACAGTCGGGTGGTTTTCCCTCCGGGGCTCTCTCCGGGTTTCGGGTTTTGAAGCGGCCCGAGCTGCTCTGGGCGGGTTTGCGGTGGGCTGCGCCGACGAGGTCGCACGGGGATGGTCGGGGAAGCGGCCGGCTTTCTGCATATCTCGAGGACTCTAGGGGGCCGTCGGGGCCTGTTTTTCAGAAATGGGATTTGGCTATCTGGGTTCACCGTGGTTTTCGACATATTTCATGGTTCGTGTGACGGACTCTGGAGAGGAAAATACGAGGAACACTCAGCACCAGCGTAGATCCTAGTATATCCGAACCCTCCTGGACCTGTACCCGGCTCTATCTGGAACCTTGATCGTGCTGGCTCCCGTGGAGTCTCCCTAGGATGGGGTATCGGTCCGTTAGCCATGCCTTGTGCAACGACTCGGACCGTGCAAACAGCCAGCCTCGCCTGAAACGGGCCGTAAAGAGCGATACGAAGTCACTTGTCTCAGATGCATAAGATCCGCCTTGTGGGTTGCCCGTTGCACAACCTGACAAACAACTACATATGTACACAGTCGGGCATGTAACCAGAGTCAAGGAGCCTAGTGGCAGTGCTTGTGATTCTACCAGCCAACCAAGTCTACCTAGGTACTCATGTTTTGCTTCAATGTTGCACCGCTGTCATAGTCGCGCGACACGAGATCTCTGAGGCGCTCGGGGTGGGCGATATGTACGCCTCGGGCGGGCCTTATTTACGCCTAGAGCGGGCTTGGGGCAAATTGCGGATCTGAGGCCATGGAGCCGATGAGAACTATGCAACGGAGTTGCTGTAAATATTTGAAAGGTCTGCTAAGGGGTTCTTGGGCGGGCACTACACCATCGCCGCTATGTGGAGAGTCCTCATAATACAACCACTAGCATCCCAAGGTTGGGCAGGCAGCCTTGACAGCTGCCTCAGCGTGTGGCAATCTGCGGCGGCTGATGCCTTGAGCTCACAGGGTTCGTAGCCTGGAGTTTTCTGTCAGAGCAGATTTCTTGTCTTGGTGAAAGATTGAAAGGCTGTGTGCGACAGGTCCTTGGGGGCATCCAACAAAGCTCGTTCCAATACGACGGGTACCTACATGGAGTCCTATAGTTTTCGGGCCTGTGGCACAGGTCCAGGGCTGCTGTCATTTCCATTCATTCAACGTGCATGATACGGCAATGGGAGGGCCCAGACCCATGACGCCAATAGGGCTTGAAATACCCTAGAGTCAATGATCTTGGCGTCCAGGAGCGGAGTGAATGATGGTCGGACGTCCGGATTCGGCCCGTAACTTGATCCTAGGTGCCCGGATGCCTCTCAGCCAGCGCCACTGTGATGAATCATATGCCACCCAGTTACACCAAGGTTCAGCTCATGCTGGGTAACAGTGGCTGGGAGTTGAAGGGAGGGGGAGCACTTGAGGGGGTGAACATCTCACACCGCCAGACCGCCCTGCGGCGTGGGCTAGATAGCCACACCTGGGCAGCCGTTTGGAAAAGCCACAAGCGAATATCCTGGATGTGGGTGGTTAGTGTCGATCTTGCGAGAGAAGAGAAGGTGTGACTCGGGCTGGTTAGCGAGCACACACACACTGCTGTTGAGGTGGTGGGGGGTGACAGGACCTGGATGGAGTACGGGCATCATCATCAACATGTACAGCACGTGGGATCGGCCCAGGGGATAGCCCTGTTATTGTGGGGAAGGTTCAGGACGGGGGCTCGGCTTTGGGAGGCTGTTGGCGTGCGGAAGGAGTTCCGCGCGCCGAGGGTGCCGCCGCCGAGCCCGCCGCCGCCGTGGGGCTTGTCCCGAGGGTGTGGGCCGAAGGAGCCGATCATCAGGAGATGTGGCCACGGTGATGGCTCATGTCGGGACAATTATTGTTGGCACAATGGAGCTGGGAGGTGAGACATCAGGAGATGGGAGGAGGAATTACTAGTATTAGCGTACAGAGATCAGGCGTGATTTTTCAGAACAGCCTGAGAACGGTGGAAAATGCAGGTCAGCCGGGCAGCGGTATTGGGATCATCGTGCTAAGCACTTGGTTAGCACGAACCTAGATCCGATGCCTCGATTAAGGTTCATAGGGCTAGAACGAAGGAGCCTTGATTGCCATAGATGCCGTTTCTAAAATCTGAGACATCTAGAGGAGGACAGACGCCGTTTGACTACGACAACGGTAGGTACGTATGTACTTGACCCCTAACCCTCGCCCAGAACCTGACCCACCCACCCCCGCCCAACCCAGATGAATGACTCTGGTAGCTCTGCCCCAAGGGCTGGCCGCATGCGCCTCAGCAGGGGCAATTGGCTCGGAATTGCTCGTGGCCATGGGCCAATTGGGTATTACACCTTGGCCTGACCCGTCGAGCCGCATCGATCGAGCCCGAACTCGGCCACCGGGTCGCGGCGTGGTCTCGTGAGGTGACGACGGCTCGGGCTTGCCTCGCGTCTTTGACGAACTTCTTTCTCGGGACGCAGGGACGCAGGGTCCACCCGCGTAAGCAGATTTTTGCCGTTGCTACCCGCCAGGACCTGCCTCTTCTCGACAGACAAGAACAAGGACCAGAACAAGAAGGAGAGGGAGGACCACCTCCGTCCCGTCTCGCCGTCTCGCCGTCTCCTCCGTCTCTCCCGGGCCCAGAAACAGAAGTCACGCCTCGACTTCCGAAACCAAGCTAACAACATCTGAACCGTCTCTTTTTTTTTCTTTTTTTTTTTTCTGGACTGCACACCCACCTTCAAGTCCCCCCCTTCCGTGGATACTCTCCTCACTTATTTACTCACATACCCACTCACATACTCACCCAACTACGATGGGCTCAGCCAGCACCTACTCCGTCTTCGACGCCGCCGAGTTCGTCGAGCCAGACGGCATCTTCGAGGTGCTGCGGCGGTACGCGGCAGACCCCTTCCCCGACAAGGTCAACGTCTCGGCGGGGGCGTACCGCGACGGCGAGGGCAAGCCGTGGTTCCTGCCGTCGGTGCAGATGGCCAAGAAGAAGATCGCCGGCGCAGACCACGAGTACTCGCCCATGATGGGCTTCAGGCCCTTCCGCGACGCCTGCTACGACCTGCTGCTGCACGACACCGCCCCGCTGGCCGAGGGACGCGTGAGTTGGCCGTCCCTCTTCGTCGCAAACCACAGCACAGCACAGACAGAACTGACCCCCGCCCACAGCTCGCCGGCGTCCAGTCCCTCTCCGGCACCGGCGCCCTCCTCCTGGCCGGCATGGCCCTGCGCAAGGCCAACGCCGGCATCAAGACCGTCTACCTGACCACGCCCACCTGGCCCAACCACGAGCTGCTCTTCGAGACCATGGGCTTCGAGGTCAGGTGGCTCCCCTACTACGACGCCGCCGCCCGCGCCCTCGACGAGGACGCCCTCGTCGCCGCCCTGCACGCCGCCGAGCCCAACGCCGCCGTCATCTTCCACACCTGCGCCCACAACCCGACAGGGTGCGACCCCTCGCGCGCCGCCTGGGCCCGCATCGCCGGCGCCGTGCGCGCCCGGAACCTCTTCCCCGTCTTCGACAGCGCCTACCTGGGCTTCAACTCGGGCAGCGTCGACGAGGACGCCTGGCCCATCCGCCACTTTGTCGACGAGCTGCGCCTCGAGGCCGCCGTGTGCACCTCCTTCTCCAAGAACATGGGCCTGTACGGCGAGCGCGTCGGCACCGTCACCTTTGTGCTGGGGTCGAGGGAGGCCGCCCACGTCGTCCAGAGCATCCTCGAGAACGCCCAGCGCGCCACCATCAGCACCCCGCCGCTGTACGGCGCCCGCATCGCCGAGGCCGTGCTGACCACCCCCGAGATCAGGGCCCAGTGGGCCCTGGACCTCGTCACCATGAGCGGCCGCATCGTCGCCATGCGGAGGAGGCTGTTTGAGGAGCTCGTCAAGCTCGGCGCGCCCGGCGACTGGAGCCATGTCGTCAAGCAGTCCGGCATGTTTGGCTTCCTGGGCCTGAGCGAAGCGCAGATTGAGCACCTGGAGAGTGAGTCTGACTTGAATTTTTTTTTTTTTTTTTTTTTTTGGATTCTTGTTCTTCTCATTTCCCCGCATCGCTCTTGTCCCCCCTTCTGCTTGTGTCCCCTTGCATCGGCACGTGACTGACTCGTCATCTGCAGCTGAGCACCACGTCTACATGGCCTGCTCCTCGCGCATATCCGTCGCTGGGCTCAACGACGGCAACGTCGAGTACTTTGCGAGGGCGCTGGACGCCACCGTGCGGACTGTTGCTTAAGTAAGAGGTTGGTGGTTCGTCACGGCTCATGGCTCACGGCTCACGGCATTGCATGATCACTGGCGTTGAAAATAGCATTGACTTCATGGCGGTTGTATATAATTATTTTGTGTACATAAACAACAAAGCAAGCAATCAGCATTCATTTGCAATTCTGACTGGCTCACTAAGTCATGGGTAAGTGCAAATATGGTTGAGATATCGGCTTTTCTATTGTATCCCATCATGTCATGCTGTGTGATGAGTGGTTTCATTTCTAACCCCCATCCATATAAAATGTATGCCACGCCTTCACACAGTGGTAGCTGTCCGATGAATCACAACATCTTCAGGGCTTTTGCTGCCCCGGGGTATTACTCTTGTCTGCCAATTAACTGGGTGTGAGATAAAATTCAAGGTAGTAATCCCCAGTGACCTTGTTTGGGGCACTGGCCCAAGCATTTGCTGACTGTCAGGCCAGCAAGATCTTGTTGCCTGAGCGTCATATATCTAGAGTTTGGTGATAACCAGTTCAAACAATCGGCCTCATGGAGGAACAATGCCTCCCGGCCTGGTCGAAACATCCTTGTCATCCACAAGTTCACTGGTATGGGCCTGTCACAACCCTCTCATTGAAGCACTTTATTCAATTCCAGAAGTGGTGAATGGTTCCAAGGTTTCGAGTACATTCCACCATCACTTTGGTCCCATCTTTCACTCTGGCTCAGGGTGAACTGGCCCTGGGCAGAGACCACCCCTGCTTGGGCTGCTTAATCGTGGAGCTGGCAAGACTTTCACTTCTGAATCTCATGTCACCTATTTGTCCCCCATGGATGCTCAGCTTGACCCCGCTTGGGGCTCCTTTGCTCCAGGAGTGCTGCTTGAATCTCTTCACAGATGGGTGAAGTGCATGCTGCAGTCACCTGGGAAGTCTCTTCACATTTCAACACGCCCATACCACAAGCAAGCACCACCCCGAGGACCGTCGACCTCTCGAGAGCTCCAAAACTTCGATTAACTTCGTCCGCTCAAGTCTTTCTTGAACCTTCTGCAAATTGTGCTTCTTGTTTTCAATCCAAGCCCATCAACACCACTGACACCAACCTGTGACGACTTTTGTATTTGCTCTCTGCTGTACATCCATCGTCACAACACCTGCTCATCCTCTTGCCCTTCCTTAACTCGGTTCTCTTGCCCGCCAATTCCCCGAGACGCCTTGCCCGAGACGCCAGCCCGTCTGACAAGTAAAGCTACGTGACCAGCATCGCAAGATCAACCATCCCTCATGGACCACCAAAGGTAAACAAACCCACCACAACCTGACTCCCCACCGTATCCGCCCAAAGAGAAGAGAAGAAAAGAAAAGCTCACACAGGGAAACTTGCAGCAACTCACTCCCCACCGGCGCGGCCAACACCAACACCAACACCACCATCGCCAACCACCCCAATGGCGCGAACTGGGCTCAGCAAAACGCCCAGCCCCAGCCCCTCCCCCCAGTCGCCCTAGCAGCCTACGACCGCTACGGCGTCCTCGACCCGGTCAAGGTCGACCTCATGGTCCGCGGCATCTTCATCACCCGCGAGTACGCAGCGGCCCTGCCGCACCGCATCACGCCCGACGGCCGCCCCGAGCCCAGCGGCCTGTACGGGACCCACCACTCGCGCGCGCCCCGCGCCGCCGGCTCTTCTCCTCTCCCGCCGCCCGGCCGCCGCCGCCCCGCCGCTCGCCCCGCTGCTGGCGTTGGGAGGGCGCAGGCGGTGCGGGATGAGGAGGCGTCTGGGGCGGTGGTGGGGTCTGCTGGGGTAGGTCGTCGCCGTAGTGTGAGTGCGGGTGTTGGCGGTGTTGACGGTGGTGAGGGGCCTAGCGATCATGAGAAGTGGGCTGAGGATGAGGTCGAGTACATTGTTCGCATGAGGGCTCAGAGGGTTGGGTTTCGGCAGATTGCTGTAAGATGCTCTTCTGATCCTCCTGCTCTTCACTTCCCTTCACTTCCCTTCACTTCCCTTCACTTCCCTTCACTTCCCTCCACTTCCCTTCACTTCCCTTCACTTCCCTTCACTTCCCTTAGCACACCAGCAGAGCCCAACCCTTCTATCAGCAGGCAGGACCAGCTTCTACACCTAATTTGGATTCAGAGATCAGGCCCTTTCAAAAAGACTAACACCAAACACCACACCAGCAGGCACGTTTCCCCAACAAGAACCAAAAGGCAGTCCAGGAGAAGTTCTACAAGTCCCTCAAGGACCCCAGGACCCCCCACTGGAACCAGCTGTACCAGCAGCTGCGGGCCAGCCACGACCGTGCCGAAGCCCAAGCCCAAGCCGAAGCCGAAGCCCTGGCCAACGCGGCCAACAACGACAACAGCGGGTCCGGGGTGGGCACCCACTCGGACCCCATCGAGGTCGACTCGGATGAGGATGAGGGCGGTGGCACGGCCGGCCAGCCCATTGAGATCTCGAGCGGCTCTTCCAGCGGTGATGCTAAGGATGCGAGGACCCCTCTGGTGTAGGGTGTTGTTTGGGGCTTGCTTGAAGATTTGGAACATCTTTGTGCTTGACAAAAAAAGAGAATTGGTGAGGATTGTGTTTGTGGCTGTGAGGTTGAAGGTGTCGTTGTTGTCACGAGGAGTCACGGATTGATACCGGGCTTGGAAGTTGGACACCTGTTAACACATACATACCATAGCCGTATAGCCGGCCCCAGTGGCAGTGTGCTGTTCTTTCATTATGCATGATGAGGACTCTGGAGAGTGTCTACGGGTTTAGGGTGGTTCTCAATGAGGTATGCTTGAGGGGTTTAAGTTTGATGGTCAGGCTGTTCGTATCTATCCAAGAGGGTTTCAGATTGTTACACCACACATGGATGCCCTGACACAATGGAGAAAGGGACAAGGAAAAGAGCGAAAAGCCAGTAACAACTTCTTTTCAGCTGAGGAAGCAAGGCACACATCACTGTCCAGCTGTCAGGCTGGAGAGCAGATCAAGTTTACACAAGATTAATGCCTTCAAGCCCCCCTCGAAACAGAGGCAGCAACATGGATACAAAAATCATAAAGTATTAGTGTTAGGACAGCCTGCCTGGCCAGCTCCAGAATTTCCATTACCCTGTTTGACATCCATCCCATATACTCTCATTAGCAACTCAATGATGAGGTCAACATGGCCCACCTCACAAGCCACCTGAAGCACAGTGCCCACGGATAATTCGGTATACCTAGGTGCCCAGGAGCCAGCCTGGCATGACATCAGCGCCATGCTTAAGTACCCTGAGCAACAATTCCATGATCTTCTTATGTCCCTCACAAGCGGCAATATACATGCGCCTAGTCTGATTGTTTTTACCTTTGTTGAAGCAACATCTCGGCATGTCCTCTGCCCAGTGGTTTGCAAATGCCATCAAAGCACTCCCGGACCAATACCCATGATGGCAACTCATCATTCCTCCCAGGACAAACATCAAATAGCAATTGTGCTATCAAAGAGGACTTGAATAGTGAGTGGCTTCTGAATGGTACAGCCTGACACGCGACGTGTGCAACTCCATGTCGACATCATCACCTGGAAAGTCGAGCCCCCTGAGCCACACCACGGACCCAACTTGAACTTCTATCTGGACAAGTCGGTCCATGTCTTTGTCAGCTGACATACATACTACCCACAATTAGAGATTTAAATTATTCATAAAGTCCTTATTACCAAGGCTCGACTGAGACTTGACAAGGCCTGGTCCATCGGAAAATTTAGAATTTCCACCTGCATCATTGATTTCATCATATATCCGTGCCTAGGTCTGCCGGGATATTCCCACCAGACGCCCGGCCAAAGTAGCATCGCCCTTTCACAGCGTGGTCAACAACGTATGATCCAACAATATGTACATCCCACCTCAACCGTCATGGGTGAGCACAAGCCCGCCCGCGGGTGACCAGCATGCCATGTGCTCAAGTGAGACGCCATTCATCCCATCACCGGGCCACTCCCGCGCGAGCCACCATTTCATTCCGATGGATGCAATCATCACCACAAAATGGTATGTATTTGGGTACCAAGATAGTTAGTTGGTTAGCTTCCAAGGTTATATATAATATTTACACTCCCCCACCAAGAGGCATTTGCAACCTATAGGGGTGCGGCTCGGCCCTACGTCCAAGCCTGAACCGGACCTGTCACGAAGTATGATCCGGAAGGGGAAGCCTTGGAAAGGCTTGTGCGTTTACTTACTCATTAACAACCAACCAACCATGTGCGTGCCTCGCTCCGATGCGGGCTGTGTTGCAGCGTCGGTGGTGATCGCGGAGTTGCCCGGGACGTGATGGTGGTGGCCGTCTCCCATGGGGCGAAAATTTCGTTCGACATAACTACACACTTGGTTGTATCCCGTTCTGTGTTTTGATGCGCGTTGGTTGGCACCGGGGATGATACCATCCCTCATGGTGATGTATGCGTGTGTGCCTGGCCTGGACCGGCCTTCCTAGGTAGCTGGTGCCCTGCGTGCATGCAGACAGACAGACAGACACTCGGCACCGCGGCCGTGCCGAGAGATGCGATTGCAGATGCGCGTCGAGGCGCTTTGATTGATCTACGGGGGTGACAGGGGTGATCCCGACGGAGGTTAAAATCGTCTGATGTCGGGCTGATTGGCCTTGGAGATTGGTCTTTTGGGGTCCCTATCTGCCCCGAAGGTTTCCGCGCCAGCACATGCCTGGTTGTTCTGGTTGTTGGCTGTGTTTATTCAAATGTTTTGGCATATCCCCGGCTGGTATAGCCCAGCCGCGAGAAATACCATCTAGAGCGCGATTTCGTTGCTGCTGTCGATGTGGGGGCTGGGATGCCGCGTCACGGCCAGATCTGGCATGGCTAGCTTCTGCTTTGCCTGCGATGTTGGTGCGAAACCGCATTTCCGAATGCCCCGTCATCTCTGCTGCGCTCAGGACAGGTCCAGGAATTAACGATGACTCCCACAGAACGATCTCTGCATGATGGAAGGATGGCCAACATCAGGGCATCAGGAAGGATGTCTCGCTGTGCCAGGTCGCATCCAACCAGACGGTCGTGTACCACAGTAGCCATGCATGTGACAGCTGCAGCACATAGCCTACACTGCTGTACCACAGCATGTAGGTCGCATTGGCGAATGGCAGTGCCGGGAGTCGTGGTGCGTGGCTGCGTGGGGAGGCCCTGGAGTCGGAGGCACGACCCCCTCGACCCGCGGGTGACAGAGCTGGCTTCCGGACCTGCAGGCTGCAGCTGCAGATGGCCGGGAAGGGCCCTGCATCCGTGCGCGTGTGCATGTGTGCAGTCTGACAGTCTACTCCGTATGAAGGAGCATATTCCTGGTGTGCAACCGCCAGCGTAGTGCTGTCGTCTCTCCGGGCTTCAGCCAAATCCGACCCGGTGCCGGGCTGCCTGCCCAGATCAGTATCAAGCACCTGGGCAGAGCAGGGAGGATGGCTGATGAGACAGACCGAGGAGCTATCGGGGGCACAGACTGTCAGTCAGTCCTGATTTCCTCGGGCGATGCGCTGCCGCCCTCATCCCAGCCAGAGCGAGGCCCACAAGCCTCAACGGTCAAACAGGAACAGGCCACGACGTTGGCAGAGGAAAACGGCCCCATCAAAGAAGGTCAGCCCGTAGTGAGGCGAGCACAGCAATGCGGCCTAATCTAAATAGCCTCGCCGCCGTTCGGGATCGGTCCAGGAGGCCATCTGCTCCAAAGACATCTCCAATTAGGGTGGCAGCGGGGTAGGTGGTGTCTGTGCCAGTGGGCCAGAAGGAGGAACCTATTCGTAGACTAATTAGAAGACAAAGACGTTTTTTTTTTCTTTCTGTCTGAATGAATGACTGACTGGCAAATAGTCGGTCCCTTGGCCAGGCCAGCTGGGATGGCGATGCGGGGGCCGACCGGAAGACGAGTGCTAGCATGCAACCGAGCGCAACCCTTGGCGTGAGTGTGGGTGGGGGGTGGCGTGTTTAAAGTGGGTTCCTGGCAATGAACTACTGGCAGTCCTGCCAGTCTGCGGCTGTCAGTCTGTCACTTTGTTACGATCTAATGTTGATCCTGCTGGTGGGGAACTGGGGTGCATGATCCGTATTTGTATGTGGCATAAAATGGGGCTCGAAACCGAGGGAAAGGAAGGGAGGAGGGGCGCGAGGGGCGCGAGGGGCTTGAGCTCAGAGGGGGAGCTTCTGGTAACGTACCCGTAGAACTAACGTCGGGAGCTTGTGTCGACGCCAGAGGGCGGAGGGGAAAGGGAAAGGGAGGAAACGGAAACGGCGGGAAAGAGAAAAATCATTCTCGTAGGTGCCGACTGGCTCAAGCCTCAAATGCCACGGCCTGCAGGCTGGCACAGCAATCTCTAACCAAATTCTCGCCGACTCTGGCTGGCAGGTGGCTTTGACCTTCCCAAGGTAGCACCGAATGGTCCATTGGCTGGCCCAATGGTTCCTTCCCGGAACCCTGCTGCCCCTGGATGGGGACCTGGTCCTAGTCATGGTCCCTGAGCGCTGTGATAGCAGCAGGCCAGGGAAGGAGAGGGAGTCTTGGGAGTCCAATGCTGCTGCTGCTGCACCTACGGAGTACTTGCAGTTGCAGTCGCAGTCGCAGTCGCAGTCGCAGCTGCTGCTGCCAGTTTCCAAGGTTGTTGTGATTATCATTACAAAAGCAAAACGGCGCCCGTCGCTGGGCCAGGCCTGGAGGGGACGAGCATAATCTCGCCTGTCCCCCGAGAGAAGCTTGTGGTCCTTGAACTTGATCTTGGTGTTGTTTTCCTGTCTGTCGTCGTTGCTGGCTGCCGATCCGTCACAAATACCCACCCCCATCGCGTGTGTCGTGTGATCTGTCAACTCGGAGCCAGATCCAGCAGACCCCTCCATCTCGCATCTCGCATCTCGCATCTCGCACCTTGCACCTCGCATCTCGTCGCCTGCATCCCCCGCAGACCGCACCAACAGACCACGCCATACCCCAACAGCAGCTCCTTCCCCCACCAACACAGTCAAGATGCCGTTCACAGACATCAACGGCAAGAAGATCTTCTACTCGTGGAAGCCGGCAAGCAGGGCAGGCCTGACCCTCTTCTTCATCCACGGCCTGGGCGGCGCCCACTCCTTCTGGTCACCAATCATCCCAGGCCTGGTCGAGGCCGGTTTCTCGTGCCTCGCAATCGATGTCCCAGGTCAGCCTGCCCTTTATTCTACTATGCACGGCGGCCCAGCTGACAGCCTCGTGCCACAGGATTCGGACAGTCGCCCTACCATGGCAAGCCACACGACCTGCACGAGATCTGCGAAGACAGCATCGCCCTCCTCGAGAGCCTGGGCAAGGCCCTCGACCGCACCATAATCATCGGCGCCTCGATGGCAGGCATTGTCTGCTGCGAGATTGCCGTGCGACACCAGGTCGCAGGCGTCGTCAGCGTCGGGCCCATCTGCCCGGGGCCCGAGACGAAAGAGGCATTCGAGTACAGGGTGGAGGTTGTCGAGAAGGGTATGATTTATACAACACGTCTTCCCACCGTGGCATGGAATGCAGCAAATAAAGGGACACGATTTGCTGACAAGACCAATCTTTGGCGCAAACAGACGGCCTCGAGGGCATCGTCAACTCGGTCGACATCCCCACCCGCGCGACAGGCTCCAAGGCCACCAAGACAGCCGAGGCATTCGTGCGCTCGCTGATCCAGTCCTCCAACCCCGAGGCTTACAAGACCCTGGCCCAGGCCATCGCCGACGCCCCCGTGCCCGAGTACAACAAGATCAAGGTGCCGCTGCTCTGCGTCGCCGGCCAGGAGGACCAGGTCGCTCAGCTCGAGGACTTGGCGCTGATAGGGGACGAGTACGTCAAATCCCATCCACCCGCAAACATCCACACACCCAGGCGCACCAGTCCCCACTGTTTGCGCTTATTACCCTCTGTTCCCCACATGCCGGCACTTGAACATGCGATTGCATTTGCCATGCATATGTCAATGCCATGCACATGTCATGCAACATATAATCCGGCGCCATATGATGATGCTAATTCGGGTACCCTTGTCTGCAGATGGGGCGCGCCCTCCAAGACGGAGCTCGAGGTGCTGTTTGGTGTCGGCCACTGGCACAGCGTCGAGGACGCGGAGGGGACGGAGGCATGCTTGAAGAGGTTTGCGAAAAAGGTAGAACGCAAGGCCCGCGCTTTTTAATATGATAATGCTGCTTTGTTCTTCCTTCTACTTCTCTTGTTGGGGGTTGGACCTGTCGAGGAGTGATGTCTCCCAGGCGCGCCCTTTCAGCCATTACTCTGTTCCTCTTGCTCTTTTTCTTTCATAGAATGCAACAGCACCATCACCGCATGAACGGGTCTCTAATATTAACCTGGCGATAGGTCACGGCTCTTGTCGCCAACGGCGGAGAGTAACGCCCCAACCCTCGTACGGAGAGGCGTTTCATTCTACGACTACGAAGGGACGACGCCCGCGGAGCGTTACTCGCGAGGGTCGTCACGATACCAGCGGCGCCTGGACAGATGCGCCTGCTACGGCTTACGCGAACCCTGGGCTTCCACCGCGCGTGTCAGTCACGGGTCATGGGCCCCAGGGCTGTCTTCCAGCCACCCATCTCGTCCCAGGTGGGCTTCCTGGTTTTGGACAAAGGTCGGGCTGGACCGAGACGTGTTCGTTTCTTGAGTCGAGTATGGACGCGCCGCATGCTAGGTGTAGTGAGGCTGGGGATCTGTGATGAAATAGTAATACCATAATAGAGAGTTGTTGGTGAAGACCCAGAAGACAAGTCGAGTGACAGTGAAGACCCCAACCTTGATACTAGCCCTTGAGCAACCACGCGCAGACCGAACGCGTGGCCCTGCCTGCGAATCTCCACAAACTCCGCGAGAATGAGGACAGAGTAGGGGGGGAAGACGAGGAAAGAAGATGTGCTGGTCGTTGGAATTCAACAGGACTCATGTCTTTATAAAAATCCTCCCTGCAGGGATGCGAGTGCGTGCATGTACCCGCCTAAATCAAGGTTCACGAAATCGTACGATTGTCTGACGATTAAAAGTGGAACCCCGGGCGCGTCCCTCTAACCCCCAGCGCAACCACTTTCTTTTTTTTTCTTTTTCGGCCTGGCGCCCGCCCGTTTTCACCCACCCACCGAACCCGACTGTCTGACTGACACAAAACATGTGTGGGATGGAGATGCCCATCCAACCAGTCAATTTTCCCCATCCCACATTTCTTGAAATGCGGTTACTGAGTAGGTATTCCGTCGGCTGTAGGGTTTTCTGTGCTCACCCCCTGCCCCCTCCCCCCCTCCCCCCTAGTCACACACCACATGTTTGCTGTGCCGGCCGGGGCTGGGTGGGTGTGTGGGCGGGCGGGTGGACGGGTGACGGACGGGTGATGCCGGGGTCTTATGTTGAGTTTGTAGTGTAGACTAACCACCTACGCTACCTGCTCGTGGTTTAGTGAGGTCCAGCACGGAACTTATTAGAACTGGACGATGGATAATAGCAGCACGTGGGTTGGTGGGCAATGCTTCCCAAGGGCGCCGCCGGCTGATATCAGTTGGCACCACCAACTAACTAATGCCCCTTGATCAGGGCCTGGAGCATATATGCAGGATCATATTAAGGGTGCCCAGGTCGTTAGATGCCACCTGACGCACTTGACACCACCCTAGCTGCCCTCACTCGCCGTCAAAGTCTCGGTCAATTTCTTTCTTTTTTTTTTCATGTCATGTTTCATCGTGCGCCGTTGGGGTTGTCCATGCCTGCCCGGGTACATTGCGTGACGTGAACTAAGAATTGTCCGGGGGGCCTTAATTCATGCACACAGGTACGCGCTAGATGTTCTAGAACACTTATTTTCGTAACGGGTGGGTTTGTTTTCCCCTCCCTGGCACATGCACGATGGTGGTTGCTGATTTGGGTCATCATCCATGGATGCGAAAGATGGTTTGCCATTTCGTATTTCGCCATGGGGATTTTGAATGTCCCGCCTGGGCTGGATCACGCACGCCTTGCCGGGGCTGGCACCGCGGCCCACTGGCACCGGCAGCTTCAGCTGTGGGCTTGTCGTCTGGCCCCGCGAGCATGTGCTGCAAGTGTGCCCCGATCTTAGTTGCTCAAGCAGCCACGGCGCACGTGCGAGTGTATTATGCCGCGCAGGGCTTATCCAAGGTATGAGCTAGCCAGCTGGTCATGTTCCATCTGCCAGGCCTCTGAAGGTCCCGTGCTTGGTTGTTCGTCCTGGATGGCCTTCTCTTCAAGCTCCCAGTGCCTCTCGCCGTGAACGACGTTCCCGTCTGGAAAACTTCAAGATGACAGCTAGGGTTCAGGAGAATGATGCTCTTTCCTGCCAGCTCTGGGGCTAGAGATGATCTTGAGGGCAAAGTATCTCCAGTACAGCATGCTACTGCCTAGGTAGGGAGCGGATATCTAAGCCTACTTAAGTAATTTACTGGTCTCCGGCATTGAACATTTGAGGTGCCTAGGTACCTTGGCTATATGGCCGAAGCCGATGAACCCTGTCAGCTCCAAGGCACATGGCCCACGGCTTCCAAGGTTATCAATTGATCGACTTCCCGATGCTGCCACGTGGGTACAGGCCTCAATTCTTCAGTGAACAGTCACAAACAGCACTAGTTGTATAATCGCAGAGTAATTATCCTTTATGTTGTACTCATAAATTGAGCTTACCCGCGACCGGTATGTAGGCTCCCTGGGTCAGTCTTGTACTACCTACGGTGGGATACGCACATACAGGGCTGATGTAACAGAGCATCGGATGATGGAGATTTTACTTCACTAGCATATAGAGAGGTGTTGAAGGTTAAATTTAAAGGGAAATTGTTTATGAGTTGCCTCATCATGTTGTATAAAGCTGGCGATGTTGTGGTTCCGATTCACTACCAACTTTAACGCAGAGATGTTGCCTAGCTTTCCGAGCTTTTTGCCCCCCTTCTCTAGAATTGAGTCGTTGCTTCCTTGAAAATTTGCAGAGCCCGTCATTCTGGTCTCTGGGGCGGCTTTAATTTCCATGTTGTGCCCAGGTGTGCGCCAGGTAGTCACGGTACTTGAGTAAAAGTCAGAAAATTTGAATAACCCGGGCCCGGGTAGTTGATAAACTGTACTAACAAAATAACTAGGAAAATCAAGGTCATAAAGATCATAAAGATCATCAAGATCATCGAAAAAGAAAAAAAAAGAGAAGAAGAAAAAAGTGCAAAAGAAAATGCACACTCGCAACGCTCGCTGGCAATATCCCAGTGCGCCTCGCTTTTGAGCAGTGCCATCCACAATTAATGCTCCCTTCTGGACAAAAACCCCTCAACAGCCTAGTAGCCTCTATCCATCTTCTTCACAAAAACCGCTCCTACTCAGCACCAGCCTCTTCCTTCCTCACAGCCGAGCAAAGCTGTCTGTTAAATACATGTTCCTTGGGCCCTCGCCCTTCCGCCGAGTGATCTAGTCGTCGTCATCATCGCAGTCGTCTCCCCTGCAGAAGGGCCGGGGGTAGCCGACGGGAACGGGCACCGGCCGGGGAACGGCGACGGGGACGGGCATCGGCTGAGGGACAGGCGCTGGGACGGGAACCACCTGGGGAGCCGGGGCTGGGACGGGCACGATCTGAGGAGCCGGGGCTGGGACAGGCACGATCTGAGGGGCCGGAGCTGGGACAGGCATGACCTGAGGGACTGGGGCCGGGACAGGCACGGGGTATGGGTACTGCCTGGGAACTGGAGCCGGAGCTGGGACGGGGACGGTGACTGGCCTCGGCACAGGAGCGGGCGCGGGCGCGGGGACCGAGACGATGATGGGCGCGGGCGTGGTGACTGGCCTGGGCGCCGCGGGGACCGAGACGATGATGGGCGCTGGCGTGGTGACTGGCCTGGGCGCCATCACTGTTGTCGTCCTCGGCAAGGCCGAAGCCGTGACTACCGCAGGGGCCACAAGGGTTGTTGTCGTCCTCGGCAAGACCGAAGTCGTGGCTATCGCAGGGGCCACGAGCGTTGTTGTTGCCCGAGCTGGGATGACGACCGGAGCAGGAGCCGTGAGGATGACCGGGGCCGGAGCTGTCACGACGGAAGGCCCAGGTGCAAAGACCGGGGCCGGAGCTGAGATGACGACGGGAGGTGGTGCGACGATCGGGCGTGGTGCTACGATAGGCGCAGGAGGCGGCACAACGACCGGGCGTGGTGCCACGATCGGGGCTGGAGCTGGGGCTGGAACGACGACGGGAGGCGGTGCCACGACGGGGCGTGGTGCCACGACAGGAGCTGGAGCTGGAGCCGGCACGACGACGGGAGGAGGAGGAGGAGGTGCCACGACGACTGGCGCAGGCGCAGGCATCGGCACGGGCCCGCACACGTGAGGCATGTGGTGGCGTGGTTCCAGACTGCGATCGTCGAACTGCGAGCCCTCATAGCCGCCCTCGCCCTCCTCGGATCCCTCGAAGGCGGATTCGGCGTTCTCGGAGGACTCGAACTCCCCAGACTCGGAGTCCCCGTTGAGGGCGCCATAGTCATCGCCGTATCCCGAATAGTTCTCGTAACCGTCGGCGGACATCGAGGTGACATCGTCATCGCGGACGGACAGGTAGAAGACTCCCTCGGGGGGTGCTTCTTCCGGGGCGGGGATGTTTTGCCTGTGGGCCTGTGTGTAAGTTGCTGGTTCCTGTGTTTTCTTAGGGGGTGGGAATTATAAAATGTGCAAGACTCACTCAATCGGCGCGGCTGAGGCGCTGATGAAGGCGGAAACAAGGATGGCGATGGTGCTGGCTGAGTGCTTCATGTTGACTGTTGAGGAGGCGATTCGGAGCTGTTGGGTGTTATCCCAACTATTGCAAGTCGGGGAATTGTGTTGAGTTGAGGAGCTGATGTTGAGGCTGATGATTGTGAAGGCTGATGAGGCTGGTGATGAATTAAAATTGAAGACATGTTGACGGAAACATGGACGTATTATATACTGTTGTCTTCAAGTTCACAACAACGTGTCAATAGCCCTGGAGGACATCTCACGACTGACTTGTTGATCTCGTCACCGTCCAAGTCGCGTTCGTGTGAGTGCTGCCTGATTCCTCACGTCCCAATTTGCGCATACTATATTTCTCAAATTGTGCGCGGGGTACTCGGTGTGCAACAATTCTTGTGATTTCTTCCCAATCGGAGCCTCGTAGACCTTCCGGGTGGTGTTTCCGCAGCCCGCCCTAGGCAGCTGGTTCCTCATGACGTGCACAGACCGAAACGGTTCAACCTGCCGTGGTGGTGTTCGTGGGGTGAACCGGGGTGAAGGGGTAAAATTCATGACGTTTCGTCCCGACTGCTCCCACGTCGTCCCATGTCGGCAGCGAATAGGCCTGCCTCGTCCCGTTTGGTAGCATTGGAGACCGACGACCAACTCAACCGTCGCAATTGTGTGAACTACTTCCGCAGGCCGAGGGCCTCTCAGGTTCGTACTTTCCTCTCGTCTCATATAATGTGAGAAACCGAGAAAGTATTCAAGCTTCTGAACAAAGCGCTCGCTTATTAAAAACCGTTGCACGGGACTCAGCCGAAGCCCCACTCGTGACTGGTGCATCTTAAATTGAATGCGAGTGATTCAAGTTGTGAAAAGACTTGGCAAATCACTTATCTCAACTCTTACAATTCGGTCAGTCCAAACAGAAAGCTGAACAAAAGCCATCTGAATCAACAGAGCACCAGAGGAGTCGAAACTTGATTGGGTATTTCTCGTGCCCAACTCACGTATCATTCGTTGAAGCATAGTGGATCAATACCAACATCTGTTGATACATGACATCACAGTAAAAGGCGGTGATCAAATTTCGTTTGCACATCGACGATAAATCTACTGTACGCTGGCATGAGCACTACCCAGGGCTGTCAAGCAGGAAGGTGCCGAGTGTCCGCATGACGAAGATGATTTGCTCATTGCTAAATTACTGCTGGCCGACCAACTCCAGAGGTCTGGATGTGGACACCGGAGCGCAGAGGAAAACAGGCCATACTCTCTCGACTGAAATTAAGGACAGTTGTCTCTATTGGTATTACTCGAATGAATTGCAGAGCACCAAGTAGTCAGTCACCCCGACAGCACGACTGGTTGCGTTCCATCAAGACACCGACCATCTCCAGGAGCTCCGATTCTCGCCCAAGCGCGTCTTCATGGAATCGTATACAGCTGTCTCAATTCTAGGCCTGCATAGTGAGCGATGACGGCTTCACACTCAGTGCCCCCACGACTCGGAATTTGCACTCAAATGTTCGGTGACCGTTCCGATAGCTGATCAAGTGATCCGGATCATGGGGTAGCCACAGACCCTATGGCTGAAACACTTCAAGATATCCAATCTCAATACTGGGTGTACTAATGTCCAGAGTATTGAGGCTTTCAACCACTAACTACATGACATCGAGGGAGAGTGGACATTGCATCGAAGAGAGCCAGAGCTGCACACCGGCACTTGATATCCATGACGTCGCAACAGATCAGGTAGTATTTCGGGAGCACGAGCAGGTGCCCTGTGATCTAATTCCATATTTTTGGGATGGGATTCAGGCCGTGTGATTGTAGTACTCAGTCCGAAGCTGCTGGGCTGATTCTGGGCCACTCACCAGCCCATGCTTTCGAAGCTCGTTGATCTTGCACCGGTGGCCATTGAGAGCATGAATCACGTTTGCGAAACAGGTGCACAAAAGGACGGCGGCAGTGGAGGATATGCTCAGCCACGCCATTTTCTGTAAGGTATCGGATGAGTATACTAGTTATTTCAGACCATGGGAGGTGACGCCAAGGAGGAAATACGGCAGGAAATGATTTCTAGAGACGCAGGCCGTGAGAGATATCGGGACATAGTAGTAATATCCCTGATGGTCACTCTATCTGCTGGCGGTTTTCGCTTCTTTTCCGATCTAATCTATGTGACCGTGATGTCCTCGCCGGCGATCATGCCTTGATCCCGAAGTCAGGGATATATCCCTTGGGAGCATGATTTCTCAAATGCAATTTTACCGGTCTCTGTAACCTAGGTATAGATGACCTCTTCCGATTGCCAAGTGTTTTTGTCGCCCATGGCCCCTTTCTATCGTCAAAGTGTTAGGGAGTGAAGGTGTGTACGCAGACAGCCTAGTGGTCGACCCGGACCCAGAGGTTCAGTACTGGGACTCTGTTAGGGCTGTCAACAACCCCCACGCTATTGGAGGAGTCATTCAGAAACAACTGAGCAAGGAGAAGGGGATCGATATACTGACACCTAATTACCCGGACTATGATGCTATAATTGCCGGTATTAAGCAGAGACGAGAATAAACGGTCATGTTAGAAGGGGGTTCTGAGATGCGCTGATGTCTCCGACTTTTGTTACTCGTCAGATCGTCTAAGCCACCTTGATGTCGATCATGGCATTAACGGCAGCCGATACATTTGTGGTCCAGCATAAACTCGACGAGAAATGATATCCGTCGCCAACCAAACACCAAGGACCACCAAACGGCAACATAGTCAAGCTGCAAAAGGCCGAACTCGTCAGGTCCTAAAGTCCACAAGCATCACCCACAAGTTACCTTACCCCCACACTTTCGAATGGAACACCGATGCGCAGCTTGAGCATCTGCAATGTTGGCCACTGCACCGGTCAACGAGGCATGACGAGACGAGCGCGTCGACCGCATCCTCTCGGCCAACCACAATTCCGCCTTCAACATGCATCGAAAACTCACCTTGACGTTTGCATGATAAATGAGACAGCACCTAGAGGGCATCATCCAATGAATGTGAATGAGTCACCTGGACGCTCCTCACCACGCCACCTGGCATAGGATTGCCTCTTGAGTGATACGTATGAATAACCACTTAGATGGTAATCAGGTCACTGAGTAATTAGCAACGTATTATTACTTTGGACAATCTTGTAGTGTTGGTGTATTACTGTAAGTCAAAGGCTGGACCTGCATTCCCACTCCCGTTGCCATATTCCGTTTTCCGGGCATGTCCACAGGTCCTACATTCATTGAACGTCATGAAAAGCCCTGACCAAATTGCAACGCAGGTCATCGCCCATAGCGTCCCCATCGAGGCATCTCCTGCGCCTAACGATCCACATGCCAAACCCCAGTCTCGGAGGCCTAGGCCCTATAAAGATTGAAGCCTTCAGCAACAGCCCGCTGCATGTCGTTCCACAGGATGTCAACGGACGGCGCAAACAAGCGAAGGATCTTGCGGTTCACACGACAATACCGTTCCACGAAGAGCTCCGCTTCTACATCGCTGCCGAAACAGATGTACAGCGCCCCAGGTCGGCCCGGCTCCACCTGCATCCGGAGCTGCACCACAGGGGAATACTGGTGGCCTGTCATGACCTTGACAATCCTGGCCGACGGGGCCATCCAAGCCAGACCGGCCATGTTCAGATCTGTATCTGGATTCACCGTCATGAACACTTCGTCGAGATCGGTGAAGTGGAACGGATGGACTGGGTACATCCGGGCCGGTCCATCACCAAGCGCATGGATGTTGATCGGGCACTGGATGGCGGAGTGAACAGCTAGCCCCTGTCGGGATCGGATCGGATCTATTTCAGAGCGCTCTAGAAACTTGAAGACGGAATTACCTCCAACCTGAATGTCCCTCAACAGCTCTGGAATCTTGTCGAGCAGGTTGACTGTGTCGCTGAACTTAAAGATCCTGTGGCTGTTGTCGCGGACAAACTTGACCAAGGTTTTCGAAATGGCTGCCGTGCTACTGTCCATGTAGGCTTCTTCCACAGCGCTGAGGACCTCGGTGAGCCATTGAGGACTCTGGTCTTTACATGTCTCTGCGTCGGAGGGGTTGAGCGTGCTGTCGAGGTGGGACTTGAGCCCTTCGATAGCCTTGGTCTTAGATTCGTTGAGGAGGAAGAAGTCGGCAAGTCGGAACAGTTGAACACAGAGGACCGGCAGGCCTTGGGCGTTGCTATGTTGCGGGATGTCAATGTCCTTGGCGTAGATGAATCGAAGCATGATGTCGACAAGCTTGGGGTCCTGCTCCTCCAGCACGAGGTCGCCTGATTTGCTCTCCTGGCGTGCCTCGCATTAGCGTTCAAAACCAAGACTGCGGTGAGACGCAACAGCAATAAGAGCATTACTTACTTACATGTTTCCATAGAAGGCAGCCCTGAAACACTCGCATCGGCTGCCCAGAATGAGTTTGTGTACATTCCAAGTCCGATCGTCACAAGTGATGGTGGCATCAGACAAGTAGCCATCGCTTTCGAAAAGGTGAATATCGGCGGTGGCAAGCCTGGCAAAACCACCAAGTTTCGACATTAGTGCTGTTGATGTGACCTTGGAGACTTGGAGACGCGTTTGACAGCTGCTGCCGGTGAAGGCTTGTGAAGGTGTTAGGATTGGAAAGAGGATGGGAAAGGTTTAGAAAAAAAGATTGAAGTGGGGCTGAAACTTAGCTGGCACAAAAGGTTGGAGGTTCAAACACACACTCGAGACTAGCCACGGTACCTAAACAGGGTGAAAAAGCAGTGTCGGTGTATTCTTGCTGGCAATGGGCTCTGCCTGTACTGCCTGTATCATCACTGCCTGAATTATCACATCCTTGCGTATCATTCAATTCTTTGAATTAAATGCATCAAACCAAGCTTTGTTTTTTCCGCCACATGACACTCTCGCGACGTCGGCATGGTTCGTCCTTGTTGCTGGCTCGAAAGCCTGTCTAACCCAAAATCCAAGTTGCGCAGTAAGGTTGTGATGCTACCTAGGTATGCACATCGATTAGAGGCAGGAGAAGAGCCACTGATTTGGCCCAACATTCCGGGCACCCGGTATTCCAACCGGAAAGACATTATTATGAACATCGCAAAGAAACCAAGGTGGGACTCATTAGTACCATTCAAAGTGGCCAATGTAAAAAAGATATTCCCAAGAACAAAGTAGTGGCATCGAGACGCCGCATTCGACAAGGTATATCAAAACGGTCCGACTAGCTACGGATTGAGATTGATCGGGGTCGCGGGAGGGGTTGCTTACCGAAAAAGACAAGCGATTTGATGCCCTGCAGGAACCGTAAATTGCTTGTAAACGGCGGTGTAAAAATAACCACCCAGGCAGGTACCTAGGTATTCACTTTGAGTTTACGGAGTCCGTTTTGACTGGCGTCTAGTCCGCTTTCAACTTAGGCGCCAAAATTTGGTTGCATGGTCCAGATTCTAACTTCCGGCCAATGACCTTTTGTGTTGCAAGCCAAAGGCCTGTTGTGCCGTAAGCCAATGACCTGTTGTAAAATGTGTCGTACGATGAAGCAGGCTGAGGATCATTTATGTACCGAATGAATTGTATGGTGGAATGGTCAGCTCACGTGATTTTGTGTTGGCCAAAGTACTATCACAGATCCTGTGAATGAACACCATAGTGATCTTGGGGCCTACATACCTAGGTACTTGGGTATCTTCCCAAGATTTTAGTATAAAGAGGGCTGACTTCCAATGTGCAACAGACATTATTTTATTCATCCTCCATTGATCACAGGTTCTCGTTGAATATATTTGACAGCATCGGTATTCTTCTTCTCACTACAAAATTCAGACACAACATTTGTCACTCCACACACTTCGTACTTTTATCTACACCAACGGCATTGGCATCATTCAAAATGCGTGAGTATTGCCTAGATATATTCTCCCTTGATCATCTCTTGTATTTGGGACTAAATGAAGGCCAGAGTTCTACGTCTTCATCGCTCTCCTCGCCGCGGACATTGCCTCTGCCTTTCATGGAAGTCCTATCCGCGTTGCATTTGAAGGCAACACCCAATTCGGAAAAAACACGCGGGATGACCAGCGTCAACATGTGCATGACGCGCTCGTATCAGCCTGTGAAGGCATCGGGGCGCAGGGATCTGACCCCCTGTCGGGTGGGTTTGACAGCGAGGGATATCATTTCAAGTACGTTTGCAGCTGTGCTCATGGTGATACGAGCCTGCCGTACACTGTGCGGGTGGATCCCTGGTGGTCTGCGCAGGCCACATACTCCAGCGGTTGCTAGACAGCTGGCGACTCGGGATTCCGATGATGAAGGGGGAACATTTGTCTATTGCATATGTACGCTAGCTTTGGTGGCTTATAGTTTCCGACATCGTCAAGTTCTTCATCGGTATCTACTAGAAGCTCGATATAGACAGGCTGGGTTTATTCTATTATATAGAACTTCTTCTAGAGTCTAATTAAACTTCTTTTATAGTCATATTAGGTCAAGTGGGACAACGTTGACAATATGACGAAGAGTTTCGACCTGGTCATGGATTGATTCCGGGAGCCCGAAATCCGCCGCTTCGAGTCGTTTCGAGGTTTAAATCGTCAAGGGTGAAATTTTAGTCCATCGTGGCAGCGTATGAACACATGGGCATCCACGGTGTGGGTAAGTACACGCAGTACCTAGGTATGTAAAACGTGTACGCCAAGAGTCATGCCTGTGTCGAGTTACCACGAAGCAAGACCTTGAAATGGATGTTCATCTAGTCGTAGAGTGGTCAGAGAATGCCAATCTCGCCACTGATTTCTTCCACACCAGGCTATCTCTTCGATGCGCTCGACAGTTGGTGTTCATATACGGTGCAAACATGTGGGGTGAGATATCTCACAAGACCTCTTCTCGTCTTGGCAGCCATCAGTGTTTCCAGCAACGACCCACGCAACTCGATTCCTTCACACCTTGCCCCATCTTCACTTCATAGCCCTGGGATAGTTCCGCGTCTCGTCGAGCAATCTTTGAATGCCTGCGATACTAGCTTCTTCTGTGCTTTCCCAGCTGCTTTACCCATCTTTTCTTGCATTAGGGCTAAACCCCGCTGCTCAAGTGCTCTCAGGTCCCTCTGCATGTTCCCAAGACGACAGGCTGAATTGCATTCTGTTTCATATCTCCTTGTGGCATGGACGTGCTGTTTTGTGTCTGCAAATGGCAAGGTCTGGTCCGGAAATAGTGAGGGTGCTAGGGTGGCGCTGTGGTCGGAGACGGTCTCTGTTGACACCCAGTGGATTTGGCCTCAGCGAATGTCCCATTGCACCCTCCTGACGTGCTTCAAAGTGCAGACCACAGAAAAACAAGTCAACATCACTTACCCAAATAATGGCAGCTGCATATCGGTCTACTCGTTCGGGTTCACGAAGTCATCGTCATCATTGAAGAGCATCCCGGAGAACCGAATCCCCGTCATGAGAGAAAAGCCCATGAGGCAATTGAGCAAGAGTGACGGAAGTTGGGCAATCACTGGCAAGCATCCTCGCTATCTTCTACTAGACACACTCTTCGTATATAATCGGTACCTGGGTATAAAGTCGGTCAGATGGATGAGTTAGACTGACCTCGCGATGGAAGGATCTGTCCTGACACATGTCTAAGGCCTAGTAGATACAACATAAGTCTAGATGACACTAACCTACCTCCTTAATACCTAGGTATCTGGGTATACGGCTGAACTGCTGGCTCGGATGCATTGACAATGCGGCCCTAGAAGACATACTCCTAATCTGAGCAGCTCTTCTTCATGCATCTTCTAAATCTTCCCCCTGTCGTGACTCCGCTTCTTCATACTCCGCTCAGCCGACACAATCATGTTGACGTGATTGCTTAGAGCTACCACGTTTTGCTGCTGGTCTAAGATGATAACTTCCAAATCTAGCCTGCCGTTCTGAATTACCTTAGCCGAGCAACGTACGAAGAGCCACTCTGCCCCTTGCTCCGGTAACGACCGCTTGACGTCGAGATTTAGCGACAGCGTCGGGTACCAAAATGTTTCGTCAGTCCGAAAGGGCGTCTGCTCCTCGTCGGGCCCAGGCCTCCACCCTTCGACAACCATGGGGTAGGAGTCGGCGACGTAGCCCAGGTCGTGGGTCATGAACCTTTGGCCCTTCCCCTTGAGGCGCAGCCACAGGTCCACAACGCCGCGGCGGGTGCCAGTGCGAGGGACGTAGTGCTCGAGGTTGTTGTGCGTGCGGACGAACGAGGTGAAACGCGCGCCGAGTGGGTTTTCCTTCCGGACCCAGTGGGGGTCGCGGCCCAGCTCGAGGAGGCTCAGGTCAACAGGCTTGGGTGGCGGCTGCATGGCCCACCCGCTGTCGAGCGTCAGGCCTCTTTCGAGGCTGATTCTGCTGTTGGTCACGTAGGCTAGCACGTTCTTGCGCGAGCGGGCGGTGAGCCACGGGGCCGCCGCCAGGTTGACGTCGTGTTGGTAGAGGGTGACGTGGACTGTGGACGCGGCCCGGCCGAGCTTCACGTCCTCGATGGTGATGACCGCGGGGCCGATCCCCGTGGGGTTGACGTATTCGAAGTGCGACGAGATGGTGTCTCGCTGCCCGCGGTCTGCGAGGTGGAGCGACACCGCGCGCAGGATCACCGAGGCGACATACCCGCCGTTGGGGACTGTGCGAGCTCCGCGTCAGTTCAGATTTTCGCAACTTGGGAGACGGGCAGTGTCACGCAGTACCGACCTAAGCCTATGCACCAAGCTGATACTAAATTGGCACCGTACGCGCAGGAATCCAGTCTTGTCAACTTTGTTGCCTCGGCTAACGGCACCAGCTCCTGAGACGCCGGAGACGCCATTTCGAAACGGGGGAAGAGACTGTCGCCGTAATGGAACGCTGCTCTGAATCCCAAGTCGCGAATCGGATCGGGATACCGCCTCTTCAATAGTCCAACAGCTCAAGAAATGCTCCGATATAGATCACCAGATTCGGATGCAACGGAAAAAAGGGAGAGAAAAGAAAAAGAGGAGCCGCATGGGATGGATTAAAGCTGTGGCGCTCAACTGCATTGTCTGAGTGCTGGAATCCGGAGAATATCAACTCAAGACACAGGGGACCTAGTCAGATGTATCCACCAAGCCTCAAGAAGCCGCGCTCGGCCCGTGGGAGGCCGGCTCCTTTATAGGTCACGGCCGAGATGTATTCGACGAGTCATTAGGAGACCCCTTCACAACATCAGAGATGCGGTCATCCTATCGGCCGAAGCATGCAAGAGACACTGCTGTCTTTGATCTACCTAGGGAAATCAACTCCAACTCGTCGACCATCACAGTGAATTATCCCAGGGTTCATCTACGTCTCCTCTCCTACGGCCAGATCTTCGTCCGCGAGTAAGCATTTGCCACTGAATAAAGGGACCGAACGTGTACAATCAATGAAGTGTACCTTGGTACGGGTTGGAAACGGGGCCACCTTCCGCTCCCGACGACCGACAGAAGACGCCAGGTTGTCCACCCAACCACCAGCTTTTGTTTGTCTAAAATTCAAATATATAGCTACACTCCAAGCCTAGTCTACAAACCGAGCTGTACGTGGGGACCATTTCCTTCACCCACAAATACGTCTTTAACTCGATACTCATACTTGGCCCCGCCGGGATGGTCGACTCGCATATCAAAGCGACGGACCAGCATAGCAACCGCGAGGGAAAGCTCCATGTACGCAAGCTGCTTTCCGATACACCCCGTCGCACCGGCGCTGAAAGCATTGAAAGCCGTGCTTGATCCACGATAGCTGCTACCATCGTCACCATTGAGCCATCGCTCTGGGCGAAACTCGTAAGGGTCCGAGAAATATATCTCGTTCCGGTGAACCGAGTACGCTGAAACTCCTACGGTGGTTCCGGGGGGCACCCATACGCTGTCGACCTGCTGGCCGTGGGTAAGAATCTCACGAGGGAGATGTCCCGGCGTCGGTGGTGTCAGCCGCAGGCTCTCATCAATGCAGGCTCTGAGATATGGGAGTTGCGCGAGTTTGTTCCCGGGCTCGTAGCGAATTTCTTGGTCTCCCGGGAAGGCGTTTCGCACCTCTTCCTGCAACCTCGCCAGGGTCTCAGGCCGGTTGACCAGATAGTGAATGGTAGCTGCCAGGGCGCCAGATGTCGATTGGGAACCCGCCACCATGAGCAGCACGCTTTCGCAGGCCAGATCCCCAATGCTGTACGCTTGTCCAGTTTCCGGGTCTCTGCCATTAAGTAGGTGGTGAAACATATCCTTATCCAGCACGCTTTTACCTGGTTGGCTTTCTTTCCCTCTTCGCTCTTTTAGGGCGCTGAGACAATAATCACGAAATCGCCTATTGTCTCGGTATGACTGACCTCCGATGTAGGGTCCAAGTCTTGTCTTGAAGAGGAGATAGCGGAGAGGCTGGGTGAGGGGATGATAGCCAATCGTGTACCAGCATCTCGTGGCCTGCGGCACAAGCTGTGTGATGTGCCGGCCCTCGGGTGATTCCAACAATCCGAAGGACTTGGAGAAGCAAATATAGCCAAGGATGTCAAAGATGAGGTATTCACTCCACCTCCCGAGGTCGACTGTCCCTCCGCCGGTGCTGCTGGCTTCCTGCTCGAGCTGGCGCAGCCACGTTCCAACGTTCTTATTGATCAGCGGTTCGTAGTCCTTCAGGGCTTTCTCTGAGAAGGCATATGACAACAGCCGCCGCTTGACACCATGCCTTGGCTTATGCCTGGCAGTTAGCGTGCTCTCAAAGCCTCCAGCTGAGTCGCGAACACATTGGTACCAGTCCGCTTTGATAATGTTGGCCTTGCGAGACTTGTAGATTGAGTCTATCGCAGAGGTGGTGTTGAAAGATAGGCAGTTGGGGGCGAAACGGACGACGGGACCATATTTGGCATGGAGGCCATGAAGCCAGGTATGTCGGTCTCCCTTTGCGGCATGGTACCCATTTGGCCAGGCACTTAATCTAGTGAAGATGTGTCCTGGTTGGGTTGCGAGTGGATGGAGGTACAGCCGATAGACCGCGAGGGTGAGAACCTTGAAAGTTCACTCATCAGCAGGGATTTCCTACAACGTCGCAGTATGATGAGGTAACAGGTGGCACAAGAAGGGATCTCGGCTCAACTCACCGGGAGAACGACCAAGGTGAAAAGTCCAACACAGCAAGCATCGAGGAAGTCCACCTTTGCAAGGGAAAGGTGCACCCACGGCGTGCTCACTGTCATTGTCGGCGTCTGTCAATGGATCGGATGGCCGGGTTGTGCTTGGGGATGACACCAGAGTAGTAGCAAGTAGTTTGCGCCAACCACGGCTCTTGCGGATCACATGAGAGGAGGCTTTCGATCGACGCAGTGCAAAACAGGGCTGGAAGCCGTCTGCGCGGCACTAGGACCAATAAGGTCCACGGGTATTATCACGATTCGTGGCTGCATGTTCAACCATGCGATCCTACGACTCATTGGTGGCTAGGCTATATCCAGATGCCGACATGGCCGATAATTCGAGGTCATAAGGCTTGAAGGGAATTAATGCTGCCGATCTCGTGTACTCCACGAAGTGGAGACATATTCCCCACGTGACTGGAACGTCCTGTGAGTGTGTGTGCACGTGGGTGACTGGGGGCCTCACTGGCTGCCTGCTTAGTCATCCGGTGTTGCCCATTCGCCCATACCCTCTAGGACCTAAACCTTCCCCCTGCGATCCCTTCAAACCTTTCCCCTTACATAGAAGGTAGCGCCGTCTTAATCTGAATTGATGTATTGAGGACAGTTACCTTGTCTCTGTTTCCCCTCTCGTGACACCTCTTAGTCGATCTAAGCGAGGTGGATTAATGGATGAGTTATAATACTAGTAAAGCTGTATGATTATAAACGCAAGGATTCATGAGGTAGAAAACGAGGGTTGAAGAGATATATGTTGCTCTAATGCACCGACCTTACTTTATATAATAGATTTACTATAGACTATAATAAATAATAGGAATACTTAGTTATTAATATTATATTTTAAAGAGTTATTAAATATATAATTATAAGAAACTACTAAATTTAAATTAATTTTTATTTTATTCTATTATTTTATATTAATTTAATTTCTTTTACTTAAATTATTAAAACTATTTAATATTTAAATTAACTTTATTATATCTATTTTAATTATAAGTATTTCTCATTTTAAATTAAATTTAAATTTCTAATAAGAAGCACGATTTACGATAATACTCCTTAGGTTTTAAATTACCTAGGGTGGTAATGATGACCACCACTTATCATGGCATTTTGAATGTAAGAGGTATCGGAAGTTTATTTACCCACTGACGAGTCACCGCAAAAGTTAAATTGAAAGCATAAAAGTTAAAATCGAAAACCAATGCACAATCTTTTTTTTCTTTCGAGCAAAGATCCCCGCAAGTAGAAGCCGATGATCCGGTCACCTAAAAAATCCAACCTAGACCTCACCGCCAGGACACCGAACGAGCAATGGCGCCAATCCCACCGCCTTCCAACTTGCCACAAGGCACCGTCACAGAACCAATCACGGTCCACCGTCTTGAGTCGTACACGAGAACGCCATTCACGACTGTGGTACAGCGCTTCCGTACACTCGTCCCACAAGTTGACCTGAAGGATCTCAGATCTCAGACTAGCGCCGAGGGAATACGGAAAGTTATCGAGTCCACGCTCGAGCAGTTGGATGCAGATTCTTTCGCATACAAAAGGCAATTTGTCTTGTTCTATGAATTGAACCATTCTGGCTGGATCCGCCACTTCCTCCAAGCCGAACCCACTGCGTCCACCTCGCCATCTCGCACCATTGTAGAGTCATCCCATCAAACCCCGAGGGAGACTGATGCGCGTAAGGGAGGGGGTCTAATACGTTTCATCTTCGGCAACCCGCTGATTGCGGCCGAGATCCTAAATAAAGATGCTGAGGCTGGTCTCCATGTGCCGGTTGAGTGTCTGTTCGTTGAGACGGGTGACAACAGCGCTCCGGGAACAAAAATGGTTGTAATGATGCCAGGGGGACTGATCGCTAGAAATAAGACTAATGAGAGTACTGAATTTGAAGGGAAGGCATTGAGTCTCAAGGTGGCCGAGTTGGAAGAGAAAATATTGAGGCTAGTTGAAGAGCTCATGAGATAGCGGTGGCGATTCGACTCAGCGGCTTTATGAGGGGTTGCTTGTTATACGAGACAGATCTGCACTGGCTGCCAGAGGATGCGACTTCCCAACAAAGAACAAGTCAGAGTCAATTCAACCACTTGACCGACATGTTGTGGATCTCAAGTTTGAGTTTGGCCTTCAGAATGCAGATGTTCATTACCTAGGTAGCCTTCTAAGTTGCAACCACCCTAGGGTATCAATTGATTCTAACCGCGTCTCAACACGCATGCGGTGTACCGTATCCAATCATATGGCATCTTCTATCTTGAGCTTCCCACCCGTACCAAACAGACTCGCCTCTCGTTGCTTATACTCGGGTCCTGGACTGATCCCCTTTCTGTACCACAAGGCCCCGTTCTTGACGTTCTCCTTCTCTCCAAGCTCCGCCTCACTCCTCAGCCCAAATCTCACATCTTTCTCCCTGTCCTCCTCCACCCACTGACATTGTGAAAAAGCCAGCTTCAAATCGTCATATCCAAAGGTGCCTTTACCATGGTAGTGGTTGCCTAGTAATGGAATAATAGCCTTGCTCGCGATCGGTGAGTAGTAATGCGGAATCTTGGAAAAGAGATGGTGCGTGACGTGATCGCTGCTGATGTGGTGGAAGAAGTGGGTTCCAATGAACCCAAAGTCTCTGTCGATCGTTGCTGTCGCACCGCGGATGAACGTCCAGGATTCGCTGGTGTATTTCGGTACTGAGGGGTGGGTGTGGTGCAGGTAGGTGATCATCACGATCCAATGGTTGACCCACGTCCACGGCACTATGTAGATCCAGAACACGGCCTCGAAGGAGCCGAGATGGAGATAGAGGTAATAAAGGCCGGATATTGTGGCAAGACAGCCGATGTCGCTCAAAATGATAGACATGACTTCAGAAGACCGGAAAAGCGCACCCCAGGGATCGAAGTGCGAATGGCGCCAAGCGCTCATGTTCTTCTTGATGACGGCGGAGGGAGGGCAAGTGATATTTGAAAGAATGTACCAGTTCCACCCAATCACTTGTTGTAGCAAGATCCTTAGGAACAAAACCACCGGAGCATCCTCACCGACTTCATCGATGAACTCTACCGCGACCCCGATCTTGCGGGCATACTCGTTGCGTTGCGGAGGAACGTAATTGAGATCCTTTTCGATGTGGTTGGCGTAAATGTGGTGTCGGCGATGGGTAGACTTCCAGGAGAAGTACGGTGCAAGGAGAAACGAATGCAGGACGAAGCCGACTGTATCGTTGAGAGTAGATGAGTTGCTGAAGCCGGAGTGGCCAGCATCGTGGGCCAGAACCCAGAGACCTGTCCAGACTATCCCCTGACAGAAGCCATAGATGTTGACGACAAGGTAGTAGAGAGGAGTGGATGAAAGGACCGCGGGAATGCTAAGAAGTTTGTGAAAGGCGATGAGAATGACAGCCGAATAAATCAGGTCCCGTATCAGATAGAAAAAGGACCAGAAAAGGTGGGGGGTGAAGCAATAGTCCGGAATCGCCTCACGAAGCTCTCGAATGCCAGCTTTTTTGTTCACATGCTGTGTCATATTTTCAGCCCACAGTATGCAACTCAAACAGGGTTATCAGTACTCACGCCGCCCTCTACCAGCTGGGATGGGTGAGGCTCATTTTTGGTTTGAAACCCTGTTCTCTCGGTCTCCATTGCGCCTAGTAACAGCTTCGTATCAGTGTGAAAAAATATGTGAAAAGCAACATCCGAGACACTGGTGCCACTGGAGTTCTCGTTATGGGTAATTGCTTCTTTATAGTTGTCGGAACCGCAGATTCAAGTTGTGGTGAGTCTACAGGGTCTTGAAACGTGCTGGGCTTGGATCTTCTCCCATCCTTGCTCCCAGCTACCTAGGTATTCTCCGTCATCGGTATCACCTCTGTTAAGAGATTAATCTCGTCTAATTATTATAATAAACACTGTCTCTATTCGTCATTCTATTATTTAGGATATTTTCCATCATTTTAATGAAAATTATAATTAGGAATAAATTCATTATAGTAAAATACTGAATTTGTTTATTTAAACATAAGTACTGCGCGGCAGAGAGTAATTATGACATGCGACCTGCACCGGGAATATAGTAGGGCTGAAAAAGTCTCAGGACACTTAAAAATTTAAATCTTTATATTTTAGATATACTTTATATATCTAACTTTATAGTAGTTTAAAGTTTATAAGATTGTTTGTAATATAATTTAATATATTTTCTTATAGTTAATAATTTTTAAAGAATTTAAAGTAAATTATTTAAAATATTTATATAAGATTCTAATAGTAATATACTTTTTAATAATAGTATTTTAAATTTAATTAAAAAAGTTTAAGAAATAAATAAAAATAATTATGTTTTTAATATAATAAATATTAATAATTATTATTTATAAATAAAAAAATATTAATAATTACTTTATTAAAAAAACTATAAAGATTAAAAAAGATTTATTTTCTTTTTTTCTTAAAAGTAACTTAAGTTATTAATGTTTAAAACTTTTAATAATTTTTAAATTTTTATTTTTATTATTTTTAAAATTTAATAAAGCTTTAAAATTATTTCTTTTAATATTTATAAAAATATTATAATATACTTTATATATTACTTTTATATATTACTTTTATATATATTAAAAGTTTAAATTTTCCACTAATGTCTAATATATTAAAATACTAAATTAAAATTAGTAACTTTAGGTGTGAAAATAAGAAGTGTCCTAAAACTTTTTCAGCCCTACTGTATAACGAACGTAGCTACTTACTCGCTAACAAGAAAGACTATAGGAGCAGGGTGTATGATTGATAATGACCCGAAGAACCCGAAACAGCCCCGAAGGACTCGGAGTGATCGATCGCCCTTATACCGCAATTTGTATCTACGCCGCTATGGCCCAGTGAAATTTTTAATGTTGAAATATTTTAGTTAGCTAGCGATTTTTAATTTTATTAGGGTAGGTAGGGTGAAAGATTGAAATTTTAGAGGTCTTTATTTAACTTAAAACTAATAAATAATATTAAATAACTTTAAAAATTTCTTATTTAACTTTAATTTAAATTTAAAAAAGTAAAGTTAAGGCTTATATTTATTTAAACTATTAAATTAAACTTAGTATATAAATTTTAATTTCTTTTACTAAAGAGTGTAAAATTAAAATTTCCTTTAAAAGAGAGAGTAGGTTTAACTTTTTACTATCGCTAGCCGCTATAACCGATAAGTAAATATAGTTAGAAATAGTAAATCTTTTATTATACTCTATAATTTTCTTTTATTATATTAATGCGCGATTTAATAGGTTTTAACTATAATTACTAAATGTTTTTATATAATACTTTAATTTAAAACCTATTTTATAAGCATAGAGTTAGAGTAATAGAAATCCCGTTGGATTTAATAGGCTAATTTAGAAAGTAGGTATATTCAGTGTATTTTATACTTAAACCGGGTGGTTGGAATCATGGAGTGGGTCGAGATCTAGGCTGCCCACATGAGATACAAAAAACATTTTTTTTTGGTTTTCTCACCGCCTAGAATAATAGATTCCTGCACGGAAGGCCGCGACTCCACTACTCCGTCATCCTGAATCTAGTATCTGAGCGAGATCTGGGATTTGGGCGAAGAAGCAGCCGAGCTGCTGGCTTCAATCAAGCCGGATGATTCAGGTAGTCGAATGATGCATCCTGAGGTCGCTTATTAATGCCACTCACTTCACTGCATGCCTACCTAACTAGGTAGGTATGCACGAGGGTTCTGACTCGTGCCGGTCAAAACGTGTAGCGCATGCCAAGTCGATGGTCCTCAGAAGGTCCAGGGGAACCTTGCACATCTCCGATACCTAGGTAACACCCACCCTCAGCTCAGCGACACCGCGATTCAGTTCGAAAAAGCGCTGCCCGGCATCCGAAATATAAAATTTTACTCCATGTTGGTATTATCAACTCAACTTGACGCTCTATGAATTCGATTGGCCCTTAATGATATGTAAGTTAGCTGTGTAGTATTGTATGTATAAGTAACGTTGAGTAACTGTTCTAATGTCTGTGAGGGGTGATAAATATTGATTCAAAAGAAAAACCTAGATGTTTGTGCACGTACATATTAACCATCCAGCTTGTTGTATCCACGTGGGATCTGTCCCTGTGTGCTCTTGAACAACGGAAACAATGGACTACCAACATCTCCAAAGAAGCGGACCTCACGACCTGAGTGAATGTCTACTCTTCACGATTCTCATAACCTCTACTGCGGTCATTTATTTGATCCGGAGAGCAGTGAAGCCAAGCAAAACCACATTATATCACAGCGAAAATAGCATCATACTCCAGGGCGATGATGGGGGGCAGAGACCCTTTGCAGACCTTTGCAAATCCATCATATCACCCTGTCATCTCAGCCCACTTCTATTCAACGGCCACCTTCAAACAGCCGGAAACCTGTCTTCTGGCCGCTCCGCCCCAATATCATACAGACGTCATCTTTTCGAACAGGAAGATAACAGATATCCCGGAACTTTTGCTGTCGACTTTGTTGTGGATGACCCAGAATCGCAGCGCCGAGATTTCACGACCGAGGAATTCCAACGCCTCCCTTCGGTCGACTGCAGCCCTCTCCTGATAATCATCCACGGTCTCGCAGGTGGCTCCTCCGAATCCTACATTCTCGACCTCCTCTCATCCCTCACAGGTCGGAATGGCGGCGAGTCTTGCCAAGATTGGAAGGCCTGTGTGCTCATTTCCCGAGGGTGCTCCGGCCACAAGCTCACCAGCAGGCTCTTCTACTCCCCCGCATCGACATACGACCTAAGGCAACTCACATCCTGGCTCCCGCGCATGTTCCCCAACCGCCCCTTGTACGCCATCGGGTTCTCACTAGGTGCCAACATACTCACAAGATACCTCGGTGAACAAGGCGCCTCATGTCCTCTACGCGCCGCCGTCTCGATCTCGAACCCGTTCGACCTTCACACGGGCAATATTCTCCTGCGGCGGTCCTGGATTGGCCGCCTCTACCTCCGCGCGCTTGGCTCATCGCTCAAAACGCTGTTTCTCAAGCACGTCTCCCAGCTCTCGCTCAACAAGTCTATTGATATCGACCAAGTCCGTGGAGCGAAGTATTTACACGAATTTGACAAAGTGGCACAATTGGAAATGTGGGGATACTCAACGGTCGGGTCGTACTATAGAGGTAGCTCAAGCGTTGATTCTATTCGTGATATCAGGGTCCCCTATTTTGCAATTTGTTCTGAAGACGATCCAATTGCTGTCATCGATTCTGTGCCTAAGGAGGAATTTGAGGGCTCAGAGTACGCTGTGCTATGTGCTACGGAGCGAGGTGGTCACATAGGCTGGTTCGAAGTAGGAGGACAGAGATGGGTAGTAAGAACTATAACAGCTTTCTTGCAGGAGATGCGACAAATGTCCCTTTGTTCCTAGTTGAGATAGACAATTACGTTTGCATTGTGTAATACTTTACAGCTTGTCCTGGAATGTTTGCGTACAACCCGCACTTTCTGCCCGTTATTTTGAGTTCTTGAATCTGACAAAAGTGAATCTAACTTTTTTCTGCACATGGCTGTTGCCTGAATAGATCATACCGCAGCAAAGTATGCGGCGCTTTTGCAAAAGTCAATTTAACCAGGCCCTAAATGGGCGCCAGTGACCTTTGATTATCTCTAAGAACGCTGCCTCATATATCATTGCGGTACAAAAATCTGACGAATAATGGATCGCGTGAATGTGTTCTTGAAGTTCCTCTCGCGGAGGCACATCAATAGTTGAAACGGGTGACTCGGCGAGGTGGATCGCTCCCCCTGTCGAAGATCAGCTCGAATGCGTCAACTCTGGCCCACCGATCGCTGCCTCATCACCCATAGCCCCATAGTGATCCCGTAGGAACAAACCCGTGGCCGCTATGTTGGCAGGTTGGTTGGTAGGCCATAGGTAGCGGTAAACCTGCTTGTGCTGCTGCTGCCTGCTGGGTGTGCCCGTGTCTGTGCCTCATCCCCGTAGTCGCTGTCCGGCTTAGAAGCGAAACCACATACGCCGCGTCGTTCTTGTCCGGCGGCCACACTCAGCCCGCGGTTCTCTCCTGCCCCGCGGGGAACCGGTCCTCTGCCGTCTCGCACCTGCAACCCCGCAGCGTCTCGCCGGCACAAACGGGCGACGTGGGCGCGGGCGCAGGAGGAGTCGGTGTCGCCGCAGCTTGGTTTGGCGGCGGCGGGACATTGCTGGATGTCAGCGAGAGGGAGTGGCACCAGGTTGCTGGCGGTAGCGGTGGCGGTGGTCGTGGCGTTGCAACATTGCCGTTCCGGCCGGCATCGTTGTTTTGGGTGCTTTGATACGGAAAGTTGAGAGATTCTGGGTACTTCAAAATCTTACTGATTCATTATGGTAAAAGATCCCGTATCTGGGTGTTCCGGTGGAGACTAATTCCAACGGTAACGAGCCGGCTGTCCTTATGAGGAAAAGTAGATTTCTGCTAATACGCCTCCTTAGTACTAGGGCGAGTACCTGATTGGTGATGTGAATATGGACTCTGAACACACCATGATAATTCTTTGGGGGAAGCTCAGCTGGTTTTGATTGAATTCTGAGAGACCCGATTGAGATGCTCAGTCTCGAGTAAGATTAATGGTTGCCATTTTTTGCCCGGCCACGACACCTATCTGCACACATGGGGACTGCTTAGGCAATGGCCTACAATTTCATATGGACTCCAAGTGTGCTGAGTCCGGCTGGCTGGTCTTCATGGACAAAGGCGAGCTGGACGGAACTAGGAGATGCGCGTGATAGAGTCAGCGACGTGGTTTCCCATATACGCGTCCACATAGACCATGGGCTGATGGAAGAGCTTTTTATGGATGTTTAAGTAATATTCAAATATGGGATATGACAGGGAAGGAATAAATACAATTTGTTTAAATAGTTATCATTGTCAACTTGAACTTGTGCATATTCAAATATTCATTTATCTGTGCTGCCGAACAGGTGTTTGTTCTAATAAACCTTTATTTGTCCTACTAAACATTTTTCTAGTTCTAATAAAACTTCGGGATCTACATTGATGGCTCTACGGATATGTCTCACCGTCCCTTATACGAAACTTCTGTCGCTATCAACCTTGGAAGCTAGGACGCGTCCACAGTAATTGTGCGGTTGAGCTCCAAAGCGTCCATCTGCTCGGAAGTCATGAGGGAGGCCTTGCCTGTCACAGTCGCCTCTTCGCTAGTCCTCTTCACCAGACCCAAGTTCCCGCGCACCAGATCAATTGAGAGGCCGTCAATGACATCATTGGCGATGGCATTGAGACTCTGTGCGTTAGCCGTCATTTTCAGATTGCGTTGCACCATGGCGCCGAGGGTGGCGAGCTCCTCCTCGTTGAGCTTCTCCATCTCCTCGACACGATCTCGTGCCCCCTGGACCTTTTCGAGGATCGCCTGTTCGCTCGTCTTCTTATCCGCTTTCATGGTCTCGAGGGCAAACTCAACACCCTCCGCGGCTTTCTTCTGGATCGACTTGTTCTCCACATCTGTGTCGGCAGTACCTTGAATGACTATGTATTACTGTGTCAGTAGTGATGTTCGGTCTGCCGGCGACTAGTAGTGCATCATGTTGCTTACCAGGCTGGATAAAACTGAACGCCTTGTCGTAGCCTTCATCCTTCTCTTCCCCGATAATGGCAGTGCCTTTCGATCTCAGCTGTCTCAAAATAGTCATGACAACCAGCAAGAACCGCGTGTAACCCTCATTAACCTTGGTAGTGTGCCATTTAGCCGCGCTGAGCTCGCTGCATTGGCCCTTAATAGAAGCCTGGATCGTAGCAGCTGCTGAGAGTCCGGAAGTAAGGGCAAGATGCACACCAGACGAGAAGTAAGGGTCAATGAAGCAGCCTGCATCGCCTGCCAGTCTGAAGTGAGGACCGGCATAAGCACCAGCACTGTAAGACCAGTCACTGGCCTGCTTGATATCAGATGTCATCTCTGCGCCTTGAACCATGTCGTATATCTGCGGCGCCATCTTCAAGTACTCTTTGTAAAACTCAGCACCACTGAGCCCAGTCTCCTTCTTCTTCGCAAAGAAAAGGTCTTGCCGGGCGACAATACCGCATGATAGCGTTCCATTGTGCAAAGGAATGGCCCAGACCCAGCCACTGCCATCTGACAAGGCCTCGAAGAATGGTGAGTTTTCGTTCTTCTCTCCAGGGCTGAAACGCTTCGCACCCTTCCAATAAGTCCAGTTGGCGATGTTCTTCAGGGCTTCGTTAAGCCTCCTGTTCTTGAGGTACTTGGTGGAGATTATACCGTTGCGTCCACTAGCGTCAACGATGTAGTCAAAGCTGATGGTACCGGTAGTACCGTCCTTGCGTGACCAGGTTGCTGACACTGGGCGCCCAGGGTTGGCAAGACGGATCTTCCTGTCAAATCCTTCCTGGTCGTATGGCTCAAAAGCAATTTCTTCAACTTTGGTCTCATCAAAGACTTTGGCGCCACACCTTTCGGCGTATCTAAAAAGCAATTCGTCCGACTCTGATCGAATCACGTTCCATGCATGGCCACCCGGACCGAGGGAAACTGAGAAGTCCGTGTCTGATGTGGAAATTTGCATTAGTGTGATCGTCACGCGGGATAGAAGCGGGACCTGGACACTTACAGGCAGGATTCTTGTCAGTGATCTTAAAAGTGGCTCCAAACTGAACGTCAGTGCTGGTCAGTGATGTTTCCACATTCAGACGCACTCAATGAAGGAGCTAGGGTCAGCAGTACACACCTTCTTCTCGAAACCATGCTTATCAAAGGCTTCCTCAAGCTCAATGAACCTCAGAAAGTATCGCATTGACGCAAGCATGCTTTCTCCAATGTGGTACCTTGATCGCCATGTGTTAGCGACTTGGTACTATCAGTGTCATTCGAGACATCAGTGACGCACCTTGGGAACTTATCGGCCTCGAGAACGACAACGTCAACACCCTCCCTGGCCAGGACACAAGCTGCGTATGAACCTGCCGGGCCACCGCCCACTACAAGAACTGTGGACTTCTGAGGTACAGACATGATGATTATTATTCTATAAAAAAAAAGAGCTGAAAGTTATTGATTGATACGTGATGGGGTTGATGAACTGCTCATTGACGAGTGTGTTGACGATATCTCGAAGACTTCTCCACCGAGATTGATTCTTCTTTATATATTTCTTTTGACAGACGTCGTTGACGTCAGAATTTTATCAAAAATAGCAGCTTGCACTTCTCTTTACTTCGGCGTCGGAGTCGGGAGAATACCTTTACCTTGGTGGGGCAACAGGAGAACACCGGCGTGGTGCTCGGATCACATCTGAATGATTTCCCAAGTCTCTTCCTTGACAGGTTAGCCACTGCTGCTGCGTATCTTGGGGTTATTTTCTTTTTCTGGGATAGTTCATGCGAATATTAAGTTCACAGGTAAGAATTATGTCCGGCTGTCGCCTCAGCAGGTCCAAGCATACGATCTGTGGCGTGAGGGACAGGTCATCTTGTGTTTTTGTTTTGGATCTTCCGTCCTTCTGCGACTGTGCTACTAGTAGTTGGCGGGACTTAGTCTCCTCGATGTCCGAAATTACCAGCTCAACCCATGCCTCCAGTCTGTGTCCTTCCGAGTCTGCTACAAATGCTGCTGTTGTGAACGTCTAGAAACTTGAACGTCCTGTACCCCCGCTCTACATTGATCGAATCAGAATTTAATGACGAATTTCCTATTGGATGCTACTAAGTATCCTAAATTGACATACAGCAGCATCAGCGAAAGTCTTGCCCATGTGAGGTGCAGTATACTCCGTCGACCACGTCTCTCCCAAAGCTCTAAGATGACTGCAACTACACGACAAGAACTGGGGAGCGCCCCGATTGATCTCACTATTCCCATCATACAACCAATAATGCCAATCCGAGTCCAAAAGGTTCAAACTCGTCCCATCTCACGGAGTATCTTCGGTCCGCGGCACACTTTCGGATACGATTCTTGCCTCCCTGTGCTCAAAATGTTTCCACGGTGCGTCTCTATACAGCAGATCCTCAACCGGCATGTGACATGCAGAAGGAATCAAAGTATAATGTACCGTTCATGATTCGTAGTCTTTCAACCTTTATTCTTGTATGCCAAACCTGAGAAACGCAGCAATTGCCCAGGTGGTAACTGCCAGTGAGATGGGTGGCAGTGTGTATTCCACCCGCAACTACTTGGCAGCACTACAGAAATCACGTTGATTCTGAAGACTGACGATGTAGGTGTGTGGCTTGTTGATTCCTACAAACTCGTAGTTGCCTGGCCTCCAAGGCGAGGCGTTGCCTGTGCAGCTGCCTAACTTGAAGTGATTCCCGAGCAGGAGGGCTGGGCCGTGAGAAGGGTTAGGGCTTGCCATTGCCTATTGTGTGGTGGTCCGTGCGCGCTCGGGGGGGTTCCTCCTCCAGGAGGAACTGTTCCCTATCCCGGTCAGTTAGAGTTAACTTCAAATGTTAGCAAATAGACTACACACCACTACCCCCCCCCATTGTTCCTTTTGGTTGCCCGTTTTGGTGCAAACAGCAGCAAGGTTGCTGGTAGCTTCCTTTCTGTCTTCCTTCTGCAAAGATGTCACGAATAATGACACTGTACTATTAGAAGCAAAAGTGACGCCACCTCTTGCCATAAGCACGTAATTAGTTCTTATATCACGATGAATGCACCCTCGGACTGAATACAATTATCTTGACTTAACCTGATCCCCGGAAAATGCGACATGGACTTCAGCCTCGACTTTACTGGGATGCAATGATGCTCTTAGAGTTTACGGCCCGGAGTCTGATCTGCAGTGACCTGGCGTCGTGGTGAACCAGGCTCATCTAGAACGCTGCGTCGCAGCATCAAAAAGTGGACTGGACTTATCAGGTGACAATTTGTTTCACTTTATGACTCTAGCGGCGAATTTGTAATTCGGTCGTCTAAGCAACCTTCGCCCCAAACAATTTCTCGACACTATGTCCAACACACCCATGTCCGTATATGTACAATGAGAATTTGGATTCCATTTTCCTTCGACTTGATGATCAGCCTAGATCTTATCCACAGCCAGGCACTCGTCGCTCAGGCTCGCATCGCATTGAGGGCACCATCCGTAGCAGTTGTCCTGTAGCATACGTTAGCTTGGGAAGTGTCTTGGACTTGGGGAGCTGGCCACGGGGACGCCTAATTGGCCGCACCCGTGGACTCTCCTGGGGGTGCGACAGCTAATTTTAAACCGAACATCAATTGATCTGATTTCAACGTACATTTGCAGTTCCACCCGCCTTGCAGCTCTCCACACAAGACTTGTCGAAGCCAGGAACATAGGGGCTGTCCTCGGGCAGCGCGGCGGAGGCGACCATGGCGACAAAGGATGCCGCGGCGAAGATGTTGCGCAGATACATGTTGTGTTTTAGTTGTGGGAGTTTTGGTGTTTAGGCTCGCCCTAAAATTTCTGTATCGAATTTGTAGAATAGAAGACTGGTGAAAGTATGGAGTGTGAGCTGGATAACAATTGGTGACTTATGTTGATCATTTATATAGCTTTGAAAAGATGCCACGTGAGGTACTCACAGCGGAGCATACACGCCCTGACTCGGACGAACGCATGCAGATCTCCCAGGTTCAGGCACAAGCTGTCTGAAACGTCACGCTTTCAATAAACATGGAACGTCAGGGCATGAGTAAGGCTGAGCAGTTAATCTCGCGCTCCCCTCAGCCTAGATACAAAAGGGGCAAGTTGCCGACTCCCGCCCGCCAAGCAAGCTTCAACTAGCTGTAGCTCCCAAACGACCGCCCGCAATTGAGTTTTAGCTACTGATCGGAAAGGTGTATATAGCCGCGCGCTCTGTGTATTTGGAAGCATAGTACCTTGTCCGGGCAGGACATCATCGTCGTAGAATGAGGTAGATTGATGCGACTGGTATTTGATCCGCCAAGAATTCCTGACTCACATGATCTGCGAATGCGTTCGTCAATTGGTAAACCCCAATCACAGACATATTACCTATCCCAATTGTCCCAGGCATCAGAGCTTGCCCCGATCCCCAGTAGGGAGACATCTGCTTGCAGCGGCGGATCCTGTCCACCCCCTCCCCATTACCTAGAACTCTCCAACGTACCAACTTCCCTAGTGTTAATATGTAGTAATTCCCAGGTCTTACTGACTAGTATTAGTAGAAGTACTTATAGATCTCTTTATTAGGGTCTTCAGGGCTAGTTTTCCACTGTTATTGACACACTGTATATTTTAAAATGGGTGTTGGGCGCTCACCACTGCATGAAGGCTTCATGTATGTCCTCGGACGTATGCGGAATAGAAGTGAAGCTAGATATCACTTACTGTCAGGTAGAAGCACTTGAGCCAACGGAGTGGATCGAAAAATTGGAAAATTTGAAACACTCGATCATCAACCTGCAGGCCTTCAGGAAGCAAATGTCCTCGCACTAGGAATTCCACATAATTGTGCCAAAGTCGTAAGGTCTTAAGGTAGCAGTAGTCACCATACAAACCCCGACAAGGAACGAAAAATGTTTTATTTAACTAGGCGAGTACGGTACAGGAACTGTCCTCCGCGTCGAAGAGACCCATCCATCCCATGTCTAAGGTATGCATTGTTCATTTTAGAGACTCCCGTGCGATTGATAATAAGAGGCTTGCAGTATCTTCTTAGCTCGAGGTAAGAGAACTCTGGATAGTTGATGAGACCTTCCAACATATTGATAACTCCAAGTATGAGGAGGGCTTCAGCGATGGAATGAGATAGCACCCCTTTGGGTTAAATGACGAGCGCCGGTCTATCAATACCCCAAAAATAAGCAGGAATCTGAATTCTTCATCGATATGTTGGTGATAGGCAACAAGGCGTTTTTGTGACATGCAAAACCAGCTACCTACGTGCTGCGCATTGGCTAGCCTGTCTTGTGACGAATTCCGGTTTCTGGGCATGATCACGAAGTTCGAGATACTCAGAATTCGTCCTAGAGAGGATGCCCGATTACATCAAGACCTAGGTGGCTCTCGAAATTCTCAATGTCGGGTACGGCCCATTCAGATAAAACCAAAGTTCATTTTACCGAGGAATGATTACATTGGACACCGACTCTTACAGGTGGGATATTGATAGGCAGCGAGCGTCTTGGCCACCTGTGCACAGAATACGCCGCCAGTCCCATACCAGTAGGACTGGTTCCCTACACCCTGAAAGTACTGAACAGGGTACACGGCGCTAAGACGCTGTTGACTCCGACTTGGCGGAGAAGGCGTGACAATTGCTGAAATTTGGCACACGCAAGCTGAAAAGATAAAAGACAGACAGCCGTTTTCGTTGTACCGCCACTGAAGATTGGACACGATTTCGGAGCTCATTGAAAGACGAGAAAGTCGAATTGAGGGGGTTTGTAGTTGTTATTAAGAACGGAAATTCGCGTACTCAAAATCGGAAGGCGCGCACCTATCTGCTAACTAAGAAGTACTCTATATAAAGACTTCTTCTATGAAAGGGTTAGCTAAGGTGAAGGGGGTAAGCTCTAGAGTGTAAAGTATAGTAGAGAGCTATAAGTAGAGCTAATAGATATAACTTATAATTTTATTTTTAATTCCTATATATATAAAATATATATAGCACCTTTATATAATAATAAATATTTAAGACTTAATATTTAAAGAAATATAATATTAATAAGGCTTTAACTATATTATATTTTTCTTTTATACTATATAATTATTTATTTCTTTTCTAATTTAAAGCTTATATATAAAGTCTTTAATAGCTTTATATATATCTTTATAATCCTTTTAAAAAGGAGAACGGAAATTTACACACCTAGAATTGGAAGGTGTATACTTATCTGCTAATTAAGAGATACTTTATATAAAGATTTCTTTTATAAAAGGGCTGGCTAGGGTGAAGGGGGTGAGTTTTAGAGTGTGAAGTATAGTGGAGGGCTATAAGTAGGGTTGGTAGGTATAATTTAAGTTCTTAAAGGATTAATTCGCTTTATTTATAGTTTTAAATAACAAAGAGGACTTGTTTATTAAAGTTATAAGGACTTTAAGATTCTATTCTTTGATTGGTTGAATAGTAGGGAGGGTGTGTGCCTTTTAATTTTAGGTATATAAATTTCCGTTCTCTTAAAAAGGAACTTTAAATCTATTCTTTCCTTTATTTTTATTATATTTTTTTATATTATTAAAGAGTTAATAATTATTAATAATAAAAGTATAGACTTTAAAGAGAATAAATTTATTATACTTTTTTTTTATTTTTTTATAAATTACTTTTAAGACTCTTTTTAAGAGTTTTAATATTTTATTATAAAAGTTTTAAAGGTAATATATTATAAATTATTTCTTTATTTTAAGTTTTTAAAGTTAATTATATATTTAAATAAAAGTTATAATATTTATTTAATAAAAGTTTTATTATAAAGTATATATATATATATATATATATATTTAAAAGGATAATTTTAATTAAACTTCTTTTAATATAATTTATTTATATAGCGACTATTTTTAAATTTAATTTTATTATATAACTTTTATAATAATTAAATTATAGGTTACTTCTATTTATAATTTTAATTAATATTATTATTAAAATAATACTCTTTAACTTTATTTATATATTATAAAGTTAAGGTTATAAGTATTTATTATATTATAACTATTATTATTAATATTATATTCTTTTAAGTGTTAAGTTTTAAATACTTATTATTATATAAAGGTACTATATATATTTTTAAATATATATAAAATAAAAGTAAAACTATATAATATTAATAATAATAAAAACATAATTTATAAATATATAATTAAACTTTATATTATATTAATAAAATTAAAAATATTATTTTTAATAATATTATATTAAAAGTTAGTAAAATGGTTATATAATAAAATTAAAATAATTTTAAAATAACTTTTATAAAAGAATTTCATAATATAAAATTTAATAAATTAACTTTTTTATTAATATAATTATTATATAACTATTTAAATTTATTTTTATTAAATAAATTATAAATATTATAATCTTTATTTTAAATATATAATTATTAATTCCTTTTAAATATAAAGTTAAAAACTTATAATTATAATTTTCTAACTAATTTTTATTTAATTATTTTATTATATTATAATTTAATTTAGTTTTGATTTTAATTAAATATCTCTTTAAACTTATTTAATATTTTCTTCTTTAAATAAATTAAATTTAAACTAGAACCCTTAAGTTTAAGTTTAAAATTCTTATAGATCTTAATTTATTTTAAATTAAACTTATAATCTTTTAACTTCTTTAAAAATATATTAATTATTTTAAATAATAATAACTTTTTTTTAAAATAGAGATCTACTTTTATATAATTATAAATCTAATTATTAATAGTTATTTTTTTTATAAATCTATTAGAACTATAAACTTAGATATAATATATAATAATAGAGTATAGTTACCTTACCTAATTATATCTTAGTTTAGTGGTATAATAGGTTGAGCGACTGCTTTTAAGTGGTCTTATTTATAACGTAGTAAAGTGAATGGATAGGTGTTTACTTATAGAGTAGAGCTAAAACTCTAATTAGAGGAATAGTAGCTTTATCTTCACCTATTTTAGCTAACTTATACTTAAGTTATATAGCAACCTTATATATAGTGCTTAACGGCGTTAAAACTAACCTATAATCCACAATAACTTCAACTTTTAATAGACTAATAGCACTAACCTAAACTAGTATAGTTTAGTGTATTAATATAGGAAGGTATCTTCTAATAATAGATAGTATTATAGATAATTATAAAGTTATTATAAAAAGTTTTATATAATAAACTTAGTTAAGTTAATCTTTAAAAGATATATTATATTTTATCTTTTTAAGATTTTAATTATTTATTTTAACTTAATAGTAAAATTAAAAAATAAATAGTTTATATAATTATTAATAGAATAATAATATTATAATAATAAACTTATTTAAGAAAGTTTTTTATATAAATTTTATAAAAGATTAAAACTTTTTAAAAATTAAATAAAGTTTATTTATTATATATTAAATAAATATTATATAAGGAAAGTAGAAGTCTAAGTATTTAAAAATTAAATCTTTCTTCTTTAAATATATTACTTTATTATTAAAGATTTATTTACTTTTATATAATATATAAAGAATATAATAAAAGAGAGCTTTATAAAGAAAGTTAGTAATTCTATATATAGATAAATTTAAAGGTATATATTAAATAATTATTAACTTTATATTTAAAGTATAAATTAATAGTTAATTTAAAAGCTAAAAAAATAATAAATATAATATAATTAAAGCCTAAATATAATTTAAGTTCTTAAAGAACTAACTCACTCTATTTATAATCTTAAATTATAAAGAGAACTTATTTATTAAAGTCTTAAAGACTTTAAGATTCTATGAAATCCTGTACTCTAATTGGCTAAATAGCAGGGAGGGTGTGCACCTTCTAATTTTGGGTGTGCGAATTTCCGTTCTCTTAATACTGTACCACCAGGTGTCACACAGCCTAACTATTGTGCACCTGGGCAGTTTCTGAATGTGCCAAGATTGGTGCACCTCGGCACTGAAGGTCGCATCGATATGCCAATACTGAAGGTCCGGCTGTTGGGATGCACGAATTATGATGGCCCAGTGCGGTGGCATCGGGTAGATTTCTTAGCCTTATGTCTCGGTGCTCAGCACTTGAGGCAATACATACACCAAGCCCGCATTGCAAGTTCGGTTCGGATTCATAGAGTGGACGTGCAAACCCGCAAGGCGCTTGCGCACAGAAACTGGGGCCAAGGCAGTCCTGCCAGATCCATCTCGCCCGGATGCTGTGCTACTAGTCCACTCGGTTAGTTTCGAGCCCCGGCTCGTAATCCACCGCGGCGCTCCACCGCGTGCACTAAGATGAGGCATCGATGTGTGGCAAGGGTTGAGAACTGCGAGGCCAGGCCAAAAAATGAGCACGGGCGGGTTTGAAGGGAGGCTGTTCGAGGCAGGTGCGGTATTGAAGCATGTGGCCCCGGTCTGGGGGTGAGGGCATCGTGACGAAGCCGAAGCAGGCCTCCCAAATGACTGGTTCACTCGTACGAGTGAATCTAAGCGTGATTGGGATCACTGACCCCTCAATGCATGGATCTGCACAGCTGTTGATCATGACGAATGCTACACAGTAGCTCCAAGTACGTATGCAGCCTGGGCGAGCCGCCTCGGTTGGAGTCTTACTAACTAACGCACACCAATGAGGCTTGGGTCTGACAAGCTTCGAAACAATGCCCTTGGTTTGTGATGGGATTTGCCTGCATCGTAATTTGTGCTGCCCGCACAGTAGCGATTAAACAATCTTACTGGGGGAACCCCCAGCTTCTTAAGATTTGTTCGCAAGGGTCGGGTTTACATAAGGCGTTGTGCTTGTTCATCTGCGGGTGTGACGACGGTACACTGTGCATTGTGGAGCATCCTTAACCAACATTGATAACGGCCATGTGGCACACCGTATCTTGACTCTTCCTGGACGGTGAAGCGAGAGTGGCCTGCGGGCCCCTGAACTCAGCCTGCCAGGTACATGCAGATCACTCCACCGAGCGACGATAGTTGGCATATTCTTGGCCAGATTCCCTCTGGATAATTCTGCCACGTTTCTGTCACCCGAACACCGCTCTTCCACATTGGACGTACCGTGTGCAAATATGGCCCGCGCCAAACTCGCTTGCTTTTCGCTACCCAGGTAGCCTATCGGTCCGTCGCGCCACTGGCAGTCTTGCGGTACCCTTGCCAAGCAGCCGTGGATCCCTCTCGGCCGCTCTCGACCAACGGATGGCCTGTGTCGTTCAGGGTAGCTGGGGTCGGAGTGCCGATTTGCTGGATCTCCCTGTCCCTGGTGACATGGGCCCGTTGGTCCACCAATGCAAGATTTGAGCAACGCCGGGTCCGGAAAGGGGAGAGGGCGTCTAAAAGCCCGATGGCAGCCAGTTCTGGGCCCTGCCGCTGCTGTCGTGTTCCTCTCTCCATGTTTTGCTGCTTTCCGGGGTCATTTTCAGTGTGAATGTTCAGTTGAGCATTTTCGCTCTTTACCAGGACGTATCGGTCGTCAAAGCCCAGTCTCTCATTCTGTATATCCAGATCTTTTAGCATATTTTCTTTCTTTTATTATCTTCATTTTTACTTCTTCGCCATCGACATGGCTCCATCTTCGTTCAAGAAGCTCGGGGCAGCCCTCGCTTTCGCTTCCGCGGGGAGGGTTGCCGCCCACTCTCCCGACCTCCTGGGGAGTGTTGTTGATGCCATATTCGGCGAGGCCCCAACGCCGACGCATACCCATACAACGAGCTACGTTACCGCAACCTCGACCGGCGTCAACGAAGCCGGCGAGACTACCGTCGTTGTCGTCGTCGACACGACTATCTGCCCCGTTACGGCCGCCGAGGCCTCCGAGACTTCTACCCTTATTTCCGAGACCAGCCCCGTTCCAGTGCCGGCCACGGCGACGTCTGCGACGGCCGCTGTGGCTGTCACACCTTCGGCTTCGGGCTCCGCCATCATCAGCACCTCGCTGCTGCGGAACGCTTCCGTGCCCATGACCACCAGCACAATTTTTACGTCCCTCACATCTACCATCTCCTCTTGTCCTACCGCCGCATCCGACTGCACCGTCGGAGATGTCACCACTGTCGTCGTTGCCGTATCAACGACCGTCTGCCCTGTCACCGCAACCGAGGGCGCATCCAAATCTACCGGTACCGTCAGGCCCACCGGCCCCGGTAATGTACCCGGCTTCGGCACCTCGAGGACCGGCGCGCAGGGAGCCACCACCCTGACGACCGCGACGTCCCGCTCGTCGTCGTCGGTCGTATCCTCCTCGTCCTCCTCCATCGTCCGCGCCCAGACCACTATCACCAGCACGCCAAGCGTCGTCGTGACGACCGTCTCCGCGTCATCCACCAGCACCTCCGAGTCCGATGAATCAACCGGGACGGTCCTGGAGATGGCCACGGGCTCGCCGTCGGACTACTCGGCTTTCTACACGGACGCGACCGAGACGGTAGCCGTGCCCTCCGCCGCCATGACGCCAACGACCACCAACTACAACGACGCGCTCATGAGCCTCGCCAGCTCGGTTGAGGCTTCCTCGGCCGAGGAGACGAAGGCGGGTGGCAGCGACTGCCAGGGCATGGATTGCATCGTCGTCCAGTCCAACTCCGGGGTCAAGAGCGGCATTAACGCCAGCGGGTTTGCGCTGGTCGCGCTTGCTGGCGCGCTCTTCTTGCTTTAGAGAGGGAGCTTTGTGTCAGCATTTTTGGTCCAGCTTATGTGGACCAGAGCTGAAACTCTCGTGAATTACGAGAGGGGTTAGATAAAAGTCAGAGTACACACAACTCTAGCGACAAATTTCTTTGTATATATATAAACACCATAATAGCCACGCGATGGTACGAAATAAATTATTTGAAATCCGTGACAGAAACTTGCTGCGTGCATGATTCTTCCTATATATCTAAACATGCCGCGTGGCGGTTGGTTTCTTCCCAAATATCCCAGGAAGCGATATTAGTACCGGGACCTCAAGTACTAGTAGGTATTGGAATACCTAACTGGTACCCCAGGGTAGTGACGCACAGCAGTTTGATCGGTGCTTTTTCTCAGACAACCCGGAAATTGAGCAGCACTGTTGTCCAATGGCGGTATCTGAAAATGTTCCAAATGTAACCAAGACAGATTCCACACAAAGCAGCTCTCCCAATCGCTTCCAACACACTTATTAGAAGCCTAGGACTTGCCTTCGGTCCTACTCTCACACTCCCGAAGACTTCGATCCGACCGCAAGACTCTCGACATTTTAATATGGCGCGGAGACCCGTGTCAAGAGGTACCGGAAACTGCGGCGAGAATATGGAGCGCGTCTTCGATCAAGCCGCCGACCTGATAGCGTCTTCTCTAGCATGCGACTGCGGGCCAGGCGCCGCGAGGAAAATCTACAAGATATCATTGAGATGATGAAGAACATTCTTCCCACCCGGCAGCGGGTGGGAGCTTGCCGTTCCCTGCCGCTATGTGATGGAACCGGCCTCGAGGATGACCTGAAGAACAAGAACTTGGACTCAACATTGGCTAGACTCGAATGTGATTACAGGGTGCTTCATGAGAAGGTGAAAGCATCGCCATGCGACTGTGTTGACAGATACGCCCATACATAGTCACTATTCCGATGACTCGGCATCCTTGGCAAGTTAACCTCTGACAGGTACAATGCTAGCTAGCCTAAACACAGAGCGAATATTATTACCCATGGACTGTTTGTATTTTTCAAGTTCCTTTATTAAATTAGAAACCACAGTTAGTATCACGGACCTACAATAGTATATTCTAGAGACACATGTGCAGTGTTGTTAGTGTGGTACTAGTGGAGTTTCAACCTGTATCCCTTGGAAGTTCTAGGTATAAGATGTCGCCATTAAGCGCTGAACCACTGTGCTACATGTCTAACGTGAATTTAATCTCCTGTAAACTACTTACTTAGTACAGAAGCCAGGGTGAAAATCAGTTGCTATGTTTTTTCTTTGGCGTGCTCATTGAAACATGGTATTATTCGCCATAATTAACGAGCGTGGCCGATTCAGCATGCAGAATCAGAGGCAGCCAATGAAGGGCAAGGACGACGACAATTCCGTCTTAGTGCTCTGGACGAATGTAGACTAGAAGGCTGGCCTGGACTGCGGGTCAGGTGGCAACATTTCTGCTTCCCGACATTAGATACTAGTCCCGGGTTCCGTTTCTGCTTACCCTCTGCCAGGCGTAGGGGGCAACCGAAAGCCTGAGCCGGGGTAACTGGGTAGATGACCTGAGCCGATTCATCAAAATCCTCCGACTGCGAACTCCGATTGCGAATTCCGACGTCTAAAACCTGTTTTGTTGGGGTCTCTGAAGCGACACGTATAAACGTATTCCAAAGGCAAGCGTAGACCCAAGGTTAGGTACGCCTACAAAAATCAGAGACATCACTCAACATCACGTCCCGAGCCGGCAAATACGACCTGGACAGGGAACTGAGACAGTCTCTACCCCGCCGCACTCACAATCCTCCGTTCCAGCGCCGCCACCCCCGCATTTCACCCAAAAGCCAAGCACGACCATGGCTACCCCAGCACCGTTCACCCTCGTCCGCGCCACCGAGGCCGACATGCCGGAAGTGATCAGGCTCTGCTGGCTGTCCTTCCCACAGGTCGTCCGGGACCTTCTGATGGGGACCCCGACCGAGGCCGACCTGCCGCGGTCCGTGGCGCAATACCAGGAGGAGCTCCGCTCGGACCCGTACGCCGTTTGGGTCAAGGTCATCGACAACGCCACTGGCCGGGTCGCGGCCGCCAGCCACTGGAGGATCTTCCCGGGGGCCTCGGCGCCTGCGGGGGCCGACGAGGATACGCCGCCCCCCTGGCTGGACGATGAGAGCCGCGTAAAGGCGCAGGGGATCCTGGATGAGATGACTGAGGCAAGGGTCAAGGCTAATCCCGAGGGATATGTTCGTGAGTGGTTTCCGTGCGGCATTGGCTCTTTAAGACATCTGCTGACTGTTGCAATCAGACCTACACATCTTGTTCACGGATTCGGACTTTCGTCGGCAGGGGGCAGGTGATATGATGTTGAAATGGGGCACCGACATTGCGGATGTCCTTGGGGTTGCCGGATGGGTAGAGGCTTCTAAGGACGGCACCATGCTGTATGAGCGCCATGGCTTCAAGGTCGTCGCCTACCAGTCAAGTGGAGGAACCTTCATGAGAAGAGAGCCCATTACACTGACAAGAACTGGTGGTCGCGCGAAGAGACCATGATCTATCGCACCAGTGTGTGGCTATTCATATCCTAAATCTTTTATTTGCATGTGGTTGAATGCTAGCGAAGTGTAGATATACCGAACATGTTATTTCAGGTAGTTCTCGAGTAAGCGATTGCTCTGACTTATTAAAGAGTGTGTCACAGAACTCTTATCGCTGACTGCCCTACGGTTTGTATAATTCTGGACAAATATATGGCACCAATATCCCATGATCCGCCTACTGTCAGATAGACCGTGTGTAAAGCACAGGACGGTATACCGCAAAACCTATCTTTATCGCGGGCAAGGCCCATTGTCAAGTGTGCTTACAGAATAAGAAACCTGCCAGTGTGTTTTAAACAGGAAGCAGGATACTTGAGTGTTCATATAACCTTATAGCTCATTTTGGATACTGACGCAACTTTTGTGACGATTCATTTGATGTCAAACCATTAAAATTTATATGCTTTCACTTAAAGTTAATTAAAGTCTTTACGATTAAGGAAGAAAAGGGGGCAGGTTAGTCGTCTAGGCTCACGCCGTGCCCAGTAGCCCGACTCACAGCCCTCCGCTACGCTTTGGGGCTCGCCCCCTTTACCCTGCCGGCCTTGAAGTTTCTTTTTCTTTCAAGATTTTAATGGAATTAGAAGACGGGACTTGATTTTAGTACGCCCGATTTGTCTAAGTATCCATGGATCCAACACAAGTTGTACAAATATCCTTCGTCTTGAACAACGACAGTCTCGTTCCATGCCCCGCAGCTACATTGATACCCCATCTGCCCTTGACCGTTCCACAAGGATGTCTCCTCAACTGCTGTGACTCTTGGTAGGCTTTCCACTTACCCGATACGTTAAATGATCGCTCCAAACATGGGACAGCACTGCCTGTAGCAAGGGCAAAGTCCCAAACACCATACTTGTGACGGGGAGGCTTAAAATGTCGAGAATACTTCCCAGGCTCCAGCGCCCTCCAATTGTTGAATTATATGCGAACTCGTGTAACCCCGCCTGACGCATCTCCCAATGCTTGGTCTGGACACAAACCTTCTGAAAATCTGCGTAAGCAGTGGTGAGGCAGATGGCCATGAGTATACCGTTTACAGTCCTTGCGTATTCTGTAAGCTTGAGAACCACCCCTAGATACGGACTGGTATTGTAGGAGTTTAGGTTTGAAGAGTAGTAGCTGGAAGCGAGGAGGATGCATGAGATGTGCAGAGGCAAGATGTGAGCCTCGAACAGGCGCAGGAAGAGCACTGCGTTCCTGAGCCATGCAAGCCGACGTTTGCTGGCACGAGCTTTGGCTTTCCCAACGCCGAGACTGCTACGAGTCTTAGTGTCGTCTTTCTTGAAGTTGTGAGCAGCAATTTCATTGCCAGCGCTGGACGACGAGGCCATCTGGTGCCAGCTGGCCACTGCGTATCCTGAGTCCAGGCATCCCCACATGTGACGAAGGCCTTGAAAATAGCGAGCCTTGTGATCCCCAACCCAGCCGGACCAGCCAGTTGCCCCACTAGTAACGTTGGACATACTCGCAGGACTTGGGATGGATTCAATATTAAGACGGCCGTTTGTCGCGAAGTAGCACTTGAGCATCATGTGCATGTCTTCACCGATGGCACCTGGTCCAGTATCCCAGCCGCCGACGGCGGACACGAGGCTGAGCGGTAGCGTGTAAACCGAGGTGGGGAAGACTACGCCGCGAAAGTCGTCTGGATGTTTGAAGCACGACAACCCAGAACAGGACCACCCCATATCAGCGGCGCGGACAAGTCTCGGCACGAGATGTGCATTTCTGTCGAATACGATAGGTGCGCAGTATAGTGTCATGGCTTCCAGACCCGACTCCTGACGCAAAGCATGGTGACGCTGTCGAATAAGCGAATAATATGTTCCAAGGAGGTGAGTGTCACCTTCACACTTGTTAGCATCAAGTTCCAAAAGCCTCCATGGGGAAACGCTACTCACTATCCATGACTGTAACCAGCACATCTCGGAAGCCCTGTCGGCCCAGGTATTTCCTCTCTACCTCTGTCGCTGTCCAGCCCACATTTGCGCTCTTGCCAAGGCTCTCAGCAGGTATATCTGAGGGGTGCAAGCAGTACTGGATATCTAGGAACGATGGACGGAACTTGGAGATCAGTGCTTCAGAGACCTTAACAGCACTAGGGTCTCTTTCTTCCATGGCCAAGAAAATCTGTGTCGAGTCAATGACCAAGTCTTGATCCTCTGAATAGCACGCAAGTGTCTGCTTACATCATAGGTGGTCTTTGCAAGTGGATGGCTTGCAAGAATTCGGAGTGTGTCCTGCAAAGTCTGGATTGATTCTTTGTATGACGGAATTATAGTGACATGAATCAGGTCGGCCGAAGATGGCTGGTGACTCGGTGGATCTTCATCTCGGCCTGTCTCTTGCTGAGATGCTTGAAGTGTTGCACGTATCTGCTGTGTGGCTAGTCTTGCCCCACGGAAGATACGCAAGGGCATAGCGAAGATAACGAGATGAACAAAGAGTGTGTAGAGGATGAAAAAGCTTTCTGAAAAGGTGAGAAGGAATATAACCATCAGTGAAGACACCCCAGGCGTACAACGCTGCAGCCAAGGCCCCAATGCCATGGCAGCAGAGTCCGGGACGATGAGCTATTTAGAGGACTGGCATCAACACAGTGCAGATTATTATAGACGCGTTATAGCGTTATCAGAAATCCAAGGATCGGCCAAAATGTGAATATTCAAGAGCACGTTGGACGCAAAGGGTGCAATTCTCGAGATGCAGCGATGATCCGGGGCATAGGCAAGGAGCAAAACAAGCTCCAGGGCTATGAGGTGCGGTCGAGTCGGTGTACCGACAAAGGTTCCGTGCCGATGCCGAGAGCTTACCTAAGCCAAAAACCCCTGCTGCTGTCTGAGGAAAACGAAGCAATGCCTCCCCTGGTTTTGTTTAATAGTACACGTGCTACCAGAATCTACAATAGAGACACAAAGTAGCAGGAGCTTGTTTTTAGAAGATGGCGTTTTTAGTATTCAGATGAAAAAGACTGTAATTAGACAGGAACCATCAAATTTATAGCCTGCTTGATACGCCCAGGGGGTGTTTTCTTTCCTCCAAATTCTGGTGGTACGTGGCCGGGGGCGGGGGGGGGGGGTATTCCTCGGACAGTGCAATACTAATAATCGCTCGTAATGGTGTTATTGTAGATGAGGCAACATTGAAAGAAGAAGGTCCGGAAAAGGACAAATTTGATTTCACGTTCAATGGCAATCGCTTTTACCTCGCATATCATTTTTGTCAGCTCCTGCCTCCAATTCAAGTGATATCTGCCGATTATGCCACCAATATTTTCCCTCCAGCTCAACAGAAAGATACGAAACTATTACTTGATTACTTGTGTCTTCTCGCCGCCTTCACTATGTTCTCGCTACGTCATACTGCTCATATCAGACGCGGACTTCTTGATAATGAAAGTTTTGTGGTCGCAATCCGGAGTATGTTCGTGCTCATTCATAGGGAGACATTCGGCGACATTGTTCTTGTGCTTTAGGCAGGGCAGCTCTCGCCCACCATGGTTGTTCCTAGGGCAGTATTTGTCATCATTCAGTAGACGCCACAGGAGAGATTCGTGAAGCACTGCGTCCTTTGGGATGTCGCGCGTGTTGCCCTTGTTAAGCGGGAAACGGACGTTCTCCCATCCATGGAGCTCCAGTTCCCAGCGCTTGATGATTGGTAACCATTCTAGTGGAGGCAAGTCAGGACAACGACGTTGAAAATAGTCGAAGAGGGGGCAGGTATATAAAATCTTACCCATAAACTTCCACAACATCACCTTGAAGAGGCTTGTTCCCTTCCCCAGGGCAAGCGAGTCATGAATGGCCCCTTTCATCGCCTTGTGCTTCTTCTTGGTGAAGTGCTCTTTGAAATGATGCACAGTGGGGCGCCACTTGAGTGCCGCTGAAGGGTCCTGCTCCCCGACTAGCTCGATCTCGCGGATCATCCAGGCAAGCGGGACGTCGCTGAGCTGGAGACGATCGGCACCAAGGGCCTTGCCTGGCCCCTTGTCTTGACGTGTCCACCAGAAATGCTTGATGCGCTGCCAGAAGGTCATTTCCGTTTCCTTGCCGTTGTCGAACGCGTTGTCCTTGGATGCGGGCCAACCGCCACCGACATCGCCGTGGCATCCTGGGAACCACACCTCTTTGATGTCTTCGTGGTTATGTTCGGCGTCTTCCTTGTCCTGGGCAAGGAGAGCGGCCTTGAACTTGACACGACGCTCGTCAATGGCCACGGCGTGGCGGACGTGGTTTGCCGTGCCGACAACCGGCTGTGGAACTGGCGCTTCACGCTCGAGGACAGCGACAGAGTTGACGCAATCCCAGATGCCTAGGAAGAACACCTTGATGTTGGCCTCTTCCAACTTACCACAGTGCATCACCCTCTCCTTGCGGCAGAAGGTATCGCTGAAAGCGGCTATCTCGTCGCGAGCAACCTCAAACTTGTGACCGTGGTAGACCGGATCTTCACACGCGCCATCTTCGTGGCCGTCGTGAGGAGGTTCGGGATCCACTTCTATCAACGATGTGTCCGGCGGAGGGGCGGCATCTTTTTTGTCCTTGTTCTTCTTTCTCTTCGACTTTTTGGGATGAGCCACGTTGAAGTCCTCAACTTCACCAGCAAGATATTTCTGGTACAGTTTGTATGCGAAGGGGACCATCTCCTCTTGGCCTTTGCACAGTAGTCCTACAGTGTTCACCATGCGCGCGAGGAACTTGGCAGTGAAAGCACCGCGGCTGAATCCGAACATGTAGATCTTGTCACCCTGCGAACAATCAGGTCAGCGAAAGGGAACCCTGGTAGGGATGGGTGGGCTTACAGAGTCATAGTACCGCATCAAGAACCGATATCCTGCCATCACGTGGCTGTCGAAGGTTGTGCCAATTGCCTGATCAATAGTCTGGGAGATGTAACTCTTGATCTCACCAAAAACGCTCTTATTGACAGACTCATCATTGATATCGTATGTGCCGATACCAGCTGAAAGTCATCTTAGTCATGAGTTGAGCCACTACGACGCAGGACAGTGCACTGACTTTGGTAATAGTGGTACTGGGTAGGATCATTGCGATCAAGTTTGCTGAGGATTTTGACAACATTGGTGTCAGAGTTTGAGCCAGTGAAAGTATTCCCAGTGCCATCAAAACAAAGGACGAGCTTCTTAGGGACCCTCATTTGCTCTGGCCCGTCGGAGCCATTGGTCAACGTTGTAGGCATAACTGAGATGAGATCAAGATGTTAGTTTCTTTCATGGATAAGAAGAGATACTGGAATGCTTGAGATGCACAAGACAGGTCGCAGGGCGTCAAATTTTATTTGAAGCTCTGGAAATATGCTGTGTCGACACGGAAGCACCGTGGTATTGGAACCGCAACTTCCTGTCCTCTGAAGCCATGATTAATATTGCCATAGAAGGAATTTGATCGCCATCACAAGTCAGGCCCCCACATCTATCTCAGGTCTCACGAGGAGGTAGGACAGTGCCAATCATGTCCAACTTGACTTCTGTGGCTGTTATGGGCTGAAAGGAAATGCAGCGTGTCTCACAACATGAAGCACTGCATCATCGGGGCTGGCCATTCAGAATTTGTGTATTACGTGTTCGTATTTCTTCAATGGCCTCCTTCAGTGATAGCCATGGTAATCACCTGCCAGCGACTCAGTCAATATTGATATGCTGTGCACATCAATGTATGTCTCGGCACTCATAGAACAAGTTGACACGGCATCATGCAGCTCGTAGGTTTTTACACTCGGTGTGGTGGGAAGTCATGAGGGAGAAAATTCACGCACAGTCTTAAGCTGATTACTGAGCTTGATGACATCTAGCCAGCCACAATCTTGGATTTGAAGCTGTGTCTAGCTTGGCAAGGAACGGTTTCATACCACCACGGGCATCGCCGAGCTATCTCGCATACAGGCTGACAGGACGTGGGCAGCTTTCGGGGTCTCGAATGCGGGGGAGTTAATTGTCTCTGGCCGCTTCTCAAGCGAGGCAAGCCACTCAACTTCCACCCCGCAAAATCAGCTCAGAGTCTGCCGCAGTGTAACATGTCAGCTTCAGGCGATCAGCAGTTGTGCGCCGTCGGCTTGCCCTTCCTGGTTCCGCATCTCGATGTGATGCGACCCGTCCCGAGCGGGCGCACCTTGCGCAACTCGAGCTACGATACCCGTTAAGGTATTATTAGTCACTCAGCCAGCCTCGTTGCTTTTTGAAAGACGCTGAACTTTTCTTCATTGGCCCTCGAGTCCGGTCCCATCTTCTCACCCAGGTGTGCTATGCAGGTCTCACTTGTGTCTCCGACGAGATCATGGCGTTGCCAGTTGATGATTGTCGACCTCTACTCACTTACACGAGCACAAACACAACTTCGACCCGGTCAAATTAATGCCTTATCTACTCCTATAATCGTCGAGCATTTCCTCACCGAGGGGTCACAGCCTGCATGCCCCCATCGGCACTTTGCAGGACAAAGTGCCTAGCACACCTAGGTACGATCACATGCTGTTCTCGTTATTGGGGCACAACAGAATGGACGATGCCTTCTCGACACGCATTTCACGAAAACAGTTGCGTGCATCTGCGATGTGACCATCCACATGACTGGACGCCACTACGGCTTGTTCCTCCTCAATTGAGGGGGCGTCGTGGACTGTGGAGTTACAGCCGAGATGTTGGTCATCGGCCAGGTAAAAGCAGACAGGAGGATCATGTCAACTGATCTCATCGCTAGTATAAGGTGGATGGAGTGTCGAAAGCTCTGGAGTAATGTTGAACAAGAATCTTTCACTTCCTGCTTTTTATCTTCTTGCACCGTATCAAGTTGAACCCAAGCCAGCAGCATATCATGACTTCATCGGACGAGAAGTTCCAGGCCGGCGCTTCTTACGGAGATGACGAGAAAAGCTCCGCCAACTACTTTTCCGACCCTGTCAAAGTAGCTGCGGACATATTGAAAGACTATGCCTCTGTTCGCGGCCAGACATCTCAGGCTGAGTTAGTGGGAGTGATCAAGTCGTTGCTCCAGAAAGACCAGCCTCTTGATGACAAGAAAGGGTAAGTTGAGTTTACCACTGAAGCGAATTTCTTCCTGCTCTAATAGTTACAAACAGGACGACCGAGGTTCTGATTGGCATCCTGACGGCTCTCCCTTCGACGTCCAATGCTCGTGTCAAGCTCACCAACAAGCTCATCGACACACTATGGGACAACCTTCAGCATCCACCCCTGAGCTACGTTGGTGGTGATGTCAGCTACGAGGTTGTCGGTGCCGAGGAATCCCAGAAGAAGACCGAAACCACGGACTTCATTGAGTTCAAGGCCCCAGACAGCGACATCACCTTACGTGAACATGTCCCAAAGGCTCCGGATGGACTATACCAGTATAGGATGCCTGATGGGAGCTACAACAACATTCTCGAGCCCAATCTGGGAAAGGCCGGCACTCCGTATGCCAAGACGGTCAGGACTACCAAGACACTCCATGGTGTCAAGCCTGATCCAGGTCTGCTATTCGATCTCTTGATGGCCCGTGATGAGGACAACTTCAAGGAAAACCCAGCGGGCATCTCATCTATGCTCTTCTACCATGCCTCCATCATCATTCATGACATCTTCCGCACCAATCGGACCGACATGAACAAGTCTGACACCTCATCCTACCTTGACCTAGCCCCTCTGTATGGCTCATCACTCAAGGATCAGCTTGAGGTCCGCACTATGAAAGAAGGCCGCCTCAAGCCGGATACCTTCCACGAGCGACGACTTCTCGGGCAGCCGCCAGGTGTCAGTGTCATGTTGGTCCTCTACAGTCGTTTCCACAATTATGTCTGTGACATCTTGCTGAAGATCAATGAGAACGGCCGCTTCACAATGCAGTGTCCTCCAGATGCAAGCCCTGAGGACAAAGCGAAAGCAGCTGCAAAGCAAGACCATGACCTGTTCAACACAGCTCGCCTGATCGTCGGTGGACTTTACATCAACATCAGCCTGCACGACTACTTGCGTGCCATCACCAATACTCACCACTCCAATTCTGACTGGACCCTGGACCCCCGTGTCGCCATCGACAAACAATTCGACGGCGAGGGTGTCCCCCGTGGGGTTGGCAACCAGGTTAGCGTTGAATTTAACCTGCTTTACCGCTTCCACGCCTGCATCTCGAAGAAGGATGAGCGCTGGACCAATGACTTCTTCATCAAGCTCTTCCCTGACCGCAAGCCAGAGGACCTGCAGAATGTCGGGATGGCAGAGCTTGGCCAAGCACTGGTCCAATTTGAGCAATCCATCCCGAGTGACCCCAGCAAGCGCGGTATCGGTCACCTCCAACGTCAAGAAAATGGTACCTTCAAGGATGAAGAGCTGGTTGCCGTCCTCAAGGAGGCCATGGAAGACCCTGCCGGCGCTTTTGGCGCACGCATGATCCCCAAAGCGCTCAAGATTGTCGAGATCCTGGGCATCAATCAGGCTCGCAAGTGGCAGGTCGGATCGCTGAACGAGTTCCGAGAGTTTTTCGGCCTCAAGAAATACGACAAGTTCACCGATATCAACTCTAACCCAGATATTGCCAAGTTGCTCGAGAAGCTGTACACAGACCCTGACATGGTTGAGCTCTACCCAGGTCTGATGATTGAGGACATCAAACCTCGCCGCGATACCGGCAGCGGTATTTGCCCGACATACTCAGTCGGCAGAGCTGTCCTGTCCGATGCTGTCACGCTTGTGCGATCGGACAGGTTCAACACTCTTGACTATACAATCTCGAATCTGACGGCCTGGGGTTACAACGAGGTTCAGCAGGACTACAAGACCCTCGGTGGCTCAATGCTGTACAAGCTCATCCAACGAGGTCTTCCACGCTGGTTCCCTTACAACTCCATCGCGGTCATGCAGCCCATGTACACGAAGAAGATGAATGAGCAGATCGCCAAAGAAATTGGGACCTTCCACCTATACACGACAGACGATCCCAAGCCTCCGCCAAAACCTGTCGTTGTAGCCTCAAGCGCTGCAATCAAGCAGGTCCTCGACAACCCCAAGCAGTTCGTCCTGCCATGGCTCAAGCCCCTCGACTCCATGTTCACAGACACCAAGAAGGACATCAGCTGGTTCATGCTCTCAGGAGACCAGGAAAAGAATTTCCAGCACCGCATCGACTTGAAGAAGGCCATCAGTAAGCTGCCCAATCTGCACACCGCGATCCACGAGTTCGTCGACCGCGTGGGCTCTCAGCTCATCGAGAAGGAGACTTTCAAGCTGCGCGAGGGGCTCTACCAGATGGACATCATCCGCGACATCGCCATTCCGCTGAACGCGCAGCTCTTGGCAGACCTCTTTTACTTCGACTTGAAGACCGACGAGAACCCGTCGGGTAAGCTGGGGTCGGCTGAGCTCTTCCGCCACCTGCTTAATGTGCGCGTCTGGGGCGTCAATGACAACGATCCGGCCCAGTCGTGGAACCGCCGCCGCCGTGCCATCGAGAGTGTGAAGATTCTCATAGACTCAACACGTACTCTCGTCAATGAGGTCTCATCTGGCAACGGCTTGGGCCTCGGCGTCGTTAACGCAATATCTAGTGTGGTTGGCAGGAGGGCCAACTTCAAGAAGGATTCGCTCAGGTCCTGTGGCTACAAGTTCGTGCAGGAGCTCTTGGCATTGGGGAACTCTGCGGAGAAGGTCGTCGATAATCTGTGGCTGACTGCTTTTGGTGGCACCGGCGTCCCTGTCACGGTGGTGAGTACAATGCATAATTGCATACGTAGAGCATGTCGCTAACCACCGCAAAGTTCTATGAGGTCCTGGAATTCTTCCTCCGGCCCGAGAATGCATCCATCTGGGCTGAGGTCCAGACCATTGTGGAGAACAAGGACGACGAGAAGTTGCACGCGTATGTCGCTGAGGCGCAGCGCCTCACAAGCTCGCAGCGCAACATGCGCGTGGCTGTCGCCCCTGCCGAGCTGGATGGGCAGAAGGTCGAGCCAGGCAATGCCGTTGTCATGCTTCTTGTAAGTTCATCGCCGCTATGATGGACCTTAAACATGGGACAAAAGCCTCTGACGATCTGTTTAGGGAGAAGCTGGTCGTAACCCGAAGGAGATTACCGACCCTGCGAGGTTCGACCCGCAGCGGAAGACGGAGCCAGTATCTTCGTTCAGCTATGGTCAGCACGAGTGTTTCGCTAAGGACCTAGTGACCACTTTCCTTGTCGGACTCGTGAAGCTTGTAGCTGGTCTGAAGGGACTTCGTCCCGCGCCCGGCCAGATGGGTGAGGTAAAGACCATCCGGTTAGGCTCCGAGAAGGCCTACCTGAACGACAGCTGGTCGTACCTCAGTTTCGACGCTAGCAGTATGTGACCCAATGCTGCTATTCAATCATTGCAAGAACTAATTCTGTGACAGCTTGGAAGGTTCACTTCGATGGGCATGGAAAGGGGGCATACACGGGCGATGCTACCCCTAACAAGCCCATCGATCTCGGACAGTACTACTACTTAATCAAGAAGCGTAATGATGAGTTCCTGGAAAAGGCAACGGGAATTCTTTCGTGATTGGTGAGAAAATTAGTAGTCATCGCCAGGCGATGTTTGTTGCGTTGCTAATCCCAGAGGCAGTGCCGAGACCTTGGGACTGTCCAAACGGCAACGGGGCAAAGGAACACTCGAACATGCAAGGACTTGAACGTTTTGGGGCCTTGGGAAGGAGTTTTTGAGCATTTATCTTACAGATAACAAACTGTATCAAGTGACTATGACGAATCTGCATGATGTGTGCCTCGAACCTCGTGACAGCTGTTTCCTGCTTGGCGTGACCAGCTCGTACCTTCACTAAGTACGTATGTCCACGGGTACCTAGGTAGCCAATTCATGTTCATGTGCTGTTGCATTACATTGGAGTGGTTCACGTAATATATCATCAGAACCATATACTCTGAGAAGTAAGTAAGGCGTAGCAAGCCACAGAGGATTTCTAATCAGCTGACATATCATACGGTTCATCGCTCGCCTAAAACAGTCGAGTACCGGTTGCCTTTAAAATATTCGATAAGCGTCTCCTCTGACGAATTGCACACTCATGTTCGAGTCACAATGTCTAGTCATTCCCTTATGCCTGCAGCTTGATGGTGCCCGATGTGACAATCACTGCTGGCATCCAGAATTGCAACGAGGGATATGGAAGACTTTCTCTCTGGTTTGTTTTCCCCACGCAAAAGACAATCATAAAGTCTGCGATCTCATTCAAGAGTCCTGACTAATTAAGATATAGTATCAAGCCTTCACGTGGGATCTCCTCTCAGAACAATGCCCAGGTTATTTGATAGAATCAGGCATGGATCCGAAATACTTTGGGCAACCCGGGTAGATTTGGCAGCTCTACAGCCAGTGCTGGCCCGAAGTATCTACAGGAGAACAACATGATAGGTCAACATAAAAACCTCGGGAGGATCATCGCTTGTATTACGATATTCCCTGAAAGTTCCATGACCCCAGCGTAAACGCTGACTGTCAACCTTGATCGTAGGCTTGATTACCCAATGAGCCACCTTGGCATAATGAGTCCACTTTATACATGGCCAAGTGATCTCTGAGACGGGGCTGATGGGGAATCGCTTACTTACTAGTCATCCGACAAGACTTGGTAAGAGGTGTGAGAGTGGTCGGTGCTTGGAATGGTCAGCTGAGTGAGAGCCAAACACACAGCACGGGTGCTGAGTAGAGATACCTACAGACATACTCCACACGCTATGAGACAGCTAATAGATGCAAAACATGACGCAACTGAGGGAGGAGCAGGTCCTGAGGCTGTGCCTCGGCTGGCTCGTTCTGCCGGGAAGCTCACATCACTTACTGATTGGACGTGCGGCATGGCTGGTACCTGAGGGCTGAGACTGTTGGTCATAGTCCCGTGCATGTGGCTTTTTCGAGGTCGGTCTCATTGGGCTGCGCCGCGGAACGTTCGGCGGATGGGCGTATGCGTACCGAATTTCTGAGTTCTGCCACGCCGTGTAACCTCAGATGTCAACCATGAAGTAACCGTTGAAGAAATCCCAACACAGATAAGTCCTCTTCCATGGGACACATCACATTGAGGCTTCTTGATATCTCTGCCAAATTACGATTGTCAGGATCAACACTGAGCCGAACAAAGGGTGGGACAAGAGCTGTTCTTCTGAGACGTGTATGCAGACAGACGACGGGCTTTGGGGCGGAAAGAAATTGTCTTGGCAGGCTGAGCTGCAAGCTGGCAGCCTGGGTATATGCAGGCGACATCGAAGGCTGTGAAGAGACCTCGGGACCGGTGAGCTGCCAAGGCCCTGGCGTGAGGGTCCGAACACCGAGTACCCTGTGAGCTTCTTGTTGTTAGGCCCCATCCAGGCAAGTGGAACAGACGGACTGCGCTAAGTAGCCAATCCCCCAGAAAAAGCAACATCGTGGTGATGAGGGTCAAGACAGCGGATTAACAAGGCACCCTGAAGCCCTCTGACCTGCCTGGTTGGGCTTGGATCTCCTCTGCGATGTCATGGCGAATTCCCCATCACAGTCCGACCGGCAATGCATTCATTCGATATTATGCCGGCAATTTCTATTTTGGTTGGAAGCTTAGCACAGATCCTGACCCGAACTACCACCGGACCGGGGATCGGAAGATTTCTTGGAGTCAATTGGCCACAATGAACGCACCCATGAAAGACGGTGAGCATCTTGGGAATCTGCTGCTTCGACCGATGTGCAAAAGGGTTGTCTTTAACGAGAAAAGCGCAGCGGGGAGCCACGGAAGTCGGATTACATGCGGCCGGACATGACATTGCATCGGCTCGCGGACCGTCCAACCGATAGGGCATGGGGGCCGGAAATCAGCCGGATCAGCCCTACGGAGATGGGGAAGTGGGATACGACCACGGGTTGCAACGCTCCATCCTGGCAGTTGACGCTGTGTGCCATCAGTTCGGGCCAGGCACACATGGCCTACTGGGATTCCGTCGGCGATATACCCAGTATCCACCACGGAGAGCTGCTTAAGCGAGGTACCTACCTATGAGGCTCGCCAATATGGAACCGGAACCAAAGATCGGGCTCGAGGCTCGCGGGAGTTTGGCTCTTGGCTCTGGAATTATTGAGAAGTTGCATTTCTCATTGCAGCAGGTAACACTGCAGCGTGCATTTTGTTGAAGAACTGTGATCCTTCGCTTCGTATTGAGATTTGTTGTTCTGGGAGTCTGGTTGATGGCGGTGTAGGAGCTCAAGTTCATCGGAATGATAGCCACTCAGGGTAGAGACAAACGTGCGCTGATTCTCACCGACCATCACTAGTACTTGCTCAAGCATACCAGGGATGGAATCACCGGTTGACTGTTACGCAAGTAGATCTCACAGCTCTTAGTATCATCGGTCACCATGCTCGTGTGCGTAAGAAGTTCCAATTCACCCTGACCACCATATAAGCGTGGAAGACATATTCACTAAGCAGGGTACTCTGAAGCCCAGTAACTTTGATTACGCAGCAGCCCAAGCGGATAGCTAATACCTTGGTTTAAGTGATTCGTGACTCTAACCTGTTAGGTCTTTCTCACTTCTCATTAGTCCGCCGAGAACTCCGCTCTCTTCCCCGAATATCTTCCCGTTGGTCCAGGCCCTAGTGATCCTTCGTGCAAACAAAGGTGTTGAAATCCCGGGCAAGTACTTCATCCTGGGATACACGGCAGCCAAGACAGCCAGCAGCAACTCGGTGGCACCGGGATTCAACAGAATGGGAGCCTTGTGACGAGCCCGGAAGTGCGGGGACGTTGGATGATTCTCGTATCAGATAATAATAGGACACACGGCTTCCAAGGCGTTGTACGGGAACTGAGTTTGATCACTAGAAAAGTATAAAGGGCGCTACCATCTTCCTCAATCTTCAGCTTTACTTTGGCCCATCCCCATTCTTATCCTCAATCACTCATCTACCTTAAAGAAAAACAAGAACTCCGTTCCAACCCAACAACTTCACCATGCAGTTCACCACCGGCCTCGTCTCCCTCCTCCTCGCTGCCGTCACCACCGGCGTCCGTGCTTCTCCCGTGGAGCAGCGTCAAGAGGCTCCCAGGATCTACGCCAAATTCTGGGCCGACACATCCTGCGGTGCCGACGGTGGTGCATGGATCGAGGATACTGTTTGGCTGCAGGAAGCCCAGCCCCTGGGAGACTGTATTGATGTCAGCATCTGGGACCCAACCTTCAACAGCACGAGTGTCGAGTTCAACAACGCCGGTCAAATGCGTGTGTACATTGTCCTTTACTATATGGAAGACCACCCAGACGATCTTCTTGCTGACCTGGGCCCTTTTTAGTGCGCGTCTACTCGCAGAATGGCTGCCAGGAGACCGGCGCGAACGCTCGGTTCTTTGACGTCCGCGCTGAGGAGCTCAACTGCTGGGCTCAGCATGTCGAGTCTGTGAAGTTTCTTGCATGAATTATCGAAGTCATTGTGAAGAGCTGATAGAAACAAAATGGATCAGGCTCTGGTGATGTCAAGGGGTATATGCTTAGATTTGGGGCCTCAGGGACGAAACTTCTCATTATCTGCAAGCATTTCTTTTGTCATTCCAACGTTCCTTAATTACATAGTATTCAATAGTCCCACCGCGATAATTTAAGGTTCAATACTATCAAGTCCAACTTTTAACTAAAAATGGAAAACAAGTTAGATTCATGTGAGGTGCTGGCATTAAATATCGGCGGTGTTGTCCTTTCCGAGAATCTGTTCATGCGCGCATGATCAAAATAGATGACCGGAATTCCGAAAACTTATAGATTTATAATAGACCTTATTTCAGATATTTTCCTTCGCCTTATCATGTCCCATTGACATGCGGAATTTTGCCTTGAGAATTACACTAGCCTAGCCCTAGCCTTGGGTGTGGTCGAGCTAGGGACGAGTTAGACCGACTTGATGCAAAATAGCAGGCACCATCTGCCCAAAAGTAGGAACATTGAAGCGGCTGATCGATTGTTCCTTTGGAACTGGTGGGCTTTAAGGCTCAAAGCTTCCTTGTAGGTACCTCAGCATGCTTGAGAGTAAAACAATTGAGACCAACGCCGGCTAGCTTCATTTAGTGGCTCGCAAGAGACCACACTTGTTTCCTTGTTCGAAGAGACCTCTCCGCCCCGCAACTCTCTGCTCCCAGACTCACCAAAGCCGGACAATCCACTTTTCACTGCAACCAAAATGGAAGCTAGTATTCCCCGAGGTGGACTTGAAATAATAGAGCTTTTTGAGTTGGTGCTCTTGCATCTCGATTGTAGGATGAAAAAGGAGGAGGACTTCCAACTATATATTGACTCTAGTCGACGTTTATCCTAAAATTAAGTCAATCTCTTCTGGTCCTGATAGCCACTAACTTGCCTCGTCCACATGACCACTACACTACCTAGGGGTACCTCTCCAAGATGCAAGTTCCCCTTCACATTTAACCCAATGAACTGTATATCTATAGATATTAATATAAATGGGTTCGTTCTTAATCCATACACACACCGAAGACGTATGGTCCTTTCATAAGTGATTCTGGGCAGATTTAGGTGTCGTGAATTAACCGTGAATCGTCGAACACGGCGTCTCTATACGGTTGGCGGAGGTTTCCGATTTATTAAGAACGCCCTGGGCTGCCGCGGTGCTTATCCGCCCCGGCATCCATTGCCCCATATCCGGTCGCCAGATACGGACCCCACACGGAGGAGCCACACTTTCAGTAGAGCTGTGCATCAATTATTGCATCCAAACCATCAGCTTTCTTATATCCTCATCTTCGAAACATCCAGAGTCGCTATCGTTTGTGAGCTTGAATAAGAAGCAAGTCGAGTTCGAGGTAGGAACAGCAGTACGCTCGTCTTCATCACCCAGCTCTCACAATGTCGCCCGGCGCAACGGAAACGTCTTCCGGCCCCTCTCTGTCCGCGATCGCCCCTCCGCGCACATCGGCGCTAGACTCGGGCAACGGAACCGGGAAGGTCAAGCGCCTCCACCAGATCCCCGTCCCGGAGACAAAGTTGGAAGCCCGTCGGTGGCAACTGGAGCAGATGGCGGCCGCCTTTCGCATTTTTGCGAAGCTAGGCTTCTCGGACGGCAGCAGTGGACACATCAGTCTCAGGGGTACACATCTCATTCTGCCTGGTTTATCGGTATGCTTTGGAGAATTGACAAGAGGGACAGATCCCGTTCAGCCAGACACATTCTGGATCAACCCCTACGGCCTACACTTTGGCTTGCTCAAAGTGTCGGACATGGTCCACATCGACGACGAGGGCAACCGGATCGGCGGCGCTGACAAGCCTGTCAACACAGCCGGGTTCATGATTCACTCGGCCCTGCACAGCAGGAGACCCGATATCAACGCCGCCTGCCACATGCACAGCCCATATGGCCGGGCCTGGAGCACATTTGGCAGGCCCATCGACATGATTAACCAAGGTACGCCACCTTCAAGTTCTCGTAAAATGTCACTGTAGTGGCTACTCATGATACAATCTGCAGACTCTTGCATGTTCTACAATGACCTCTCGGTGTACCCTTCTTTCGGTGGCGTAGTCCTCGCCAAGGAAGAGGGTCAACGCATTGCTGAGTACCTGGGTCTAACAAACAAGAACGTCATACTGCAGAACCACGGTCTCCTCACATGTGGCGGGACCGTAGCGGAGGCGGCTGCCTTCTTCATTGCTCTGGAGCGTGCCTGTCAGGCTCAGCTCCTGATCGAGTCCGCAATCGCGCCTGGGAGCAACGGTCACCTAAGCGGGCTCCAGAAGACCACAGTAGGAGAGGAAGAAGCACAGTACACCAAGGACGGCACCGGAACACCAGAGGTCATGTATATGCAATTTGTGCCCGAGTACCAGATGATTTTGAAGGAGACTGGGGGAGACTTCCTCTTATAGCTATCTTCAGTCTATTCTTTGTTGGACTCTGAAAAAGCTTTAGGCGAACATCTTCACACAAAATCAAATACTCGAAAACAGAGCACAAAATACTAGATCATCAAATGCTGAATACAAACCACTGTGGTGAAAATCATAGCTACCCTAGGTAGTGTGTCGACTGTTCTAGTTGGACGAACATCTACGGCGCTCAATATGAAAACTGTCTGGTGTAATGATTCGTCTATACACGAGTGGGAATCCTCAGAGCGGGCTTTTTGTATTATTCCGAGTATCCAGGCGAGCCTGCTATGTTTACTAGGACATGCTGGATGGTTTAAGGTGACCGGCCCACATCCGGACCACCCCCCCATTTGGACCACCCAAATTTGCCCTCCCACACCAACTACCCACCCCCTTCGTCCTCCTTTAACGCACTTAATTCGCCCACCACAATACAACTATTTGTTATTTCTGATACTTCTAAACCCACTTTATCTACTAACTTAGCCTTAATTACCCCGGCTGTAATTTGCGCCCTTTATATATTCTTAATCTATACGAACCTTGAGTTGGGACTCATTTTAACCTTCCACCTCTTAATAGATGCCAACTCCGCCAACTTTACTTTAAACAACTTAACTTCTTGTAGCGCTATATTTAACTATTAGTCTTTCTTATTATATACTTTTTCAACCTTTTAGAAGAATAGTTGCTAAGTTATAGTTGAGTGTGTACTAGGGTGAAAAGCGCTATATAAAGATCATACCTCTTATAAGTATTTAAGTATTAATAATACTACTTCTTTTATAGTAATTAGTACTAAAGTAACTAATTCAGCCCTTCTCTTTTATGTAGGAGAGTTAAATTTAGTGTTTTTTACCTTTCTCTTAGCCTCCTTAAGGAGTTAGATACTAAAAAGTAGCTTAGCTATATTTACTAACTACAATCTACTTACCTACCACCTACTAATAATATTTAACTTTTTAAGGGCCTTTATATAACCTATATAATAGTAATAAAGGAAGACTTACTTACTACTTATTATATTATTAGTATAGAAGTTAAGGAGGTCGGCTTTAAACTTATATACTATTTTAAGTAATATAAATATACCTAAGTTAAGTAGTTGTAGTATATAGAAGGTATATAGTGATAAATAAAGTATATATACCTTATTTAAGAAATACTCCTATATAAACTTAAACATATAGTAGCTTTTATACCTATTAATAACTAGTAATTACTACTTTTTTTTATTAATTAACTTAATTTATAGAATAAAGATTTTTTAAAGTTATTTAAGTATTATAATATTATTAATCTAACTATTATTTATAACTATAAATTCCTAGTCTTTATAACCTTTAAATATTTTAAACCACTATTATTGCATATTCTTACCCTTAAATATTACTAATAGGGGGCAAGCCTTACCTATAGTGAAGATATATTTTATAAAGGAGGTTTATACCCTTCCTTTATTACCTTTTTATACTATAAACTTCCTTACCTTAGGCCCTAGAATAATACTATTAAATCTAGCACCCTTAGTAATACCCCTTTTATTTATATTATAGTAGTTTTTTAACTTAATATTAAGCACAATAAAGAGCTAAAGGAGGTTAAACTAGAGCTTAATTATCTCCGTTTTAGCCCTATTAACCCTTATATAGTATATTTAATAGCTTTAATAATTTAAAATATTTGGATTTTTTACTAAAAAGCCCCTAAGTTACTTCTTACTAAGGGGTGGTAGTTATAGTTAAGGGTTAGTTAGTTAGGTAGTAAATACCTATATTTTAAAGTAAGTTAATAGTATTCCTAAAGTAGACTAATTAAGTATAAACTTTATTAAATTAATCTCCTAAATAATTGATAGCCTCATCTATGAATTCATTGTATTAGAATGGCTTTAGGTACCTTCTAGTTGTTGGAGGAGGGTGGTCTTTAAGACACCCCAATACTGGTGTACCTCCCGGATCCTAGTACCACTAATAATCCCATTAAGGGCTACCTGTATATTATCTTTTATATATATCTTCATTAATAGATAGTTATAATAGTTGCAAAGTTTAGAGAGAGGAAAAAAATCCCTTATAAAGTTAACACATTTTATATATGGGTGTGGAGCAGTCACGTATATAGGTGTGGGGTGGTCCGAATTAGGGGGTGGTCCGAATGTGGGCGGGTCACCTTATAAGAGGCTCAACTGGGAAGGCCTCACATCAAAGTTTCGTCAATGATGCTGAGATAGTCACTCCCTGCACCTTGTTACACATCGCCTGGGTCACCCAGATGCCAAGATAACCCTAGTGTAGCGGGTGCCTAAACGAGGGCCGAGAACCAGTGGGGGGCAACGGGGATGGTAGGCTCACAAGCAATATGAGTGGTCGTTTGAATCCTGTCGAGAATCCCACCGAACTATTGTAAGCACTTGAGCGCGCTAAGCCAAAGCCCATCAGGACGTACTGGCATTTAGGGCAATCGCATTGTCCACACAGACCGCAAATTTCAGATATGGCTTGCTTGCTCCTTCGCGGCTCGGCATTTGGCAATATAATACACCATAGATGTAGTACGAGTGGGGGAAAGCGATTCTATGTCTTCAAATGCTCCCCTCGCTCGCCCACTCGTGTACTCATGGATCGCGACCACCGAGACCAAGGCGCGTCGACACCAATCTCGCCTTGCTCGGATGACCCTGAGGTCGTTCGACAGGATGACCCGGGGATGCAGGTCGTCCCAGACACGGGCCAGACCCCCGAGGTGATAGTCGGTAGCGACTCATCTCCTACCTATGTCGACGGCCCACACTATGTACAAGCCTCGAGCATCGAATCCGACAGCAAAACAAACTATGGGCAGCGCGAACGAGTCCGAATATGCGGGCTCACACCGAGGATATTTTGGGTCTTAGCCATCGTCGCCACTTTAATCATTGGCGCAGGGGTGGGAGGCGGCATCGCCGGCGGGCTGTCGAGAACCCACGCGTCATCCTCGACCTCGACCTCGACATCGACCTCCTCTTCACCCAACGGCACAGCAGCTAGCGGTGCAACTTTCGTGACCTCTGCCGTATTAGTCGCTTCCTCAACGCCGACCGCGACGGACTCCATCGTGGGCACCAAAACCGCCATCTACGGACCCTCCGGCACAGTCCTCTACCGCGACTGCCCCGCAAACTCGAATGCGGTGTACACGAGCGACGCGATGCAATCATGGGTGTGGCGCAAGTACTGCGACAATACGACGTTTGTCAGCGCCAAGCCGGGTCAGCAGTGGATCAACGCGTTTTCGAACGACCTGGACGGCTGCATCGACATGTGTGTTGAGAGCAACATCGAGAGGGGCAGCGAGATCGCGGCGGGTTACGAGGACCCATGTAACGCTGTGTGTTGGCGGAATGGATTTGAGAACGATGACCATCCTGGCCAGTGCTTCGGGTTCACCACGGTGAATGTGACGGATAAGGGAGGCTTTCAGTTTCAGGACGACTGGAGGTGTGACTCGGCGGGTTTGATCAGTCAGAACTATATTCCAGGAAGAGGCGGGTTTTAGACTTATCAGAGTAAGACCTCATGCAAGTAAATACTTGACCAAGCCTTTGTAGCTTTTATGCACGGCAGGTCGAGAGGCGAGCATCAAGAGCGGTTGGATAGACTTGAGCATAATGCATAAATGTGTCAGTTCAAATAATTGCTTTCCCATGGATTTCATCAAGAATTCATTTGCCATGCATTAGACCCATCAGAGAATCCCCGAATGTCGAAATCAAGTTGGAATCATGGTAAATACTCCAACATCCCGCGACGAAAGGAAAGATTGACTAGAAGACCACGAATTTGCCTCTTTGTTGTTTGAGCTTCGACTACGTCTTCTTTATTTGGTCTCCCAACCTCACTCTATCCCCAAATCCTCAGCTTTTATGCGATCGGAACGAAAAGGCAATGTCCCAGGCTTGGTGTCATAAAAAAGGACCCAAGTGACGGTGACAAGTAGCGGCGTTGCTTCGTGTTATACAAATATAGATCAATGCTTTAGCCGTGACACTTGGTTGTAGAGTCCTCTTCATCACAGTGAAAACGAACTCAGTCTTTCTTCTTATCCTTCACAGAGCCCCACTCCATTGCAGCGCTCCCAATGATGGTCATACAAGTCAAGCCTACGGCAAGATACCATGTCTGCATCAAGCTCTTGTCGAGAATTCCCAGGGTCCTTCCAATCTCATCCTGTCCCACAAGGTGCCGGAGTTCCGTCAGGCCCATGTTGTTGACGGCATCGGGACTTAGCCCAGGCACCAACTCGGTCAAGTTGACACTCAGCCGGTCCAGAAATATTGTCTGTGCGATTGCAAGAAAGACGGCAGGCCCAAAGTTCTAGGCGGGGTAGACGATTGCCATGCCTGTGGAAGCATCTTTGACGGGCAGCATTGTCTGTACCGCGCTCTGCGGGGCGTTGAAGCCGATTCCAGCTGAGAAGCCCATGGCCAGACAGTAGTCTGCGATCCTGTCCAAAGACGTTCTAGTCGTGAATGTTGTCATGAGCCCCGCGAATATGGGCATTAAGACACTGGCGAACAGCATGAAGGGCACGTAGTAGCCTAAAGCACTAACACCAGCACCATGTGCCAACATCGCCACGAGGAAGCCGGCCATCAAGGGAAGCATCATGACACCCGACTTAGTGGCCGTGTACATGCGCACAGACTGAAAGTACCCTAGAGTAGGTTGGCAGGTAATACTCGAACACATTAGGCTTTAGCTATATTATATTTTTTATTTAACTATTTATCTATTTATTATCTTCTTAGTTTTTAGACTAACTATTAGTTTATACTTTAAGTATAAAGTTAATAATTACTTAATATATACCTTTAAACTTATCTATATATAAAGTTACTAGCTTCCTTTATAAGGCTCCTTCTTCTATTATATTCTTTATATACTATATAAAAGTAGATAAATCTTTAATAATAAAGTAATATATTTAAAAGAAAATTTAGTTTTAAATATTTAAAGTTTTACTTTCTTTATATAGTATTTATTTAATATATAGTAAATAAACTTTATTTAACTTTTAAAAGGTTTTAATCTTTTATAAAATTTATATAAAAAGTTTTTAAATAGGTTTATTATTATAATATTATTATTCTATTAATTATATACTTAAAATAAAAATTATAATAAATTTAATTTATTTAATAAAAGTAGATTTAAATAATTATATAATAAGTATATTAATAGAAAAGAGTTAGTTTATTAAGTCTTATATTATAGATTCTTCTTCTTATAAAAGCTATTTTAAAACTATTTTAGTTTTATTATATAATTATTTTATTAACTATTAGCCTTTAAGCTATTTATATTAATAATTTTAATATAATATTATTAAGAGTAATACCTTCTAACTTTATTTATATAATATAAAGCTTAATTATATATTTATATATTATATTTTTTTCTACTATTATTAATACTATATTTCTTTAGATATTAAGTTTTAAGCGTTTACTATTATATAAAGGTGCTATATATATTTTATATATATAGGGATTAAAAACAAAACCACTTAAACACGTTGATGGCTGCATTCGTACACACCGCAAAGATAAAGCCAGCCAGGACGGACCGGTTGGCTAATATTCGGGGAGGGAGGGTGGCCTCGTCTCCCCGGCGCTTCTGATCGTAAGCAAATAGCGCGAGCAGAACTCCGAACGTGATGATCAGTCCAATCACGGTCCCACTGTCCCAGGGATATTTCGTGCCGGCCCACGAAAGTGCAAGGAAGAGGCATATCAGCGACGGGATGAAGAGTAAGTTGCCGACCAAATCAAGCTCGACAAGCTCCTGCCGGAGGAGCAGGGCCGAGCGGTTCTTCAGGTCGATCTTGAGCGCAAAAACCACGACGGCCATTGCCATGACACGCTGCCGACAATGAGCCCACCTACAGAAGGCGAAGCACCTATCGTATTATAACTATTGTTATCGGCATCGTGTTCTTTCCAAGCGCTGGGTCTTGAGTGCTTACCACCGTATGAAGGCGCCATGTATGTCCTCGGACGTATACGGAATAGAAGCGAAACCACACAGAAGGCGAAGAAATATTGGCCAATGCCTCGACACCATTCAAATTGCCGACAATAACAGGCCTCTTGCGCAGCGGCACAATATGCACCAGCATGTAGAAACACCCCTGCGCGATACCCGCTGTAGCCATCCCACACACAGCGCGGCTCACAACATAGACCATGGAGGACGGCGCGGTGGCGCCCATCAGCGAACCAAGCATAAACAGAACGATGCATCCCATCAACACCGGCCTTACAGGGAAAAGGGTGTGAATGTTCCCGAACATGACGGCGAAGCTGCACGCGTACAGCCGGAAGGCGCTCGAATACTAGCCGACGTCGGTGACGGTGTGGAACTCGTCTGTGATTGAGGGGATGGCGGTGGAGACGATGGACATGTCCAGGCCTATGAAGGCGAGGACTATGGCGTAACAGAGCATTATCGCCCAGAAGCGGATTCCCGTTGGGTATTGAGTCTCGTCTTCGGCGCCGACGATGCCAGATGAGGGATCATCGCGTGCATTTTCTTCGACGCCGAGGGATTCCATGGGCCGTCCTGGCCGGGAGAATGGAGAAGCATCGTCTTTGGGAGTGCCGGGGTCTGACGCTGCAGGCAGTGTTATCTGGATCACTTCTGTAGCCATGATGGTGGAATGTCGTCTCTTCCACTGCAGGACAAGGTAGAATTAGGGCTGAGATGGTTGTGTATGGTTTCGTCTCTAGTTTCCATGCATGTGAAATAATATTCGTAGCTTCTTATTCAACTGTCCCAGAGTGGGATGCGGCTCTCCGATTCGGGTCTCCGACTCCGGGTTCCGATGTTGACATCACCTTACGTTCTTCTAGCGGGATGCAGGCGATTTAATCACTAGTGGCTTGCATCAAAGTAGGCGAGCAAATCAGCGCCAACGTCGGTTGAATCCGAGGCGTTAAGACAATGAGTGTGCGGCGCAGATACAGGTGAGCAGTAAGACGGACCGATGTGGACTCAATGCTAGGGGGAGGTTTGGTAATCATGGCGGCATCCTACCTACCGGGCGGAGGGGGGGTCTCTAATATAGGCGTATAATTATATTAAAAATTAATATTTAAATAAAATCTAGATATTATAACTAAAAATTAATAAAAGATTAATAAAATACTATTATAGGTAAAATCTATTAAAGGTTAATTATATATTAGATTGTAATATTACATTAATATATATTAAAAATTCTAAATCTATTAATATTAAATTTTATAAATTAATAAGGAAATAAGATTTCTATAATTTTTTAACTCTATAACTATATAGATTTAATATAGATTAATAATTAAGCTAAAGATTAGCTAATAAGTAGTTAAGTTAGGAATAAAAAGAAAGGAAAAACTTAATTTTAATAGGAATTAAACTCCCTTTTTACCCCCTATATTAAGCCTCTAATAGTATATTAGGCCCCTAATAGTATGTTAATAGGTAATTATATTAAATTAAAAAGAATTATATAATTTGAATATCATGTAGTTATATTAATAGTGTGTTTATGTTTTAAGAGAATGTTGGTATTAGTTTGAAATGATGGTACTATAAAGTTAATTTACCCCCCTCCCCCCGGTAGGTACCTCACGATCCAAACAGCAGCAGGAGGATCACAGATTGTTCAAATACAGCCTTGCTCTCAAGTCATACTCTCCAAGTTCAGTCTCGTCGACCGAAAATATGAACAGTGATCCTCTGCGATTCTCTAAATAATGTGAATCTCCATGTGTTTCTCAGCTGTCGCCCCGTAAAGAGAAATCTGGCCGTGCAGCTGAACACCATAACCAATGTCAAACTGCCTAGGTTCAACTCATCCTTGGCAGTGAGCTCTGATTGATACTACCTATCATGGGAGATATCAAGTCAGTGAGGCCACTGGCAGATATGACCCTCTCTCACGAAGCTACCGCACAGCGTTGAAGCATTCTATGCAAGTGTTTAAGGCCGCCGCAAACAGCCTAGGCTTCATGAGGATATGAAGCGTTTCAGGATTCTCTCTTGATTCGTGCACACAGCCGTTACCATTTAACAAGTGATATCCATGGAGAGGCCTTGAGTCGGAGTTTGAGCAGTCGGCGTAATCAGTCACAGACCATTGGTCGCGCCTGGTGAGTCATTCCTGACCTGCGTTGGTTGGGTTTAGACGGTTGTAACCGTACTCGAACTTTAATGTCAGTAGTAGCAGTCAAGGTGATTTTTAGTACTGAGTGTCCATTTTACAGAACGTCTAGTAAATATATATAATATCCACTGGTTCTCCACTCACCGCGTATTTCAGAACAAGGACCCCATGTGGTCGGTAAGTTAAAGCTGTCTCCAAGCGCCCCAAGCTGATTTGACCGCTTATTCGATGCAAGCGGAGATAATTGCCGGTATTTGTCTCCCCGCACACTTGTTTTTAGCGTACCTAGGTACCTAGGTGTGCAAGTCTTCACTGCTACATAAAGTCACACTTATAGTTGTGTAATAAAAACAATGAGCAAAGTACCTGAACTATGTTCATGTTCAACATTGGCTTCCTCCTCGCAGAATTGGAAACCAAATTTCTGGTGCAATTTTGCACGCTACGTCTAGAAATGGTCCTTGTTTACATTCTATTCTCGGCAGCAGCAAGTCTAGCCGCTGTCGTGCCGCTTTCAGCGCGTACAGAGGCTGTTTTCGATGTCAAGGAAGTCGCCATGAAGACCAGCCCTCTCGACAAACAACTGATTAGCCTATCCGTCGAGTATGCCCATTTCTGCATGTTATCTACTTGGCTTTTGTACGAAATTGCATTTCGACGATTAACCACGCATCTTTAGGTTCGGAAATGCGGTTGACTTCTTCGGCGACGCCGGCAAGCCAAATCTGTTTTCCAAGAGGCTTCTGCAGAATGTAGTAGACCGCTCATACGCCCCGACCATACTTCGAATAGGCGGGAATACCCAGGACAGGGCCGAGTTCTGCGCAACATGTAACAAAACGTTTGAGACGATCGTGCAGGATGACCCGGACGATCCCAAAGGCTCTGAGGCTGTCAAAGTCACATTCAACCCTCGTTTCTTCGATGTATTGACGTACAACGTGCCGGCAGGGAGTCCCATCATATTCGGCCTCAACTACCGCAATGGTGAAGAGCCAGCCCTGTTTGCACAGCATGCTGTGAGTTAGTGGTAGCTAACAATGCTTGGAGCCAGATAGTTTGGAGCTGGCCGAGGCCGAGATTGGCGCCGCGTTTGAGTACCTCGACCAGAGCCTGGTCATGGCTTACGAGCTGGGCAACGAGCCTAACCTGTATGGCGATTACCGACCGCCAACTTACGGAGTAAACGAGTACGCCGCCGACATGCGGCAGTGGATCCCAAGCCTGCGGGCCCTCTCGCCGCCGGGCGTCCATCCCAGGTTCCAATTCCCGTCGTTCGCCGGCCCGCAGCTCTTCAAACCCGACATGACGATCGCGAACCTAGTGGGCCTGGGTGTGCCACAGTCTATTGGGATCGACTATTTTTCCGTCCATGGATATCCTTATGATATCTGCACTCGTGAGGAATTCCGTTACAGCCCAGTTCATAACAAATCTTTACCCGGCCTGACGGACTTTCTGACCTGAATGCAAACAGCCGAGAGCGCAGCCCAAGTCGACCTAAGGAACTTCCTGGACCACAACAAGACTCTTTCTCTCATCGCCTCCTACGGTGGCGAGATCGCTGCGTCCAGGTCGCAGGGCAAGCCCCTGCACATGGGCGAGACGGGCTCCGTGGCGTGCCACGGCAAGTTCGGCGTGTCCAACACGCTGGGCGCGGCGCTGTGGGAGCTCGACTACGCCCTCAGCGGCTCGACGCAGGGCATCGACCGCTTCTTCTTCCACATGGGCAAAGGCGACTTCTACTACTCCATGTGGGAGCCGCTGCCGTCGGAGAGGTTCCCCGCGCCACATATCAATCCCACGTGAGGACGAAACACACCACCTGCTTGAGTGCAGTCATTATCTGTGAAGTTTGAGTGGTCTCATCAGCTGATATTTTGGGCCTTTGGCAGATACTATACCATGCTCTTCGCCGCCGACCTGGTGTCAGACCTCCCTGCACCCCAGATCGCCCCGCTCACGGAGCTAGACACGACGTCAACGGTGCACTTTGCCGTTTACGACGGCGAGGAGCTCCGAAAGGTCGTCTTGCTCAACCTGGACTTCTTCAACGGCACGATCTCTGCGAATGGCACATCCGCGACCGACGCAACCCGGCCGGCTAGGCAGTTTGACATGGGTGCGGCTCTTGGGAGGGAGCTCCGGGTCCGGCGCCTGACGGGGGACGACTCTGCTGCGACGGATGGGGTGACATGGGCTGGGCAGAGCATTAACGGCGACGGAGCGGTCGTTGGTGAGCTGCGGGTAGAGAAGATTACCGATGGAGTGGTGACACTTTTGGCGTCTGAGGCCGTCATCGTTGAGAGGGGCTGAATGCAGCGCCGCTCCTGCCGCTATCTCGGAAAAACGAGAGTTAGCCCCCCCCCTACAAAATACCCCCTATTCCTTAACTAAACTAAAACTTCACTAGTAAGGCAGAAAACCCAATATTTTCAATAAAACACCATACTTAATACTACCTATACCTTAAAAAAGGAAAAAAAAAGATTAATAATAATAAATTATTACCTATTAAACTATAAACTTTAATAGTTAAAGTTTTATTTATACTTTAATCTATCCTTATTAAATAAATAGTTATAAACTAAATTCTAAATTAATTATATTATAATTTAAAAATATTATTAAAAAGTTATTACTATTTATATAATTATTTTAAATATATTATTATTATTATTATTAAATATAATTAAATTAAAATAATAAACTTTAAAAGTTTATTAACTTATTTTTATAATAAATTTATAAAACTTAATTAATATATAAATTATATAAATTAAAAATTAAAAGTTTTTATTTAATAAATTAAATTTATATTTTAATAAAATATAATACTTTTTATTAAATAATTTTAAATTAATATTATTATAAAAATAATAAATAATATTTTTAAAGTTTATATATAAAATAATAAATAAATATATATATTAATTTATTAATATAATAAAAGTTTTATAATTATTACTTTTAATAAATATATTAATTAAGTTATATAATAAAAATATTTATTTTTATTAATAAGTTTAATTTTAATAAATAAAATAGTATAAAAAATAAATTAAATACCTATTAAATATATTTTATAAATTAAAAGTCTTTTAAATAAAAGTTTATTTTATATTTTTTTATAATTATATTTAATAGTTTATTTATTATTATAATATATAAAGATTATATAATAAAAATACTTTTATAATAATTAATAAAGAGTATTTTATTAAAAATAAACTTATATTTAAATTTAAAGTTAATCTTTATAATAAATAATACTTTATAATATTATAATATAAAAATAATTAAAATAATAAATATAAAAATATAAAATATAAATATTTATTTTTATACTTTTTAATTTTAATTTTATTAAAATATATTTTAATAATTTAAAGTATTATTTATATTATTAATATTAATATAAATTATTAAATTATAATTTAAATAAAATTTTATTTAATTTTTATTTTTATATTTAAAAATTAAATTTAAAATTAAAGCTATTTAAAATATTTCTATTATATATAAATATTAAAAAGAATATAAAATAAAATAAATATAATAATATTAATTAAAAGTTATAAAAATTAAAATTAATAAAGTTTTAATTAAATATAATTATATAAATAAAAATATTATTTATAAATTAAATAATTAAATTAGTAATTAAAATTAAAGTAAATAAATTAATTATAAATAAATTTATTTAATTAATTAATTACTTAATATTAAATATTTAATTTACTTTATTTACTTAAAATAACTAACTTTCCTCTTTTAACTACTTTTATTATTAATTATATCTTCTTATATATTTAATTATTACTTTTTTACTTAAAAGTCCTTTAAAACTTATTATATAACTTCTTTATTTTATTAAATATAAAGAATTATTTTAATAAACTTTTAATTTTTATTAAATAACTAACCTAATTATAAAGCTTAATATTAAATAAAGCTAATTAATTAATTAAATAATTTTTATAAACTTTATAAAATATATATTTTTAATATTTATTTAATAATTTACTAAATAACTATTTAATAACCTTTATTATAATAATAAGTTTTTTATTATTATTATTATTAAAGAAATTAATAAAATCCTCCTTTTTTAAATATAACTTAATTAATATTTTAATTAATAAAATAGCCTTTAAATTATATTTATTAAATTAAATATTTTCCTTTTATAAAGTCTATAAAGGTTAAATCTTTTATACTTTATAATTTTATAAATTATTTAAATTAAACCCTTTTAATAAATCTTTAAAATACTTTTAAAATACTTTTATAATAAATTCTTAATATAAAACTATTTTATCCCCTTTTATTTATAATAATAATAATAAAAAATAATTAATAACCTTTATCTTTATAATAGACTTTTAAATATTATTATTATTACTATTAATAATAATAAGGCTTTATTAAACTTATAAAAAATTAATAATAATAATAATAATAACTTTATTAAAACTATTTAACTATATTTAACTTTAAATAAGTTAATATTAAATAATAAATTAATAATTATATTAATATTACTCTCCTTTACTTTTACTTTTACTATTTCTTTTAAAAAAATAAAACTAACCCTATTATTATTAAACTCCTTTTATTAAACTTTATTTAAATTATTTAATAATTAAAAACTTTTAATAAATACTTAATTATAATATTATTTATTATAATTATATTAAATTAATTCTTAAATTCTTATTAAATAAACTAATATATATATTATTTTACTTAATAAAATACTATTATTATAAAAATCCTTTTATTTTAATAATAATAATTAACTTTATAATAATTACTTAAAGAATATAACTATATTTTTATTAATTATTTATATTTTTTTATATAAAATTTATTTTTATTTTTATTTTAACCCTTTATTTAATAGTTATTAATATAAATTAAAAATCTTAAAATTTAAATTTCTATTAAATATATTTAAATTTATTATTTATCTAATTATTAATAAACTATCCTTTAAAATAATTATTTATTAAATAGTTAATAATAATTAAAAGATTTTAATTAATAAATATTTAATTAAATAATTACTTTATAATATAAGTATTTATAACTTTTATATTAATAATATAACTTTATAATTATATAAAACTAAAAAAGAAGTTCTTAAAATTTAAAAATATATTTATAATATTATTATAATTAAATACTTTAATCCTTTTATTAATATCTTTCTTTATAATTTTTAATTATAAAATTAAAAACTTTTAATTTATAAACTAACTAGTTTTAATAAAAATATTCCTTAACTTAATAATTATATTTAAATAATTTTATACTCCCTTTAATTAAGTCTCTAAATAAATTAATATAATTTAATAAAAACTTTAAATCCTTTAACTTTTATCCTCTCTTTTAATATAATAGTTTATTTTTAAATTATATAATAAAATAATATTAACTTTTAAATTATAAATTTTAATAAATAAAATTAAAATTAATTTATTTAAATATATTTTTATTAAAGAATTAATTAAATAACTTTTAAAATACTTAATATTATTATTATTATTATTTATTAAAAACTTTACTTTATTAATAAAAAATCCTTATTATTAATACCTTTTAAAACCTCCTTTTTTATTACTAAATATATCCTTTTATTATTAACTTTAATAATATTCTTTTATACTCTTTAAACTATTTAATCTATTATAATAACCTTATTTTAAGTAATTTTAAAAATATTTATAAATACTTTTAAGTAATTTATTAAACTTTAATTACCTTAATAATTAACTTTTAAATATATAACTATTTAAATAGTATAATATTTTTATTAATAAACTATATAATTTAACTTTTAAATAAATTTTATATAATAAATATTAAATAGTTTAAACTTAATAAATTAATTAAAATATATTATTTATAATATTAATTAAATTAATATTATTTTATATTAAAGTAAATAAATTATATATACTTTTATAAATTAAATTTAAATTAATTATATAAAATTAATATAATATTAATTTTATTTAATTAAATAATAAAAATAACTTATTATTAATATTAATAAGGTTAATATAGGTATTTTAATAAAAATATTAGATTTTCTACCCTATTAGTAAAGTTTTAGTTTAATTAAGGAATAGAGGGTATTTTATAGGGGGGGGGCTAACTTTCGTTTTTCCGAGATAGCGGACATTAGCTGCAAGGGGGACCTTCTTGCTTGACCACTACCGGTGAAGGGATTGGAGGCTAAAACAAACCAAACCTCCCACCCATACATATCGATCTTTTCATCAACGCGTGCAGAGGCCTGTGGATGCACGTGATCTCCCATGATATGCCCATAATTAACTCCTCTGCTCCTTACGAAGGATAATCGTATTACTGCTTCCCATATTGCCCGTCGTCATATTGTTCAGTGTAACCATGACAGGTCAGGTCACCCATGCTTAAGGTGATTGTTGAGTGGACTATTTGGTCGAGTTGCGACGAACCTGGTCCGATGATGTACACCTGGGCCTTCGGATGAAGACCTTAGATCATAGGTGGAGGCCTATAGTCCAAGTACAGGGGTGGGTCCCTCCGAACAGCTGCTCGAATGCACCCGTGCAAACCAATAGGCAGGACTCCCAAATCAAGCTGTGCAGAGACACACTCGCTGATATTGTAATAGCGGAGTCTCGTGTGCATGCACTCAGATATTGAGGTCAATACATCGTACACATGGTCAGTCCTCGGCGTTGTATTTCGCAAGAAACAGAAACAAACAAAGAAATGAGGTCAACCGATGTCACCTCCGTCATGCTGCCAAGAATAGCCAAAAGCTGGTCGGGCCCCCTAAACAAGCATGGATTGTGACGTGACCTAATTTAAACTGCAGCCAGTCCCCGTGCTCGAGCCCCCCAATCACCTAAGGAGGGCCTAGCTCACATATAGCCCGCTAGTGAGAAAATCAAGGCACACCTAAATGGCACCTGATATGGAGGACGGTTAATTACACAGTAGCAGTCAGCTGTGGGAAAGGGGCCGACTAGTCACATTGTGGAGGTTGTGAATCTTAATACAAAGAGCCTCAGTGCTCGCCCTCACGTGAACTCCACTCTATCATGACTTCACCCTTCCATATCTCGAGGGGCCTCGACGTCTGCCGCTCACCGGACAACATCACGGTCACGCCAAGCAAGATGCGTCCCTCGACGACGACGACGACGTGCAGCGGCTCCACCCTCCCGCTCATCAGCCTCCTGTGGCTCACCCTCGTGGTCCACCTCGCCCAGTCCTGGGGCTGGGGGCCTTATGACAGCGAGTGGAGGAAACACATCCAGCCGCCCGCCGTCCACCACCCGGAACTCGTCTACCGCGTCGTGGTCCCGCGGAACGGGTCAACGCCCACGTTCAGCGGGAACGGCACCACATTTTCGAGGGCGAACGCGACGGGGTCGGTCCCGCTGAGCACCGCGCGGCCGACGCCTGTTGCCAACTCGAGTGTCGATACCTCCTGCGGCGAGGACTCGCCTCTGTTCAACCTGCAGGTATCCCGGGCCGACGGGAGCATCTTCAACGGCTGGTGGCTCAAGCTCTCTGGCAACCAGGCCCTCTTCACCTCACAGAAAGAGAAGGCGACGGGGTTTGGTGTGAACCGGGGGACGAAGCACCTGTGCATCCCGAAAGCCGGGAGGGATTTCCCGCTGATCGCCATCGTCGAGACGAGGCTCGACCTCGGCCCGCTCTATTTCTTGGACGCAAACTTCTCGACGGGATACCAGCCAGAATACGAGCCTGTCGTGTGCGACAGCCTGGGCGATGGATCTCAACTGTCGTGTGCTCAGGGGAAGAGCACGGCGTGGTCTGGATGTGGGATGCAGCTGGAGCTGGGGACAGGGACAGTCTCGAATAGCACGGGTGATGCAGGCGGCCAGAACTGTTCATCTATCGCTTTGAATTCGTTTCAGGCATCAAGTAGCGCCCTGTTCTAGGTGGCAGGGATGAATAATGATTAATGAACCAACCTTCAATGCCCGTATTCATGCAGTGTTCGTTACCGTCTTTCAGCGTTTCTCAGCCATGAAGAAACGAGTAACAAGTCTTCCGGACTCTTCAAGCTTGCAGACAGATCGGGACGGTAAGGGCCATATAAGTTTTGGATGTGTCCCAAACGTTTGCCGAGACATGGCTTCTGTGTTTCTGCCTTGTGTCTTTGTCATAAGAGACAGATTCCTCACCAAGGCCTCACGTTCATACAACCCTTGGAGAGCAGGCTGAAATATGATGTTCATACGCAGCTGGGATCGGCCCAGAATCTGGGTGTCTTGCCATCTTGATATTGTGTGTTGGGAAGCACCCCACGGATTCCTTCAATAAATTTCACATCCTTCTGTAAATTAATTGTCAATCGCATTCGTGCAGTCATGGCTTTGCAGTATTGTCCCAGCAGTGTTGGCGACGCGATAATAATCTCTCAATCAGCGAAAGCTCCTACCTAAGAAAGGAATATTTCAGATCTTGAACTACCAGATGAGGCCCAAAGCAAACGAGTTCCAGTGCATCTGAGCCCGCCAACTTTGTCATTACTGAATGACGCAATTGACACTAGCCTCGCCCATTTGCATCACCTGCTGATGCGTTCGTTGCCTGGTCACTGAACGCGTCGGCTTCCAAGCTTAGAGGGCAGCGCGTCACGCATGGTTTTCTAGAGATCTCTCAGCCCCACGTCCATCAACAAAAGACACAACCACTTCTACACCCTTCTTCCTTCATCACTTCAGCAAGTCACTTCAGCAAGTCAACACCACCACAAGCCTTCATCATGGTCAGCACCAGAAAGAAGGACTACGGCGAGCCGCCGCCGCCCAAGAAGCGCGCACGGCCCAAGGTGAATGAGGATGACGATCCAAACCAGATCTCCTCCATGAAGTTCACCTGGTTCCCCAAGCTGCCCCCTGAGCTGCGGATCGAGATTTGGAAGATGTCCATGACCCCCCGGCTCGTTGTGGTCCAGCCCAGATGGATAGCTGCGCGTAGGCTACTCTTGAAGTTCAAGAAGACGATGTTTCCTGCCCATCTTTCCGTCAACTGCGAAGCTCGAGAAATCGCCTGGCGCCACTATAGCTTGAAGTTGACACTTACCGTCACTGTGGACATAACGGGACTTCACAGCTGGGATTGTCCCGACTTTCAAAGCAGACAATACAGTGCGAGAGCCGTCATGTCACCGGACGACACTCTTGGCTTTCTTGGCTGGGAAGACATACGTCGTGAGTATGGGTGGAAGTTTCAAGTCGAGAGCGAAGAACGAAGCGACCCTTGGGCGCGCTGGGCGCCGCAAAACGCCCGGCTTTGCGGAGCACAGCCACAGCCTGAGGTGACCAAGGTTGCGTTCTTGAGGCCTGATTTCCGCTGCAACCCCGAGGCCATTGACTTCCTCAACTTCTCCAACTCTCGCGACTTGAGATCGATCCTCCACACAAAGTCGGACAAGCTCAGGAAGATCTTCACCCATGGGAGCCCTGGGCACACAACCCCAGGTCCAGGCAGCCCCAAGGACCACGTCTTGATTCATTCACGCAACTTCAATGGCACCTTGGAACAATGGGGCGAAAGACTGTTGCGCAGAATTGAATTTGGGGGTCTTCCTGAGTCGCAAGAACCGCCGGACATTTTGGCATTTGAGCTCGGAAGGCAACCCGACCCCATCCCGGTCCTGAAGTGGTTTGGGTCACTTGCCAAGTGGGCAGGCAGCAGTCCCGAGGACAAATACTTCTGGCGCGAACAGGCATGGGTTTTGCGGCTGCCCGACTCCCGAGGCTTTTGATCCGGTCAAGTCAAGATCAAGCATACTTGGGCACCGTCAACGCCGTACACCTCCTTCGCTTTTGACGGTTGAATTACCTACCTGCGTAAGCACCTAGTCGCAGGATCAACTCGGGGCCTGGCGTACTCTCACACGCTGCCTATCGCGCAGCTCTACCCCGAAAGGCGTGCTCTCAAGTGCTCTGATGATACTTTCACTGTGCGCTTCCTCCACTCTGATGCATTGGTCCATTCTCACGCTTGGATTAGAGATGGAGAGGAAACAAACAAGCGCAAATTTTTGCCCGCTGCCGGCCAAACAACAAATCGATAACTTCTCGGTTGGGATCATACAGGATACGGAGGGTTGACCGAAAACGTTGGAGGAGATCCCCAATCGGCACTATAACCTTGCCGCCTTTGATGAATGCTGGCTCATAAAGGCTCTCCATTATTGCGCTTCGAGTTCTTAGCCTTAGGTTGATGGGAACGGTATATCACTGCGTCGAACCTACGACAAGTCGCTGGAGCGACTGAGAGCTGGAGATCTATATTTTGGAACATCACTCACAAATTTTGGAGCCTTCACCCGTCTGAAATCGACGGAGGAAACAATGGCAGCTCACCCTGGGGCATACAGAGTCGGCCTTTTCTAGAGCTTTCGGCTGTATATTTATTTCTTAATCCCACATCGCGTTCTGCCAACCAACCTGTGATGTAAATGTGACGCGCTGCATATTCCTCTGGCCACGCTCCCAGCGATGCCACTCGAGCACCATTGACTAGTGTTAAAATCGGGCTCCTCTCTTCGTTATTGCATTCGAGATGTACTAGTAGAGCTGGCCTTGGGATGGACAAATCAGTGGGGGGGGGGGAGGTTGTCAGGAAACCACAGGCCCGATTAGGTTCGTCATATACAGGCCTGTGGACATATTAGACACATATTGCATTAAAATGAGCTGTATCTCCACCCATTCCGGGGTGGCCAATTGAATACCCTCGTCACAGTAGACTTCGGAGATACCTACCTAGTAAGCTCGGAATTCTCAGGGTTGTACAAAAGGCACGCACCACAAGTAATGAAAATGACGTTGCTATTTAACTCCGCTAAGTAAATCTTATCTAGAACAAAGATAGATCGACTGGCATCAAATCTAGGAGGCCTGATCCGGCGCTGTTCAACCGGTTCGCGCACCAGTATCCTGGAGAAACCGTTTCACATCTGCACTCCTATCTCGGTGTATGCACGCCGCGCCAACTCCCATTATACTATTGCGTTGGGATTTATCGTCCATCGGAAATTCACGGGATTCTCTCCCTCTTCCTAATTCAACAAGGTATCATTCTCTTCACTCTCCCGCTCTCTTTCGTCCCCTGGCAAGAGACTATAGAACCGGTCCCCGACCCCTGTCTACTCTCCAGCATGTAGGTATTGTCAACTTGAAGGGCCGTTTGACCACTCATGAAGACATATAGACGTTTACCGTACTTTTCTAACACGTTTAATAGTCTCAAAGCCATGGCAAATAGACAAGGCATAGTTTCACAATCGTCAGAATGTTTTGCTGGCGTGTCCTCGCTGAACACAGATTCGCTACGAGTTCCGGGCTTAAGGGCCAGGAAAACTTTCCCCAGGGCTTTGTGTGGATTGTCATTCCATTTCCAACATTGGAACTTGCACCCAGTGGAGGACTACTTTACCATACTGTTCCGGGCATGAGCATCCGTTGATGATGAGCACAGTAAACGGAGAAGCGGAAAGTGAAACCTGACGAGTTCTAATGAGCTCAGCCGTCACTCAGCATAGATTGCCTCACTACTTGAGATCCCATAGACCTTAGGAATCAGACGCCGTCTCAGGCAGTTCAAGATTATCAGCCGCTGCAGACGTTGTCCAAGACAGCTTGAGAAGTACTACTGCTAATCCCCGCTCCTTCGACTCAGAGGGCTTAGCGAGGGTATTTCAAGCCTTTATGCTTGACTGGCCACGTATAGGTAAAGGGGAACTGGTTGATGCAGGCCCAAGGAAAGGATTTGAGTCTGTCTGATGTATCATCGTACCACCGCCCGGACGTCTTCATGTATAGCTACCTGAAAAGCGGATAAAGCGTATTGATCTATGGGAGTAGAGACTCTTCATATGTACCTCCCGAGGTCACTTGAGCATCAATCCATGATCCGCAACAATCTAGTTATTGGTCTCCGGAGGTCGCTTCTTTCCGTAGACCGTGACGTTCGGTGCCATAAATCGTATTCAAAGCTGAGGACCGCAGGTAAGCACTGTTCTTCATCAAATTACCATATCATGCTCTGCCTAGCGACTTTTCTCACGAAGCTCCTCTCGGCTTTTCACGTAATAAAACCACAACGTCAACGACCTGTCTCGTAAATCGATTACCATTCAACGTATAATATATCTGATGTCAAGTTAGCCCTGAATTCTCGATAACGGCGCTCCCTACCTGCCTAGGCCAGCAGGCATTATAGAGTAAGGCGTTCCATAGAGGTGCTGAAAAATAGATTTAAGCTTTATGTATTCAATGATTCGCTATTCTAGTCTCAAATGATTGTCATTCTGGAGCTCCATTTGGGTGACATGTTTTACGATTGGATTTCACTTGACAACACGACCCTCGGGACACTCAAGGGTCTACGTAGGTCTTGTGTCTGTTGAAAATATCTTCCATTAAGCAGCCAGCGGTCCCGTGAATATAGGAACAACTCGCAAGCTCAGCCCTTGCCAAAGACACCGCGTGATAGGGTCGATACCCGTGGATCCATCAACTCCGCCAATTTCCACCATACCAACGACCCCAGTCTCACTTCAGCCTGTTACAGAGGTTGCGGTTGTCCATGTTAGTCATTATAGCATTGATCTGGTGGTTCATGAGGGCAAGAAGTCCTACGTCTCAACTACCATTCACTATACACCATTGTCTCGGTGACTGTTCCTCCGCTGATACGAGAATGGGACCCGTCAATTCCAATTCTACCATTATGTAAGATACTCCAGAATCAAGTAGCATCAAGTGAATTGTCGATGGGTTCCCAATTCACTTTTCTACGGCTTGTTTAAATACGAATTCCGCCGCTGAATCAAATCTTCATCTTCCTTTCCTTCAACAACCAACTCCTACTGGTAAAGGTTCGCTCGTCAGTCAGCTCTCGCATCGTTGAGCTTCCTTTGAGCAGTCGAGCACTACTACGGCCAACATCATCCATCATAAAAACACACATCCACATTATCTTCGCACTATCGTGCCCCCCATAACAACTTGAACAATCATCAGTCCTCATACCCACACCTACCATGAGTTCTACTACTCCAAACATGGCTGCTACTGGTCCAAACCATGGCAAGGTCTCTCCTCGTGATCAAGGCCCGGGTACGTCGCGTCAGTACTCGAACACTAATTACTTCTAGGACCATTTGTTTCCCCACTCTGTTTGAACGAGGCTAATATAAAGTCTTTATAGGTGCGACTCCATCTCAGAACAATGGCGCAACTGCGTCTCAGAACATGGGCGGAACTCCTCAGGCTACGGAATTCGCAGTGGACCGAATCTTGTCTGACGAGCCTCACCCGAACAAGCAACTTACCTTCATCCGTTTCGGCCGCCTACCTGCTGAGATCCGCAACATGGTCTGGCATGAGGCACTTGCGCCCCGCGTCATCATGATCTACCCACGCGTTGGCAGCACCCAGACCAAGTCTCCCGACCAGGTTGACTGGAAGAAGATCCCCGGCATACTCTTCGCCTGCAAGGAGAGCCGGGATATCGCCAAGCCCTATTACCAGCAGAAATTCACGCTGGTATTCACCAGGGCGCTGAGCACCATCGTCATGTGCCAGATACCAATCATCATGTCTAAGGACGACGAGCTCGCAATATCCGCAACCTACCTTTCCACCAGGTTTGGAGACCACGATGTCACACAAGTCACTGTGAAGGCAGCAGAGGGAGCACCAGAGCCCCGCATCGACCGCCTCTCGCTGCTCGGAAACAGCCTCCTCCGAGAGGGTATCGACCAGGAGCAGCTAGCGCACCTGCTGAAGACATTTTCTGGCGCTTGGGGCCTTACCGACCACATCAGCCCGCCCTCTACCTGGACCACCAGATGGAGCCCTTTCGGCAAGCAGCCTGACCCCAAGACGCTAGGTCGATATCTGGGAGACGTCGAGGACGTCTGCATTCAAAGCCAGACCGCTGGTGACGTCCGAAATGACGCAGATTGGCTCTGGATGGCCTTCAACTTCTGGTGCTTTGACTCAACCCTTGCGAACGAATGGGACTATGTCGATGCTTGGATTTCCGAGAACCCCGTGCCGTACCTTGGAGAGGAGGAGGAGAAGAAGGAGGAGGATGGGGAGTAAGCCCAGAGAATTTCGGGGCGGCGCGACGTCGAGCACGGCGGCAACTATGTTGGTATGGTTCTGATTTGGTGGTACTATCAAAAGGGTACCAAGGCTCTGCCTAAGTAATCTGAGGGCGCAGCACAAACAATGGTCTATGCGGCTAGCGGTCGGTGAAGACGGCGAACACGGCGACCTGAAATTAGGCGCCTGAGGCTACCTATATGAATACTCAGGGAATACTGTGAGCATGGGCAGATCTTGGCTCCTAGCACTTGACATTGGTCTGGTAGATTACTCAGGCGAATGACATGAAATTTGCTTCGATGTACCAGTGTGGTGGCTACCGTAGTTACTTCCTTGGCTGCATATATGTTTTGCTGCCCACATGTGTCTATACAAGGTCCACCCTTGTCTCTTCATTAGGAACTATGCATGCTGTAGACCAGGTGAGCATTTCAAGTGATGTCGTTTCTAATTCCCATACACATCAAACGTACGATGTGGCGCCTGCATACGGTAGGGGTATTGAAATAAGTTCGTATTTCTCACCATGGGATACTATTGCCGCACAAATATCCCGGACAGCAGTAGTTTCTTAGGCAACCACGGGCTCGTTTGTACAGGGCATCGAGTCTCTTATAACAGACTCCAAGCCCAGTGAAGCAGTCCCCCGGCCTTCCTTCCCAGTGAACCAACTGTTTGTGTCACACACATCACGCGTGTCGTGATGCGAGGCAGGAATGTAACTTTGGGACTTCTTGCAACTTTATCAAGAAGTACCCGACCGCCATTTCCCCTCCAATTCGCCCAAACACTTATCTAGTCGTTCACACAGCAACGAAATAATTCAAAGCTGATCTCAAGCGGCGACAACAACAGCCACCATCAAGCTTTCTTTCAGAAACATCTGAACCCTGGGAAGTCATCGTCTTCACCAAGACTCAAGCAAACCAGAAGCCACCCCTTCATCATGGATTTCCTGAGCTGCGCAGCACTGTCCTTGGCGACCGTCCTGCTAGGAAGCCGACTGGGCTTTGCTGATCGGCCCGAGCAGCTCATAGGCCGCCAGGCTTTCTTCACCATCTTCATCGTCCTATACCTATTCCTCAAGTTCTACCGCATCTTCCTGTACCACAGATACTTCTCTCCTCTCCGCCACCTCCCCGGCCCCAAGAACAGTCACTGGTTCCTGGGCCAAGTCCTCAACCAGGTCAATGCCAAAACCCCGATGGAGATGTGGGTCAAGTGGTCGCAGGAGCACCCTGATGCCCCGCTCATCCGGTACATGAGCTTCGCGAATACCGAGATGGTCCTGGTCAACAGCCTCGAGGCGCACCGCCAGGTCCTGCAGGTGCAGAACAATTTCATCGAGCGGCCGAACGCCGTCAGGCGGATGATTGGGCGATTCGGCGGCGACGGGCTCACCTCTTTCGAGTTCGAGGATTACCGCGCCCACCGGAAGATGCTTGGCGGCTGCTTCACGCCTGACTGTCTTCGGAGGCTCGAGCCCGTGTTCAAGGAGAAGGCTGTCCAGCTGACTGACTTCCTCGACCGTGCTATCGCTGCATGTGGGGGTGAAAGTGCTGTCATCGACTGCACTGATGCCTGCAGCCGGTACGCCTTGGACATCATCGGGCGCGCCGTCCTGGGAGTTGAATTCTCGTGCCTTGATGATACGGTCTTTGATCAATATGCCAATCCCGTCCCAGGAACGCAGCCCTACGGTTTCCTGGACGCACATGATGCGATATTCGGGCCGGACAGGATGGGAAAGATCTTCTCGTTTCTCGACGCCATGTACCCCATCCGGTGGCTTCCATGTCGTACCAACACCAAGTTCCTGAAGGCCACTGGCTGGACGCATGACACTGTAAGGCAGTTGGTTGCGAGAAGGAAGCAAGAATTTGGGAATCCTGAGAAGACAGCAGAGGAAGCGAACTGTGACGACACATCTCGCGATATTCTGTCATTCCTTTTGGAGGAAAGCAGGCCCGGAGGATATGCCGAGGGTATTAAAGACGCGAACATCGTTGGACACGTAAGTCACCGTTCCCTCTACCACCCGGTTGTTCTAGACAAGCTGTTCTTACAAACAAAACAGCTTCTGATCCTGATGGCCGGTGGACACGAAACCACCGCACACACGTTGGCATGGTGTACTCACACCCTCGCTACCAGACCAGACATTCAGGACCGTCTGAGGGGCGACCTCCTTGGCCTGGCCACAAAAGACCCATCGTTCAGCGACATTGATGCTCTTCCTTATCTAAACAACTTTGTGCACGAGGTGCTCCGTGTCTATCCACCAGGTGAGTGAGCTCCATATATCCTATTCAATCCCATCTCAAGACCAAGTTTATCAGCAGAGGTACTTGCCAATGTCTGACTTCGAGCACCTACTTCCCAGCCGTCTGGACCCCTCGCCAGGCCTACCGTGACCTACAAATCTGCGGCACCCACATCCCCAAGGACACGCTATTCGAGATCGTTCCGTCAGTGGTCCACATGAACCCGCTGATCTGGGGCGAGGACGCAGCCGAGATCAACCCGAGCCGCTGGGATAGCATCGGCACCGGGGCCAAGTATGACCCCCGCACGTCACCGTTCGCGTTCGAGGCATTCACCAACGGCCCCAAGACCTGTATCGGCAAGAAGGCCGCCCTCCGTGAGATAAAGATCGCTCTGTTTGAGATGGTCCGCAGGTACCGCTTCCTGGCTGTTGACAGGGAGGACGGGGTTGAGCCGTTTACCGTAGAGACTCCGGGAATTGTGTTGCGTCCCAAGGGGATGAAGGTGAGGGTGGAGAGGATTGAGGGCAAGTGAACTGAGTATGCTGTGATTCGTCTTTCTGTGATGATTGACGGGCGAGTAGGGATCTTCATTCCAGTATGGCTCGACTAGATAGCTCTGCTTTGAAGATCGTTTTAGCTGTGATTGAGTCTCCCCGTCAGTACTTGACACACACATAACTCGAGAAACGGTCATAATTCTGCTGTTATGCATTTCATTCAGGTTTTCTGTCACTGCTAAAAGTTCTTAGCGGATGCCTTAATTATCACAAGCAATTTCAGAGCCTTCGCCTCATGTGCAGAGAAATCATTGGGGGCCCTATCCGAGCCTCTCCAAGTCCTAGGGAATCAATGATAAATTCCCTCCAAAATGTCCGGCGATGTTTCGTGCTCAATTGCTCTACTCATAGCCACTGACTGATATTGGCAAATTTCAAAAAACACCGTGTTGAGCTGTGATGTGCGTGCTGCTGGTATTCACCACGGTTCCAGCAAGCCCTCCTTGGCTCATCATCCTCAAGTCTATCGGCGACGAAGCGGTCGATCGCTCACACCAATAGTCCTTCTTCGGACCCGATTGCGCATATCCACCCACAATTGTTTTCGCCTCTTCATGAACCAAGTGTGCATATTACTGACGAAACAAGGGAATTCGCGGATCCATAGACGTGATTGGGGTCGTAAACCGTGTTGAAGCTGGTCAATCGGCAAACGCTTCAGAGGTCAGTATGGTCACGAGCTTGCCTGATGGAGATGATATCGGGCTCAGAGTCTTAGTCGGTTGTAGAGTATGAGCCGGTTGTAGAGTCCGAGTCGGTTGTAGAGTCCGAGTCGATATCAGAGTCCGAGTCGATATAAAAGTCTGAGTCGATATCAAAGCCTGAGTAGAGATCAAAGCCTGAGTCGATATCAGAGCCTGAGTCGATATCAAAGCCTGAGTCGATATCAAAGCCTGAGTCGATATCAGAATACCAGCTGGCGGGGTGGTACCGAATGGAGGAGTGGCTGGGGATTTCATCTAGGCCCGCCTCTGAGTTCTCCATAGCATTGTAGTCGAGGATGTCACGGCGCCGGTTGTGCGTCACAAACCTGCCCTCTTCAATCATCTTGACCAGCTCCCCATCCTGGACATTTCCGCCGCGGATGAAGCGTAGGAGGTCCTCCTCGGACACCAAGTCTGAATCTTCGACCTCGGAGTCAGATATAATGATTGAATCAAGCTGGATCCCGTCAATCTGGGACAGCTCGCGCACAAAGGACGCAGAGGGGCGGCACTGGTTCAGATTGAGATGGCGCAGGGTCGTGGCGTGGGCCTTGATCAGCGGCAGTATGCTTTTAACTGTTGCACGGATAGTCCCAAGCTTCAGGGATCGTAGATGGTTCCAACAGTGGACTTTTTGGTGGGGTTGCATGATGATAGGAAGGATGCGGAGGTCAATTAATCTGATCCAACTGGGAATTGGAATGGCCCACCGCGCAAATTCTGGATTGGAATCCTGGGAAAGGCTGAGCTCCCGAAGCTCTGTCGCCCTGTACATGACGTTTAGTAGGGTTGCCATGTTCTGTTGGACTTTCACGGGGTCGAAATCACCGTCGCCGATAGTCGTGAACAAATTTGACATAGAGACTTCGAGAGAGATGAGATACGGCATTGCCGCGTGGTAACGAGGGTCGATCCGGATCAGAGAGCCTGACAGTTCATTGCCACAATGCAGCTTGTTGATACGTCCTTTCTCCTCCAGGATGGTTTCCAGAAAGATGTGCAGGAAGTCGGACCAGGCCTCGGACTCGGCCTCGCACTCGTACGCCATCAAAATCCCAACCTCGAAAGGAAAGCCATCGACCAGGCTGACAATGCGATGAGGGGCCATCTGCTCCGATGAAAAGGCGTGCAGCTTGGGCATGCGGGCAACGGCAGCCTTGAAGTGGACAAGGAACTCGGCGGCACACTCGGGAGGGCTGCGGTATACGATTTCGCCATTGTCGTCTCGGTCACGCTGAAACTTTGGTTCGACGGGAAGCCAGAAAATGTCTCGCGCGGCCTCGAAGAGGTTCACATTGCGGCCGTCGGACAGCTGCACTTCGAGTCTGTTTTCCTCGTCGAATGATCGCCAAGAGACTTCTAAAAAGTGGTTAGCGGCATCCACCTGCCAAAACAAAAACAGTGTTTCCCACACAAGGTTGATCACCTACCAAGCTCGAACCAGATGATCTCCTTGACATGGGCAGCCAGGTGAGGCGTATTGGCGAGGCTAAGGAATGCGTCGCGGTCAGCCTTGATACGGGAGATGTACGCACGCCTGAAGATGACGGGCGTCATGACGTCGGCCAGCCGTTTGCATGCCAGACGGGCTTGTTTGCGATCACGGTTGGTGAGGCCCGGGTCAGCAGCGGTGATGCTGAGCAGCTCGAACGGGAGATCGGTGAGAGTCGCCATGCTGGGTGATGCGATGGACCAACTGTCGATCGAAAGTCGAGAAGCTGCGACGGTGAAGGAGGTTGTTGTCCCGTCAGAGAAGACAGTCTTTCTGCGCCGTGTCGACAAAAGCTGGGAGCAGTACTTACCTAAGTAGTAGTACCTACCTACCTAGGTAGGTAGGTAGGTCCTTGGGCTCCTAATTACAAGGCGCGCCTTCCTGTTCAACCTCAGCCGATAACTGTTTCAATGTTGGAATGCCTTACCTGGCATTCAACTGAAAGGTTCATACCTACCAGCGCCCGCTGTGGGGCTTCTGCATATTGCTCGTTTACTCGCTACAATTTGCCGACGCATAATAAACCTTTTACAGATATTCCTTCAAAGCCAGATAGTCTCTTCAAGATCTTTCCGACCCTGTAAACAGCTCTTTCTTGAAGCCCTGGATTACTCCTTCCTCTCGGGCAAACAAGTCAATCAGATAGCTTAGAAACTTAAAGGAAGGAAGAGCTTGAAACCGAACCTTTGACTGAAGGAGAATCCCGCCACACAAACAAGAGCGTTTTCACACTGAAGAATAAGATCGAAATTTGGAATCTTGAGACGGAACCCTCCCATGAACCACCCACCCTCTTTGCCCTTGAAGATTCTCTCTAAGCCAGATACAGTGCCTTCCGTTTCTTCGTCGTCGGACCGCAGTCTAGACAACGATCTGTAGCCGCCGCGCCCGCTGCTCACGGGCTTTTTACCCCCCTGCCGATGGTACACACAGACCAGAGTGACTTCAAACCGTGAATGTTCCAAGTTAGCGATTGCGATGTCTTGGGTTACACTGTCTGTTTCGTGAAATCACCTTTGTTTGCGACAACGGCTCCATGATGTATGCCTCAGACACCTGGGCAGGCGGCGGAGCGTTTTTATTGCACAATGACCAGAGCTCCCCTGGGCAAGGGGCCTCGCAACCACGAGAGTCTCCTTCACAAGAGCAAAGTAACACCAGGACGTTGGACACAGTTTATCATTCCGTGCGGTCATTATCAATAACAAGCCAACCCATTCATGCCCAACCCAGACAGAACCAACCAGACCAAGCAACCGAGCATCCGCCCCACAAACAGTGTCAGACGTAGGTACAGCACAGCAAAGAACATGCAAACCCCGTACATAAAAAATCGTTCATCACAGCCAGCCAGACAGCCAGCCAGTTACCAGACACACACAAGACTGACTCCCCTTTCTATCCAAGGCCATCAATCCAAGCCCCCACCCGTCCGTCCATCAAAACAAAACGGCATGCATCACCAACCTACCTCCAAGGCTGGCTGAGCGTAAAGTTGACAGTCTGCGTGTTGGCGCCGCCGCCGAGCTGCTGCACCTGCTGCGGCCGCGGCTGCCTGCCCTGGATGTAGTCCCTGTTCTCGATCGACACGCTCTTGGTCATGTGGTTGACCTTGTACACGCCGACGAGGCGCGCCGCGAGCTCGAACATGTTGTTCCGGAGCGAGATGACGATGAACTGCGCGTTCTTGGTGCGCTCCTTGATGTAGTTGGCGACGATGGAGACCTGGATTGCGACGTGGCACGTTAGCGTCTGTATGAGGATGGGAGGATGGGGGTGAGGGGGGCAGGGTAAAGTGCTCACGTTTCTGAAATCCAGCGCGGCGTCGATCTCGTCCATGACGTACAGCGGCGTCGGCTTGTAGTGGTGCAGGGCAAAGACGAGCGCCAGGCTGCTGAGCGTCTTCTCGCCGCCGGACAGGTTGCTGATGTTCTTCCACGACTTCTTGGGCGGCATCACGCTGAAGAGGATCCCCTCGGAGAAGGGGTCGAGCGAGTCGACGAGCTCGAGCTCGGCGTTGCCGCCCATCGTGATCATCTGGTACATCTCCTTGAGCCGCAGCGAGATCATGCTGAAGCCCTCCATGAAGCCCTCGAGCCGCAGCCGCCGGAGCTCGTCGCACCGCTTCTTGGCGGCGTCGCGCTGCGTCACCGCCGTCTGGAGGTCCGACGACCTGGCGGCGTGCTCCTCCACGCGGCGGCGGTACTCGGCGAGGACGCCCAGGTCGACGTTGACGTTTTGGGTCTTCTCCTCGAGGGCGGCGATCTCTCCCTTGAGCGTCTCCTTGTTCATGTCCTCGAGCTCGTCCTTGCTGTACCGCGGCAGGGTCTTCTGGGTCTTCCGGTCACGGACAATGGTGGTGTCCACCTCTTCCTCGGCAGCTTCGGCCTCGCCGTCGACCTCTTCTTCATCACCAGCATCGGTCATCTCAACGTCCGAGTCCGCGGCTCCCTCGCCCGTGTTTCCGCCTTCTTGGGTATTCTCGGCGGAACCGTTCGCGGCGGCGGCGGCAGCAGCCTTGGGAGCTGCGGCCGTCTCGAGGTCCTGGATGTCCTGAAGTCTCAGCTTGGAGTGCTTGTCTTCCCAGTATTTGACCTTTCTCTGGTTCTCGACGAGTGCTTTTTGGTTCTCCTCCAGCTTGTTGCGCATCTCGATCTCGCTGGCACGGGTGGCGTTGAGCTCTGCCGTCTTCTCGTCCAGCTCTGACTTCAACTCGGCGAGCTCTTGCTTCTTGACGGCGAGACCCTCCTGAGCTTCCTCAACGCGAGCCTTGAAGTCCTCGGCCTTGTCACCTTGGTTCGAGATCTCTTCTTCGAGCTTCTCAAGGTCTCGGATGGCGACGTCCAGCTCCTTGGTCGCCTTTGCATGATCCTTTGCGAGCTTGGTCTTCTGCTTCTCAGCCTTGGCCTTCTTGACCTCGGCTTTCGAGGTCTCTTCATTGTGGGAGGCGATCTCTTTCTTGAGGCCGTCGACCTTGGCCCTCTGGGTGCGCAGCTTGTCACCACCAACTTGCATGATCTTGTCTTGGAGCGCCTTGATCTCTTCCTCGACTGTGGAAGTCTCGCCACGCAGCTTCTCGACCTCTTTTTGAAGGCTCTTAACCTCCTTCTCCAAAGCCGTGATGCGGCTGTCGTCGGACTTCGAAGGCTGGTGCTCCTTGGCAAGTTCCTTGATGCGGCGTTGGGCATCAGCCAGGTTTTTTGTGGCACTCTCGATCTCGAGGCTGATCTTCTGCATCTTGGTCTCAAGCTGAGGGATTCGGTTCTTAAGATCGCGTAGGCGAGTTTCGCACTCCCGCTGATACTCGAGGAACTCTTGGAACTTCTGCTCGAGTGCATCTCGGTCGCTCTCGAGCTTCAGGACCTGCTCCTTAGTTGTGTCGGCAACCAACTTGGATGACATCAAGCCCTTCTTCTTGCTGTTACCACCACCAGACATTGTTCCCGACTTGTCGATCAGTTCGCCATCAAGAGTCACCACTCGCCATCTCCTGGCACCGTAAGCGATGCGATTTGCCTGGGCGAGATCCGTGGCGACCAGGGTGTCTTGGAGAGCATGATAGAATGCTGCCCGGAACTTTTCTTCCTTGGCCTGGACGAGATCGAACAGCCGAGGAGCATCCTCTGGTGTCTGAATCGGTGAGAGATCCCGGGATCTCAGCTTGTCCAGACAAATGAAGTTTCCACGGCCCATGTTCGTCTTGCGCAGGTACTCAATGCATTGCTGGCCGGCTTCCACAGTATCGGTGACAAAGTTGTCGAGTGCACCGCATGCTGTTGAGATCGCCACATCGTACTTCTGGTCGATTGCTCCCAAGTTTCCAAGACGTCCGTGGAAGCCATCAATACGGCCCGACTCCTTCATCCGCATCAGGGCAGTGAGCACATTGCCCTGAGTCTGTGTCGCTGACAGACTCGAACGGGCCTCATCTGCCTTCTGCCGCGAGTTGGAAACCTTGGACCGAATCTTTGGCTCCTGTCCAGCTAGCTCCTGGATCTCGGCCTCGACCTCTTGGGCTTCGGCTTCGAGTTCCTTCTTTTCTTCCTGGCAGGACTTGAGCTCCTGCTCCTTCTCTTTCCGGCGCGCCTCGGTGGAAGCAATCTTGTTCTCCATGTCCTTGAGGGCGACTGCACCCGCATTCGCCTTTTCCCTGAGGATGTTCAGCTCACTCTCGGCCACAGCAATAGCAGACTGCTTCACGTTGATCTTCTCTTGCCACGGCTCCAGTGACTTTTGCTTGGCAGCGATTTGGTCCGAGAACTCCTGTGTCTTGCCCTTCAGGTTCTCCCTGATGACCGCCAGCTCGGACTCTGCTTCTTTGACCTGCTCCTCGAGATCGATGATCTCTTGTCCACGGGTCTCGATGTCCTCGCCGCACTGCTCGATCGTCTCCTCTGCCTCGGTAGTGTTCTTCTCGGCATTGGTGATCGTCTTCTCGAGCTTCTTCTTCTTATCGGCCAAGAACTTGCGCTTCTCGTCAAACTTGACGCGCTCCTGGTCGAACTGTGCCATCTCTTTGACGAGTGCCTGGGTATCCTTGTCTTGAGCCTCATACTGTTTGTTGCCTTTGGAGTACTTCTTTTGCAGCTCCTTGATGATGGCCTCGCTGCCGTGGTGCTTCTCCAGCTCCTCATCAAGCTGTGCCTGCATCTGGGTGATGGCCTCCTCTGTAACAATAAGATTATCGTTGCACTCGTCGATGTATATTTGATACAGAGCGGATTGTTTCCTGGCCAGATCGTTTTCGTCACGGAGGTATGCCAGAGCCTTGTTCTTCTTGTCCTCGAGGCTGTTCTTTTCCTTTTCGACGTGCTGAACACGGCCACTCTTCTCCATACATATCTCGTTGAGCGTCTCAACTTCTGTAGCGGATTCCTCGATTGGGGTCTTGTATTTCGATGTACCAATGATATCCTCAAGATACTCCAGCAAGCCGTCGTCGTGCTCATTTGCGGCTTTTGGCTTCATTTGCGCGATCGATTCGACCTCACCTTGGAGAATCAAGAATCTCTTGTGGTCGAGATCGACCCCACGGTCCCGCAGCAGTGTGGTGACTATCGTGTATGTGGAGGTCTTGCCATTAATGTAGTAACTGCTGGAGTTGTTCTTGAAGGCCTTGCGGGAAATGACAAGATCGGAGTCGGGTATTACTTCGTGGCCGCCACCAGGCTGTTGAAGAGACGAGTTAGCACAAGATCTGGTTGGGGGTGTAGGGCATGCATACCTGATCCATGACCTCTTGGAAGTGCACCGCAACCTCGCAAAAGTCCAGGTTCGGGTGATCAGCGGAGTTGTGGATCAAGGCCGACAGTTTCCCCTGTCGCATCTTGCTGGCACGGAAGCCGAAGACGAACAGCAACGAGTCGATGACGTTGGACTTTCCGGAGCCGTTGGGGCCGACGACAGATGAGAAGGACGCGTGGAATGGGCCGACCTCCTGACGCCCAGAGTAACTCTTGAAGTTGGTGAGGATGAGGTATGTAATGACCAGGCGAGGTTTAGGCGTCGTGTCCTCGACCGGGGGCAAGACCATGGTCCGGGACTTCATGACGATATCCATTGGCTTCTCCATGACCGTGTCTAGTGGCTTGATGGGCTTGACGCTGGTATTGAGCAGGGTGTCCTCGATGGCCCGCCGTTGGTCGTTGCCAGCAGTATTAGTGATGTCTGACAGCGGCGTCTGGAACCTGTCCGGGTCTGGAGTTGCGGATGGCTTGGACAGCCTGGGGGTAGCGGGGGTCGGAGGCTGTTGTGCATCAGGCGCCGGGGCCTCCTTTGACGACGAGGCTGGCGGCGCAACACTCTTTCGTTTCCGCCCAGGCTTCTTGACGGGCGTCTCCTCCGGCTCGACCTCCATGGTGGTCTGGTCAGGCTCGGCATTCTCGGGGACAGGCTCCACGTTCTCGTCCGGCTCGTTGGCGGGCTCGATGCTTGGTTGAATGCTTGCCTCGGGCTCAACGCTCTCCTGCTTGATGGCCTGCTTCTTAGGACGACCTCGTCTGCGCGGCGCTGAGGTTGTAGGGGCGATGGTCTGGTCTGCATCGGCGACCTGGCTGGACTCGCCCGGCTCGACACTGGTGGTATCTGGTGCGACGCTTGGGGCGGCGCTCTTCCTCGGCTGTCTACCACGGCGGCGGGGTGCTGTCTCGGATGCTGGGGGTGTGTCGGCCTGAATGGTCTTCCTCCTCCCGCCCGTGGACTTGCGCGAGCTCTTAGCCGGCGCGGGTGTGAATTCCTCCTCGCTGTCTTCCTCTTCCGCGGGTGGTGGGGATGGGGATTTTGCGATGTCGTCCTCGTCGTCGGACTCGATGATCTGCTTGCGCTTAGCAGCAGCCCGCCGGGTCGGTCGCGTCGACATTGTGGGCAGGGGTGGCGGCGAGCAACGAAGGGAAAATGATGCCGTTTGTTGTGTTGTGCGAAGCAACGAGGACTGACTGCAGCTATGCACCTGCAGGATGGAAGGTCGAGAGTGTTGGCCGTTGAGTTCCCACTCGGCAAAGCAAGAAGGCCCGAGGCTTGAGGCGCGAGTTGCAATCGATAAGTCGGAAGAAGTGGGTTGCCGTTGCAAAGAGTCCAAGTCAAACCGGCCGTTGCTCCATCCCCCTCCGAAAATACGGGCATTGGTAAACAAAACAAACCGTCGGGGAAAACGCGCTAAGGCGGGACGAGGGGTCCCACACGTGTCGCATTGACCCACCGTTGTGTGTTAGCCCATAATGCCTGCACCCATGCAGACCTGTTAACAGACCTCGATAAGCTATCGCTTCCGTCTTGGCCTGGTAGGGAGCTCCCAAGCTTGCGCATCGCATCGCATCGCATCGCATCGCACAGCACCCGCCCTAGCTTCTGTCGAGGATCGTCAAGTCAAGCTTGTCAATTCAGCGCCTCGAGGTTCACAGCCCACAGCCAAGATGCAGGACTACAACCAATTCCACCAGGTTTTCAAACCCGAGTGGGGCACTCCCTACACCCAAGAATTCCTCAAAGAGATCGAGGTCTGCAGGAAGAGTCTCGATGGCGTCCTCTTCATCGACCGCGTCTTGAGGTCTGTCGGCGTCACAAAAGGTTCGTCTTCCAGCTGCAACTGCAACTCGAGGTCTGGGATCTGCCATCTGACGCCATTCCGTGCTTAGCCAGGTCATACCCCCCCAAGGGCGGCAACGGCCTGTACCAGCTTCACTACCAGGTGTGCGAGAGCGACCACTCTGACCACCAGAAGCTTTCTGTCTTCTACTACATGCTCCTCGACTTCAACGACCACCTCGGGCTGAAGAGCCGTATGGATTTCGCCGAGCTCTTCGCCTCGAGATTTTCACTGCCCAAGAAGTACGAGATCTTCATGAGGGGGCTATGGCATCTTGACCGACAGCAATATAGCGTGAGCCGTCTCTGCAGCCTTTCCACACCCGGCACGCGACTGACCACACGTTTTTATTTTCCAGAATGCGCTGCAAGATCTTGCACACCCCTCCCTCACCCCCGAGTTCGCCGACGACATAATCGCAGCATTTGTCAATAATGCCGAGGACAACGACTACTCCCTCGCCCTCGCCTACTACCACGCCGTCCAGCCCGTCCTCCGCAGGCCCGAGTCCCTGTCCCTCCTCTTCGGAGCGCTGGCGAGGACAAGCCTCACCGAGGCCTTCTACTTTTCCCGGGCTCACCCCGAGCCAGCGAGACAACTTCTTTTCGAGCAGTTGATAGCGTCTGTCCTCGAGGGGACCGGCCAAGATGTCGCAGCGCGAGCCTCCGAGCTTGTCAGCCTGCCTCTGGACGGCGCCGAGGAGCAATGGTTCGAGGAATACCTGACGAATGGAGGCGGGAGGAAGTTAAGGAAGGCCAGGGACACGGTACTTATGCGGCGGGTTGTGACTGGGCGGCACACCGACGTCAGTGACAAGAATCTCGGCGGGCAGTGGGGTGTCGTCCTGGGGGGCTTCAAGAGCGGCATGGGCGGTCGTGTGGCATGAGGACGCGGGTCCTCGCCCGATCAGACCATATTGGAATTACAGGCATAGCGATGGCGTTGGGAGGAGACAGGATGGAAATGCAATTTCACTGCGAAATCCGTCACAGCCGGGGTCGCATTGAGTGGTCACGGGTCACGAACGATGGCTCGCAAAATCGCAAATCTTTGTCAAAATCCACAGACGCAGTTGCTCTATTGCAGCAACGGCGGTTCCTCGACACCAACCTGGGCAGTCAACCGGCCATAGTGCTCCACCCTGCGGTGCCTCTCAAACGCAAACACCCTCTCCTTGCCCTTCCTGCACAGGGCCAGGTCAATAGTCGCAACAACCAGCTCATCCCCTTTGGTCTTGGACTCGGCCACCACGTGCCCGTTGGGATCATAAATCACCGTGCCGGCGATCAGCCCGCCGCCGTCCTCAACACCACACTTGGCAGTGTTGACACTAAAACACGCGTTCGTGTAGCTGCCGCCCTGGCACGAGATGCGGTGGTGGAACAGCGCCTCGGCCTCCTGCTCCTCGGGCGTCCCGTCGTACTGCGGCGCGTACGCCGTCGTGTTGTACCCGTCGAGGATGAGCTCCGCGCCCTGCAGGCCGTAGCACCGCCACGCCTCGCCCCACCGCCGGTCGTTGCAGATGATCATGCCCACGATGGGGTCGCCCCTGCCGGCCGTCGTCGTCGTCCCGTCGGCGGCCTCGCTGTCTCGCTGGCCCCCGGCCGCCCTCACGGCGCCGCCCACGAGGTCCGGCGCCCGGAAGGCCCGGAACCCGAGGTCGCCCGGCGTGAAGTAGCGCTTCTCGAGCTGCTGCTCCACGCCCCTGCCCGTCTTGTCCTCGATGGGCTCCTTGGTGCCCGGGAGGTGTACCTTGCGGTACTTGCCGACCACCCTGCCCGCGCTTGCGGAGTAGTAGATGGTGGTGTTGTAGTCTGTCACCTTGCCTGCCTCGTCTGTCCAGCGCTCCGCGTACCCGAGGTACACGTCTGTTCCGAGTTCCTTGGCCTTTTCAAAGAGGGGCTTCACCCGTGGCGAGTCCACGACGGCATGCGGGTTGTCGTGGGACTCTGGCTCGAAGAATTCGGCCTTTTTGACGGGGTCGTCGATCTGGTGCCGGGGAAAGAAGGTGGTCAGGGCCAGCTCTGGGAAGACGACCAGTCTGGCTCCTTGGGAGGCTGCATCCGTGAGGAGCTTGAGCATGCGGCCCATTATTTTCTCTCTCGGGTCCGCGAGCTGGTTTGGGCCCATTTGGGCTGCCGCCACTGTGAGGAGGCGTGGTGACGGTTTGGTAGCCATGGCGTCTGCAGGTTATATGGCATACAAGTAATTTGAATCGGGGCCTGTGAAATTTCCAATTATTCCCACTGAACTGTACGTATGGTGACCTCGCCGTTCTTCAGTTATAGTAACCCAAATCAGCTTATATGGTGCCGGGTCTTATCAGCTGGTCCACTACGGAGGCATCCGAGCCGGCAGCGGCGCATCACGACGGGAAGCCCAGCGGGCCGGTATTGAACGCGCCGTTAGCCACATTCGACCCCGCTTCGAGGACTAATCAATGATAGAGTAGTGCTCTCGGCGTGTGTATCTCTGCATATGTAATGGAAGACGAGGTACGATCTTTGCCGGTTTTTACGTTTCAGGGCAAACCGATCTACCCTCTACCTTTGTTGGGTGTTCATACACAGCGTCTCACCACAGGGTAGCTTTTCTTGGTCACTTCATACTCATTCATCTCGCTCCCTGTGATTCAAAAGCGCACAGCGTCTTGAACATATCCAAATAATCATCAAAGTCCGGCCAGTATGTTGGACACCATCATAAAAAATGGACATATTGTGAGTTCAATATGAGGTTATCGCACAATAGTGTTCTCCCGTCTAATTCGTGACAAGGTCACTGCAACCGAAGTCCTTTCTTTAGGAATAGAAATTGGCATCAAAGATGGCAAAATAGCGCTACTGGGCTATGGTCTGGATGCTGGTCCCGACACCACTGTCGTTGACGCCGAAGGGGCATATATCACCCCGGGGTAAGCCAACAATTCAATCTGAATACCACACTGATAACAACATCTGACAACACTTGAAGAGGTGTCGACTCGCACGTTCACATACAACAGGACAACTCCCCTACCGGCGACACTTGGGAAACAGGGTCGCGCTCAGCTCTTGCGGGAGGCAACACTACGGTCATCGCATTTGCCTCACAGAAGCGCGACGAGGGCAGCATCTATCCAGCATTAGAAGCCTACCACAAGAAGGCAACGGGAAACTCCTACTGTGACTACGGCTTCCACGTAATCGTCACAAACCCCACCGAAAAGGTGCTGGAAGATGAGCTCCCACAGCTCGTCCAGAAAGAAGGCATATCCAGCGTCAAGCTGTACATGACCTACGAGCCAATGAAGCTCGGCGACGCCGACCTCTTCAACGTGATGATGCGGGCGCGCAGCCTGGGCATAACCACCATGATCCACGCCGAGAACAGCGACATGATCGCCGCCATCACGGCGCGGCTGGCCAAGGCGGGCAACACGGGGACGTTCTTCCACTCCGTGGCCAGGCCGCAGATCGCCGAGGCGGAGGCGACGTACCGCGCCATCAGCCTCGCGGAGGTGACAGACGCGCCCATACTCCTGGTGCACATGTCCGCCCCGGGGGCCGTCCGGCACGTCGCCGACGCGCAGGCCCGGCTCCTCCCCATCCACGCCGAGACGTGCCCGCACTACCTGTACCTCGTCAGCGAGCGCCTGAGGTCAGGGCCCAAGGACGTCGAGGGCTCCAAGAACATATGCGCGCCGCCGCTGCGGCATGATGCCGGCGACCTGGAGGAGATATGGCGCAGCGTGGCGAACGGGACCTTCACCACCATCAGCTCGGACCATGCGCCTGCTACGTTTGACCACCCGGGCGGGAAGAAGGGCAAGGCGATGGATACTGCCACTATGGATGATCATGGCTGTGTGCACTCTGACTTCCGGTTTGTGCCCAACGGGTTGCCGGGCATCGAGACGCGGTTGCCTTTGATCTTCAACAGGACTTTCGACCCTGCTGCCGGATACCGCTTCCACGATGACAAGATCCGCATATCGCTGCCCCGATTTGTGGAATTGACTTCGACGAACCCTGCGAAGCTGTATGGTCTGGGAGATCGCAAAGGCAGTCTGCTGCCCGGTTTTGACGCCGACTTGGTGATATGGTACCCCGAGCGGGGCGAGGAAGCCCGAAAGGCGATCAAGATCAGCAATGATATGCTTCACCACAGGATCGACTACACGCCATTTGAAGGCATTGAGGTCCGCAACTGGCCCCGATGGGTCTTTCTGAGAGGTAAGCTGGCCTGGGACAGAGACGAGAAGGGGGTCATAGGATCTAAAGCAGATGGTGTTTTTTTGAAAAGAGGCAAGTCAAGCATATTGACGGGCCAAATGGGAAGGCGTGGGACGGGCATGATGGATGGGGAACGCGACTATTGGGCATATAATCCATGAATGGTAGGGCTTGGTATCCGGATGTGTACACATCAGAATCTTCATTTGCTGAGCCTGCCTGTGGTTTCAACATGCATAAATACCGGCGTTGATTGATGACTAGATATATGGCACAGCACAAAATGTCGATAGCAAGATCACAGACAGTTCCTGGTCTCATCAGCATGGGCGGCCTGCTGCTGAATTAAAGATCATGTGAAAGAGGGATCGTGTCGTCGATTTCAGTCTTCCTGGCGATTGCCCGTTCATTGCTGACCTCCAGAAACGAAGGGCATCTTACTGGTCCATCCGATAGTCCCAAGGAATGGATGAATGAAATAGCCCCATCAAGTCCATGCCTGTTAAAAGCCCATCGCTAAACTGGGAAGGGTCATCGCCCATGGGGCAATACAACATGTCCGACAATGTCAGCTCCTGGTCTCCACTTGCAATCTAAGAGAGAATTCTTAGCCATCTAAAACGTCAAACACATACTAGTATCAGCCTGCAGACGCTATTCTCACTCACTGGCACTGTGTCAAATGCGGGTTGCAAAGGAGGGCCGCCCGTGGCTCCAAGCTCGCTGTGCACCGCCGGTTGAGGTTCTTTTCCAGAGCTAATGGATGTGACCCTCTCATTCTGTGACCCGCCAGGTGGTACACTACTTCCGTCATTTGTCTTGCCCTTGTTAACATACTCCCGAGCGATTTGTGAGAACTGGGTTAGCAGAGAGCCCGGAAGCCAGCCAGCACTCGCGTACTCGATCCTACTGAAGTGTCCGCCCCCGACATCCAGTAGAGCCAGGTTTGTGTTTGTTTCCGGGTGTCTTGGATGGCTTATCACCACGTCAAACACGACCAGTAGTGCTGCCACAGGGATCCCGGCAACGAACCTCGCACCAACAACCGTCAGTATGTGAGCAGCCTTGTTAGGCGTGGGGTCACAGTGCTTGCTTACCAAAATGGGGTGGAAGGGCTCACGTCGATGAAAGCTGCCAACTCGAGTATATTCCTCGCGGCCTCGGACATGATGCTCGTGCTTTCGGCTTGACTTGCCGTGGTCACAAGCCCGCGTGTCTTCGCCGCCAGATGCAACCTCGCGCGGCAAAGAGCCAACCTCAAGCTGTGGTACATTAGGTGGGTCCAGACAGAAGCCGTCCGGAGTAAAGAGGACTCGATAAGATTGATCCTGGACGTATCGTTCGGCTCTCCACTGACCGGGGTCGTCATCCTCCAGTTGTCCAACTCATGCTCAAGCTGGTCGATGACCTCTAGGAAATATTCCTCGGTATTGCCCGTCACACCGGCGCAGAAGAGAGAGGATGCCGCCCGTGACAGTAGTCGTGAATAACGTGCGTTTGCCAACAGCCAATCATACTCGCCAAATATTGCTTCAGGGACTATCGGTATTGGCACCGATATATCATGATCGGCGAACGCCTGCTGACCATTAGTACCTTCTTGGGCTACCTATTCTGACGCATGCAGCGGGGGAAGGCTTTTGGGGAACTTTTCACGACTCACAGAAGACCTCCCGAAGTGGAAACTGGAAATTTTCTCAACCGAATAGAGGATCCAGAATGCCTTCTGGTAGCTTAGGGTATCGCTTTCTGGAAGTTTGTGGCTTCGGAGATTCTGTGCTCTTCTGGCAGCTTCCTGGATGACAACGTGCTCGATGGCCATGCAGGAAATTGAGAGGGAATAGATGGACATTGCCGTCAATGCTTGAAGCACAAGGATAGAGTCAGGTAGGCTGAGCAGTTCGGAAAACACGGCCATAGACGTGGAAAACAACGCCCATGAATTCCCCCTCCCAGGCTGATAGCTTCCTTCACCATAGAGCTGACAGCCTATGGCAAGAATAGCATTATACAAAGCTAACCAGGCTTTGTTGTGATTGAGCTCTTGTAAAAATGTCGGGCCCAAGAGGGCGGCCTCGAAGGCTTTCCTGTCGAGGAATGGGAAGAGGGGATAAGCTCGTGTGAAATATGCTATAATGCAGGAAATAAGTGTCAAAGATTCTGGAAACTACAGCTGATGACCAGAAATCAGTGCATAGGGTAGGACCAGAAACACCTGGAAATCACCAGAACTCACCCTCCAAATAGAGTTTGGTGTCGCTGGCACCGAGTACGACACCGCGGGTCTCTCTAGCGAGTTGCAACGGTTTAGTAGACGCCGTGTCATGACGTGGTAACCGAGACTGGACAAGGGATGTTATCTGCCCCAGCAGCTCGTCTACTTTGCTGTTCTGTAACTGCTTCGACAAGTGCAGTAATTTGTGATCAGAGAAGAACGTCATTCTGTAATTGCCAACTGCCGGGAATTGTTAGAACAAGTTTGGCTGGGGGTGTGACTTGAACGTGCCAAATATTTCATTTCCCTAGTAATGTCAACAAAAAAAAGACAACATTGAAGCAGTAGAAACGCCGACAACACGCACCTGGACGGCAATTGGCTTGCTGTCATTCAAGCCACCGTTGGTTCGAGCCTGAGCCAGAAGCTTGTCGACATATAGACTTGGTAATTTGTCGACGGTCTTTTCAAGAATTGTTTTAGCAACTATTTCCAGCACGGGTTGATCGACTTGACACTGACTCGACCACCAGCGGATGCACTTGTTGTTGGTGGGCCATGTGCCCCTGGGCTCTGTGAGTTGTGAACTGTGATATCCAAGTTGACTAGATATGAATTATTACCGGCTTGTAATTCAATAAAGCACTGGAGTGATTGGAATTACCATTGTGCCTTCGTGCAGGCCTCACAGGGCTGAAGTGGCAAGTATCTTTCCGGCGCTGTTTGAAGTGTCAGGATACCGCGTAGACAGGGACACTTCCAAGGACCTACGATACAAGTCAGGCAGGGACCAGGATAGCCTGCGCGGCAGAAAGTCAGCTCAGATGTTGTCGTCTCACGCTCATGGTGTCGATACGGGAGCTTACCTGAGCAACGAACCTTGCGGGCCTTGCAGGCGTCGCAGGTCCTGGCAAACCTACGGCTAGTTGGCGTGTCGGACATCTCGGTAGGAGCTCGGAAGCGATGGGAGCACTCGACTAATAGGAAAAGGGATGGAGCCCCGTCAGAAAAAAGAGGAAGAGACACCCTTAAACGAGAGTTTCGGTCACTGCGTGGACCGAGCCTGACCGACTCCACCATCGCTAAACCCCTTTAGGCATGTCGGTTCCGAGATACCACATGTCAGAACAAAAGTCAAGGTCTTCGCAAAGAACCCGGACAGGGCTGAGTGGGTCTCTACCGTAGATCTGTATGGATTCCAGAATATTTTCAGCTGCTGACAGGGTCTTATTGGGCGTAATTGATACTGGTACTTCTTCGCACCCGGCAGTGCGGACTCCATCTGCACGTCTGCGCACACGGCACGTTGTACACGAGAGCACCGAGGGCTCCACCCCGAGACTCGGGAGACAACTTTCGGAAAGTGACAATCGGCCTCCCAGCAAAGGAGTTCGGCTCTAGCAGAGCCTCCTACATTTATGATAAGCCATGGATCTTCTAAGTTAAAGAGAGGGTATAAGTAGGTGTTGCTGGCTTGCCCATCAGCTTGAATCGGCCCCAGATGGCAAGCTGCGGCAGGTGAAGGCACTCCTTCTATCTTCTCGTTCCTGTTTTCCTTCTCCATCACTTTCCCTTTACTGCGAATCTGACTGCAGCTCGTCACAATGTCAGATCGGGACAAGAAAGAATGGGGCGAAGAAATGATTACCAGCCGTACATCAAGCAGGACGCCCGCGAATCAGTTCCCAGCCAATTCGACAGCAGCGGAAGACTCGGATACTCTCGACGAAGATGCACGCGAGGTCTACACTGTCTCGTCAAGAGCAGGTGATGAACGCATTGCAGAACTCGCCAGGTCCTTCAGCCAAACGCAGGCCACATCGGCCGATACTCAACATGACAATCCCTTTCTTTCCCCGGTTCCTTCTCTGGACCCCAACTCAGCCGAATTTGACCCCCGGAAATGGATATCAGCTCTCCTCCATGCCTTCTCGAAGAACCCTGATCAGTATCCTCGCCAGCCCCTCGGCGTCTCATGGCGATATTTGGGTGTACACGGATTCGGAAGTGATACTGACTACCAGAAGAATATGATGAACGTGCTCTGGCGAGCGCCTCTCATTGCCAAAGAGTGGATCTCGAGTCGGAAGCAGAAGATTCAGATTCTCAGGGACTTCGACGGCTTGGTGAATAGCGGAGAGATGCTCCTGGTTCTCGGTCGTCCAGGAAGGTTAGCTTGCCTTTTTGATCATTCTTACTTCTGGCTGGCCGACAGGACTAGGCTGATGAGAGATGTCTAGTGGTGTATCCACGATGCTCAAAACAATTGCTGGCCAGGTCCAGGGTCTCCATCTCGACGACCGGTCAATGCTTAGCTATCAAGGTAAGCGCTGCATCCAATGCTCATGGCCAGGTGACATTATGGTAGACTAACAAATGAATAGGGGTGCCCTGGAACGTGATGCATAGCCGATTTCGCGGCGAGGTCATCTACCAGGCGGAGACAGACATCCACTTTCCACAGCTGACTGTAGGTCAGACACTCATGTTTGCCGCTTTGGGAAGGACACCCAAAAATCGGCTCCCTGGTGTTAGTCGCGAACATTACGCTCGCCATGTCAGGGATGCCGTCATGGCCGTGTTTGGAATATCGCATACGATCAACACAAGGGTTGGCAATGATTTTGTTCGTGGCGTGAGCGGTGGTGAGCGGAAGCGGGTCAGTATTGCCGAGATGATCCTGAGCCAAAGCTCCATTCAATGTTGGGACAACAGCACAAGAGGCCTTGACAGTGCAGCCGCTCTCGAGTTTGCGAGGACCCTCCGACTATCGAGCGAGCTGATGGGAACCACTGCTATTGTGGCCATGTACCAAGCCTCCCAGCCTGCATACGATGTGAGCCTTTCAAGCCTCTGTACATCGCCATGACAACCATACTTACCTGTTTCGCAGACATTCGACAAAGTCACTGTCTTGTACGAGGGAAGACAGATCTACTTCGGACCCAAGGATAGAGCCAAGCAGTATTTCATTGATTTGGGATATCACTGTCCCGATCGCCAGACCACAGCAGACTTTCTCACCTCGATGACAAACCCCGAGGAACGCATAATTCGGTCCGACGTGGAGAATGTCAGGGCGGTACCGCAGTCTCCTGATGAGTTTGCCGCCGCGTGGAAATTCAGTCAAGAGCGGCTACAGCTGATCAACGATATTGCAACTTTTGAGAGCAGATCTCCTACCAACGGTCCGGAACATGAAAATCTCAAGGCAGCCCAGAAGTCTCGACAAGCCTCGCTAACGTGAGTGGTAGAACTCCCAGGAGGCCATCCCCGCATTTTGTGGAAGTACCGTACCAATACTAATTGTCCGAAAGGAGAAACAAGTCGCCCTACACAATCTCAGTCCCAATGCAAGTCCAGCTTTGCCTTTCTCGCGGGTTTCAGCGACTCAGGGGCGACATGGTCTTCTTCACCATCACTGTTTCAGCCAATCTTGTTATCGCCCTTGCACTTGGCAGTATTTACTATGACCTTGCTCCCACAGCCGAGACGCTCAACAGCAAATGTATCCTGCTATACTTCGCCATTCTGTTCAATGCCTTGAGCTGTGCCTTGGAGGTAAGTTCTGGACCAATTGGCGTTTTGTTGTGTGTTACTTGCTAATCATCATTGAACGCGTCTGTAGATTTTCTCGCTCTATGTACAGCGCCCAATCGTGGAGAAACATTACCGCTACGCCTTGTACCACCCATTTTCCGAAGCCATCTCGTCCATAATCACCGAGCTTCCTAGCAAGATCCTCTCTGCCATCTGCTTCAACGTCCCTTTGTACTTCATGACAAACCTACGCCGGGAGGCGGGGCCGTTTTTCATCTTCTTCCTGTTTAGCTTCACCTGCACATTCACCATGTCGATGATCTTCCGCACCATCGCACAGGGATCTCGGTCCATCCAGCAGGCCCTGACCCCAGCTGCCATGCTTATCCTTGGACTTGTTATATACACGGGCTTTGTCCTCCCAACAAGGAGCATGCAAGGCTGGCTTCGCTGGATCAATTACATCGACCCGATCGCCTACGCATACGAGAGCCTGGTTGCGAACGAGTTCTCCGGCCGGAAATTTCCCTGCACGCAATTTGTTCCGATGGGCCCGCCCTATATGGATGCCTCTCCAGCACAAAGGGCTTGTGCGACATCGGGAGCCCTCCCTGGCCAGGACTACATTGACGGTGACTTCTATATCAACAATCTCTATGGATATTACCACTCCCACTTGTGGAGGTAAGGACGAACAGAAACCAAGACATTAACCGGGTGACTAATCCTGTGGAACAGAAATCTCGGCATTCTGATCGGTTTTGTTGTGTTCTTCATGATCATCTACATTGCTGCAGCCGAATACCTGTCACTTGATCCCAGCAAAGGTGAGATCCTGGTGTTTCGCCAGGGGCATACCCCCAAAATGCCCAAGTCGCACGTCAGTGATGATGAGGAGTCCACACCGGCTGGACCCGTCCATATTCAGGGCAGGGCGACAGAGGAAAGCGGAGGACCAGGGTATAAAACAGCTGTGTATGCGGGTGAAAAAGACAAGTCTGAGTCCATATTCCACTGGAGCAACGTCTGTTACGACATCTCCATCAAGGGGGAGCCAAGAAGGATTCTAGATCATGTGGACGGATGGGTGAAGCCTGGTACTTTGACGGCTTTGATGGTCAGTACCCACAGCCGCCTCCAGTGAATCATCGATGCTGATCAAAGCCAGGGTGCCTCTGGAGCTGGCAAAACCACACTGTTGAATGTTCTAGCGGACCGGGTGACGATGGGCGTGGTGACCGGAGACATGCTCGTAAATGGTCAGCTCCGACAGAAATCATTTCAGCGACAGACTGGATACGTACAGCAACAGGACATCCATCTCGAAACCGCGACAGTCCGGGAAGCATTGCAATTCAGCGCGATACTTAGGCAGCCCGCAACGACGTCAGTGGCAGAGAAGCATGCCTACGTCGAGGAAGTCATTGGGTTATTGGGCATGGAGGCCTACGCAGAAGCCGTGGTCGGTGTTCCCGGCGAAGGTGAGTCGGAGTGAAATGAGCCCCGATTCCCCTGGGCCGATCAGACTAATGAGTATCATGATATCGCAGGCTTGAATACCGAGCAGCGGAAACGGCTGACTATCGGCGTGGAGCTTGCAGCCAAACCAGACCTTCTTCTGTTCCTGGACGAGCCGACCTCGGGCCTCGACAGTCAGACGTCTTGGTCGATAGCCCTCTTAATGAAGAAGCTGTCGGATCACGGACAGGCCATCCTGTGTACCATTCACCAACCTTCAGCTATGTTGTTCCAGCAGTTCGACCGGCTCCTGTTGCTTGCCAAAGGTGGCCAAACAGTCTACTTCGGCGAAATTGGTGAGAATAGTAAGACGCTGACCCAGTACTTCGAGAAGCACGGAGCTGCCCCATGTGGTGCGGCCGAAAATCCGGCGGAGTGGATGCTTAAGGTCATCGGCGCTGCGCCGGGTGCCCGGGCGGATCGAGACTGGTACGAGACCTGGCGGTGCAGCAATGAATACAAAATCGTGCAAGAGGAGCTCAAGCAGCTCGAGCAACGGCAGCATTTAACGCCTAACACTGGGAAGGAGTCCGATATGTCGTCTTCTTACGCGACACCCTTTTACCTTCAATTTGCTGTCTGCACAAAGAGGGTCTTTCAACAGTACTGGCGGACCCCATCATACCTGTACTCCAAATTGTTCCTCTGCGGCGGCATGGTGAGTACACCCGATGAGTCGCGACATGACAGCGGTTAGACTAACGTGTGAACAGAGTCTGTTCATTGGTGTATCTTTCTACCAGGCGGAGCTCTCCCTGTCTGGGCTTCAGAACCAAATGTTCTCCATCTTCATGCTCCTCGTCATCTTCGCCTTCCTAGTGTACCAGACCATGCCGCATTTCATCATCCAACGACAGCAGTACGAGGGCCGCGAATCTGCGTCCCGCATGTATTCCTGGCACGTGTTCATGCTGTCCAACATCGTCGTGGAGCTGCCGTGGACGACCCTGGCCTCGCTTCTGATCTTCTTTCCGTTCTATTACCTGGTTGGTATGAACAACAACGGGATATTAACCGACTCGGTCACCGAGCGCGGTGGTCTGATGTTTCTGATCATCTGGACCTTCATGGTTTTCCAGTCCACATTCGCCGACATGTGTATTGCTGGCGCTAATACAGCCGAGGAGGGCGCCATCATATCCCTGCTCATGTTCGCACTATCGCTCATCTTTTGCGGGTAAGTTTACTAACCTCCCTGGGGATCTTCCCCCCTCCCCACAGATTGGAAGGAAATAGAATGAGGGGAGAGGTGAGAATGCAGAGAAAGTGCTGACTGAAACTGGGTAGCGTTATGGTCCCTCGCTCGGCACTCCCTGGCTTCTGGATCTTCATGTACCGCGTATCACCCATCACGTACATCGTATCCGTAATGCTCTCGACGGGCGTGGGTCAGAACGCCGTGCGGTGCTCCGAGCTGGAGCTTCTGGTTTTCCAGCCGCGCGCCAACCAGACCTGCGCCGAATACCTGGAGCCCTTCCCTGTGGGCGCCGTGTACAACCCGTTAGCGACCGACAACTGCCAGTACTGCCCCATGGCCAGCACGGATCAGTTCCTGGCGTCGACCGATATCTTTTACAGCCATAGGTACCGTGACTACGGCCTCATTTGGGCATACATTGTTTTCAATATCTGCGCTGCATTCTTTCTGTACTGGCTTGTACGAGTGCCCAAGAAAGGTAATTGGAGAAAGATGCTTGGTTTTCGATGAACTAGGTGTCACTTAGGGCTGTATTTCACTTTATTGTCATGTGTTTTCTTCATTCATTATTTTGGAAAGGTGTCTTATTGGATTTACCTGCTTTTCTCACTCGTCAGTCATTCTAAATTCCCTACCTAGGTAGTACGGCAGCCTTTCATGCTCAGGAATGACTTCTGATAGGATCACCGTGTCATTTAGACTGAGATCAGATAATATCTCTAATTCCCGCTTCTTCTTCTTCAATCTTTATGAAAACTCCGAGTCTTCCCGCCACTATTTTCATAGTTGGGCAACCCAGGGGCGTCCCATGATGCCCGTCGTCATCAAACTCTACAATGAGACAGTGAGCTCGGTCCCGATATAGGAGCGCCGTGGGAGATCATCAGTCGACATTAAAACTGTGGACCATGTGTAATGCAGTACTGCTCCCATGTGAATATACAGCAAAAGATACATGAACGGGATAAAATTCCAGGCTTTGGTTCCGCTGCCCGGCGCTTGATGAACACTTACCTGGTACCGAGCACTCGGAGCACGAGTGAAATTGGAGTGCTGGGGTCGTTGTGTGTTCCCCTGTAAATGTGCTTGCAGTAGCGCTAAACGCAGGCCGCTAGCGACCCAAGGCGGGGGCTTTTTGAAATTAAGGGCTCAAACCCCATGTTCGTACCGCTGTCATTGTATCAGCCTATGATTTGACAGGTAAATCGTCAGTTCTAGCGCCCAGGCGCCGTGAGATGCTTGTCAATTCTATTGACGGTCCTACTAACCATGGCAGGCCATGGCTGACCCGTGTTGTCTCGGCACTTTATGATAATAATTTCTCCGCGTGGATCCAATATCCCGGGCCCGAATTCCTGGAATCGGAAATAATCAGGAGAGACCAAGGTCGGACTACAATGTGCTTATTATTACAGCTGGTAGACGCAGTCCTCCTGGATGCAGAACTGCACGGCCCACTTTCTTTTCACACATTCGTTATTACTGTCTTTCTGTTTTCCAATCCGTTGTACGGATCTTCACACTCGCTATGGTAAACATTCAAAGGTCTTTCCTGACCTCTTTCGTGGTCCTGGGATATGCATCCGAGGCTTTGGCTGCATTCGTCCACCCAGGCCTGCTGGTCACCACCTCCGACATCGACCGAGCCAAGGCCAAGGTCGAGGCAAAGCTTGACCCCTGGCTGGCCAGCTGGGACAAGCTGACCAGCTCAGAGTACGCCCAGGCTGAGTACACCAACAACGCCGTCGAGACCATCTACCGCGGCTCCGACGGCGAGCATGACGCGAACAACGAGCTCCTATGGCACGACGCCGCCGCCGCCTTTATGCTCGCGCTGCGCTGGAAAATCAGCGGCAACGACTCGTACGCTGATGCCGCGGCCTCTATCCTGACCGCCTGGGGCGAGAAGCTGACGGCCATCGGCGGCGACATGGACGCGTACCTCTGTGCTGGCTTCCAGGGGCACGAGCTGGCCAACGCAGCCGAGCTCCTTCGAGACTACCAGCCCTTCATGGACAAGGGCTTCGACACCGTCACCAACATGCTCAATACTATTTTCCTGCCCATGAACATCGCCTTCCTCAACCACGAGCTCCCGGCCGAGCACATTTGGACGCATTTCCATGCAAACTGGGAGCTCGGAAACATGGCTTCGGCTATGGCAATCGCAGTCCTGACCGAGAACACAACCACCTGGGACTTTGTTGTGGACTATTTCAAGAATGGCGGAGGCAATGGCTGCATCAACCTCGCCGTCTCAAATCTGGTGGAGGAGCCCGGCACTGGGGTGATCCTCGGACAAGGGCAGGAGTCTGGTCGTGACCAGGGACACTCAGCGCTCGACCAGCAGATGCTTGGTGTTATTGGGCAGCAGGCATGGAACCAGGGAGAAGATCTGTTCTCGTACAACGACAGTCGTATTCTCCAAGGGTAAGTGTGCCTTTGCATCCGTTTTCACGAGACCCAAGTTAACTGACTCATGCGCATCAGAGCTGAGTACTTCGCCCGCTACAATCTTGGCCACGACGTCCCCTTTGTCAACTATACCAACTCCATCGTCTTCTGGGACCAGATCAGCGAAGCCTCGCGCGGCGCCACCCGACCCACGTGGGAGCTGCTCTATAGCCATTATGTCCAGATTAAGGGAATGGACGCACCATGGACCACCAAGTATCTCAACTACACCCTGGATGGATATGGTGGCTTCGAGCCGGGTGCGGGGACCTACGGCGAGGGTTCTGGACATTATGACGGCCTCGGATGGGGCTCTTTGTTGTACCACATGGACGAGTCTGACGTGAAAGCGGTTGTGAAGCCGACCGAAGGCATCTCAGCCAACGCTGCTGCTGCAGTGTCTTCGTCTAGCATATCCGTCTCGGCATCCGCGACCACCTCTTCGAGTGTGGCTGCGAAGCCAACCAAGGCGCACAAATGTCGCAGACGTCACCGGGCAGCTTGAATGGTCTTATATTATCTTTGCATCTCTTGGCTCCTCGAGTGTGAGACTGCAGATTAAACTACAAGGAACTATGTCCTCGTAACTTTCTGTTCTATGTAAAAATTAGCCGGTCGATATTGATGTTGGCGTGCTCATCTAGCAATGTTGAACGTTGTCAGCTCCACGGTATCAAGATGCACTTTTGAAATGCTCACTCCTCGTTAGCTAATTATGTGCTTTTGATGGAACTGAACCGCCAAGACTCGAGAACATGCCAGAGGTTTCTTATTGGGATCAGAGATTTGCACCCACAAAAACAGAGGGCACACACGGGCTGTAAGGCTAACTACCTACCTAGGTGCATAGTGATTTGAGCTAGAGAAGACATAGGATGAGTCCGAGATTTGAGGACTCAGGTCAATGCTACTCTACCTAGGTGTTTATCTCATAAGAGATTATTAGACGTTGTCCTGTGTGGGCCGTGTACCCTCCGTTTTTGCGGGTGCCAATCCCCGATCTTTTCTCCTTTTGCAACCTTTGCTCGGGCAAAGAATCAAAGAACAGCGCGTGAAACACATTGAAAAAAAAAGGTTTCTGATTGAAAAACAGGTTTGAAGAGGGATATGCATGAGTTTTGCGCCCCAGCCAAGACCCTATGTTTTGCCTCCAGGGAGTCATCTGCAGCCCATCCTTCCCAATCCAGACACTGTGTGTGGCAGTGATTGTCATCCGCACGTCATCAAGCCTATCGGTTGCATGAGCTGCGATGACTACTAGTACCTTGGAAATCCTCAATAAATATGACGGAAATATTGTAAAAAAAACAAGAGCAGGAGGCCCCCGATCCCTGGGTGAAAACGAAGCCACAACTATTCGATTTTTAAAGTTATTTGAATTGGAAGGACACTCCGCGATACCTGCCTATCAAGGACTGTCTCGTGATAGCACTTGAGTGAGTGCCCGTATACGATAAGCTCTGCACACCGAAATCTGCCCCAGTAAGCTTCATTTCTATCCCTGCAGTCCATCGGCTCCCTGGATTATTCGGAGCTTTGCTGATGGCATACTCGAAGCACCGACAGAAAATTCAAATATTGCAACGTCTCCTCCCAGCCTTTCCCAACCACTGTATTGCTTTGCTGGTAGTGATGTCTGGACACCATTCCTTCAGAGGCATATTCGACGGATTCTTCGGGATCTGCGACATTTTCCTCGAGAAACTTGGGGGCGGTTACTACAGGGCCAAGCCGGGTGATGATCTTGGTCGGAAACAAGACCGCAACACACGTGACAGCCATCGAGAAAGCCATCGAGAAAGCCATCGAGACAGGAGGTGATGGTGATGATTCCCACAATTCGTCCATCTAGGCTCCGGCATCAATTGATTTTTAAACACTCGTGGAAAATGTCTTTGGCGGCGCGAGAGAGAAAGCACGCGGCCATCTCTGACGAGTCTACTGGCGATTGGATAACTTGACCATATCCAAGTTCCTGGCCGCAAGACGCATCGTGCATATCAAGATTGGAAAAGAAGAGTTGTTCAGAGGCAGTAGAGAGCCGATTTTTGGATGGAGTGATCAATTCGGTGATAATGATTCGAATGCATGACCCGAGGCTCGCACTTCCCTTTCGCCGAAGCCCTAAGGTAAACCATCATCTTTTTTAGTACTGCGGCAATACGCCTTGGAATCATTGAGGGTCATGCTGCCTAGCCCTAGAGTATCTCGGTGACTCCTGAGGTGAAGTAGCGCCAATCCAGTTTTGAATTGGGACCACCACTGCTCCAAATATCTTATTGTTTCAGCCCTTCCCAGAACCCTTGCCATTAATCTTGACATCTAGACGCGCGAGATCTTCTTCTAATCTCTCCTCCCTATTCCTTTCTGGAATGCTGTTCGAAATCTTCTCGGTGATTGTTGGCAAAGCCGAGAGATACGATGTCAGGGCATGAGATGGCCCCGATCCACCATAACTGAGTAGAAGGATTGTCAACCGGGAGTTTCAAGCGTCTCAATTGTGAGACCTCCCACACTTACGGTTCGTCTCCACTGACTCGAGCGGAAGCCTCTGACATTGCGACGGTGATTCTGAAAAATAAAAAGTAATTTGCAATGCACCCCGTCTTTCTTCTATCTGCGCAGTCATACAACAAAGTTCGACTAATTTCTCGGAAGTTCCGGAAGTTGGCTGCGTTGTACTTGATCATCGAATTTCTTTGGTGTTCTCTATATTCTGTCACACTCATATTGATGTCTAAAGTTTTGCGCAGGTGAGATTAATTATATATTATCGCTTGTGGCTTCGCTTGCAACATTCCCTATCCGGCCCTCAGGCTCTGGTCCTGGGCACAACTTGACCCAAAGCCATCTGATATCCAGATGCTGGGACGCAGAATCGATGGACAGTCATGAACAACGATAAAGGAGAGCACTATGGTGCTTTAACAGCTGAGCGATGTCGGTTCCTGGAAGCATCTCATTCGCTCGGCTATTTAGCTGCAGCTGCAGCTCGGGATTCGAAACGTTGCTGAGCACAATTGTGCTTTGGGCTGCACTAGAGCACAGCCCGTCAGCACGCCTGATGAGTGTCTTGAGGAGCACATACGACACGAGATCTATCTGCTCAGTGTCGGGATTCTACCCTAATGGCATTCAGACTTGAGGCTTCATTTTCGGCACTTACCGTATTTAGCTATCTACCGTCTTACGATCCATCTTTTCGCTCTCCGAGCCGCCACGTCCACTGTGCTCAGGTGTATTTCGAGCACTGTCTGTTGGGGGTTTGGCGCCACGGATTACCGCTGCTGTTCTCTAGATCACCATAAGCCAACCTCCGCTATCGTCTATTTCCATCATTGCAACCGGCAGACCAGACACAGATAGCAAAGCTGAAGACTTCTGTGCCTGCTAGAAAGCCTGGCCTGTAGTGACATTTTGTCACTCCCACTGATGCATATGCTACGAGCGGCCAGTCTACGTTATCCCTATCCCCCAGAGTATACCTCTACGCCAAGTTCTGGCGACACGATGCAAGAACTCGTGGACAACATGGCATTTCGACCCCTCTCATATGCCAGGCACAACCCTGACCCACGACGAGCGACACCGTCAAAAATAGAGAAACTGCCTGCGCCGCCTCCTGCAAACCCTGCCGACATGAATCCCCCCTGCAACACGCTCTACGTCGGCAACCTGCCCATGGATAGTAACGAGGACGAGCTCAAGAATATCTTTTCCAGGCAGCGCGGCTATAAGCGGTTGTGTTTCCGTTTAAAGGCCAATGGACCAATGTGCTTTGTCGAGTTCGACGATATCTCCTCCGCGACGAGGGCGCTTAACGAACTGGACGGGGTTCCGCTCACCAACAGTATAAAGGGCGGCATCCGGCTGAGCTTCTCCAAGAACCCACTTGGTGTCGGAACCTCCCAAAAAGCGCCAGCTAGTTCTGAAATCCGTTTGGTATTACCCCATACTGATACGCAAGGAAGTAACGACTCCGGCTACTCAAGCATGCGAGGTCAAGGCAACATCTCCCGGACTATACAGGGACTCATCCACTCAACACCTTGGCAGTCTGGATATTACAACCAAAGCTTCTGCGGGATTGCTGGTGGATTCAGTGTCGGTGCGGACGCGGCTCGTCAATCGAGGACGAGCTCGGTTGAAACAGGTGAGCGTGGCGTATTCGGTTGCGTTGAAACCTTGGAATGAAAGGGCTGTATTAACAGACCATTGGGTACCCTCCAGACGCCCAAATAGATGCAGCTCTGATATCTACTGAAACCGGAAGTCGCGATGTTGTTGCAATTGGGAACAGTGAGAGAGACACGGCCAGTTCTGCTTCGCGACAGGCGGCTCCGCCGACGAACGGCTCGGACGCTTCGATTGACGAGCTTTCAAGGCAGCCAACCGGGATCTCAACCCCTGACTCGGATTGTTCCTGGCCGACCGAAGATTCGGAAGACGAGGACTTGATCTTAGAAAGATCACACCCATTCATGCTATTCCGAGGATTGGCGTTTGCGAGAGTATTCGAAAGATTCCTTTGGTGGAAAAGGTGTCCATTAGAACAGCACGCCGAATGTAATGAGGCAAGCAAGGTTAACGGCGCTCTAACTCAAGAAAAGGGCAAGGGGAATGATTCAGCATTAGGGAAACGAAAATGGGCGGACCTATCGGAGCACAACAAAGGGATAACTGATGATAACGAGCGTTCGTCATCTCAGACCACTGTCACCTCGAACAAGCGCAGACGAACTTCTGACAGGCAGTTAACGTTTGCCTGTCCATACACGAAGAAAGATCCCATGTCTTACAGAGACTGTTACAGGTACAAACTAAGTAGAATCCGTGACGTCAAGCAGCATCTCGATCGATGTCACAGGAATCCACCATACTGCCCCAGATGCAGGGATACATTTCGGACCGAAGAGGAACGTGACGAACATATTCGAGAGGTCTCCTGTTCAGTGCGGCCAGCGATGATGCTTGGGGGAATCACAGAAGCGCAAAAAGCACAATTGCGAAAGAAGTCGGCGTCGAACATCTCCGTGGAGGCCCAGTGGTTTGTTGTCTTTGATATCCTCTTCCCAGGGCATGACCCGCGCCCTCAGTCCCCGTACGTCGATACGGACCTGCTGCAAGATATCACACTCTATCAAGACTATCTGACCAGTCATGGACCGCGCATCCTTTCCGATGTTCTTACCCAGCGGGGGGCAATAACTTGGAACCTCCCGAACGAGGAGCGGGACCTCGCCGCCTTTCAACAGACGATCTTTGAGGATGGACTGCGTGCCGTTTTCGATCATTGGGTGGCGCATAGAAGTCTCAACAGGGATGAAACGAACATCTCTTCAGCCTCAGCGATCCCTGGTGAGCTTACGCCTCCGTCGTCATCCAACTCAGGTGAAGCAACTGGCCCGAACTCAATCCAGGCTTTTAGAGTTCCACCGCCAGCTATAACATCCGCGCTTTCTCGGCAGGGCTCAACCAGTAGGCCTCCTGATTCCCAAAACTTTCAACCCGATTCAGAAGGCCAAATTACTTCCAATGAAGGCCAACACAACATACTCAGTTTTGGGAACGGTGGCCTTCGTTATTATCAGGAGTTACCCTATGATGGTCCGGACGACGAGCTAATGAGGTTCATGCTGGACGTTCAAGAGGGCTCGTCATTCCACACCGCACTAGGCTGAACATCAGGCTCCCAGACGGAGGACAGCATGCGCGAAAATTCACGGCAAGACCGGAAAATAGTCTCCGGGGATGTCTTAAAGTGTATTGGGAAGGTTGTTGGGCTCTAAGTAAAGAATGATCATATGGGTGGTCTCTCGTATTAGCACTGTCATTACTTTATGATCTTTACGACATAAATATCCTGTTTTGATTTATGGAAAAAGTTATGTCCGGTTCACATAGAAACATCGCACAATTCGCAGTCCTGGGCGTCTGTGCCACGGGGATCCTGTATCCTACCAAGTGCAAGTAGCCATCGTGCTACCTAGAGACCTTTCCAGAGTAGCTTGATTCCCTCAAGGGCAAACCCGATTCTTCTGTATCCAACTAATCATGGCGGGTCCGACGCAGCCGGTGCATGCGCAAATCTGCGAAGAGAACTCAACCAATGCATTCACAGCCGTTGGATTAATGAGTTTACCTTCTGCTGGTTCGTAGCTGTCCCATCCGTGCCAGTAAGGCAACTCAGCACCTGGTCCTTGTTTCCAAAAGAAAGGAATTTGTTGAAGCAGGCACTCGCGTTGATGACAGACCGGCAAGAGTCGCTATTCACGTCGCAGGGCCCATCCGCCAGGGCGGACGAGATGAAAACAAGAAGGATACTAGCTTGGATTCTCATCGTGTTGAGCTGATTTCCGAGCAGGATTACCTGATGTCCTAAGGAAGTGGAAGCACGGCGACTTGATATCTAGGATTTATGCCAGACCGCTAATGGCATTAATCGTAACACAAACATGCACGCCATCAGATCAGGACGTTGGCAATATGGCTAAATGCCCCGGTGCGGCAGGTGTTGAGCCCTTTTCGGCAGTTGGGCAATTAATGATCCAGAGTAGGGTTACCTTGACAGCTACTGCCGATGAATCTTCCCCGAGGGTTACTTTACTGGACATTGCTTTTATACTACTAGTAGCCTTGGCTTCTCCTGTGAAACGGCTGGCTCAACTGACAGGCGAGCGGTAAAGGGGAGCGTTGGATATCTGTGTTGTGTCATGTCTCAACGTTTGGTTCAATTTCTCAAAAGGGAGAACGAAAAAGGAGTGGAAAAAAGGGATATCAAAAGTGACGAGTACCTGGGTAAGCAGTGCTAGTAGTTCTGTGCTAAGTATTTTACTGCTGCAATGCATAATCTAAACGACTTGCATCAACGCTCCTACTTCATCAAATACTTCTATTGACTTCTGTTAACTCAAACTACGACCATAATCTGAATGATAAACGAATTCTTAGCTCCGCGCAAGTACCATGAGAACAAGCATTATTTCATAAGCATTACGGACCGGCATGTGAAGATCCGCAGAGTGCTCGATAAATGACTTACATGACACATCTCGTACTACGCGTCCATAAACGGAAACGTGGAATTACCCATCATTCCCCATGAGAGCTCGTGGCTCAACTCACCACCAGTGATTCATGTACCACATCACTCAAAAGTAGCTGATTCACCAATGATGATTGTCACAGAAGTTGACACTGTCCATCGGATCACCCTACCTGTCACTGATAGGGTAATTCCGAGCATGACCTGTCCCACCCTTCGCTAGCTTTCACCAGCTTGCTCTAGAGGGGAAGGTAGCTGGGGAGGCAGGAGCCATGTTAAACCCATCACCCGCGGCGAATCATTCACCCTTCAAAGAACAGAGCTACGTGAGGATATCCTTGAATTTAAAGACCCCATTCAGAGTGAATCTCTGGTACCGCATGCCTCATCAGTCATAATATTCCTCTGTGAAAGTGAACGAAAAGCACAAGACGCCAGAGACACGATGTATCGCCGAATAATCTTCTTCGTGGCGCTGTTCACGCTGAGCAGCGCCCTAATCCGCTTCCAATGCTCGCAACTGGTAGTCCAAAGACTCGACCCATTGGTGAACCCTGGGCAGGTCCCGTCAGCGCATGTTCACCAGATCGTCGGAGGTGTAAGCTGATGATCCCATATTAATGATACTGCCTCTCTGATGAGAACCCACAGAATGCTTTCAATGCCTCCATGGATCCCGCCAGAGACCTGCCGACCGAATCGACTTGTACCACTTGTTCCTTCAGTGAGGACTTTTCTAACTACTGGACGGCGGTGTTGTACTTCCGCGCACGTAACGGGACGTTCAAACGCGTCCCGCAGACATCACAGATCAGTGGTGCTCAGGCCGGCATCACCGTCTACTATATGCAGGATGCACTCTACGACACGGCCCAGAAGTCGAAGGTCACGTCGTTCAAGCCAGTAAGTGAAAATAACAGGACCCTGCTAGCTTTGAGCTGTGACATTATGTAGTCTGACGAAACCCACAGGGCTTCCGCATGTTTATCGGTGATGTCAACGCACGCACCAGGGAGCAAGTTCTCAAATTCCGACAGCTGACCTACACTTGCATGGAGAACTCAGGAACACGAGAACCTGAGACACTTAGTATGTCCCGCTGGCCCCCTTCCGCCCTGAGACTGGGCTCGACATACATACTGACTGACACAACCACCTAGACATGCCGACCAAGCCCTGTCCCGCCGGTATCATGGTAAACGCACGGTTCCCCACATGCTGGGACGGAAAGAACCTCGACTCTCCGGACCACATGGCTCACATGGCGTATCCCGAGAGCGGCACCTTTGAGAGCAACGGGCCGTGTCCAGCCAGCCACCCCGTGCGCATGGCGCAGGTTCTCTTCGAGGTCGTCTGGGATACCCGCCAGTTCAACAACAAGGCCGACTGGCCGGCAGACGGCAGCCAGCCTTTCGTGTGGTCGTTTGGAGATGCCACAGGGTATGGAAATCATGCCGATTACGTCTTTGGCTGGAAAGGCGACGCCCTGCAAAAGATCCTGGATACACCCTGCGTGGTGAACTGTGCTGGGGCGAAAAGCCAGTCCACCTCTGCTATGAATCAATGCAAGCAGGCGGCCGTAGTGAACGAAAACATTGACGGATGTAAGTGGCGTAATGCATTGTCTGTGATAAATTCACAACTGCTGACTCACTGTGCTCCATCTAGGGCTCACCGAGCTCCCCGGTGGCCACCAAGTTCAATACGGACCACAGTAGCGGTGAGACTACAACTATACCCTCTTTTCAAGTTCAGCGGATTTGTTTGTTCTCTGTGTGGGAAAGTTTGAGATCAAAATGCTCCAGTGGTCGGGGAGCAAGACCATGCCAAAGTAATATACTGGGCGCAGATAACATTCTTTACCGCTCATATCTTAAATAGTTACTAGTCTTCCGCCTCACTCCCATATTTATACGTGATTTTCGCACGCTTGCATGCATCGGAGCTGATGTTGAGGAGGCTGAACGACCTCCGCTACGCAACACTCTTAGTGCAAGTATGAAATGTGAGGTGCCAACACCTAGGCAGAGTCGTTGCCGGCGGGCAAAGGGGAAGCCAACCACCCTCCTAGTCTGATAAGCGGCACAAGTGGGCCGGCATCTCGCCGACGTCAATCTGCAACCTCAACGTTCGTCAAATGACAGAATAGTAGGCGAAAGCAGGCCACCAACGCGTCTTGACATTCAAAAGAAAACCTGGACGTTCGAGGATGTTGCCATCAGTGACAGGGTCGTCGACCCGGCCCATCTCCATCCTCCTCATCAACCCAAACTCAACTCCTTCCATGACAGAAGCCTGCCTCCGGAGTATAGCAAGCACGCTCCCGCCCCATGTCACAGTCCATGGCTTTACAGCACCGTCGACAGCACCAACCGCCATAGAAGGCCGCGCAGATGCCGTCCTCTCCGCAGCAGACTGCTTCCGGGCCCTGCACCCCATAGTCACAGATCAGTCCCAGCCAGACTTTGACGCCTTCCTGGTCGCGTGCTTCTCCGCACATCCACTGATCCCAATGCTCCGGGAGGAGTTCACGCAGCCCTGCATCGGGATCATGGAGGCGTCGCTGTACGCGAGCAGGATGTGCGGGGAGAGGCTTAGCGTGATCACCACAGGGCAGAGATCGAAGATCCTGCACGAGGACTCTATTAATACGACCTACGGGCTCGGCAATTTCTCAGCAGGGTGTGCGGCGGCGGACGTTGCGGTGCTGGAGCTAGACTCCCGGCCCAGAGAGGAGGTCTACGAGGGCCTGGCCAACGCGGCAAGGAGGCTGGTGGAGAGGGGGGCGGACTGTATTTGTCTGGGTTGTGCAGGGATGACGGAGATGAGAGATGTGTGCCAAAAGGCCGTGGGCATGGCGGACAGGGAGGTCATGGTTGTCGACGGCGTGGCTGTTGGAGTGCACTTCCTGGCTGGACTAGTGAGTGAAGGATTGGGCACCGCCAAGGGCGGTTTGTATCGCAGCTCAGCTACTGGGAGGGAGAAGCGAGGGCAGAGTTGGATTTAAGGTGTATTGAAACTCATTTGAAATGAATTCGGCGGCGCAAAACTCAATTGCCATTCATAATGCTGGAGCTCTGGGTATATCAGGCGGAGATCGTTACATCCTGGGCGCTAATCGCTTCACAGAATTTGGTAGACTACCACTGGCATGAGGCCAAATATCTGAGGCCCGCGTGTCGACCACGGTCAATGGCATGTTCTTTTCGGAACTAAACCTTAGCAAAGTTTAGTCTGAGAATGCCTTAATATGGCATCTATGTTGGCTCACGCCCAATTTTGTGGTTGGTTACCTAGGTAGGCCCCGTGGGAAGCAGCATAGAACGTGAGTGTGAAACCTATGTCAGTGGCTGGATCGGACTATAAGCCACCCCGAGCCATGTATTTTGACAGCTCGGCTAGCTCGCTTGAAGCTCCACCTTGAGGGAACATAGGGCTCTCTCATCAAACTTGCATAGAGTCAAAGAGGGTGCTCGACTCGCTCACGGCTTCCGAAAGACACGCCAAGGATACCACCGGATGTCAGGGCAAGATAGAGTCAGTCAGTTTCACTGCAGCATGCCTCTGTCTCATCGATCTGGGCCAGTCTTGAAGACACCCAGAAACTCGGGACTATGCACTGCCACCGCCCGCCGTGCCATGACCACGAGGAGCACGGTCAGGACAGGAGAAATGCTACGGTGCTCAGGGAAGAACCTGCGTAGGCAATGCAGTCGAACGCATCGTCATGCTTCTCCGCATCATCGTGTGACACCCTTTTTGTGGTCCCTGTCCCTGAACATGTCACAGCAGGGCAACAAGCAACTGACTGATGACCCGTCTACGTCGGACGTTGCTCGGTATGTTTGCTTGCTACCAATCCCTCGAGCGCCTCGTGCAGGGCCTGGCCCAACCTGCAAACAGACATATTGATCACAGCCACCAACAGATTGATAACGACTGCGTGAATTACTCGTTGGACTCGCCAGCCAGCAGGGCGGGCAATGCCTTCGTATCGTATCAAAACAACATGCCGCCTCCCTCGCAAGACCGGGTATAAGGAAGCTGCCGCGAGCCGTCCAGCCTAGACTGAAACCCCCGCATGCTCTCATTGGAGGACAGTCCGGGGTAATTCTGGGGTGCATAAGGCGGATCACCCGGGGGTGTGAAGTGTCATGGGGAGGAGCCCCATTGGATTTCTCCATCCGGCTCCCCATCCAGCTATTCCCGCCAGTGGCCCGCCCGTGGCTGGAATGCCAACCCTCCCGCAAGTCTCGGCAGCCCTGGACGACCAAGCATGTTAACGTAGCCAACACGACACGCTCATGCATTCCCCGCATCTGTGGGCTTTCTCGTGGGTCGCGGGGGCTAAGGGGTGGCTTGGAGTCCGCGTAAGTGAGGCTCGCTTGATACTCAAACCGGCCAAGTGACGAAGTGTCGGAAATCCGTGGCAGGTCAGCATGTATCCGAGTCTCGATATGCAAGTGTTATTCCCCCCACTGCACAGCGTTGCACAGCGTTGCACAATTGCCACCAGCCCGCGCTTATCCGGACAATATTTCTAATGTCCATCTCTCCCAATCGAGCTTCAAAACAGCCAATGATCGAGCTGAAGCCTAACCCCGCAGAGCCGGCTCAATGGTGATGCTACTCCAGACGCCATGGAGCCCGGATCCGTTGCGGCGCGCCCAGCAATCCCCCGCATAGTTGTAAGCTGGGTATTTCCGGCAGTGCATAATCTGATTCGCCGATCTGGCTCTCATCGACATCGGTTGCCATTGGGGCAGTGGGTTACTGTTTGGTCCGGAATGCCTGGCTGCCTCGCACCGAGCACATGTCACCGTTTCACTCAGAGCATTGGTGGAAGCACAGCAAGTGTTGTGCATGAGACCTGCCTTTCTAACCATCCGGTGTCACTTTCCCCGCCACGCTCATACTCGTGTACGTGTGACGGCACTTGGCAGTACATGCGTCGCCTGAGAAATCTCGTCACTCGACACGTTCTCCGCAGCTCATTCTCCTCCACTTGCCGCCCTTCCGTTGCTGGTTCTAGGCTCCTCGAGAAAGAAAGTTTGGACCATTGCAACAGGCTCCCCAGGAGTCCGGGACTAGCTGTCTCAGCCGAGTCAACACAACAGAAAGCACAAGGAGCTTATCCCCCAGTCCCGGAGCTTGAGGTTGCATATGACCTCGACGATAATTGCCATCATTGGTGCCCGCAGAGGGCCCAAGGAGGGGACCTGCAACGAAGGAGCGCATTATCAATGGCTGACTTGCGTCGTCACTTCTTGGAATTGGAGCTGCAACGAGCTGCAAAGAGCTGCAACGGGCGTTTCTCGGGATCCCAAGCTGGGATAGCTGTCGATGGGGAGGTTACTTTGGACCAACATGATCGATGCCACCACCAGGGATGAACTCCTGCGTCGGTAGGGAAGCACTCGAGCTTGAGGAGGGTCCCATCGATCTGCCGTTGACAACACACCAAGCGTGTCCCTACATAAACCCTTCTTGGGACCCTGATAATTCTTTTCTACTTGTCTCCCCTCTCCAGGAGCTACTATCTTCCTCATATATGTAAAAGTCTAGTATACTTAAGTCAGCAATCATGGGAGAGTACATCCCAAACCCGTCGTTGAGCACTCTCCCGGAGGAGTTTGATATCATCGTATGTGGTGGTGGAAGTTGTGGTTGTGTGGTGGCCGGCCGGTAAGACTTTTCGACATCTAGACGATGAAGACGTGTACAATGGCACGGAACTGACATTTCTATAGGCTGGCCAACCTGGATCACAACCTGAAAGTCCTCCTCATCGAGGCTGGCGAGAGTAATCTCAACAACCCATGGGTATACCGACCCGGTATCTACCCCCGGAACATGAAGTTGGACTCAAAGACGGCCACATTCTACGAATCCCGTCCGTCCAAATGGCTCGCCGGCCGAAAGGCAGTCGTGCCATGCGCCCACATTCTAGGTGGTGGCTCATCCATCAACTTCATGATGTACACCCGTGCCTCAGCCTCCGACTACGATGACTTCCAGGCCAAAGGCTGGACAACCAAGGAGCTCCTGCCTCTCATGAAGAAGCACGAGACGTACCAGCGCGCGTCCCACAACCGGAACTTGCACGGCTACGAGGGTCCGATTAAAGTCTCCTTCGGCAACTACACATACCCCATCAAGGACGACTTCCTCCGCGCCGTCGAGACCCAGGGTATTCCAGTCGTCGATGATCTGCAGGATCTTGTCACAGCCCACGGTGCCGAACACTGGCTGAAGTGGATCAACCGCGATACAGGCCGCAGGAGCGACAGCGCCCATGCCTACATCCACTCCACACGTGCCGTCCACTCGAACCTATACCTCGCCACCAACACCAAGGTGGAGAAGGTTATCATCGAGAACGGCCGCGCAGTTGGTGTGAAGACCGTCCCGACGAAGCCATGCGGCGGTATGCGCGAGGGCAAGACGTTCAAGGCGAAGAAGCAGATCATTGTGTCCGGTGGCACGCTGTCATCACCGCTCATCCTCCAGCGATCTGGTATCGGCGACCCCAAGAAGCTGCGCGCTGTTGGCGTCGAGCCTATTGTCGACCTTCCCGGTGTTGGTCTCAACTTCCAAGACCACTACCTCACGTTCTCTACCTACCGTGCGAAGCCTGACGTGGAAAGTTTCGATGACTTCATCAGGGGTGACCCGGAGACCCAGAGGAGTAAGCAAACCACCCATGCCCACATATCATTCAATAAACTAGTACACACCGCTGACCACTCTCTCCGCAGAGGTATACGAGGAATGGAACCTCAGGGGTACCGGCCCCCTGGCCACGAACGGTATCGAGGCTGGTGTCAAGATCCGGCCCACGCCCCAGGAGCTCAAGGAGTTCGAGAGCTGGCCGACGCCGCACTTCAAGGACGGCTGGAAGTCGTACTTTGAGAAGAAGCCCGACAAGCCCGTCATGCACTACTCGGTCATCAGCGGTTGGTTCGGTGACCACATGCTGATGCCCGCCGGCAAGTTCTTCACCATGTTCCACTTCCTGGAGTACCCGTTCTCGCGTGGCTCCACCCACATCAAGAGCCCCGACCCGTATGAGGCGCCCGACTTCGACACGGGTTTCATGAACGACGAGCGAGACATGGTGCCCATGGTCTGGGGTTACATCAAGTCGCGTGAGACCGCCCGCCGCATGGATGCGTACGCCGGTGAGGTTGAGGCCATGGTATGTGTTCCGAACCGAAGGCCCCTTTCATAACCTTGTGAAACGATCTGACAGTAAAACAGCACCCATTCTACGACTACGACTCGCCCGCCCGCGCCCATGACATGGACCTCCTCACCACCAAGGCCTATGCCCTCCCCGGCAACCTGTCGGCTGGTCTCGGCCACGGCAGCTGGTCGAGCCCGCTGACCGAGGCTCAGAAGAAGCCCATCTCGACGTACCTCAACTCGAACCAGAAGGAGGTCCGCGACGAGCTGCAGTACAGCAGCAAGGACATCCAGGCCATCGAGGAGTGGGTCAAGCGCCACGTCGAGTCCACCTGGCACAGCTTGGGCACCTGCTCCATGGCCCCCAGGGAGGGTAACAGCATCGTCAAGCACGGTGTGCTCGACGAGCGCCTCAACGTGCACGGCGTCAAGGGCCTCAAGGTCGCCGATCTGTCTATCTGCCCTGACAACGTTGGCTGTAAGTCGCAACCCAAACCGTCGGATGATCTGACCACAGAACCCATGCTGATCAAAGATACACAGGCAACACGTACTCAACGGCCCTTCTCATTGGTGAGAAGTGTGCTGTCCTCACCGGTGAGGACCTGGGCTACTCCGGCTCCGCTCTTGACATGAAGGTTCCCGAGTACAATGTGCCCGGTGAGCTGAAGCACCCGCTTCGCCTGTAAAAGTATTTAAATTGGATTTTTGAAACGGGACTCCCTCGAAGGAGACTTGCCCCCTTGATGAATAGTCGATTTTCTCTCCTTGATATATGAAATAATGGTATCAGCCAGAGGATCAGATTGATCTGCAGCCGAAAGGTATTTGGATGCTACTTTCGACTTCTGGATTGGTAGTTTTCATATTCTTGTCCTCGTCCGAGATGGCCCTGACTCTCAGTCAAAATACGATTGTCATTCACCGCTTCGCAAATCTATCTGCTCGTGCTCAAATCTGATGAGTCAAAGTATCTACTCGTATAAACTGCTGGTCGCAGGCAATGAAGGCTGCCTCGGGGCCATATTTCTAAATTGGTGTAACCGACACAAGATGAAGAACCCTTATTAGACCTCGAACAATTACGATGTTGCACCGCGAGACCGGTCGTGACCCGTGATGCTCACGCTATCACAACAATTACCGTCTCCTGTCATACGGCGAAGGTGGCCCTGGTGGTCCATCATAACCTGAACGCGTCCTGGGTCTCGAAGGTCGTGGCGGCTCAAGTATCGGCGGGGCATTAGTTCGAGGAGAAACCTGGACGACTCTTGTGAACTGACCCTGCCTCCACCCATCGCCGGTATAACGCAGTTCGGGTCCCTGCCCCGGCCCCGGCCCAGGCCCAGGCCCAGGCCGGGACGGAGGGCGACCCTGCCTCACCTCGGTCATGTTGACCCTCGGATCCCTCTCGTCTGGCCGGCGCTGTGACTTTGGCCCAGTCGTGGAGCTGCTCGACTCGGAGGACTCGTAGACATTGTAATTCTCCGCTGTCGGCCTCCTTCGCATCCCAAGCGGGACAGGACCCCGGCTGCCAGCCCTTCCAGACGCCGTTGCGCCGCCTCCTCCTCCTCCTCCATCAAGCCGCGGACTCGCAATCTCCTCGGGCCCATCACCACCATCGCGAAGCTGCTTCAGCATCATGCGCATACAGGTGACTTCCCGCTCCATCCTGCGCAGCATCACCCGCTGCACCTCGTCCGCCAGCTTGACCACATCCGACTTGCTCTGCCACCAGATAAAACGGTGCGAGAAGTCACACCGGTACACGGCAGACCAGTCCGCGAAGCTCGTAGTATCCCCGTGCATCTCAATGTCCTCCTCCCGGATCGTCTTCTCGTCAATGAAGTCCTTCTCAGCCCACGCGTCCGCGTTCCGCAGCGCCTCGGCTCGGCCCCCGCTCCTGACGAGGAACGGCCGCTCCAGGCTCTTGAACTGCCTCCACAGGTCCCGTACGGTCTGGTAGTGCAGGCCGAGGGTCTGCTCCGAGTATGTCAGCGCGTATGTGCTGGCCCCACGCAGATTGCCGCTGCTGGCCCGTGGGCTGAGGCCGTTGCGGCTCGTGCTGCGTGCCCGCCCTGCGTGTGCTGGGTGCAGCGGGCGTTGGCTCCGCATCTGGGCTTTCCTGTTGCGTAGCTCGCGGGTCTGCTGGCGGAGAGCCTCACGCTCTTCTAGGAGCTGGGCCCGTAGGTTCCCCAGGGCATCACGGATCTCGACTGGGGCGCTGCGGACGGTGCCTAGGAAGTTTGCGTAGAGGGCGAGGAGGTTGAGAACTGTGATTATGAAGGAGATTATTCCTATTACGAAGGATATGTAGGACAGGGTGACTGGAAAGGATGTTGGTCCAGACGAGGTGTCCATGGTTCGTTGTGTTGGGTGCTGTTCAACACCATGCGTTGGTGGTGATTAGGCCTCGAGGAAGGGTTTGATGCGCTGAAAGAGTGACACTCGAGAGTTATCCCAACAGCTTCCCACGTCCTACACTTGGTATCATCCGTGGGCTTTCTCTGGTGTTTGTTCCCACCGAACGGATGGTGAGTGTCGGTGAAGAGGTCCTGCCATCGATCTCGCCGTGCGAAGCGGATGGCACCCTAACATTGTACTAGCAAGACGGGCGACCCGCTCCCGGAAGTGGTAGTTGCAATGTTATGATGACGTTGGGCTGTTAGTCGCGATGCTAATAATGTGTCATGAGACGAGCAGGGCACTAACCATGCGAGATGCATGGGACCGGGGTTAAGATATTAGGGGACCTCGACGCTGCGAGCAGATTCTGCAACCAGGCCTCTGACTTGTGGTGTATCTCAGGGATAGTTGGGCTCCGCGGCAGCAACGGGCCCCAAGCTGCCAAAACAAAACTCGAGACTCCCCAGGGGGCGCCTGAGGCCCGGTATTGGGCCGCGAAGTGGGACATCTCGGAGGTGAGCATGAATATTATTGCCATCGGGAGGCGTTGCGATCGCGGCTTGGCACAGGGAATCGGCCCAATTCATGCAAGCAAACCTAAAAGCTTACGGCCGAGATAGTGTGGACACGCTCTGATAAGGGCCACCACACACTCTGACCAGGCATCATGCCGGCTTCTGGACCGAGAGTTTGGTCGACCTGGGAACCGAGTCGGTAGCGTCAGATTGTCGTGACAACAAAGGCTTCATTTTGATATGAGCACGTCACAGCTGAACAATAGTTTCAGTTCGCGGAAACATATGGAGCATCGAGGGACCTTGTGTAGTGCGTTGGCCATACGATAGTACATGTGCACCTTGGCAGCGACGATGCCACGAGCCTGTGGAGTGGGTTAGGTGACAATAAACTTCAAGTTGCGCGACGACATCACCCGGGTAAATTGGTGAAATATGGGTTCTGACCCACTCACATTTGCCTCGGTAAGGCCTTGCCGAAATGCTATAAGGGGTGCAATCATGCATGTTCCTAACATGACAGCTGTTCCAATATTTATAATGAAGCGAAACTTGATCCTCAATATCGATCAACAGTGGGCGAACTCCGTCTTTCCAAAGGATCCTTGCTGCACGAGGTCCGCACTTTTCGGGTCAGGCTGGCTTCGCAGGACGTGACGATTTGACTCCGTGCCAGCGCTATTGCTGAATCTGGATCCTCCGCAAAATCAGTCGGAAAAGGGATTTCGGAATTCTCGGACTGTTCATTTCGTTTGCGTCTCGCTCGTCGGTCGTCGCGCTCGCCCTTTAAATAAAGGTGAACTGCCTACAACTGCTGCCGGATGAAACCCCTAGCAATGGAGCTTACGGGGACATTAGACTATCTCCACACGTTGGGACATGTGGACTGCCAGCGAGACCATCCGGAGGTAGGCTTACTTCCCCGCAGCCATTACTGCCGGGGAATATGAAAATCCGGCCTCGCTGTCGCGACGTCGATGCGAGCTACGCTGAGAAGCGCTGTCATATAGTCTCGTGATGCCTTTGCTTTATTTAAAGAGACTTACAAACACCCATAGAAGGGTTCAATATTAGAGAAATCGATGCAGTGCCCTCTCGTCCCTGCTGCGAAGTGAAATTGGACTTGGACTCACATCATTGAACTGAACAAGTCGCGGGAATTAGTCAAAGAAATCTCTGCCCATCATGGTCGACTCGCACAGCATCTTCCAGACCGACGTTCTGATCTGCGGCTCCGGGTCCGCCGGACTGACAGCAGCGCTCTGGTTAGCGAAATACGGCATCGCCTTCCGAGTTCTTGAGCGCCGCGACGGGCCCCTGGTCAAAGGGCAGGCTGACGGAGTGCAGTGCCGGACGGTTGAGATATTCGAAAGTTTTGGACTGTCCGACCAGCTCCTGCGGGAATCCTACCATGTGTTGGAATTGGCCTTTTGGTCTCCGGACCAGGACACGAAACTCCGCGATGGCGAGAACGGCGGCATCAAATGGTCTCATTACGCCCCGGACACCGAACCTGGTTTGAGTCACCAGCCTCACGTTATACTCAACCAGGCTCGCATTAATGAGATGATCACGAAAGAGATGCTGAGGTGCGGTGGTGCAGAGATCGACTACGGCTACGACGTCAAATCCGTTCATGTGGACAAAAACGCCGCAGGCGATCCAGACTCGTACCCAGTCACAGTTACGGCTCTTAAAAACGGCGTCGAGCAGGTCTTTCGCGCAAAGTATGCCTTGGCATGCGACGGTGCGCACTCGGCCGTCCGCAAAGCTCTGGGCTTTCAGATGCTTGGTGACTCCACCGACGCCATCTGGGGTGTTATGGACCTCTATCCCCGGACAACTTTCCCCGACATCCGCAAGAAAGCCGTCATACAATCCGTGAGCGGTAATCTGATCATTATCCCTCGCGAAGGTGACTCCCTTGTCAGATTTTATATCGAACTACCGCCGGACACCGTGGCAAGCAAAGTCACGTTGGAAGACCTTCAGAAACGAGCCAAGTTGATATTCAGACCATATGAAATGGACATCGCAGAGACGACATGGTGGTCCGCTTACCAAATTGGACAAAGGCTTGCAGACAATTTTCACGAGCAATACCGTGTCTTCTTAACGGGCGATGCGTGCCACACCCACAGTCCAAAAGCAGGCCAAGGAATGAATGTCAGCCTGCAGGATGGGTACAACATCGGATGGAAGTTGGGTTCTTACCTTTCAGGCCAGGCGACCGAGGAGTTGGTCAAGACGTATGTCAGCGAGCGGCAGCAGACGGCGGCAGAGCTGATCGAGTTTGATCGCATGTGGAGCAAGATCTTTAAATCAGGGGCGACCAACGGGGCAGGGGCAGATTATGTCCGAGACCAGTTCGTGAAATCAGGGAGATACATGGCTGGTCAGGCATACAAATACAGCAAATCCATTATCACATGGCCATTCGAAGACACTCCGAAGACTAATGGGGTAGTCAGGGACAAGCGGAAATCCCGACTAGTTGTGGGGATGCGGCTTCCCAGCGCACAAGTGGTTAGATACAGCGACGGGAAGGTCCATCAGCTGCTGAGCGTTTTCCAGTCAGATCGCCGATGGAGGATAGCTGTATTCGCTGGGGATATTCAACAACAAGAAACAAGGAACCGTCTGGATCGAGTGGCCTCGACCCTGGAGTCGACAGTCCGAGCTTTCACGAGTGAAGGCCAAGACGAGGACAGCATTATTGAGAGCCTGCTCATGCTCAAGACGAAAAGAACAGCCATTTGTTTGGATAATATCCCGAAAGCTTTCAAGCCCATTACAGGAAAACAAAGCATTCAAAGTGAGTGCCTGATACACACTTGCAGGACCTTCATTATTAACCAATATAGATATCCACAAGGTATTTGTGGACGACGAGAGTTACAACTCGGGGCACGGTTACGCATTTGATACAATCGGAGTTGACCATGAATCAGTTACAATTGTTGTAGTCAGGCCCGATCAGTGTACGTAATTCATTACTGATCCTCTGTTTTGATAGCTAGCTCACTTATCTCCCAGACATCGCAACCATCCTCCAAGAACAAGAAGCAGACTGGCTCCATACATTCTTCAAGGGTTTTCTGATTACCCGGACCGGAAGAAGCCCGTAAATATGTCACGACAGACGTGGAAATCTCCAGTGAAAGAGTGTCTCCGATTTAAATGAATCAAATATTTCGTATATCACCAAGCGCCTAGGCAAAGCAAATCAGGGGTGACCCTTCGAACAATCTTGCCATCGTGTATCATCAGTGACCAGACATTTTGCGAACTCATAGAAACATGGCCTTCGAGGGAATGAGATTCTTGCTTAAGAAGAACCAGGATAGAGACGACAGGAAATGTGAGTAAGCGGAAAGAAATTCGTTGGTTTTGAAACGCAGAGAGACGTAGACTTCATAGCCTTAGAACAATACACGAGAGACAAAATCAATTGCTTCAAAAGCATGAGTTGATCTCCTTCTCCGTCAGCGACCCATGTGCGTATACGTTGTATTTGTTGTGGCTCATCTAAAGCAATCAGCCCAGCCGATGGTCAAGATAACACAGCGTGCCTACATGAACATGATAATTGTCTCCAAACTTGGAGTAGAGGAGGTTGATCAATTTGGATTCATCTATCCATGAGCCTTGGATCACCTGAGGCCGCCCGTATTGCTCCTCTGCCTGAGATGTGACAGAACTCAATCGTGGTACCGATTGTTGTCCACTGGAAATGCTTGGTCTCCTAGGGTCAAGGTAAGACAGGGGGTTGCGAAAGAACCCCATAATGGAATATTTGGCGATTTCCGAACAGACGTGAGTTCGAGGAATACCTAAGTACGAATGCGCAAGCTTCGATGCCACAGTATTTAGCGTGAGAAAGCAAGCGAGGGGTAGCCATACGTCTCATGTCTGGGCATGGATATCATTGCTTCCTGTTGCAAAGGGCCTGATGTTATACCTCGGTGGCGTCCCATCTCTGCAGCCTTGTGGGGTAGTTGAGGCTCAGGTGCTGAATCTCACCGGTCAATCTCGAATATGTATTTAAACCCCGCCCGGGGTTTTAAGATGGTTCCGATCTAAGTGTTGGGGGCGTTCAAGAGTGTTACGAACTGCATGTCCGCCCGCTTGGTCAAGGCTTGTGCATCACACCCGAAAACAGCATGAGTCCTTTTCCACCAAGTAGCAACTTCAGGTTTCAGATCAAATTAATGATTGTTCTAACAGCTTATCTAGCGTGAGGGTGCCTGGGTAATCGATTCTGATTGTCCAACACACCCAAACTGGACGATAATCAAACATTTCCAACCGTTCCATAATGTCAGAGCTGGATGGACATAAAAGATTTCGAGGATTTATGTACAGCACGAATACTCGAGTTTGCAACAAACTAAATACTTCCAGCGTCTGGTTTTGTTGCCAGAAAAAGCTCCGAGACATTCATCCATGATGCCACCCTCTGTGTTGAAAGTGGCAGGTCGCATTTTTGGGCGTTGGGGTGGGTATGATCAAGTCTTTTGTATCACGCAGAAGCAGGCTGCGCGGAGAGAACTCCCATTGGTGACATGTTTCGAGAGGGGTTACCACATGCCTGTACGATTAAAAACAACATTGAACACAGGTTGACACAGAGAGCTATTTTGATCGCAGCCCCTCATGCTAAATGCTGACAACCCTTCCTCGAATTCTCAATATCCATGGATGACATCGCTTGCTTTGGTCTGAAAAACTCGCTTGAGGAGAGTGAGGCTGAAACTGAGTACCTAGGTACCTAGGGTACCTAGGTGCGCAAAGCGAGTCAACCTGTCAGCAGCGGCCGGTACAGCATCTTGAGCTCATACATTGACAATTACAATCGGGCAAATGGGGTTTAAATTAGAATTTGTGACAACCCACCTGCAGAACGACAGACCACCAGTATTTACTATTTGCTTCACATATATATAAGTCAGACACATCCCCCTCATCCAAAGCTGCCCCGGGGACGATGTTTCCGGTGTCTCACTGTTATCGCTGCTGTACTGCGTGCCATCACCTGCAGCTCATCAATACTTACCACCCTCGCATTTAGGCGGCGCAGCCGGCCGTCAAATGGCCTCAAAACCCGGTCATCCACGCCACATCGAGGTGTAACAACCTTCTCCGCCCGCACCTTCATCACCCTTGGCTGCAAGACCATGGTTGCCGAGACACCGCATCAATCGAATCCGAGCAACGCGTCACACTCACACTGCGTCGCAAGGAGCGGAAATCCTTCACGCGAGGAAATCACCCAATTGCTTTTGCGAATGCTGCAGGAGGATTGCAACGACGCACGTAATCGTTTCATCCCACGACAGGCACTATTTGACTCCTTGCATCTGGATCGTGTGAGGGAGGTTTTGCAAAGCATTCTGGACAGAGATCGGAAGAACTTGATTGATTGGCAAGATGTGTCCGAGAGAATCTGCCCGAGTCCAGGGCATTGCTCCTGTCACTCCGAGTCCTGTACGGGAGGACGAATGACTCTTGCAACGCTCTTTCTGTGCGGCAAAGAAGATCTCATCACGTCATTCTTTTCGATATCGAGTCCCCCATTCTGCGATGGAAGTTTGCCTCTTCACTTTGGCTCGCCCGGATGCCCTAACTTCGGGCTCTGTAAAAGAGACAGAGAGCTTTTCACATATTTTCAATGGCAGATTTATACTCCTTTTCTGACCAGGATAGCGTCAAAAAAGGACGTCAAGATATACCCTGACGAGGTTTCACTGCCCTGGAGGCAGAAAGAAAGGATAACTCAAGAAGAGGCAGCCGAAGTTCCTTTCGTGGAAAAGATCGAGATCTATCCTGGAAATCATAACTTGGTAAGTTAGATTGGAGAAGACGCCAAAGACAGATGAGCTCTAACTCGTACCAGACACAAGACTCTGGGACACTCTTCGCTCTGAAAACCCTCAAACCGAGACTAGTTGACGAGTTAGCAGAGGAAAGGTTCGATCGTGAGGTTAAAGCCAATTTGGATTCGCCAAGGAACGATAGAATTGTCCCACTTCTCGCAGCTTTCAGATACCGCAAACAATTCTACATGCTGTTTCCATTTGCGAACGAGGGTAGTCTGCAAGACTTTTGGAGGACGAATAACTCAAATGGAATGAGTGTACCGTCCGGAGGAACTGCGGGTACCGAACAGCACTCCCATCAGTGGCTTGTCAGGCAATGTCTCGGGATTGCCGAGGCACTGGTAGCAATTCACGGCCTCGCTGAAAGAAATTGCGAGCGAACAAAGAGCCTCCTGCACGCTGACATCAAGGCTGAGAACATTCTCTGTTTCCGAACCCCCGAATCAGAGGAGCGCGGCGTGATACTTAAGCTTGCAGACTTTGGAGAGACTGAATGGCTCGGACCTGAGGTAACACTGAAACCCAAGGGCGTGGCGCATGTCAAAACATATCGACCGCCAGAAAAAGACTTTGGGAAGAACATCACTCTAAGTTACGACGTGTGGTGTCTTGGGTGTCTATTCCTGGAATTTGTCACCTGGTACACACGTGGCCAGGAGGGCATCGAGTGGTTCAGCAAGATGAGAGCAGAGGAAGTGGACAATTCAGCAGTGACCGCACAGCCGACGCATTTGGTTGAAGATATTTTCTTCAAAAGAACCAAACAGAAGCCTGGTGCTTCTTTCTATCGAAGACTGAAGATTGGATATAGTAGGACGATGAAGGTCAGACATGGGGAGACTGCCACCACGCTGCGATCTTTGTGGGTTTCTTCGAAAGTCGAAATCGTCCCTGAGTTGAAGGATGGGGTCATCTCGGTGAGTGAAATTGGTTGACAAATCCACACGTGCACGAGAACCCTACGATGCTCATTCATTCTTGCAGCATCTGAGGAGCCTCCAGTCTGACGCCAAATGTACTGATGAACTACGGAAACTTCTCTCCTTTGTAGAGGAGAGAATGCTGGTTGTAAAACCTGAGGGCCGCGCAGGCTCTCCCGAGGTTCACAGATTCCTCGAGCGGTTGACAAGGACTTGACATCAACCGGTTGACAAGCTTGACGGTCTAACACACATGGCAGCCCCAGTTACCGAGGTAGCTTGAAGTACACCACAATGCAAACTTTAAAACAAAAGCAGCATCGCTGTTCACTAGCGGCCCTGCGGCGTCTTCTTGCCATTCAAATATTTGTCACGAAAAGATCATTCGAACGCATTACTCTTAGGACAATTCTACTCAACAATGTGATTACAGATGAGAATCCTGAAAGCCAATATCCAGCCTGCCCTACCCCTCACGCTTCCTGCTGCGATTCGCCACTGGGTTCCCTGAAATGCCCTGACACCCATGTCAACATTAGACTCAGTGTAGTATCGCCATTTCTCTTTCTTCAAGCCCTGCGTCGCGCCATAGTAGCCTTGCGGAATTCTTTCACCACCGCCTCTCGCTCAGCCTAAGAAGATAAAAAATCAATTGTACGTCAACACGTCGTGCGATATTTTACCCACAGGTGTAAGCTTTCGTGGCGCCATCAGGCGAATCTTTCCGCCCATAGACTGTTCGAACCAATATTGAGTACCTACGCAAACTACCAGTACTATGGGTGGGAACGGGCAACGGTGGTGGACGGTGACATTACCTGGATCTGATATTGACCATGGCTAAAGTTGTCTGGAAGGGTCCTCAAGTAAGTCTCTAGGACCTCGACACTGTTATATCGGGAGTCGAAAACGTCCGTAGGCACGAATTCGTCGACATTGGCCATTTTGTCTTTATTTTTGAAGGGAAAGAGGCTCAATACGTGTCTGATGGTGTCCATCATATTTCGGTGTCTCCAATCAATTCTCTTGGAGGAGAAAGATCTACTTATAGTATCAGATTGTCGGCCAAATCTTTACCAAGCGATCAATGTGGGCACTGCCTCCAGACAAGTGGAAAAACAAAGCTGGTGAGAATGGAGCAACGAGGCTACCGGCAAGGAGGCAGCTGTAGGCAGAATGGTGGGCTAATTCGACTCATGTGAGTAGAACGCAGCTCGACCAAACCGTTGGACGGTAAATCTGGGCGTTCTGGAGCGAGTATCAGGGATCTTCCTGAAAGGAAATGATGGTTTCCAGCGATGTAGGCGGTGCAACAGCGGCAGTGCGAGGCAAGTCGCTCATCGATCGGGCGTATCCAAAAGGGGGCGGGGTCAGATGAATCATCACATTGCATTCAATACACTACATGCGCAGTCTGGTCATGTTCGCATGAGGCAATGCTGAGTAGGAGGTGCAAATGTGTTCGCAACTGGTCGTCGAGAGAGCGGGGGCTCAATACTGGGCCGCTTTGCCTGCACATTGTGTAGCACAAAGCAACTAAACAAATATATCCGGCCTCCCTAGAGGACAATATGGTGTTGGACTACCCCAAACTGTGAATATTGGTGGTTCGAGTGAGCCGTTCACGCAGAGGCCGGCTGGGCCCTTGTCACATGTGCAGGAGGGCCTGGTGGCACCTTCACGTCAGTCCCCGCATGCCAACAACATTCATGTCGGCATGTGTACTTACCTGAATGTGTATTCCGGGGTCAGATCCTCTCGACAATTCCCTTCGACGGACATTTATCAACCCTCTCATCACGGCACCTGAGCGAACAACATTCATTCCAGCATGGACTGTCTGGTCTCGGAGACAGACTTCACAGAAGGTGACGCAAGTGCTTTCACTTTTCACAGTACCAAAACCTTTGAGATCTGTGCCATAAAAGTTCAGAAGTTTGAAGATGTGAGATATTGATCCGTTCTTCACGACATGGAACTCTTGCCATTACCTACCCACATGCTCATACATGGAACTCTGCACAGGGCAAAGTGGAATTCCACAAAGTCACATTGAACTCCGAAGACGAGTATGGGACATGGATTCAACGCGTAGGCCCTGTCCAGATCTCGTGTATCTCCCGAAGAGCTTTGGGACGCTCATCAGATTCAACAGTCCCGACCTCCAACTGATAGTCCATGCCAACCCACACTGTTACTCGCCCTCCACAAACGTCTGAATCGCGACCCGGTCAAAACAGCTTTTGATGAAAGCACTGTCTTGCCTTACAGCGGTAGAGGCTTCCTTACCTTTTGCAAGAATCTGTGTCAACATAGAACACTGGCCTGGCTACTTTTCAGAAAGTCCACTGCAGTCTTCAGCAACAGACTGGTAACATGGCAGCATTCGAAGAGTTCCAGTCCTTCAATTGGTACGTCATTGGCTATTCCAGAACCACTAGACTCAGAAAACAGCTCTCTATCTCATGTGATCGCAGCGATTCTGCTAATCAATACATAGTGTATCATTGCAAGTCCGACACAGTATCTCTCCATGATGGCAGGGATATTGTACTCTCCACAACACACTTCCTTGACAAGCCCCTCACGCTCGCAGTCATGTATGGTTGCACGGAAGAGATCATTGATGAAAGAGCATGGTGGTTGGAACGTTGCGCGAAGTCAGCATTTCATCCCCTAGTACTGCCTATGATCTTTGCAGATATAGAGAGGTCGCGGTTCCTTGACGCAATAGATCTCAAGGCCACGGAACTGGAGGCGAGGATCCTGGAGTTGGAAAGTCGAGTGAAGAAAGAGACCACAAAGGAGCCCACGAAAGAAGAGACTAATGCCGATGGTAGGAAGACTATGACTGAGAGGGACTGCAATGCGATACAACTGTGCCGTTCGATGACCTCGCTGAAAAACGGGCTTGTCAGCTTAGCCACCGAGCTCCAGTCAATGCGGAACCACCTCCAAGAGCTTCCCAAGTTTGCGCGCAACCGAGAGCCGGACATCCCTGGCTGGCGACGAGACCTTGATGATGATGGGACCCATATTGACGCCAAGTTGAAGGCCATCATGGATGAGCTCCAGAGTAAGAGACGTACCTGTGAGGGCTTTCTTGGAGCCATGACTATGGCAACCCAAATGGTTCGAAAGCTCTAAAACTACATGCCCAGGTGGCTTTTAACAATAATGGCTTCTGACTTATCATTAGGAATGGAACTACTATACAAGACGCGATTCCCAAGTGAACTACAGTATTGCAACAGCGGCGTTGACAGACGGCAGCCAGATGAAGCAGATCTCGCGGTTGGGCGTGATATTCCTACCTGGAACATTCTTCGCCGTGAGTAGGTCCCTGATGACTCTTACAACCACCACCTCACACCCCCCCCCTGGAAAAACAGAAAAGGACATGAAAAAAAGAAAGAAGAAAAAGAAAACACAAAGCCCAACCAAATCAGTGCTGATACAAAACCAGACTTTCTTCTCCATGACCTTCTTCAGCTGGATGCCACAGGACAGCCCTCAAGCCATATCGCCATGGCTGGGTCTGTACTTCGGACTCACTCTGCTGGTAACAGCAGTGACCTTCCGGTGGCTTAACAAGCAATCGGTTGAAGATTTTACAACCGCCAAGAGAGTGCTACAACAAGAACTTGACAAGGAGTCAGAGTCCACCCTTTTCTCGAGGCTCACTTTCTCACGTCCATCATCTTTACGGGGGGATGTCGAGTCTGTTTTGGCCTCCTGATTGTATCGAGCAGTATTTATTTCTTTACTTGTCATGTCACCAGAGAAGCGTCTAGCAAGCATGGTTCAATTATTTCATACCTACACAGGACTGCGATCCACCATCAAAGCTCATATTGTGACAGTGAACTGCTCCAATTTGACATGAACCTGTGACCATATCAACCAACCCAAACGTCGCGAGCAACCCGGACTTTCATGTCACAGAAATAGACTCTAGTCAGCATGTATCCTCTTGTTACCGTCAGACAACCGCGGATAGAAGCCACCATAAAACCTCACGCCAGGCTCTCCACGGGGGTTCTCCGAGTAGTAATCACACCTGCCCGTCGCGCACGTCCAGAAACCCATGCCGAACTTTCCCTTGTCCTTCTTGCAGATGATCTCCAGCCGGGAAGCGACCCGGCCCTCGCACTCACACAAGGGGTTCTCGGCATATATGCCTCTTGCATCTGCCCAACAAATCCACCGATAAATCGGTGAACATGTGGGACAGACGAGGTAGGGGCGGCCGGCGTTGATTTTGTTGTCGTCGCCGACATACCTGAGGACGGCGGGCACCTCGCAGATGTAGCATTCTGCCTCGCGTGTGAATTCTGTTATGACTTTTGTGGGCTTGGGCGAGGGAGAGCGGCAGGAGGGCTCGGGTGAACACGGGCACGAGTCCTCCTCTTCTCCCTCTTCCTCTTCGTCCTCCTCCTCTCCCTCTTCGTCATCCTCCTCCTCTTCCTCTGCCTCACCGTGCTCGACCTCTGCGGCCTCGAGGGAAGAAGCGCGAGAGGCTTCGGGGGGAGAAGGACAGGAGGCTTCAGGTGGTGGAGAAGAGCAGGAGTCCGCAGGCGAAGGGGGGCAAGAAGCGTCGGGTGAAGGGGGGTAGGAAGCTTCAGATGAGGGAGGGCTGGAGGGTTCGGGGGTCCGCTCGGACTTCACGTCTTGGGCTTTGATGTCAGGCTCATCTTTGATGCCCGGATCGAGCTTGATGCGCTTGATTCTAGGACCCGCCCGAAGCATGGCGGCGGTAAACAGTGGCCGTGGGTCGATATCACGCCAAGATTCATCGTCATCCGCCATCACTAGTGTAGATGTTTTCCCCAGAATGGACGGCCGTAATGTTCGTCTCGTTTAAACAACAAGTTTTGTTTTAAAAAAGAGTGACGGATCAATAAAACACCAGCAGATGTCTGGATCCAGGGACAGCTTGAGCTTAGTACTTGTCTAAAACAGATATCAAACGGCCAGCCACCACCGGTCTAGATAGCCTCTCGGCTGGATGCAGGATGCCCACCTCACCTTAAACCCCTGGTCACGAGTCAAGACGAACAGCAGAGACGAAGACCCACACCGTCATGCAGGTTGCCGAGGAAACGTGTGATTTTTCCTCCAAACGAGCCTGGTGATCGAGCAAAGTGGACGTTCATCTCCCATTCAGGCCATTCTGGAGTCTAGTCCGGGGATACCGGATGCACCTAGATACCGGATCGATGAATGAGCTTTCTCGCATCTGTTGAACTTGTTAAGAATTATGATGTTCGATTGGTTGATTCTGGTATCAGGGTGCATTTGGCTTCCCAGTATCTAACCCCTACTTCCCAACTCGCATCGAAGGTTGGAATTGAGGGGCGGGGTCATCGAGGATGATATGACAGGTCAAGTATCCCGCCTTCCAGACACGGCTGGCATGCACCTCGCAAACAGGAGACTATTGCTGCAAGACCGCCGGATATGGCCGTGACTCGCATTAGACATGATAGCAGAGCAGGTATGAAGCAGGTTCGGAAAAGGATCAAGCTATTCACTGCAGCAGATGTCTCTGCTGCCGTCTTCTACAAGATAACCGAGGGCTCCCCATTACTCGCCCTTTCTCACCAACGAATAGTGATGCCTCAATCCCCGGCCAATGACGGGCGGCGAGCATCCGACATCCGCCTCGCAAGCAGAGACATGACCTCAGACCCACATGAGCTGTCCTGTTTCTCGATGCTCTCCACCGCGTGCTCCTCCTTACGCCTGTATCTGCGTCCATATACGAGCAAACCCCAAACAGAAAACGTCACTAATACTAGAGGTCCAGTGATGGCAAGATACAAAAGTACCCTCCTCCGCCAGAACGTTGCGGGCTCAAGATGGTCATTGTCTTCTGCAGACACCAGATTGAACAAGGGGATACTTAAGAGTGAGGCGACAAATGAGGGTGGTACAAAGAATGTTGCGATAAGGGCTAGGGCCTTCATGCTCCCCGAGTCCCTCTTTGTGAGTATAGCAATGGAGCGTGTGTCCTGTGCAAGTTCCTGAGTAGCCAATGCATCCTTTGATGCAATGAGATGCTTAACCTAGAAACGTTCATTTAGACCAAATATAGCGCAACAATATCTGTTGGGGACCTACTGCGTCTTGTTGCACCTGAGCACGATGGGTGAGACACTCGGCGTCGAGTTTCTGCAGGACGGAACTCTGCTGTATCGACTTGACATTTGTGACGAACTCGTCGATTATGGTCTTCTCTTCGTCCAGCTTCGCCTCCTGGCGCAGCCTCTCAAACTCTTGGAAGGTAAAGTTTTCCAACTCGCGCGCGATACCGAGCTTCCTGGTGACAACGGCCAGGTGTGACAAGCAACCGCTCATATCGGCAGAGAGCAGGAGGAGCTCGCCAGTGGCCGGCGTCTCGACTCGGTCTGGGAAGTGATGGTGTCCCGTACGGGCCTCGGTGCGGCGTATCTTCTGCTTGGTATCATTCATGAGGCCGTCAATCTCTCTATAGCACAGGATGGAGCACATTAGGGCTGGAACGTGTGCGAGAGTTGCCAAGGCCTGGATAAAGGTGCAGGACATGAGGTCCCGAAACATGTCGATCCTTTCTCTCTGGGCAATACAGATGACGCTTGTGAGGCCTGTTGTCGGCTCCTGCGACCAGGTTATTGCAAGATGAGGGTGTTTGCAGAAGTAGAAGGACCGCCTTGAGGTCAAGGGCTCGACAACTGAGCCGGCGCCATGGAGAGTGGCCCGGAATCTTGCCTGTGGTAGTTGGTGGCTGAAGCTCTGGGTGACGAGTTCTAACACGCCCTCACCGACATCGTTGACGCCAGCTTGGTTATATTGTGGGGGGATCCAAACAACCCGAAGCACTCGCCTTGTGCGGTTGGTGGCGGCATTGACAGAAGGAAAAGTCGTCGTTTTATCAAGCCATGCTGGAAGCTCGTTATTCCTAAGGGTTTGGTGCACAGTCTCGTGACCTGCTTCTGGGGATCTTGACTGGATGATTTGCGATACCGAGATGAAACTGTTGCCTGAAGAAGAGGCTTTATCCCAGAGGCACTGCCTCGATGCCAAGTAGTGGTCCAACGAAGCCATGGTGATACAGAGGAAGGGGAAACTTGGAATAGGTAAACTGTTATTGGAAGACTATTATCTCTATTCGGACCAGATATCATGGTCCCAGCCTCGAGTGCATTCCCAGAGCCTTCCCTTGGGCAGCCCCTTCATTATATAACAGATATATACCTACCTCAGGCTGGGCAGCAAACAAATGCCGAAGGGGGGGGGGGCACTTGAGGGCGTCGTGCCCATCAATGCAGATCAAGCTGGCGCAAGGCGTACATGCTAGGCAGAGAGCAATGGAACTGGGGAGGTGACACGCTTTTCCAGCAGTTTATTCATGGATTCGACCGTGCCGACCCCAGAGATCTGCCCGAGGTGTGATGTTATTCCGACAAATATTCGTTCGGCCTGCAGCGGTTAGCCGTGGTTGACGGCGGTGGTGGAAACACTTGGGAAGATGTCCAGTCCAGTCGAACATTAGCGCGGCAATGCAATCTGGCACTCAGCCAGTCGGGACGTGCCAACGGTCTATCATGCCACCCTGGGAGAGCTGCACTTTTGGCAAAACAAGGCCAGCTGGCGAGCCACGATCGAGGTTGGAGGATCGAGTTTGGGGCAAGCGTGGCCCAAGCGTCGTCGAAGGAAGCTGAGGTCGCACAGCCTGGGCGCTTGCAGATCAATCGGCATCCACTCTTGTCTGTCACTTCTGTCTGTGCAGATGTGTTATCTCAAATGTTCAGATGCCCCTTTCCCAAGCGTTTTTTTAGTACAGCTTTCCCCACCTATTTAGTGTGGCGGAAGCTGGCGCAGTCAAAATGCTGACAAATATTGGGGAAACCTTTAGAGAAAATGTATTGGCTAAGAAGTCTACTTACTAAAAAGCTGTACTGAACGCTTGGAAGGACATCTAAAACCAAAACGTAAAAAATCCAAATCAAAGGAACCAGTTTGTATAGTAATAAAAAGTACCCTCCTTCAACACTTCTCAATCCCAACACCTTCCCAACTAATAATCCACATAGAAATAACATATTAACAAAGAAAATTGGCAAAAGCTTTTTTTTAAAGTTTTTTTATTCCCAAAGCCCTTCGTTTAATTAAATGCAGTATACCCAATCAAAAAAACAATTAAGGGAACCCAAGTCACCCTTCCAATTGCCCATGTCGCCTTGCCCAAATTCCCTTAAAAATAGAGTGCAACCTAGTAGAAGTTAGTAAAAATTATCATCTAAGGCTGGGAAGGGTACTTACTTGGAGAGAAAAGAGTTGTTAGGGGAGAAATTCGAATTTAAAATTGGCTGGTAAAATGGGCGTCCCTTTGTCCTTATAAGGGGTGCATTTTGGTTACAGACCTTCGTGCGTCGAAAGCTGACCTCTCCTCTCCAGCCACACCTTAAGTAAGTAGTAGCCATAAGTCAAGCGCAGCTTTCCCAGCACGGAGGTCTGTGTGTCAGAGATAACAGATGTGCAGCTACTAGCTAATGTACTCCACAGTTGGGGAACCCCTCCCCCGCGCCTTCCTTGTGTTGTCAGCTGTCAGGCTGTCACCCGGCCAAACGGGAAGGGTCGCGTCATATCATTTGATGGCTGGCTAGGTAGGCTTAGCTTCCGCAGTGCCGCCCGTCAGCCCGTTTGTTAGTCCAGCCGCCCCTGCCTCGAGCTCTCTCAGTCCCTCTCCCGTCGTCTCTCCATGCACTCACGTTTCTGACGCGTGGGCCGCCGTCCGTCCGACTTTAGCCAACTCTGGAAGTCTGTTTTGTTTTGTTCTCCGAAGCTGCCGTCCTCTCAACAGCCAGCCCAGCCACCATGTAAGTCAGAAGTCCAGCCACAAACAACCCCACGCCTCGCCTCGCCTCTTGTGTCGGTCGACATTGCCCAAGCTGACCCGCCAATGTGCGTGCCCTCAGGATCGACGCCTCGTCCCGCCTGCGCCGTGCGATCCACGCCAATGATGCCCTCCTCGTCAAGCGGATCCTGCACTCGCACCCAAAGCTCCTCCACAACCCCGACACCTCCCCCGACAGCCTGTCCAACTCGAACCTGCACCTGGCCGCCTCGCTGGGCCACCTCCCCATCGTGAAGCTGCTGCTCTCCCTCGGCTGCGAGGCCGACTGCCCCTCCCTCAACGACGACTACCAGACCGCCCTCATGCTCGCCGCCGCCGCCGGCCACACCGAGATCGTCCACTTCCTCAGCCAGCGCGACCCCAAAATCATCCTGCGCCGCGACATCCGCGGCCGTGACGCCATCATGGAGGCTGCCCGCGGCGGCCACGACACCGTCCTGCAGATCCTCCTGACCTACGTCCCCTGCGGACCCGAGCAGGCCGTCCGCAACGCAGACGCCGAGGGCAACACGGCCCTGCACTTTGCGAGCAGCAACGGCCACCTGCTCGTGCTCAGGACCCTCCTGGCCGCCGGCGCCGATGCCGAGCGCAAGAACATCTGGTCCTGGACTGCTATCGCCTACAGCGCCACCGTCGAGGCCGAGGTCTACCTGAAGAAGCTGATTGTCGACACCGAGGCGAAGCGCAAGTTCAACAGGCAGGCTGACGAGTCGAGGAGGGGCACTGGCCTGAAGGGCGGCGTGCGCATGGTCGGGGAGGTTGAGGACTGAACGGGACGCGGCTGAGAGCTCGTCTACATGGTAGGTTGACTACTCCATCTACGGGGGAGTCTTCGACGCATCACGGAACTTCGGACTTGTAGCATGCTGCTACGGGATGACATTGCCGTAGCAGTGCCGCTATCTCCTCACCTCTGAAGAGTCGAGTCGTTGGCGCATGCTACTTTCGACAGTTTAGGGCATCTTCCCTCTGTGCACGGTGGCGTGATCGAGGACACAACACGATGGTGCATGAGAGAACTTTCAAGAGGATGCATCAACGGACACGAGACCAGCGATACTGAGGCCTTTGTCGACTTTTGCCCTGGGAACCTGCCGTGCAGATCTTTGCAGATTATCACTGCTAGCTTCCGGGGCGTGATCTTCCTGGGGATGGAGACGGATAAGGAGATGGAGACGGAGATGGATGGTGTCGTCATGATAAGGTTTGCCTCCACCTTTGCAAGGTCGACGACCCATCACTCAAGTGCTGACGTTCGGGAATGGACAAGATTCTATTGTTGCCCTGCTGGACTGCTGGACTGCTGGACTGCTGGACTGACCAGTTGGAGACTCCAGCCGGGCTCCGTCATCGAAGAGGGCGAGTCCTGACCCCAAACCCTGAACCTTGAACGGCAGGATTTGGCCGCTGCGGCAATCGGCATGGCCGAGGGAAAATCCGGATCGCGCCGTCAACCTCGTCGCCACGCGCAAGCGGCCCCATCCACCGCTTATCTTTGGACAGATAAGGGAATCAATACCCGCTTGGGCTCGCATCGGTCGATCCATCGCCCATGCAAAATTCTGTCTTGGCCCCAGACCTCAAATAAATTGCCTCAGCAGTCAACTTCATCGTGCTCTCTTCTGGTCTTCCTGCGTGTAATCCAAATTTTATGATGTGCTGAGGTCAAACGGTGCGGGAAGCATCGTGTCTGTCAGAGAAGAGACAACCGCCAATCGGCCAATCGCAGCAGCACCGCGTGTCGTGCGTCGTCGCTCACCCGCCCCCGAATCCACTTCCCAGGTCGATGGCAGTTGCCTCCCAATTCACTCATGATCAGTCCAATGACGGGCTCGAAATCATACGCCCATCTCTCACCCAGGATGAGCTAGAGGACATCCCCGGCACTCGCCGCCTGTTCGACAGCGAGGGCCACACCCTCTTGTCCCTCAGCGGCGATGCCTCCTCGCTCAAGAAACATGGGGACATCGTCCTCGTCCCGCAGCCCACCGACTCGCCCAATGACCCCCTGCAATGGAGCATGGCGCGCAAGATCTGGCACACGGCCCTCGTGTGCTTCGTCACCGCCCTGACCGCCGCCACGTCCAACGACGCCGGCTCCGCCTCCGAGGGCTTCAACGAGGAGCTGGGCATCGACTACTCCTACTTCAACACGGGCGCCGGCGTCCTCTTCATCGGCATCGGCTACTGGGCGCTGCTGTCCTCGCCCGCCGTCCACCTGTACGGCCGCAGGCTGCTCTACCTCGTCTCCATGATCTTTGGGCTCATCGGCAGCGTCTGGTTCGGTGCCGCCAAGAGCGCCGACGACACCATCTGGAGCCAGCTGTTCGTCGGCGCCTCTGAGGCCGTCGCAGAGGCCGTCGTCCAGCTCAGCCTCATGGACCTGTGGTTCGAGCACCAGGCCGGTGCCGCCATCGGTGTTTACGTCCTGGCCACCAGTGTGGGTACCTACATGGGCTCCCTGATCGCGAGCTACGTGTCTGAGAGCTTCCTTGGCTTCCGCTGGGTCGGCTACATGGGCGCCGCCTTCTCGGGCGGCACGTTCTTGCTTCTGTTCTTTGGCCTGGAGGAGACGGGCTTCGACCGCGCGGGTTACACGACCATGCACGGGCTCAACCTCACGGAGCGGGTCGGCCACCTCGCCGCGGATGAAAAGGTCGCAGGTGTGGGCGAGAAGAAGCCCGGGGCGGCTGCGGACGGTGGTGTCTCGGGGACCGCCACCCCCCTGGCGGGCACCGACCTGGAGCGGGCCGGGTCGCGGTTTGCAGAACCCGAGAAGCTGAAGCCCTACTGGCAGCGGATCCGGGTGATCACCCCTGCCCCCAACCTGCGCGGGACCGGGTTCAAGCAGTACTTCAAGCGCCTGTTCCACACGCTCAAGGTCTTCACCTTCCCGGCCGTGTGGTACGCGGGCCTGCAGTGGGGCGCCCAGAGCGCCTGGCTGACCTTCTACCTGACCGTCGAGCAGGACACGTGGTACGAGGCCCCCTGGTACTACACGGACGGCGAGGTGGGCAACATGAACATCCCGACGCTCATCGGGGCCGTGATAGGGTGTTTTATCGCGGGCTGGGGCAGCGACTGGTTCACGCTGTGGCTGACGCGGCGCCGCGGCGGGATCATGGAGGCCGAGTCGCGCCTGTGGCTCATGATCCTGCCGACCGTCGTGTTCCCGACGGGCATGTTCCTCTTCGGCATCGGGTCGGGGCGCGGGTGGGACTGGCCCGTCCCTTATGTCGGGCTGGGCTTCATCGGGTTCGGCTACGGCTGCGCGGGGGACCTGTCGATGGCGTACCTCGTCGACGCGTACCCGGAGATGGTCCTCGAGGGCATGGTGGGCGTGGCGGTCATCAACAACACCATCGGGTGCATCTTTAGCTTTGTCACGAGCCCCTGGATGGACGGCAGCGGGGTCGAGAACACCTTCATCGCCGCCGGCGTGCTGGCGTTTGCGGCGCTGGCTACCAGCTTGCCCATGGCGCTGTTTGGGAAGGCTGCGCGGAGGAGCACGCGGGAGAGGTATAACCAGTTTGTTGCTGGGCGTGATGGGTTGGAGAGCTGAGGTTGTTTGGGGTGGGACTTTGTGGTCTGCGTGTGGTATGCCGGGTGTGGCTGGGGGTAGATAAGATGACGGTCAACTGCCCAGGCGGTGGTGGTGATTCACAGCATTGTGCTCTGAAGGTGTGGTGTGGCGCGGCTCGGTCCTTCGCAGCCCGTCTTGTTTGTGGAACAGTGGTTTGATATACCCATCGTGCGGTTTCTTCACTTGCGGACGGAAGCAAGTCACTTCTTCGGGCATTTGTAATTGGCAATGAATCAAGTGCCAGCGCATTATTTCTTGTTTTAATTGAGGGTTCTTTGTGGGAAGTGTGTGCTTTTGCGTGCCCCCCAGGTAAGATCAAGCCAATAATGACCTACGAAAGCGCTCTCTGTCCCTGCTTCGAGTTTCCTGCCCCCCCCCCTCCACCCCACCTCACTAGCATTTGATGTTTTGATGGGGAGATGGTACAGTCCTTTTTCCTCTCTGATGAGATGGCTGGGTTCAGACTTTATTGAGGTCAGCAGTTTGCAATTTCCTGCTTGAACGTTTTCTACGCGTTTAAACGACATTCCGCGCCAACTAAATATACAAATTCTTTAGCAGCTTCCATTTGATCACACAAAATCAAAGAGCCCTGGAGTATGCCAGTGTGGCTCAACCGCGGCTGTGGCCCAATAAGCGCCTAGATGCCTGGCCTGCAGAGGATGTGCAGCTCTTAGTCCCGCACCTGCAGCTGGTAATGTAACCCATGTCCTGTTCCAAGACTGCCTTGGGGTGGGCGCCATTGCTCAGCCTCAAGTTGTGGTGGTCAGCACCCCGGCTGCCTACCGTGACCTCCTGCGCCTCCGCGCCGTGATATCAGTAGCATCCAGTTCCCCTCTACGCTGTTCTCTGTTCGCAAATAACGCAGTCAAGGCATGTTTCTTATCCTCGGCGTGTATCTGCTCTCGCGTCTATTTCGTGTATACGTCCAAAGACATACACCATCGTTGCCCGCTACTACAGAGGGACCTAAAAATCTAGCACGTACCGCAATCCTGCCCAGGTGGCTTCCTGAAGATCGCCAACATAGCCAGGACCCCAAAGCTGTCTGTCTCAAACACCCACACCTTCAAGATGTGTATCAAGAACATCTTCTACAACGTTTATGCCGATGGTGAGGAGGACGTCACTGAGAGGGTTGACAAATGCCGGCCTGGGTCCGACCACATCTGCGCCGATACCACCGTTCGCGAGTATGACCGCAGGTTTCACTGCTCCAAGCAACAGTTATCAGCTTCCCCTGGAGCCAAAACGCCGCTGGAAGTCACTGTCAGCATCAAAAACAAGCCACTGGGTTCCCAGCGTGTTCCAATACCGATACCGAAGGCACCCAGGGCCGATTCTCGGACCTCAGTCGCTATCCCCATCCATTCGACGCCCGAGAATTACATTTTTCACTCATACTCCGCCGGCCAGGCTGACAGAGGACCGCCTGAGACGACAATGGAAACTCCCGCTATGCCGGGGGCCCGCAGTCAGGATGCTCCTCATGCCCGAGTCCCCGGACCGCCGTCTCAGCCTGGCATATCCAGCGAGGGATCGAACAAAAGTGAGATGCTCGGGCAGGCAGAGCAGGTCTTTGATGACAATATGCTCGATTATAGTAATCTACTACAACATGACGATGAATTGGTCAGGCGGATCAAACAGCGAGAGGCCAAACTTAAGGACTATCGTGGCAAGCAGACTATGGCACCAGCTGTCACATTGCGACAAGCTCTTGGAGAGACAGAGATAGAGCAGGAAGCAAGACAACAAGACAAGCCCCACGGAGGGAAGGAAAGAGGAGAAGGGTTCCTATGGGTCTTTCACGAAGAATCCAGCAATAGAATGGGTGCAATGCAAGAGGTGATAAGAAAAAACGATAGATTGGTAAGGATGGCGAATTCTGTGTTTGAAAGCCCGGTCAGCACCCTTCAGCGTCTGTCTGACGGCCAGGTAGGCGGTATATCTGATGCAGGGCTGAAGCAATCGACGGCCTCACCATTCAACAATAAGCTTGCTATCAAGACTGATGAGATACCAGTGGAGTTCGAGTCGGAGGTCCATTCTGGTTACAGGTTACGTCCACATGACACCAAAATTATTGCCCCGCCCAATTCACCCACAACTCTCGAACCAAACATTGAGCCTCGCTCAGGCGTGAGCGTAGTCGGTATATCCGAGGCTGATGATACAAGCTCCATCCAATCGTACAAGGACTCCATATTTGACGATCTCGAGTCTGTTATGAGCTCTGCCTCGTCCCTTGGTGATAATGCACACGCGGTATTTGTCAGTGCATTCGTGGACCTATTGATCCGCGACCCCACTGTGGACAGGATGATCTCCAGGGCAACTTCGGACGAAGGGATTGGAGTTGAGCGTTTCCGGAGGTCATTCAGCAGGATATTAAAAGCATATTCTCGAGATCTGCGAGACGCTATAGCCCAGAATGAACAGCAGAAGGAGCATGATCACCAGCACGTGGTTGCATTCATATCACGAAAGGCATTGCAAGCCTCAAGCCTCGTTGCTGCACGCTACGAAGAACGTGCACCAAGGCCTGACAAAAGCGTGGTGGGCAGGGTCGAACGGTACCTAGAAGGCCTTGAATCGGACAACAGCGACTCATCAGATGAGGAAGAAGCCGTCACGGAGCCCGCAGTCTCCGGGCTGGAGAATTTCCTCCTGCAGGGAAAGCCATTCAGAGCTCTGAAATGGCATCTGCGAAGCCTCATAATTTCGAACCAGCGAGTTGCACAGGTCAAGGAATCTGCTGAGAATCTCCTTGGTTTCCTGTTCTGCAGCCTTCGCCTCGAGGATGCTTTCGCGGAGGCTCACAGGCGTGTACCTGATTTCAGCACTTGGCTTCGCCTGAAAATCGATGATTTAGCTGCAAGTCTGGAGACCGAGCTCAAGGCAGAGTCTCCCATGACTGAGTATTTGAACATCTACTCAGACTATCTCTCGGTCCAGGCAGTCCAGCGGCTCATTCAAACACCTAATGTCTCTGGCACTCAGAACCCGGAGCCGTCTTATCGCCAAGCACCGGGCAAGATGTACACTGCTGAGATCGAACCACCTGAAGAGATCCTCGAGGATATCATAGCAACAAGGCTACCAGACGTCTTTGGCGGAGAATTCTTTGAGCCAAACGCTTGGGCTGGGCTATCGTCCACCAAATCGTTCCGTGAGTTCGCATCAGAACTTTCAGATGCTGCTTATCCGACATTCTTCTCCGAGAGCCGCAAAGCCCTGAAGGCGGAGCTCGACTCCGAATATCGCGGACTTTCGGATCAGTCTGAGGAGAGATACCTATTGTCAATGTTGATGGAGTTGGAGTGCTCGGCACGGCAGGACCGAGAAATCTCTCTCTCGATCCAGACCTCCGACAGCGTGCTGTGGCCTGATCGACTGAAGCTGTTCATTGAGAAAAGCAGTGGATCGGAATGGAATTGGTGGCCATTATCCCCGCCACCAAGGGCCGAATTACCTGCTCATGTCAAGCTTGAGCCACACGCCTTGCAACAGCGCTTGTTAAAGGAAGCGATGTTGCTCCTACCTACTTGGTTGGTAAGTGTCCCTGAGGGATTTTCAACGGAGATTCCAGCTTTAGCTGTGTTCTTCTTGTTGAGATTCAGTTTTTTTTCTGTCATTTCTTCTGACCCAAGTTTCTGTGCTTATCGGCAGCAGAGACTGTGGTCACTGCCGGCTGCCTGCTAGACCTCGGGAGCGGCTGGCCCGGTCAGCGCCGTTCAGCATCCACCAAATACTCGTTCTCGTACTGTGGATATATTAACTGACCTAGGAAAGATCCTGTCACTTATGTTTCTACCATTCATGCTATTCGATGATATCATGACTCTAGAGCTATTCGATAATATCTTGACTCAAGAGGATATTTTAATTCAGACCAGGGGGTCTTTGCGTCGGCAGATTGCCATTCCCCCGGTTGCATTTTATATCTGTCTCTCGGTAAGTTTCCAGAGTCAAGAACGCGAAAATCTGCCTCCAGCCATTCAAATTTCCATGCCACTGACATACAAAAGCCTATTTACTTCATTGTTGTAGTGCACATGGTGTCGTACGCCACAAGATTCACTAGGCAATATATGCTCCCTCGAGCATGCTCAAGGTCCATTCGGAGCCTTGACGAGGATGCAGACTGTGCAAAAGTCATTTCGTGGCTATGCAAATGTGGCTGCACTCGTCAGGAGCTAGTGTCACCCAAATTTGCCAACCTCTTCCAGCGGCTCGCCAGTGAGTATCCCATGGCACACTGCAACAGCGATCCAATCCAGCCAATCGGGCTTTATGCTCCACGGTCGCTATGTACAAATCCCTCGGGTAGCTCCTCTTCGTCTACAGACACACCGAGCGTAATCGGCTCAGATTCAACTGGTGGTGGCAGCAGCAGAGCCTCTGTCTCCACCGCACCTAGCAGTACCGGCTCCACCACCATCACAGTAGACTTTGACAGGCAGACATTCGTCCATCTGCTGGTACGCAAAGGAGACCAATATGTACTATCCCCAATGAAGGTCACCGAAGGGGACGCCAGAGGCTTCTTCCAAGACCTTATCGTCCGCTATCAGCGGCAGCGAGGTTTCCTTCGTCAATTTCTCTCCATTTTTGTGTACAGTCATTGTGACTTTGTGAAGGTAAGTATAGGGCAGGTTGAAATCTCAAGACCGGATAAAATGGTAGTAACAAAGTCATGCAGGTTAAACACCATCGCGCATATCGTTTCTCTCCAATCCCGGGGTTCTCATTCCCCGAGCGAGGCAAAGATGTCGAATTCCACGAATATTCCTACAGTCCGCAACCCATGATACAAGCCCCTATCACTAAGCACATGTTCAACGACTACTTCTACTCTTGCTATAACAACAATAACATAAGGCACTCCGTCCTCCACAAGTTCCTCTCATCATGCGATGTCATTGAAACACTCCCGCAGGACCTGTTGGAGAGCATGCCGAAACGTGACCGGGAGGTTATGGTGGGTGCGCAATTCGGCAGGGTGGAACACTTCTGGGGGATCGTGGCGCGGGAGCAACGCTCGGCGTTGAGAGTCGTGTTGTACATGCTCCTGAGCCTCATGCCTACGGTCTGGTTCATGTTCATGTGGATGTTCTCCTGGGGTCACGAGGGAGATCTGCAAAATGCTACCGTTCCGGTGACTATCAGCCTTGCCACTCTCAGCATGATTTGGATTGTGGTATATTCTGGCGGAGAATCAGGAAACGAATAAGTCTTTGTTGTAGACGGAGAGCAGATGACATTGAGAATAAAAGTTTTCTTAGGAGCTTGTTAGAATTTAGTCCAGGTACCCTTCCTGTATAACACACTTTATGTCTTAAAAGTATTTTATAATTGAGTGTTATATGTGGAATGTATGTGGCGTCTCCATACAGTGGTAAACGCTGAAGACCCTTTATAATTGGTTAGTCAATCTTTCAAGCAAGACAATGGTTAGATGATAATTTTGCCGGCCTAATATAGTTGTTATGAGGCTCTGGCTATGCTATCATTGTTGTGACTGCACTGGGCTGGCAGTGACTGGAGGGTGCCAGTGAGTGGCAAGCCAGTGAGGGCGCGGGCCATCTGAAGCGTCTTTGCTATTCGTACCAAAACTTGTTGGATGTTTGCTTCCCTCGTCCGTTCACTTCTCGGTCAGATCACTTTTTGTTCAAAATTGTACAATATTATAAAGCAAGACTTGAAAGCTTCGCCCTTCCGTTGCCATCCAGAAACACCTATAGATGAGACTGCCACCCCTAAATCTTCGACCTGAATGATATGGGACAGCCTTTCCTTCATTTTCTTCCTTCAATGGGCGAATCGACTCGTCGCCACCTTGCAATAATGTCCAAGCAACAACTCAACCACTACCGTCGCCAATCGTTCCAGAAGAGCCCAAAAATCAGTCATGCTACCGTCTATTTGCAGGCGAGGCATCAAAAACGTTAACCCCTTCCATCTTATATGTCGTGTGTCATAACTTGCTCCCCTCAAGTGCTCTGCTTTCTGTACAACGCGAAAGCCTCGCGTGTGCCGCTTAGACCTCTCCTCAAATCTCGTTTGCACATCATGGACGAAGTGGATCTCGCAGCGCCACACCACCTGGGCAGCGTTGGGTAAGCCAAAGTCAGACTTTGCCGGCACTAGCTCGACACCCAAAATGAACAAGCTTGACAGTCGAAAGTTGCCCACGACCTTCAAAATCGTCTCTAACTGCCTAGGAAATTATGATAACCATCCCAGGTGCCGGGGACTGGGCAGAAGAACCACATGAGCGCCAGAGCAAGAGGCAAGAGTGGTACCGCCAGATTGTGGGATTTGCTTTGCACAGCAGTCTCTCACTTGCAGCATCGGCATTTGTCTCATTTCCTAATATGACCACACTGGCCCTTTCCAGTTTGATTATAAGCACACCGTCAAGGTCGCTTCTTCAAACGATGAAACTGGACATCACCTGAGCAGGCCGATTGAAGGACCCTCGTTGCATGGCCGACCACTTTCGGGTTGGAAGAGGTCTAGCCCACATCGCCAGAAGTGTCAGGCCAAGGAAGATTTCGACCAGCAAGATAAATGTCGTCCATCTTGACGACAGGGGATATACAAGTCATCTGGTGTCTATATGGCGAACCAAGGTCGAGCTGCTCTTATCGGATGGAGAGAACTTCGAAAGTAGATGCTTTGGAGTCCACAGGGCCAGATTATAAGCATCGAGCTTCCCGTCACGTTATCGCCCTGGGGCAATTCTGGGCTCTGGTCTTCCCCATTGCATCCGTCAATGGGATATTATTCGATGTCCGCTGCCCACCCGGACCACATCTGAATTTCTCCATCGTGCTCCAGCCCTGGATTTTCCTGTTGCCACATTACAAGAACAGAAATTCTAGCTGGATAACCACTTTCACCTGGATGGATGATTTGAATATACGGTACCTATCTGGGTACCTGAAACCTCTCATGAAAGAGGAATATTTGACGCCTAGTATGGGCAGCTCAGGACTACTTACCTGCCGGGGATAGGTGTCTTGCAGAATTCCAACCTCGGAATCAAGGAACAGGCCCCAGCAAGCGCGATGTATCATGAGACAAGACTGGCTTAACGATCCGCAAGAACTATCCAGATTTTTCGAACGACAGTTGTCGACAGCCGTGCTCGAGCACCGAATACGGTTTGTTACAAGGCGATCCATGGATGACGGAGAGCAGCGGTTGTATGAATGAGTTACAGGCTATGCAACTCACTTGGAGCTAGACCACATATCGACTGTGGGACCTCATAAGACCAAGACGGATTCTGGTTAGCCTTCGCTATTTAGGCGTCTTGAGCGGATACCGCACAAATTGGAGGGACTCTGTGACCGTTTGTCGACAGTGACTGTCGTTTGCATGTCATTCCTGTGGACAGGACACTGCTCTGGTGGCTGCCACGCACTTCAAGTTGTACTCCTGTCTTGCCATTTAACCACTCTTTCATTTCGCCAACCCTGTCAATCTCCCAGTTCAATAATCTCCTTGTCTTACAGCAATGCCTCAACTACTCCTGACTGCCTGACTCCAGTGGGGTTACCATTTCAATCTCTTGATCTGTCAACCTCTCTGTTGACCGCTTGACCTGGGCAGCCAGTACCAATTCTCGCCTGTGGCTACTGGACTGACAGCTTAGCCTTTCGGGGGAGCACCAAAGCATTCCTGTCACTGGTAAGAGGCAAAAACTGGCCAAAAGCTTCATTTGAGGCACACCTCCTTCGGACAGGTCGAGGTACGTTCATGTCTCAAGGTGGCGACGGAAGGCCACCGTTGGACCACAGAAGTCCTTCATCTGCGCGAGCTGGCTATTTTGGGCGTCTACCTTACCCGGCAGTGCGGCTCATCATCGGAAAGCACTTCGACGAAGATCCGGTAACCGGCTCTTGGGCTTTCTTCATCGTTGCGGCGTTCTACGACAGCGACAACCGCCGCCTCTGGCAGACAGAAATTCTCCTAGGCCAGTTCACCTACCTGGATCGGTCCGGCCAAAGGGATCAAAGCAGTAGAAGTTCTGCTACTCATCGCCGTCAAACACCTGTCGCTCGTGAGTCTTCCTCGGTGTGCCCAACATGACCACCTTGATAGCTGTGACTGGCAGTATTAGACAGTCAGACATAAATTCAGTCTGACATTTAATACTCACTGACGGCTTAAATGCCATCCATTTCCCCTACTGCGTTCAGATTAAATAACAATCAACCTGCAGAGAACCCCTCCAGACCTGGACACAGTCCCACACAGAACCACCCACACCATTCCTACCCAAACCCGCCAAGCAGTGAACTTACACATCATACTCCTACTCAATTCTCTCTACCTCCATTGCATCAACCGTCGACACTCGCGTCTTTCGCTTCTCCTGCATACCCGTGTGCAAATTTCGAAGCACCACACAACCCAGGGTATTCCATTGTCGGTCGTCGAGGTCCCTGGTCTATGAGCCAAGCTACCTCATATCCTCGCCAACACTACCACTGAACCTTTTCAGGTACGCCCCCCATTTCTGATATCAGTCGTCCACCAGTCTTTTTCGTCCACCGGTCTTTTTCGTCCATTTGCATTATTTAACCAGCGGAATATAGAACCCTGCCGTCCATCCACCATGTCGTTTCCAGGCTTTGGCCGCAACACCGCCTACGGCCCTGATACCGGCCCTCCACCACCCCGGGCCCCATACGGTGCTGGACCTAACTTTGGGCCTATGTACCCGCAGCAGGCGGCGGCTTACTACCCGGCCTACCAACAACCACAACAGCCTTACTGGCAAACATACAGCCAGCCGCCCGTGATGGCCGGGCAGGCTATTTCTGGCCCTGCGGGTTACTTTGGCAATACCGTCCATCCCAACAAGTACGACAGCGTCGGCCGATATCCTGCGGGTGTCCCAGTCATCGAGCCCAAGATTCCGTCCATCAACATGACCAACTCGACCGGTGGCGTCGGGTGCGAGCCCGGATACCATTACATGTTCCACTTTTCCCACACCAAGATTCATGTGCTCCTGACGGGTGAGGACCCGCCATGGAACCTGACAGCAAATTTCGCCATGGACTTTTACGCGGTCCACGTTCCAACCAACACCACGATTGGTGATCTCATGAAGGGATTTGGCGCCGTTAACCCAAAGGCGGAGCTCAACAAGATTTTTGAGGTCCATGAGGGTGAAGGTGGCAAGTGGTACAAGGGCATGTCGTTCAAGGGCGACGATGACAAGGCGATGAGCAAGACCATCAAGGAGCTCGGCTGGGATGACACACGCAACGGACAGCCGGATGGCAAGCCGCCTGTGTGGCTCTACGTTGTGAAGGGCTAAAATTTGGGGGCCCAAGGCTTGGTCGATGTATTCTTTCTTTCTTTATTTTCTTATCTCCACACTTGGGTTGGAGGCGTTGATTTTACCTTGTGTTGAGGGTGTTCCTGGATCTTTCACGATCACAGGCCTGCGCCTGCCAGGTTCATTTTTGGGAGAACGGTATCGAGATGCACTATTCGATTTGGAAGTAAGTGGCGGTCTGGCCGAGACCCACCGGGTATACACTGATGGCACATTGGAATGAGCGGTGGTTTCTTCTCCACGTACCTAGGTACTTAAGTAGGACTTATCATGACGGCAACTGGTACGGAATTGAAATCCTTTTGATATTTGCAACTGTGGACTCGAGCTTCAGTCATCGTTTCGTCACAATAACTGCGTCACTGGTATATGTCACTCGACAGATTTGACACTGCTGAAGGCCCTGTATTCAGAGGATGGCCTGAGATTCAGTGCATGTCGCGGGGGTAGTAGGCAGGGGCCACAGCCACTGTAACGATTATTACTCGGTGTCTGCTTGCCAGTCTCCTTGCTCCATCTGTACTCCGACTTCGCTGGTTGGATTTAGAGCCTCCGAGAGGCATGGAATCTGCTCTTCCATTCCTATACTGTATACGCGTGAACTCTTGATATAGTCTTCCTGTTTCTGTAGCGCCTGATAACGCCGGCACCTGGGGGCTCTCTACAGCCGTCGATATATCCTCTATTTCTCGTTGATCCTCACTGGTCACTAACGCCGCGGATACTGCGCCACACCCTGTTTCGATCGCAGTCATTCTAGTCCACGACCTAGTCCCGTTTCACCCGCATGACCGGTCCAACGTATTCATGTCTGGCCTTGATGAAGTAATAGACTAACGCAACTAGAAGAACAAGGGCGAATGCAACTGAGCTCCAGTTCAGATTGATAGCTGTCACGGGCTGCGCCAAGGGCCAGCAATAGAAGAACAGTGTCGGGATGAGAAACACCAACGCCGCTAGATTGATGACCAGACCATACCTGCCCAGAGACCATCGCCGCGCAGGCAACGGTGCGCCCCAGATGCGTCGCCAGATCAGGCACAGCAGCGTGATCACGTATGAGAAGAGAAATGCGACACCGCCGAGGGAGTTGGCTGCCTGCAGAGCGACTGTGGACCCGAGATTTATCAGGGATAGCAAGACGGTGATGAACACGGTGAGGCAAATTGATCGGAGGGGGATGTCCAACCCAGGGGCCACGTGGGAGAGCCATGTCGAACCTGGCAAGCCCCGATCACGAGCAAACGACCTGGAACATGTTAATAAATTTCGAACGAGTGAGACTTGAGTTAGAACGTACCAAAGCTGTCGGGACGACGTAGCCACCTCGTTGATCACGCAGCACTCCACATGGCGGTCATGACGCTTGTGCCTACGTAGCTTTGAGTTGCGTTGTAAAATAGCTGAATGAATGGCTGGCCGGTACTTGTAGTGAGGAGGCTCTCGATGTCACCTATACAGAATATCATCGCGGTGCAGATGATGAAGAGCGCGACCACGTTATAGCTCACGCTCCAGGTGATTGCAATGGGGATGATGCGGGAGGCATCTATAGTCTCCTCCGCTTTGAGGTCGCAGATAAAATCTCAGCATATATTTAGATTTGCATTCAAGACTGGGTTCACTTACACATGTGCGCAATGCAATCATATCCATTGAGGAGGCCGGCGAAGAGAACCAGGCCTATCATAGATGACAAGCCCTCGTTTCCCCAGTTCCCACGATCGTAGAATCCGAACAGAACATCCGAAGAATTCCCGTGGTCAGCCGTCAACCAGAGGGGAAGCACAATGGCGAATATACCTCCGAAATGTAGGGCAAACAAAAAGTACTGGATTACCGGAAGCCGGCTGGCTAGGGCTGTGTTGAGGATCACCGCGAAGCTTACGGCTGCTATGGTGAGGAGTGTGCAGTGCCACCTTGCGAAGGTGTACTGCGGGTTATTGAGCGCGATGAGGCCCTGGACGGCCATCCCGACTACCAAAGATGAGCCTGCAAGATAGACCTGCCAAGCTATCACGATGAGCCAGCCGACCGAGTAGCTAAGACCTCTCTGTATACTCATTGGCGCCAGTTCTGACACCCAGTGATACTGTTTGAAGAGTTGCGTGTCAGATTGTTCTCCTGCAAGGATTTTAAACAGCTGTGTGGACTTGCCTGACCACCGGCCGTTGGGAACATGCTCGCCACCTCCGCCAAGCTCGCGTAGACCAAGAAGAACCCCACGGCGCCGATGACCAAGCCCCAAAACATCGCCGCCGGGCCGCCGTCGATCAAGACGTATCCCAACAGTATCGGCGCAATTTCCCAACTGATGACGGCGATGGATGAAAAGCCAAGCATCGGGACCAGGCGGTAGTTCCGTCGGAGAACTTGCTTTACCCCAAGGACATCCATGTCGTGCTTGTCGGCCGATGTGCCCCTGTATATCTCCTTGACGATGCTCGATGCATCCTGGTCTGTGTCAAGACCCGCATCCACGTTCGTTGTGAGCTCTTGCTTGGTCATGTCGCTGGGGCTTGTCGAGCGTATCGAAGTGAGAAGTGAAGAAGAAAAGTCGGATTCAAACTCTACGAAAGAAGCGGCGAAACTTGCTCAAGAAAAAGGTGGACGCCGAGCACACTCAAGATGGCAAATGCAGGTATTGCATAGTCCGGAATAATGTCAGAGTTACACTGAGTCCGTCTGCTCTTAGAACCTGTCGAATTACAACCGATCTGCAATGCCAGATTAGGCGCTTACCTGCGACCTGACGTGCTTGATTGGGGAGCTCGGTACGCTGAGCCGGCAATCGAGGAACCTCGGACTTGACTGGAATGGCAATTCCAATATCACTGTACCTCATATCGAGCGCAGGGGAGTAACTTCCCTTCATCACAATTATTATCAGATGTATGGATACAAGTCACCAGTAACGGTGAAGGGAACCTGGAAGGAATCCAGGGGCGACTCCAGGGCTTCAAAGAGAGCATTGGATGCTAGGTTATCCCGGGCTCAAGTCTGAGTTGAACCACCTCGCCATGCCCTACTTACTCTACGGCACATGCAGATGCTTCCAGCCTGCTAGGATCTATTCTGGCTATCAGGACGTGCAGCGTACCATTGCTTACTTTGAACCAAGGTGGCAAGGCACAAACGTATCCTATTCGAAGACTCCGTTGCAATGCCAAGGCCACCTGGGCACACTTGGATCCCCAGGCAACCCGCCCAGGCTATAGACCATGACAAGAAAAAGAGAAGCAAAGCGGCAACTGAGCCACAACTCGATGTTACACAATGAGGTGTCACGTGCCTGTCTGCTGGCACCCGTGTCTGAGACATTGTCCCGCCTTATCGGCGATATGTAAGCTTGTAACTATTTGCGACCTGCTTGCCAATAGAATGTCTCAGATAATAGCCATGTTCTTTACGTGACATTGGGCTGGTTCAAAGTTGCACGAACGGCGCAGCTACTATCACGAATGTAATCGGCGGCACATCTCAATGGGCTCACAGCGAGTCTGGAAGGCAGCCACATGGGATGTTCTCCTGAAGTCAGGGGCCACGGGCATCGAACGGGCATCGCAGGTGCACTGCTGGGCCACTGATTTCCTAGGTAGATAAGCAAATCTTTGATTTGATATCGTAAAAAAAGAGGACCATCTGCTACATCATTCGCAACACTCCACCGGCCCAATTGGTTTCGTTCTATATCTGTATACCTGCCCAGGGTGGTTTCGTTTCTATTGCGTAAACGTCCGAACATACACGGCGTCGTCATATATGGTAAACACTCAAAGATCCAAGGTTTTGTTGCTCTCTCTTTTTTGTAAGAAAAAAGACACAACACCAACAACATTGTAACGAGACCCTAATCTGCGGGAACATGACCTCAGCTCCGTGCAGCACAGACAAGGCTAGGAACCATCGCTGTCGACGGCCTCTTTTACTAGAAAGACGGCGAAGCAGTCGTACAGCGTGACTTAATTACTCCCTCCGCACTCGGGTGATATTTGCCCCGAGCGTCTCTTCAAGGGTTCTCGTTTCCAGCCCACCAACCCCGAATGGAAGTACAAAATTTGGAACTTCGTGCTGCTGTAATGCCTTCAATGTTGTTTACCTTCACAAGCATATTTTCCCACGATATATCTCAATGGGCGAACCTGAAGTCCAGTCTTTTGCTTCCGGAATCTTTTGTAGTGGAAAGATACCGTATCTGTTCCTCTTTGCTCAATGCGTTCCATTCCCGGTCACGGACCTTGTTGCGCCAGATATAATATCCCTTTGTGAAGAGGTAGAGGAAAATGTTCATCACGCAGACCCCAATTAAAGCACGATTCGCATTGCGGTCTGCAACCAAAGATCAGCTGTTGCTCACAGAGTTGCTGTGACTCAATGGCATTGAAAACGGAAGGGCGTGCTATGAAAAATTCCACTTACAGAAGGGTCGATCAGAACTGCGGTACACGTTGGAGTACACTATCCCACTGACCTGCACAAACATGCTTCAAATTTTGAGTAAATTTGAAGGAAACACTGGTGGAACTTGATGATAGACCTACTTGTACAAGGCAGCTGAGACCGTCCTGGCACGGACCGTATTAGAGTTGCGACTGCACCAAGCAACTTGCATGGCATGAGCTAAAATGCAGTCAGATTTATATACCCACAGATTCGACATGGGCCGCATCATACCTGAAGGGAAGGACAAGAGAACAGTCAAAATAGCGTAACGAGCCCATGCTGAAGATGTGTTTGGCAGAACAGCCAAGGCGATCATATTGGGCAGAACCCAGAATTGACAAAGGACTCCGATTAGACCTCTCTCGTTGTAGCGTTCTGAATAAAAGGTCACGACCATCATCTAGGGTGTGACATCAGCGACTGGGCAATCACTTTGGCCTTGTGCATCTCACCGTGATTGCTCCAAAGAACTGGGTGGGTATCGTCAGCAGATTGGAATCGAATGTGCCGAAACCCAGGTTTCTGAGCGTCAGGGTCAAGTACTGATCAGGCGGTCCCGTCGGGATTTGGAAACATAGGCCGAGGATGTATACCGGCCAGAGGTCAAAGTCCGTGAGTGACTTCCACAGCAGCTTGAGACTGACAGCCTGGCGGTTATGCATGTCTCCCTTGGAGGGATCGTCCCTGAGGATCCGGTTTACCATGATGACCTCCTCTCGCTCGGTAAACCAGCCCTTGGGTCGGTACCACGACTTTGTTTGTGTGGGAGAGGGAGCCATCATGAACCAGGACCAGATACCGATGGTGAGCGTGAGGATACCCTCGAAAAGGAACAACCAACGCCAACCTTCGTAGCCGTGGTAGCCACGGAGTCGCAGAAGCCCGAAGGCTAAGATTGGGGCGACAATGTCTGTCACGCGCAGAGACGTCCAGAAGAGTGCTAGCCGGAATGGGAGCTCTGTCCCTTTGAAGAAATAGGACTGTGTTGTCAGAATATGTGGGTTGTGGCAGGCGACATGAGACTCACCAGATAGAGAATCACGTCTGGAATGAATCCGCCCTGGAGTAAGCCCAAGAGTGCGCGGCACAAAAGGAACGATGGTCTTCCGCTCAACCAGAATTGTGAAGCTGCTACGACGGACCAGAGACACATGATTGTTGGTATCTGCCTGGGTCAGCACCACTATGCATACTAATATGCTATTAGTAATAATAAGTGAGTTCAAGGACATACCCATCTATCGGGCCCTACACAAAAGTTAGAAGCTTCACTGAAGAGAAACGAAGGAGGCTGAACTAACCCAGCTTCTTACTGATGAGCTGTGAGGGAAGCTCGGCGCACAGGAAGGCAAGTCTGAAGACTGTGTTGCCCAAGTTGTAGTCTATTGCAATGAAGGGTCAACGGATGCACAACCGAAGGCAAAGGGGTTACATTATCCCTTGGCACCATCAGTGCTTAAACCCAAGTCATCTAGGAAGTTATCGGTATTGGCCTGACTCAGATTCCCTCTGTCCAGATCCAGACCAAAAAAGGCAATGCATGCCCATAGCGTGATTTTCCAGTCGATTTTGTTGATCAGAGGCTAAACCATTGCTGTCAGCCCGGAATTCATCTTTTGTGTCCTAAGAACTCCACTCACTAGTTCCTCTCTCCAAGTCCATCTCGCCTCCGGGTCGAAGCGGTGCAAGTTCTCGTACCGAGCAGTAGGAGTGAAGAACTGCGCTATAGATGGATCATCATATACGGAGAGCTGGGTGGCGATCTCATCCAGTTGTTTGTGGTCTTTCTTGCGGAATAGTGTCATAATGGGAAGCACAGGCGGGTTGCTTTCCTGCAGCCGGTCAGACAGGATGCGCTCTCTGATAGCGTCGCCATCTTCACCAGAGTCGGTCTCTGACTTGTCGATAGACTGGCTCGTGGGGCCTGCGGCATTCTGGTCAAGGCCGAGTGGGGCCTGGATATCAGCATTTGCGGCCATGATATTTCACGGGTGACTGTTTTGCTGCATGCTTCATATTTCAGTTACATCTCAGGAGCAATCCCGTACTGATATATGTGATCATCTGTACCTTTCAGCCCTCGTCAATACTACCCACGCTTGCCATTTTGCTCAGCCGGTGCCGTGGGTCTGGTACTTCATTGGTGACCACGATGGTGAAATGCTTGGACCATTTTCGCAATTATGCATCCAATGCCCTTTGAGCCGTCGGGTGGGCTTGGTATGACGCGGAGGGGTTATTGATGTCGGCTATCGCATCTGCGTGGTGCTGTCTTGGCGGTAATTGTTGTGAAGAAGACCAAATATGGCGTGATAGCGTATGCCCAATTGTGATCCGCCGGGGGTATTGTGCTTGATAAGGTTGCCCTCAGCCGATCATTGGCCTGGAGCTATGAGTTTTCAGCTCCAATTCTTAATGCGCACGAAACGATGGATTCATTTGAGCTCTTGTTGGTTTCAATCCCGATGATTTTGTCAAGCGATGGCGCAAGTACTCATAGCATGGCGGGATTCGAGACAACAATCTATTGGGTTGTGGGTTCAATCTTCGATTGGAAAGCCCATGCCAAGGCAAGTTCATGGATGCCTGGGTTTGTTGAACCTCTCTTGAGTGTTAGGATGATTTACGTATTCACTGGCCGCCGCCCGCCGCATCCATACCCACATTCGCCCTGACCAATGAGCTGCATCAATGATATAAAGTATGACAATCACATACATATGTAGACCTAGAGTCTCAGCCCCCGTAGATGTCAGGTGGCTGTCGATGAAAAACTGGTTTCGCTTCTATTCCGTATACGTTCGAGGACATACCTAGGTACTTATTACCAAGGTGGATAATGCAACCGATAATGATAATACGATACATATCTGCCCTAGATACTAGTAGGGACCACCTTGAGACTGCTTGGGTAGCGAAAGGCGCTATAACCTATATGTGTGGGGATTCAAACTGAAACCAATTTGAAGACTGGTTGAATTCCGATTGAATGCCAGTAGCAACGTTAGCAGTTGTCTTTGAACAAGCTCAAGTGACTAACACATTTGTTACCTGGACAGTCCATTCGACCAGCGGTGGGGAAAGAGGATTATCTAGCACTGTCCCACGGCCATCAAGAGGATTCATTCTATTGTCCAGATGGGCCATTACTAACATGACAGGCTTTAGTACCCCAACCCTCAGTGGCAACTGCTTCGGGTTACACATGTTGCGAATACCTCACTGTAGTGTAACTAGATCCCATTGGTACGTACTAGTTTGATGAAGCGGGGCCATAGGGCGTGGCTTGTCATCCTGCTGACTTAGTTCAACGGCGGACTCAAACCTCACAACCCGAACCTTGACTTATCTACCAGCGGACCTTGTTTATGCTCTCATCTCAACACAAAAGGCCCTGGACACCATACTTGGGTACCTGAATCCTCACACCGGGGCAACATTGAGTCGACAAGATGGTATCTGAATCGTCTCAAGCGGGATCCGCCGTCGACGGACGTAATGTCTACACGCTGCATAACCAACCCTTCTCGCTGTTTTCGATGATGGTCAGGTTTACATACGTCCTTGGACGCAGCTCAGCCGACAATGCCACAGATGGGGTTAATATAGAATATAAATTAGTGGATCATCACCGTTATGAGAACCTTGGAGAGGACTATCTGATCAACGTCAATCCAAAGGGCCAGGTATGACCGAACCAACAACGGATTATCTAGCGAGTATGAGACTCATTCTTAACCATTTCAGGTCCCGACATTAACGGGCCCCAAGCTCCCTGCCCCCTTGACGGACAGTGTTGATATCTCATACTGGTTAAGCGGTCATTATCCCAAACTTCTCCCGCCTGACCTCGAGCCGACTATCAGGGACCTGTTCACCAAGTTGCACGACATCGATATCTACTGCCTGTGTGTGCGACCTGAGTCCGTGCCACCGGAATGGCGAACAAGCGGGGTTCCTCCTGTTTCGGTCGATGCCCTGCTCGCCAAACCAGACTCAGAGATCTCGCCGGAGTATCGGAAGGCACTATTAAAGAAACGAGAATTGTATGCATTCCACCGATCTCCACTCTGGCACCCCTACGGAGCTAATGCCACCACTTTAGCCACGTCAAGACTAAGAACGATGCCTTGAGGCTGGACCAAGTCGAACGTGCTGAGAAGCAGGCTCGCGACTTCTTCTCGGAGCTGCTTTCCATCCGCAAGACCCACGGAGCGGACTCTGTTTGGTTGTTCGGGCCGGAAGCGGGCCCGACGATACTGGATGCTCACACCGTGCCGTTCATCGCGCGGATGAGGGACGAGAAGGTGGGTAGGGGCAATCTGGTTCCACCGGAGCTGCAGGAATATGCATCGCGTGTGATGGGGCGCCCCGAGTGGGATGAAGTCATGCACGGCAGGCCCACGATTTATGATGCGTCTATGGGTCCTGTACGTGAATTGGACCCGCTTTGGTAGGAAAAGCAAGCTTGCAGGGCTCATTAAGTTGATAGTTCTTCCTCGTTTTGACTTGCACCTGCTGTATGTTCCATGAATCTATATACATATATGCTATGGAGACCTCAATAGACATCCATCTAGAAGCCCAGTGTCTGGCCGGCCTCCTTGGTCACTGCAGCCTTGACATTGGCGCTGCCGAGGAGGGAGTAACTGTACGGGGGCGAGCTCGCGCTCAGCGTCCCCTGCGGCGCAGTGTTGGCACTCTGGCCGCCGAAGAGGACGTCGATGACTACGGCATACCTAGAGGGAACTCAATTAGTCACGGTGTTCATGTCAATAACGAAGTCAGGAAGACACTCACCCGTCCTCCTTGCTGCTCTCAGTGTACACCATCTTCTTCCCGCTATTCTCAAACACGCAGCTCTGCACCAGCGCCTGGGCGCCCATTCGCGTGTTGACGCCCGTGCTCTGCTCGTTGTAGTAGTTGTTGAAGATGTGAGCCGTGCCGAAGCGAAGGAGGGGGCCGCGGGAGTTGACCTTGTAGAAGTGGTTGTTGGCGTAGGTAACGCGGAGGTGGCCCGTGTCCTCGGCAGCGTTGGAGTCGGAGTGGCCTACTAGTGTGCCCTTGGACTAGATATTAATGAACTTGTGTTAGTGGAAATATTCCCAGAGAGGTATCTTGAACACAGAAACAGGAGGCACGACAGCGCCTTACGTGGTTGTGGAAGTAGTTGTTGGAAAGGGTCACGAAGTCTGCTGCGTGCGAGAGGTCCACCAGGCCGTCGTATGTGTCTTTTCCGACCGTCTCGTCCCCAGAAAAGTCGCAGTGGTCGACCCAGACGTTGGTTGACAACTGGATGGTGACTCCGTCGCCGTAGTCTGCCAGGACCTTTGAGATCTTCATGTTCCTAACGATAACGTTCTTTTGGCCATTAATGGTAAGACCAATTCCCGTGAGGGCTGCTTGGGGTCAGCATTTTCCCTTGACATGATGGCCTCAAAGGGCTGGGGATGGGTCATAGTGTGGGCGTACAGCTACCAGCCTTGCCGACGATGGTCTTGTCACTGGTGACTTGCACCTTGGCAGCACCACTGATGGCCCCTTGTACCACCACCACCAGCGGTCCCTCGGCACTGGCTGCGGCAGAGAGCTGCGGCAGGGTGCTTACGGTAGTCGTTGCTCCGCCGGCTCCACCCTTGGTGCTGCATGTAGTCAAGCATTTTAGTGCCATCTCTCGAACATGAGGACTTCCCAAGGCTTTTGTTTGCTCTTACCCGCCGTTTTGCGTGGCATAGCCAATGTTAGCAGCATCAGTGATGGCTGCTCTCTTAGCCAGCACATTTGTGGCATCCTCCTCGCGGGTGGGAGTTGGTGACGCTGAGACCAGCGACGCTGCAAAGACAAGAAGGGTTGAGGACAACTTCATGGTGGCGATGGCGGACACGCAAGGGCAACTTGATTGGGGAAAATGACAATGTGAGTGTGGCAGTAACGCTGAACCAAGCCTGAGCGTCGACGGCTTCATTCCTTGATCTTATAGGTGTCTACATCACGGGTTAGGCAATGTAACCAAGTTCCGTACTTCTATAATGGGCGTTGCCAACGCCGTGTGGAAATTACCACGGGACTCCCTTAGGTGGAAATCAGGGCAATGATGACGGTCACAGGCACACCACATTTGATTCAAGTGTCGTCCTCATCGCCATCACTGTCCTCACTTGCCTGTGCGTGTGGGTTGTTTCAAGGATTGGTATGCCGTGGTCACTCTTGGCAGCAGCCCACGGAGAATTCTCGTTGGCGGAAGATCATTAGGTCTTGGCTCCCGGGTCTTCGCCTGCACCACAACGCGGGCCAAGTCTGGGGAACGATGAAAAGGGGGTGCAATTGTTCCGTTCCAAGGTTGGCAGGGTTCGAAGACTGGCTGATGCCCTTGTCTTTTCCGGTCAACGTATCCACAATGTACAAAACAAACAGCATAGCCGTCCCGCTCAGTTGCGATTGCATTCACCGCTTATAAAAAAATCGGGACATGATGTAGAAACAGGCAGTACCGACAAATGTGAACCTTGGAAGGTGGAGATCTTTCATCCTCGTTGCTGAGCTTTGCCAACCTGCTCCGAATCTTCATCCGGATTTGGACGTATCTATCAACGCGAGCTATCTCACATGACCTCTTGCTCCCTTGGCTTTCTGCGCTTTTCCTCTTTCCTTTACCCGGAGCCAAGGTATCACGAATCATCTCAAAATTGGCTGCTCTCCATCGTTCTTCCGCCTGTGTTCCTCCCTCGATGTCATTGCATCTGGGCATTATGCGCGCAAAAGAGATAATGAGAAATTAAAGCAAATGTCTACAAGGAAACGGGGAAAAAGCCCATTTGAAGCAATCTTGAAGAGTCAAGTGCATGCTTAGTCGCATTCAAAGGCCTGAGCTTTTGTTCGAACCACTCTTTAGTACTCAGATGAGGCTGGCGGATGTTCTACCTGCAGCTCTATTCGTGCAGAGACAACTCGGGCCCACTTTGCATAGATCTTGAAGATTCCAACAGCATCCTAGATTTGACAAATTGCGAGGTATGTCTCTGGAGAATGGGAATTCATAGTATGCAAGGACTCGTGAACCCGGATCAAAACCTTTTATCTGGTCAAGTACCTGCAAACATGTTTTATGCAGAAGTTCCGGTCCCAAGAATCACTTTTATCAAGGCAAATGACATGACCGTCTTAGCCTCTGTGACAAGTAGCACTTGAGTTCCCATGTCGCATGTAAATTCTCCGCTCTCGAAGTTGTGGGAGATGGATCTGATAATACACTTGTGTTTCTCGTCCACAAGGATTATGTGGCCACTTCCAAGCTGATACTCTGCTCTCTTGGGATTTTCGCGTCGAGTTCCGAACAGCCAAGGATGACGCGACGGCTTTGACTGGGTGTATGGGTATGGGTGTTCTTTCCTTCGGAAGAGATTTCTAAAGAATCCCATCATTGCTGATCTTGGTCTGGGTGAAATTGGCATGTGCGACTTTGCCTGTTTCCAATGGATACAATGTTCCAGTGATTTTTGTTACAGAGGAGAGCGAGTTGATCACCTGACGCAAGCTCACCCATTCTCTTATACTGTAAAAATGCTCCCATTAATAATTTTTCCTGCGCGAAGGCAACTTCAACCGACGCCATTGTTGCTGTGATGGAAGATAAAGCTGTTGAGGCAAGACAGCAGTCGGGCCAATCCCTGGAGGCCAACCATCCATGGATCGCAATCCATTGGTCTTGAGAAAGGGGTTGTGTAAGAAATTTTACAAACTGTCTAACCTTCTCAAGCATATCGATATTGTATTGCCGGACCTTGACCATCCCTCACTAGCAGCGAGCAGTAAGGGAAGCCTTACTGCCAGCACGAACCTGATTCGTATTCTATTCTTTGCTCAGCGCTTTTGTTTACCCAGTTCATTTACTTTCCCGGTTCCTTTGTCGTAGAAGACGATGGAGTTCCACCAGATGTACGTGGCGAGGAAGAGTTGCGGCCTTTATGCATCATTTTCTTATTCACGCAGAAGTTTTATGTACATTTTTGAACCTCAGTCCAGCTCGAGATTATTGTATAATCGACAGCCGGCCGTAAAGATTGGATCATTCATAACTCATGGACAGTGTTTCCTGCCAACAATGGAAACTATAACTACTGGCAGCTGGCACGGACGATTGTTTGAGGCGGTGCGATGGTGGCCCCTGAGTTTGCTCCAAGTACGGTGAGCTTCACTCCATCTACCCCTTCGAAAGAACAGCTCGCAGTGCCTGCTTGAGCGATGAAGTCGACAGCCAGGGTGTTGTCTGCAGTTGGAAATGGTTAGCTTTGTCGCCGTGATGGGTTGGGGTCCGTTGGGGTGCTTACTCAGTGAGACAGCCCCGCCTATGGGAGCATTCACAGTGAAAGAAGCCCCCGCGCCTGTAAATGTCAACTGTGTTGTCGCAGCCTGGCGAGGAAGTAATGAGGGTGCTCCCGATGTTATCCCGAGGAGGGCGGCGAAGATAATGATTGCCCAAGAATAAGACATAGTGATTATTATGTAGTGCTGGAAGAGAAAATCAGATGGGCGGCCCGCGATTTGACTTTGGATTGATGAAAAGTGAAGCTTGCCGCTTGCCATCCGAAGCCAGGGAGACATCAGCCGGTGATATAGATCTCTGTGCCTGCGAATGCTGCCAGCTCACAATGTTTCTTGTCTCAGGTTGAGTCGCGGCGGGGCATGGTTTCCTCGTCACAGGTCATGTGAGTGCAAATCCAAAACCCCGGCAGGACAACCTTGCTCCCCTCAGTGGGCCCTGCTAGTGCTAGGGAGCAGGAAAGTATCACAAGCCTTGTGATAGCCCAAGGGAGGAAACCCCGGGAACTGGAGTCCCGGGCGAATCTGGCTTGGTTATCGGTCAGTCACAAACTCAACCCTCCTCAGGAGTCAAGCACTCCAAAACGGCGGGTGACCCTGTGTCCCACCTTAAAAGTTGCCCTCGGGGCTCAGCGTGCGGTCTTAGCTCTCGGCTGAAACTCGCTGCCCAGGTGAGCCCCCGGCGGAATCGAACGATAGTCACAACAGCTTAAGCGCCCAAGAACATTGCGGGTCGAGGATCCAGCTACTAGAAACTGTTCCCGCTCCGGAAAATTCGTTTTCTTACGTTCGTCCCATTGTGAGCCGGCATATGCGCAGCCAAGGCCACGGCGCAACCCCGGGGCTGGCGGCGATCGACTCGAGCCGGGGCTTGGCGAAAATCCCGAAATATAGGAGACGGTAAAAAAGGTGTAAAAATCTCAGCAACGGACGGATCCAATACTTCAAAGTTTGGTTGTTGTCTGGAAATTCAAGTGATTATACTAGAGCACACTGTAACCGACTCAAAGAGGTGTCTTCCTGAAGCAGGTTAGAAGTCCTGACAAAGCTGCACCTCGGCCTGTGCCGGACTCCTGCCAGCTAATGTCAAACCAGGAGGCAGTGTTGTGAAAATGAGTCACTTACCACGCTATTACTTCAACGTTCACCGAAAAGCAGAAGCTGCCAAATGATGTTATTTGCAGATTCACCGCACTTCTGTGGTCAGCCTCTCCATTACATAGGTACTTTTCCCCACTGCGCTGTTAGGCACCGACCCGAGTGCACACTGTCACTGGTGAGATGGATACCAAGTGGGGACCGGGTTCACGCAGGGGAGGCGTTTTCAATATGATGATCTCTCGTCTTGATAGGAGACTTGTCCTAGTACTGGCATAAATAGTAGAGGAATTCCAAGAAGTCAACTTTTCTGTATGTAGACGAACATATGTAGTCGTCACGTGGGACTTCCCGGTTGGCGATTGCCTCATCGGAACCACAATCTCATCTCCTTCACCTCTAACTTCAAGGACTCTGTCTCTTGCCGGATTATATCCCCCGGTCAAACTTCATCATCCTGGTAAACATCAAGTTCTTGGCACAATTACGTTTCAGAAGATACTTTGTCTTTCGTTTGAAGCTGCCTTTCCTGTCACGTTTCACCATTCGGGCGGCATTTCTCCGCTTAGTTAATAACATCCTCCTAGTAACAGTTCTTGTCCAGGTGGATCTGCTCATCCTGAACAATTTGATCTCCCTGATAGACCGTATATTTCAAGAATATATCGCATATTAATAAGTTAAGACACAAAAAGTATAAAGTAATATATATTCCTATTATACTAACCTTAATATACACTATAAGCACACTATTTACAATATAAATATAGGTATTACCGTATTACATAGTACTTCTATATAATTAAGAATTCTAAAATATAAGTGTGTATATAGGTGACTAGGGGTCAGCGCCATTGCTTTTATGGCCTCTCTCTCGTAATATCGGAACATTTCAGTCCAATAACGTAATGATATGGACAAATTCCAGAGTAGTGGTTCGTCGAAAGGCCCCTTCCGTGGGGACACAAAAATGGCAAGAGCCGATAGTGCCCGGGAGCGGTGACCCAATCTCGCGAGAGAGTATGGTCCAGAGTATCTTGCGCTTATAACCTTCGAAGGCAGCCAACGTCGCGCGACATGTTCCCATGACTGATTGTGCGTCATACAACGTGGAGAGCTCCATGAAGATGTCTTGGAGAAGCTCCTTCGGTAGGCGAAGGAAGCTGGACCCAGGGGCTACTTGGGGACACCGGGCTTCGCTCTCGTAGCCGTCACTCTCCCAGCCGTCACTCTCCCATCTGTCGATGGAGGTTGCGAGGGTTTCTTCCGGAGATTGTGACGCCGAATCTTCAAGATCATCGAGGTGGTTTTTGACGTATGTTCTGTATCCCATATACGAGTCACACAATCCTGACTCGTCTTCCATTCCATATCCAACAGCGCAAGGACATTCAACATTCGGCAGCTCAGCATAGAGATTATTGATGGACTGCGTCTCGTATACATTGCCGATTCAGACTATACATCGTGTCAGCTTGCAGTTGCCTGGGTGCTGCTTGTGCAGGACTTACATGAGGAGACGATTTGCAAATTTGGGTGATTCGAAGATCTTGTGTCAGTGATTAAGTTGCCAGGATAATCTGGAGACTTTTTCGCCCATGCAACCTTTTATTACAGAGTGCCGGGGTGGCTTTGTCGATGATCACAAAAGCTTTTGTGGGAAACATACCTAATTCAGAAGGCAAAAAGTACATAGGTAGATAGCACAAGGCAATAAGGACGACGAGTTTAGACCTCAATCCAGCCTGTGGATTTTAGTAGTACTCCGTAAAAACCACACCACCAGTGCACTAGGGAAAAGTCTCATGACCAGTATACCGAAAGGGCAAAGCAGAGCTAAGAAAGCCATCCTTACACGTCCACTGCGGTCAAGTCGGTGCTACCTTCTGATAAGGTGGAAGTTCGAAGGATTGTGAGAGCACTTGAGGGAGGCTGAGGTCCCAAAGTGGGTAGGCGATGAGCCAACTGGATGCAAGCAGGAAGCCAGTCCGCCCCCCCCGGGGGGCTCCACCCGTGAATAAACTGTCCCCAAAGTGGGTACAAGTGTGATTGTATTTTATGTGTGGTATGAGGAACGAAGCCCAGGCAAACGCTGCCTGGGATGGGTCTTATAAGCTCGAAGAGGTGGTCTGGGTGCCTGCCAGCTGGCGACTCTACGGAGTAACTATTTGCCTGCCCAGGTGATTTCCCATCTAACTATTCCACACACATCCGTGGAAATACATGGCGCCTTCACGGTGTCAAACACTGCAGACCCAGTGCTTAAAAAAAAAAACATCGGTGTCGATACAGTGGTTAAAATATGATAGGTGCTGGCGGCCTCAGCCTTGCGACGCACAGACAATAACTTGAATAATATGTAATTATTTACGTGCAGGTTGTATTGCCACACACTCACAGGATTTAGCCCACAAAGGTTTTGTTTTAAACACCTACATGCATGGAAGGGCAGCAAGCACGAGGTCTATAATTAGCCTCTTAATCTTTACGGTTCCTCTGTGCGTGCATAAATTGCGGCCCGCCATTACTGCTGATACCAGATGGATGTTATAGTGCGTCCAATAGAACATTTTGCTGCGGCTTTTGTGGCTTCTAGACGACTGAAGCGTGGAACTAGGCCCGAGCTTGGCAAGTCGCAAAACGGGTCACTCACAAATTCCCCAAGCCTCACTCCCGAGGTCCGCCCATTCCCGTGGCTTCTTTGTCTCAATCAGCGTGCCATTTCTTTCATTTTTTGGGGGGCAAAGCTCCGAGAAGAGCATTTGTTTCCCATCTGGATGTTTGTCTCGCTGGGACATAGGCAACTCCTACTTCAGCTCTAGGAGGCACGCCATTGCTAAATCGTCAAGCACCATCGCATCTACCAACATTAGGGTACGCATCTGATTCTTCTTTTTAACAATTTTCTCTCTCTTCTTCTTGAAAAAAAAAAACGACGGAATTTTCCGTCAAAGCTTGTGTCCAGACACATTCACGTGACAGCTTTTCACTTTACTCTCACACCATTCCAAAGATCAGCCAGGCATCACAAGAACCACTAGATTCAGTCTCTCTGGCCCTAATTAACACCGGTCCTGGTGAACAGCCAAGTCTAAGTTCGCTTTTTGGGGTCTGACTTTGTTTCCTCAGGCCTAACAGCATGCATGCAACCACCATGTATACTGGCCGAAGCACGCAACTTCACAGCGCTAACAGCCGAAAGAATGCCAACACCAGTGCAACTCATACCGCAGATGCGACCCCATCAACAACCCCTCTCATCCCAATCCACGAGTCTGGCGGTCGAGCGAAACGCCGAACACCTGACGGGCCGACCTCACCTCATCCCAGAACAGCGAAGCGAACATGTAGACGGCCGAACAAACCTAACCTCCGCCTCTTCACCCGCGACTTCAAATTTGCCCTCTCGCTGGCCCCGAGCACTCACGAGCGGACGGCTCCCGGCCCACCTGCAGACGACGCCACCACCGCCGCGCTGGGCCAGTGCGTCGACCTGGCCCTGAGGCTGCTGGAAGAAGGGAGGGGCAATAGGGTGCTGGTCGCCATGGGGAAACAGATTGTGGCCGAGCGGAGGGCCGCGGCCGCTCGGGCTGGCAGTGGTGAGGCAGCTGCCGGGATATACAAGGGTGATCTCGATGAAATGCCCATGTGGGTTGAAAGATTCCTACGGCAGGTCCGGGAATCGGGGATCCCCATTGTTGTTTGTGGCAGCCTGTCTGGTTACGGGCTGACGCAGAGGTGGAGTTGGGGGGATGATATGGAGGACTACGACTGCAGAAACAGCGCGATTGTGTATATACACCAATATGTAAGCTTCCCCCACCCCCTTTGCCGACTCATGCCTTGGGCTTTCTTCTTATCATCCCTGTAGCTGGTAGATGGCCTGCTTGAATCAGAGCATCGTGTCGAGCAATACATCAGAGAACAGGAGATTCTCAACGCCGAAATCCAGCAAGGCACCAGAAAAGTAAACGAATGTACACGAAAGAGACTACACCAATTAATAGAGTCCCAAGCCCAAGCCCAAGTAAATCTCGAGCGAGCAGTACTCAGCATAGCAATATTCCTAGCCCATGAGTTCGTCCACTGCTTCACAGGCTTCCTCACAGGCAGTTCCCAGCCCGGGACCCCTCCCGCGCTGAATGCCTCTCCATACAGTGACGAAAAGAACGGCGAGGCCGGATGGTACTGGACGCGGCATACCTTCGGCGGGCTGGGCCACGTCTGGTGCGGGAAAGACGAGCCCGACGAGCCGGGCCATTTCGGTGTGCCGACGCTCCTGCAGTATAATAGGAGACGCAGCCAGTCGTTCTTTTACCAGATTAATCACGAGGTGGTCAGGTCTATCATCGGGGTGGATTGGGCTGCGGCTAACAGCCTCGGTAAGTATCAGGGGTCTTCAGCAGTCCGTTCTGGGGTTTCAACAGCTAATGAGTGGGTTAATCACAGATCAGGATTGGTTCTTGAATCTGCGGGACGAGGCCACGAGAACGCCATTCCGAGAGTGGTGTGCCGAGTACGAGGAGGTTGTGGCTCGCAATATTTCAACAGATGACGACTTGCTGTTTGAAATTAAGTTTGGCGTCCGTCTTGCTGTGAAATCGATACGTGAACTTCTTGAATTGTGGCTGTCCTCGGCCTCAAGACTGGTCCTGCGAGCCATATTCTCTCCCTCTTCCACCCGGAGCAGAATGCGGCTGAGACCATCAATACCAGCAACAGCCGGTGCAATTTCAAAGGTCAGAAGGTGGAGCCGAAGAAGGATTGGGTTGCACATGAAGTAGTGGTAGTAGGATATAAAGTTAGATGGCCTGCTGGTAAATACAATTGATTAAATACCGCAGGGGAAGGTGAAATTTTATCCCGAAAGATTTCACTGAAGTAGATATGCCCTCGGTCACATGCAGAACACGTCTCAGTACGCAGGACCTCGAGTTCCACTACAGCACAAAACGCAGTCGACCTGCAGATGTGCCCTTACAGCGATGCACGCTTCCATATGAAGAAAGAGACTTCGCAGCCGTGCGTCGTCTAGCCGCATCACACCAGGCGGTCTACCTAATCAGGAGGGCTATGGCTAGCTCATAAGCCACGGCTAGAGGGGTTCGACGACGTTTCCGGCTGTTGGCCACGCAGCAAGTTGTAAGTAATACAAGTAGGCCGACCCGACTAAGCCAAGAGGAAAATGCCCAGGTGAACTCATGTGAGTTTGACATTATCGTCCTTATCCAACTACATAAGTAGCAGTTCCAACTACACGCATGACAACAACACCATCTAACCACTCGAGTAGCACAAATTCAAAACCAGAAATAAATAAAACAAGCCCGCGTCGCACACGCCCAGCAAGGTCGGCGGCTGCAACGTGCCACAACACCCGAATAGATACCTAGGAAGAACAAATTGCCCCCCTCCCTCACCAGAAACAAAAGAACAAAGGCTTTGCACCATGTGTACCACAGCCACACCCTTCAAGCCACTCGGCCCCCAGCAGGCAGGGTATCACACGTGTCACGCGGGGCGGTCTCAAAGCGCGAGGCGCGCAGGCCGGCCGGCCACAACCCCCCTTCTTTCCTTTCGTCTTCTCTCCTGCCCAGGTGGTCCGTCTTTCCCGCTCGCTCCCGTCAGCTTTCCCGAGGCCCCGTCAGCTTTCCCCGTCCCTTTCGGGCCGCGGAAAGGGCCCAGTGCTGGAGCAGCAGCAAACAGCGCACGGGAGTCTAACTCGAACATGGTCCGAGACAATAGTACCTAACCCTAATAGACGCCCTCCCTCTCCACTCCCCACATGTTTTACACAGTACAAAAAGACGCGCCTTAATAAGTGTTCAGTCTAACTACAATTTATTAGTTAGTAGCCCCCTGGCCGTGCGGTGTGGCTCTCTTTTGTGGCTGACACCCTCGCGTAACACCTGTTCAGCCGAATAGACGCCGAGAGGGATCCAATAATTCCGAGCTCGACCACAAGTGAAAAGAAAAAAGTCACAATTATTGTCCAGCTAGCTACACAGTAGCTAGCCAGCAGCCGGCCAGTCGGCCAATTTCTTTTGACTCCTGTGGGATGAAACAAGCACGGCACGGCATGGCATGGCTATGATGGCATTCCCATGGTACATGTATACGGCGAACACGTCAGTCACAACTTACAACAAACCTTGGGCGACGAGGGACAGGAACCTGGAAGGAGCTCGTTAATAATACCCGTTGAAGTGTTGTGCTGTGCGCTGACTCAACAAAAAGTCTAAGAGCACAGCAGGGTTTGCGTGTGTGACTCTACTCTACGAGACGCGTCGGGAGGGGACGGGGATGGGAGGTGGAAAGGAATTGGTCCCGCATCTCACTTACTTACCCAACCCAGGCTTGCTTGCTTGCTTGCATTCGGGGAGATCCGATCGAATGTCCATTACATACCTTGTGATGGTTGTTCAAAAGTATATTTAGTTGTTTCCACACTATATGCCAGCCTCTCTGTCTCCACGGTAAGCAGCTCTATTACGGCAGGAGGTAGGGTAGGACGAGGGCGCGGTCCCATGAACGCGTGGTAATTTGGCCAATATAGGATTTTTCCAGGGCTGCGACGTTGCAATGCGGCCTGCACGTGCGATCGTGGGTTGAAGAACAGGGGGGGTGTTGGTTGGGATGGTAGCTTCGGCTAAGCCGCTAAGAGTATGCGGGTGACAGACAGCCGGGACAAGTGGCGGCGTATGGAGACCAATGGGCCACCCGGAGACCTGGGCCAGGATGCAGGGAGGGCAGCGAAGGATGCTGCCGCGAGGATTGAATTGGCCGCCCTCGGTGAACTCGTGGTTCAACGCTGCGCCAGTCATCAGCGCCTCTGGCGTTTGGGTGCCATCAATGATCACCAAGACTCGCTTCACAAGAGAAGAGGCTTACTAGTGACCACTGCCAGTGGTCATCAACCCCTACCGCGACCCGACGCACCGAGTTGGGTTGCATAGATGGGCCGATTCATTTCCTGGAGGACCCACGGGGTAAAAGTCTGTCGTTGGCGTGTCGAGGAGGGGAACGTTGTGGGGAGCCTAATTACACAGACGTGTCGACTTTTTTTCCCTGGCCCTTCTCGACTTCGGCGGCTTGGCCAGAACCAGAATCGGGCCGGTAGACATCACGGGGCGGGGCCCCAAATCCACGATGCCTCGTAATGAATCTCGGATGCCGCTTTCTAGTGGTAGCGTTGAGGCAGCAGATGAGATTGCCGAGGCAGGCGGCACACGACGGCGGAACCGGACGAAGGCGATTTTTTACTATGGGCTGGCCCCAGGCAGCCTGGCAGCTGGGCCCAGAGCGCCGGGACTGAGACCAACTAGTACTGGGGGCGCTTGACAGGACGAATGACACAGCATCGTTCATAGGGGGCGGTATGGTGAAGCGACCGGTGTTGCCAGGTGAAGGTCACGAGGTGGCCCGGATCCAACGGGATTCGGGGAGGTGCCGGGCACGGGGTGAGCGGTGGATGGTGGGCGCGGTAGTCAGGCTCGGCACTACCTCGTCCACTGACCAGGCAGGCCTGGGTTCAAACGGGCAGCCTGAATTGTTTGGTCCTTCAGTTCAGGAGGACGTACGCGACAGTGAGGCTTCTAGGCAATCATGCCACAGCTCATGATGCTTTTTGAATGCCTCAGCAATGAATCGGAGACAGGTGACAAGATCCATTTAGTGGCCTGGTGGCACACAATCGGCACATGGCAGGCATGGCAGCGACGAGGTTGGACGGGCAAATATCCTGTGATGGTTGGCGACAGCGCGCTCGTGTACACTACTTTGGGCGCCCCGCGCCCCAGTTATTGCCCCATACAGCTGGCTTGATCCTTCTAGGCGTCCAGATGGGCCTGGACGTTGGCTTTCAAACCAAGCTTAAAGACTTGGCATCCACTCACTGGCCTAATATGGTTTAGATCGGCCGTTTTGGCTCTAGCGGTTCCAATTTAACGGTTGGAGCCCTGTGGGCCGAGTTCGCAGGCTGGAGCAAATTGCGGAGGTGGTAGAATCTGGAGCCCCAGAATGGAGAAGAAGTGGAGTGGACGATAACGACAACATGGAAGAAGCAGGAAGCCATCGTGATCGCATAGTTGCCATCAGCCGCAACCCGAGGCTCAGACCACCGCAAATCAACTGCGCACCTGAAGCCTAGGGGTCTGGCGACCAGCCCGCGGGCGCCCAATTAGCACGAGTAACTGGCATCTTGGTTCGCAATATAGATCCTTCAGCAGGAGGGGCCTTTCACCAATCGACGTCCTCGATTTGCCTTTTGGAGACGTGTGGGATAGAGCATCGTGCGGTTCGTGGAACGGCTGGACGGGGAAAGTCTGCTGATTGACCAGGTGGACACGAGCAGTGACCAACAGATCACGGCAGGAAGGAGTCGGCCAATTTGCGTCTTAGCCAGACAGCATGCATAAGGGACGCGACCCCGGGGGCAGTTAGCGTCAGAGTACGACCGAGCATTGGCCCATTGGGATGCTCGTCCGATGGCTCCAGATTGGCCCAAGGATCGTTGGTACCAAGAGGATGGTGGTGCGTAGGAGCAGAGGAGTCGACCGGGCCGTCTTTTCTGGGGTTGGAGAACGGCCGGGGAGGCAGCTTGGGCGGATGCATCGGCGACCTAACAGGGCTTCTTGACGGAGCTGTTTCGCTTGCTTCGCTTGCCTCGCAAGAAACCCTTGGGACTGCAAGTGCTCGCTACCGGGTCCTGTTCTGCAGCATCTGAGCATTCAACAGGGACGGCTGGACGGGTGCAGGCCGCGGGCATCGTCTGCAGGCTGGGGCTGCTGGGCCGGCGTCCCAACATCAGGAGCACGAAACGAGATGAGGATTTGATGCCGTGCAGGACCTGCGGCTGCGGGCAGGTCAGAAGCTTGCGGTGCTGCAGCAGCAATGGCGCGCCAACGTGCCTAGCCCCCGGTCACTGACAATAGCATTTTCGGCGCTTCTCTTGTTGTCGGATGTTGCAACCGTCGGCCAGCAAGACCCCGCCCCCCTGCCGGGCCAGCGTAAAATACGGGCAGCCCGTTGCATGTGCTTTGGCCAGAATGTTTGCCGCGGGCCTTCTGTACGTACTCGGCACTCAGCTGATGCATCCCGCCACAGGGGCGGACCAGCGAGCCTGTGAGCCCAGCCGCTTCCGGATCGGCAGCGATGGGCAATGCCGGGGCTCACCCACTCAGCAGCGTCCAGGTAGCCAGAGTGACGGACGGACAGTGCGACAAGACCATGACAAACAAAGGCCCTTCTTTTCGTCTTGAGCAGCAGCAGAGGCGTGCACGCTGTCTGGCTGCTCGCAGCGCTGGGCCCGAGATTGGGGACCCAGGAATGTGGTAAGTCGCAGAGCGATGAGAGGGCAGCGGGCGCACATTGTGATTAGGCATTCCAGGGCCCCTGGCCCAACCCAGCCGACGAATCCACAACTCCACAAACCCTGCAGCTCTGAGCGACCCCGGAAAAACCGGACCAGTGGGCATGCTTTGAAGAGCCGGGGTAGCGTCGACTGGACCGGGGCCGGTTGATGGGGTTCGGCCTTACCATGGCCTTATTCTGGGTCGTTCCTCTTGCTCTTTTCGGATCGGCCTGTCCTCGGGGGGCGTAGGCTGGCAACTGGGTTGGAGCCTCGAACCTTCACCCCCAGAGGCTAGACAAAAGTGTCGGGGACTGGCCTGCCTGCCAGACATCAGCCAGGCAGCCCAGGCCGGGCCTCATCTGGGGCAGCTGGCCATGCAGAAGCAGCCAGATCCTCCCCAAAGTCCCCGCAAAACGCCACGCGACTCGGCGACGCGATGGCAAAACTTTCCCCAGATTGTCGGGGGCCAAACTCCAAGGCGCCAGTGCCCAGGCAAGCCAGGAACCCTCAGACGAAGCGCTAAACGATAGAGGCTCTGACGGCCCTGCTGGGCATGACACGCCCTGCTGCTCACGGGACAGGCTTGACTGTTGGTGCTGATGCTTGTTGCTGCATGTCGCAGCTGGGCTCAAGTGGCCGAGGCGAGATGAGATGGGTCGGTTGTTTCGAGCTGCTGGTCTAGCCTGCCTGCACAGCTTGGACCACAAGAGCTCGCGTCAGATTGACGACGACACTCAGACAGACCTCTGGCCTAGGAGACGGACAAAGACAATGGATGAGGGTCGTGACCCGCACTGGGATCAGTTCTTGGGAGGAGGCATTGACTAGACCAGGTGATTGCCAGAGCCGACCAGGAGCAAACGATCCGTTAGTTGAGGACGCACTTGGATTAGGTTGAGGAAGCATACTCCGTACCATTGAGCAATGAATGATGAGTCGATTGAGTCGATTGAGTCAAGTGATCATTCAAATTCAAATGGCGACAGCCTCAAGTACGAGTACGGGGGTAACACGAGTAACGGGTAACCTCAGTAGCTGGCCCCCGAGGATGCCATAAGCCGATTGTTCTCAAGAGTCATTCCAGCCGAGCCGACACGGCGTCGTTGGATGGCGTGTCAGGAGAGGTGTCTCTCTTCCTTCTTTGCGCCCAAAAGGGCTCTCAATGGGTGAATGGCTGCCGTCACCACGAGGGCGGTCATTCACTGACGCATGGCAAAGAATCAATCATGATGCACGGAAGCGGCCTGCCCACCCACCCTGCCACCCTTGTTGCCTGCCTCCTTCCGTCTCCCGACCTGTGTCTTCCTTCCTCGCCTCATCTTCCCTTGTGCACCACTCCTAGGTACTTCTGTACCGCGGTACGTACCTCCTTGCTGTCTCGCAGACCAAGACGTCCCCTACACCCTGACCCCTGCCGCTTTCTAAGAGTACGTACCTCTTTACCCCGTACCCCGTCCGTCCCCAAAAGGCTGCATCTTCTGCTAATTTAGACCAATTGGAGTAGCCTGAATCGCCTGAATCGCCCACCCACATCCCACCTTGCAGTCTTTACGAGAGACCTAGACCCAGAACATAGACCGTCGACCTGCGTATTTTACACGGTAAGATTGGACAAAAGGGCTGAGCTCCCTCAATTGCGGAGTACAACCCCAACAGCAGCCATCCCTGCTCCCCTACCCCGGTCGCCCACGGTCAGTGCTCCCCTTTCGTTGTCGTCCTTCCCACCCCTGCCTGCCTCCCCAGCTCTCCCAAATTTCCATCGTTGCACCGGGCCAGGAACAAGAGGTACCTCTGGTACGAAGGACCCCGATTCATAAAAGCTGTCGATATCCCACCTCCCCCCTTCCTTTTCATGCGCTGCTGTTTGCGTTGTGGTTGCTTGCCTCATTCATCAACTTCCTTTTTTCTTCTCCAGCCCCACCTTCCACCCAAAGGTCGCCAGTCAGTTCTCCCAGACTGACTCTCAGGGAAGGAACAACCCCCCAAGACTCGACAACAACCACAAGCCGAGGGAACAAAACGAAGACTCTCGCTCGCTCGCCCGTCATGTCGACCGACGAGAAGCATAGCCGCAACAACTCGGTCGTTGCGGCTGCTGGCCTGCACACGACCAGCGATGTCGAACGCATCGAGGCCCCCGTCACCTGGAAGGCTTATGTCATCTGCGCATTCGCCTCCTTCGGTGGTATCTTCTTTGGCTACGACTCTGGTTACATCAACGGTGTCTCCGGCTCTGAGGTCTTCTACAAGGCCGTCGAGGGCGCCGATGCCACCTCTCTTACCGATTCCAACCTCTCTCTGATCACCTCGATCCTGTCCGCCGGTACCTTCTTTGGAGCTCTCATCGCTGGAGATGTCGCCGAGTTCATCGGTCGCAAGTGGACTGTCGTCACCGGCTGCTTCATCTACATTCTCGGTGTTATTGTCCAGGTCGCCACCACGCCCAACTCCTCTGCTCTCGGTACAATCGTTGCTGGTCGTCTGATCGCTGGTCTGGGTGTCGGTTTCGAGTCCGCCATTGTCATTCTGTACATGTCTGAGATTGTGAGTTGCTCCCCGTAACTGCTTTTCCAGGTGCTGAGGCCAGGGCTGCTAGCCTGGTGCTTCGCAGCTGGCGATGCTCGTGTGCCCCACGTCTGGAGCGTTGGAGAAGAAGAGCTGAAGCTGACAATTCGCCTCCCGCAGTGCCCCCGCAAGGTCCGTGGCGCTCTGGTCGCCGGCTACCAATTCTGCATTACAATTGGTCTGCTGCTCGCCGCCTGTGTCGTCTACGGCTCTCAGCACTACGGCGACACCAGGGCTTACCGCATCCCCATCGGCATCCAGTTCCCCTGGGGTGTCATCCTCGGTGTCGGTCTGATGTTCCTGCCCGACTCGCCCCGTTACTTTGTCAAGCGTGGCCGCCTCGACCGTGCCACCGATGCCCTGTCCCGCCTCCGTGGCCAGCCCGCCGACTCCGAGTACATCCAGGTCGAGCTTGCCGAGATCGTCGCCAACGAGGAGTACGAGCGTCAGCTTATCCCCAACACCACCTGGTTCGGCTCCTGGGCCAACTGCTTCAAGGGCTCCGTCTTCAGCGCAAAGTCCAACCTGCGTCGCACGATCCTCGGTACCTCCCTGCAGATGATGCAGCAGTGGACCGGTGTCAACTTCATCTTCTACTACTCCACGCCCTTCCTCCAGTCCACCGGTGCCATCTCCAACACCTTCCTGATCTCGCTGATCTTCACTCTCGTCAACGTGTGCTCCACCCCCATCTCCTTCTGGACTGTTGAGAGGTTCGGTCGTCGCTCCATCCTGATCATCGGCGCCTTTGGCATGCTTGTTTGCCAGTTCCTCGTCGCCATCATCGGTGTCACGGTCGGTTTCAACCACACCCACACTGACCCCAACGATCCCGATGCCTCGATCGCCGACAACATCCCGGCCGTCAACGCCCAGATCGCCTTCATCGCCATCTTCATCTTCTTCTTTGCTTCCACATGGGGCCCCGGCGCCTGGATCCTGATCGGCGAGATCTTCCCCCTGCCCATCCGTTCCCGTGGTGTTGCCCTGTCCACCGCCTCCAACTGGCTGTGGAACACCATCATCGCCGTCATCACCCCCTACATGGTCGGTGAGACCCACGGCAACCTCAAGTCCAGCGTCTTCTTCGTGTGGGGTGGTCTCTGCACCTGCGCCTTTGTCTACGCCTACTTCCTCGTCCCCGAGACCAAGGGTCTGTCGCTGGAGCAGGTCGACCGCATGATGGAGGAGACTACTCCTCGGACTTCCGCTGGCTGGAAGCCCACCACCACCTTCGCCGGTGGCCTGGACGCCCACGCCCATGAGAAGGGTGTTGTCGAGGCCGCCGAGCACCGAGGAGACTCGGCCGCCTAAGCACATCATCCGTTGGACGCACAGCACCAGGATGAAAGATAGTAAGAAGAGAAGAGAGTATAGGAGTTGTGGATACCCTTTGTTGGAAATGTAATACCCCCAAAGATGATTGATGTCTTGGACGAGGAGAGAGACACGGAACATGCCGCAACATGGTCGATTTATGACGGATCGATTTTTCTGACGGGATGATTGGCGTGATTGCACATAACAATATTTTTATACAGGAGTTCATCAACTGCATCAGAGCGAGAAAGGGGAAATTCGGACTTAGACGCCGGACCTGGCTCGGACATCAGCATGAGCTTCCTTTTTAGTCACGTCATTAATGAATTTGAAAAAAATTGATTCCATGTCTTCTTCTATCTTGCGTGAATGTTCAAATATGGGCGAGAGCTTGCGACGGGCGACTCGAGGCTGGGTTGGCACTCGGGTAGCAGGGCATCGGGATGGATGTTCTTTGGTGGCTTCCGTAGTTGCCCTGGTATCTACTTAGGTAGAGATGGGTCTGCAAAACAACACTGAGATGTAGGGCAGGCCGAAGCGAGCTGGGACGGGACACACGGGAGGGCGAGCGGGTCTTTCTGTCTCGTCGACACCGTTGCGAAAGATCGGCAAGGCGGGCGGGCGGGCGGGCGGGCGGGCGGGCATGGGTTCACTTGGGTCCAGGCCAGGCACGGCACGGCACGGCGACTTGGCGTGTGCTGGCTGCACTGCTGCCCTGGACGCACGCTCGTGGCCCTGGAAGGGATGAGGGGTTGGGGGTTGGGGGTGGTTGGGAGGGCCTCGGGGCTGAGGAGAGAGACGGTCGGGGATGCGGGCCAGAGACAATGCCATACGGGCCCTGGAGGGGGGTTTTTGCTTTTTGTGTTGATGTTGTCTCGGTGCCGGGTGTAGGGTGTAGGGTATTTAGTGTTTTGTACCTAGGTAGGTGGGCTGGGAGGCCTGCGTGGGTGCTTGGATGCGGGGTATGTACCTAGGTAGGTACGGCAGGGCAGGGCAAGGCAAGGCAAGCCTTGTGAGACAGAATGCATGTGTCTTGGCGGTCTGTCAGGTCATTTGGGTTAATTGTGGTTTATTATTGATTGGGGCTTTGTGGTATAACTGCGCACCTAGGCAGGTGGTGCGTCAGGGTTGGTTGGGCGGGCGTGTAAGATAGAGGTCACTACCATACCGGGAAAATAGGGGCCTTAGCAACAGTTCCTCACTAGAATTAATAGTTATATTTATAGTAATAATTCCTTTTTTAATAATAAACAATCCCTAACTTTTAATTAATTAATTAAATAAACTACTTCTTACTTTAAAATAAATAATGTTTTTAAAAATATTATTTTATAATATATATAAATCTTTAAAAAGTTATATTAATATTTTAAAATTAAACTATTAAATAATTTTAATATTATATTTATAAATAATAATTAATTATAAAGGGTGTATTACTCTATAAGTCTTTATTATATATAAATAAACTTAATATAAAAGGTTATTAATTTTAAATCTATCCCTTTATATACTTTTTAATTTCTTACTTCTTCTCCTTCTTTATATATAATAATTTAAAGATTCTATAATACCCCTTCCTTAACCTTAACCTTAACCTTAACTTCCTTCCTTACCTCCCTCCTTACCTCCCTCCTTATCTCCCTCCTTAACCCCCTCCTTACCTCCTTCCACCTATAAACATACTACTAAAAGGCTAATTAAAAGCTAGAGATTATCTATTATTGAAAAAGAAATCATTACTAAAAAAACACTAATTTTAAAAGGAGCATTAATACCCTATAGTAACTATCATTAGTACCTATAAACCAACAGTACAGTATGTACTATTATAGAAGCCCATGGACAAATTCAGCGATTGGCACCCCCTTTCACTAGGTGAAGGGATCATTCGCCTCTGGGGTGTATAAGAGTACGAATAAAACTACTCACCTACACATGTGGAATAAATCTTCGTGATTTTGGACGCAATTACCGCGTGTTGGCGGCACGAGGCTGAGGCCACGTGCCCAAGCATTGTATTCTCTCTGCACTGGAGCACTATTATGAACATTCTAGTTTTTTTTTTTTAGTTTTTTTTTTTTTTATAAAACAACAACGCTGTGTCTTGAGCATTTACCACTGTATGAAGGCGCCACATATTACCTAGGTACCTAGAAACGAACGCACGTGAAGGCGAGGAGCTGGATGTGACCGACCTCAGCTCAGCCCGCATGGCGAGGGCAACTGGTTGCATTCATGAGAAGAGATTGATGGCTGGGAATCTTGGAAGACAACCCACTGCAGGACCTTGTTGACAAGGTAACTACGGTCTCTCCGTAACTTCGTCGCACATGAGCAATGCGTCAAGTCCATGATGGACTCCAAACGCCTGAATTTGTGGGTTTCACAACATCCACTTTTTGCATGATGTTAGCTTTCCTGTTTGTGACAAGTCGTCTTTCTGGTCGAGGCCGGCGACGGAGCCACTTTGTGATACCTGGGCACCCATGCAAGACACCTCCTTGTCTGCCCGTAATCGACTATTCTTCAAGCTGAGAGGACCTTGATCCTCACCAGACCAAGTCTGTGATACATGCGCTATGCAGCACCTTGCAGCCGGTGAGCAATAGACTGTTCTTATAGGCTCTCCGAGCCAGTGCAGGTCTTGGAACCAAACGCCGATCCAACGCCCTGCCAGCAATAAGGCTCTCGGGTAGATTTCAGCCTGTCGTTCTCCCGTCTCTCAAATCCCTTCCAGTGCCATTTCAAGGTTTCTTACTTCCCTCCAACTCTTGCTGATAGTCTTACAGAGCATCATCTCCACTGACACTCTATATTGCACTGGTCAATTCTGTTTTGGTGAAGGCCTGTATCTATCTAGGTAGACCCAGCTACGGAGCCCGAAATGTCTGGTGCGGAGGCGATTGCGACATTTGCGCTTGTGTGCAATATCTTGCAGACGATCGAGCTGGGCTTCAAAGCAGCTTCAATCTGCAAAAACATTTACAAGACCGGTTCCTCGGACCCCGACGAAGACATAGTCAATGCCCAACTATGTGACGTCCTCGAGAGCGTCAGTGGCTCGCTTGACAAAGCTCGTCAGAGCCAGACATCGACGAAGGATGAGAAGCGGCTGGCCCAGATTTCGGAAGATACTCTTGCCACAGCAGAAAAGCTCAAAGTCATCCTAGAGAAACCAGCGGCGGCCCAGGGGAGAAAATTAGATTCCATAAAGTGGGGTTTGCACAGAGCACTCAAGAAGGGCGATGTGGACAAGCTTGATCGGCACCTGAAGAAGCAGAAGGCAGTCCTGGAGACCGGCTTGCTTTCACGCATCTGGTAAATATGCTGGATTTTCTACCAACATCATAATTCCAGGCTGACGATCTTGCTTATTCTGCAGCACTCAAAGCGAGGCTCATAAGATCGAGATGAGCACCGAATTTTCTCATCTATCTGGAGCGCTCCAGGGCTTTGTGAAAGGAATCTCAGACGGTCAAAATGACCTGCAACGGCTTGTTCAGACCAGTGCAAAGGAGACGCAGACCAAAATGACCCAGCATATGGACAAGTTGAACTTGAGCTCAGATGATAAGGCACGACGAGACAAGATTTTGAGTAGCCTGAAAGCTCCTAAGCTGAACAGCCGGCGAACGAGAATCGACGAGCCACATGAGAGCACATTTGCCTGGATTTTCCAGTCTGAATGGACTGGCTACACCACAAATACCTGGACTGGGCGGAAGCAGTATACGCAGCCAAATACCTTTCCGCAGTGGTGCCAAGATGTTACGGCCAAGATATTCTGGATGAATGGGAAGGCCGGGTCGGGGAAAAGCACTCTGATGAAACATTTGGTTGACAGTGAAGACACCCAAAGGCTTCTGAACAGCACTTCTCCAAACACACTTGTTCTATCTCACTTTTTGTGGGGAGGTGGGACATCGGAAGAGAGATCAGTCAAAAACGCCTTGTGTTCATTGCTTCACCAGATTTTGAGCAATCAACCTCATTTCATACCTACGATGTCGACCGCAAACCTCATGCAGAAGGACGAACCCGATGACTGGTCCCCTCAGGAGCTTCAAAATACAATCCTTGAGACAGTCAAGACACTGGGGCGTCCAGTGTGCATTTTCCTTGACGGCCTGGATGAGATTGGAGACGATGGTCCCGACAAGCTGCTGGCGCTTATTGAGGTCTTGCTCGCAGACAAGAATATACGATTATGCGTATCGAGCCGCCCGGATCCTGCCTTTCACAAGCGGTTTGGTGAGGACAAAGTCCCGAGTCTACGGGTCCAAGATTTCACATGGAGCGATATCAGATCCTTAGCCGAGGACAAAATTACCACATTGTTTGGATCGCAGCATCTTCAGACAGGGCTTTTAGATGCGGTTTGCGACAAGGCCAATGGTGTATTTCTCTGGGTATCATTGGCTTTGAAAGCCATGGGAGAGGGAGTTGTCCGTGACGATGACCAGGATCAACTGATGAGACGCTTGGAAGCTTTACCCCGTGAGCTCAAAAGCCTCTATCAAGAGATGTGGGACAGGGAGAACGGCGAGCATGAATCCTACCGCAAAGATGCAGCACTTTGGCTCAACCTTATGCTTGAGGGCGAAGACATAGTCCCGTGGCACACATTGTCAGTCTGGCACTTTCTCCTTGTCCGCAAGACTGAGTATCTCGACAAGATATTTGACAGTCCCGCACCACTGGAGCAAATAAAGACCTATTCACGGGAATTATTAAACACGAAGCGTCAGTTGGAGTCACGTTGTGCTGGTCTCCTCGAAGTGAGAACCGACGAAAACACGAATCACCTGGTGGTATCCTTCATTCATCGATCAGCCAAGGAGTTCCTCATGAACAGCAACAGAGAGATACTAGGATACGACCAAACAACCCCGGAATTCAGGATGTTTGTCTTGTTGAAGTCCTGCATCGTCATTCCTGAAAGTTACAGCAAGTTGTACCTGACAGTCCCTCCGGGCGTGGGCGAAATTTCTGGAGCAGCTCCTTGTCGGGAAGTCCACCCTGATTATGATGAGACTGGCTTGGACCCATCAAAACCCAGAGCTCAACCTGGCATAACTATGCCAGACTATCAATGGTATTGTGGCCACCTTCGAATGCTGAAGAAAGACGGTCATCTTGATTCGGAAATGATGATCAAGCTCTTTCAAGCCACCAAGAAGATATTTGACCACACGGATCAGATGCATGTGCGTTGCGACTTCGTTGCTCTAGCAGCCAGTCAAGGAATGTGGGAGTATGTCTATGCAGTTATGGAGGATTTCAGGGCCAACAGCCCTAACGGAAAGATCTCAACGACATACAGTACCTATCTCTTTTGCGCCTCGTTCGGAATTCCGGGTGCGCCTACACACACCTACGTTTCTTCTAGCGAGGACAGAATGAGGATCTCGCGCATGATGCAGAAGCATGGTATCGACCTAGATCACAAATGCATCGAAAGTCAATATTTTGAAAGTCGCGTAATCCCAGTGGGTCGACCACAGATCGCATTACTTCGGTCACCCCAAATGCTGGTGATCCTTAGGATCATTCAGGAAAGGGATGATCTCGAGGATAGGCGAAGTGCCCTAGAGGTCCTTGCATCCATCGTCGTGCATGGCTATGATCTTGATGAGAAAACATTGATCATACCTCAATGGGATGATGCCTTGGAAGAAATCTATGTTGGAACCCTCCCATTCATTGCGCAACACGGTCGCCTGCCTTCGACATCGCAATTCGGTGTGCATTGCCTGGTTGAAGTCAATGCATCATTCCTCCTGCAACTGATCCTTGGAGAGACTGCAAAAGATGAGGAGATAACGAATGAGTCAACAGATCGATTGGTGATGTCAGCAAATATGAGACAGGGCCAATACATAACCCTATCGAAGACTGAGAGGGATTTGGTTGATGCGATTCGACAGCCTGACAGTCCAAAACCACGATGCTCTTTGATGGGACTGAGAAGTCCAGGGCACCGTAATTGGGCGGCCCTGACAGTGAAGGATAGAGACTATTTGAGTGAAGGACTTGAACATGCGAAATGGCCCAAGACTCGGATGAGCAAGGAATCAGGAGGACAAAGCGCGGCTATGTTTAAGTCTCCACTTCTCGCTACGCGGCTGCGGGAGGTCATAAGCCGTGTCAAATGGGAGCCTCTTACAGACCATGAGGAATACGAAAGGCTCAAGCTCGTTGGAAATTTTGTACCTGTGGATGCCGACATCTGCAAAGTGCCAAAGCCTTTCTAAGAGACCTAGATGGAACACGAGGGATGCGAAAGCAATGTTCTCGTGCGCATAGACGAGACCCAGGCATCGTTTCTATGAGTGGGCCGAGGCTTTTCAGATCGGATCCGTGTTTAGTCTCCATCGTTCCATCATTTTCCCGCCGTGAGATCTGTGATAGGCTGTGTGGCATGGGGTCCAAGATGAAGATCATCACCAACACATTCACGCTCAACGCGGCGGTGCAGCTGGCGGAGGCATTTCACTCTGGCTGAAAAGGCCCGGGGTTCGATCCCGCGCAGGTCGGGCGATTCGTCGAGCTGTGTTTTGTTCACGGGCCAGGCGCGACGAACCCGTTTCATGTATATGCCAGGCGCATGCTCCGCGGGAACTACTGGAGAGATGAACTTGCTGGTGGTGTGGCGCTGGGAATCAAGAATGCTAGTCTTGCTGTGAGTCTTGCGGAGGGGACTGGGGCGACAGCGAGGAATCCGGGTGTGGTGATGGGGCGGTGTAAGGAGGTGCTGGAGGGAGATGGCCTTGGGAGGGGGGAGGAGAAGCGGGATATCGCTGGGGCTTATGGGGCTGTGAGGGAGAAGGCTGGCTTGACGTTTGAAAATGCTGATTGATGGCTTGCCATGTGAATATTGAACCCTTTTGAAGGTATTCTCACCTTGTCGACGGAATCCAACTTTGAAGTCTCAGTGAGAGCCAAGTCCTCGGAGACAGATATCAATTATGATACATGAAGAGACCTCGGGACTTTACTAACTCAACCTTGAGACTCTACCGCCAACGAGAATGATGCATGGCTGGCCCTTGCGAAATGAGCAAAGAGTAAAACGCTGCTGGCAGCTGGAGCTTGTGCTGCCATTCCGTCCGAACTAGTTCATGCAAGTCGCCAGTGTAATCAAGTGCTGTCGCTCCAAGTTGGCAAAGTATCCTTCCCGGGGTCATCACCTGGTAATGTACAGGTGGCGTGCAGCGGGGCACAGCTTAAAACTTGAATTGAGATCAGAAATTTGCGTACCCAAAGCGGAAGGCGTGTACCCTCCGCTAACTAAGAAGTATCCTACCTAGGTATACAAGGGCTAATAGGTATGATTTGAGTTCCTAGAGGACTAACCTGCCCTGTTTGTGTCCCCTAAAATCGTAACATTGAAAGAATGCTTATTTGTTAAAGTTGTGAAGACTGTAAGGTTTTGTGTTTTGATTGGCTGGATAGCTGAAAAGATACGTATGTGCCTTCTGATTTTGGGTATGTGAATTTCCGATCTCTTAAAATTAGGTGGACTAGATATTTACCTAGGCATTGACGAGTGCTCGGAATCGTATTCTCGTATTCCGAGTCGTGGTTATTGGCTTATTATTGGCGGTGGCACTGGGCTGCCTCACCCCCGCGTGCCGCGCACGCAGACAGCGTAGGCCACACAAAAGAATGGCACACAATCCAATGATCCAATATCTAAGCAAATAAGCGTGTAGCAGGCTTGTGCCTAGGCATGTGGGCTTAGACACAGGCACGGTGAGGGGCCGCAAAGACTTCCTGCAAATGCACCATTCTTGGCACGTCATGGCCGTGCATTGACTCGGCCTACGCACCTCAGGCTGGGCAGTGGTCCATCCGATGGGTTGAGCGAGCTCCGCAGTACCGAGTGGCTGGCCGTTACAAGACCCGAATACGATACACTCCGACAGTGCCAGTGATGCGCAACAGCGAGTTCAGGACTATGTGGTCCAAAACAGCCTCCGCCACTTTCAACCTTGTAAACGAGTGGGGCCGTTCAACTTCCCGATGTCATCATCCCTCGAAGCCAAGACATATATAACACTGGTGCACATGTATTTGTCGCTCGTGAGGGACCCCTTTCAAGTCTGCTCTTGATCTTCATACCCCTGAGCCCTGATCTGGAACCAGCAGCCGAGCGCCCACGTGCCAAAACCTAATCTCTTCCCTCCAGACAAAATCTTAGAACCTGGACCGCCGCAGACTCACAGCATACTTGCCTGAAAGTTAGACCATCACTCACTTCCATCCGAGGGGCCAGGGAAGTGAAAATGAACTTCACAGATGGCGGCCTGCTGGCCATCAGCACGACTCTTGCATTTTGGACTTCAATCGTACGTCGTGCCGTGACATGTGAAGCAACACCGATTAAGGCAGCTCTTACTAATTAGCGACCCCAGGCGACGGTGGCATATGTGGTCATCACATTCACGTACAACGTTTTGTTCCATCCACTGCGGTCATATCCAGGCCCGCTGCTATGGAGAGCTACGCGGATCCCCTACCACATCAAAGTCTTGAGCGGAACCCTGTCCATTGACATGCTGGACTTGCACAAGAAGTACGGCCCCGTGGTGCGCATTGCTCCTAACGAGCTAGCTTTCGCAAACGCCTCGGCCTGGAAGGAGATCCTTGGCCACAATCCCAAGGGCGAGGAATGCGGCAAGTGGGTCCCCTTCTACCGGCCCGTCCCTGAGGCCCCGGACAACATTATCTCCGCCGAACGCCAGAAACACGGTATCATCCGCCGCCAGCTGGCGCACGGGTTCAGTGACAAGTCGATGCGCGAGCAGGAGCCTATCATTAGGTCGTACGTAGACCTGTTGATGAAGCGGCTGCGGGAGAACTGTGCTGGTGGTCAGAAGCCGGTCGACATGACGGCCTGGTTCAATTTCACCACATTCGATGTAATTGGTGATCTCGCGCTCGGCGAGTCTTTCGGATGCCTTGAGGAGTCTAATTGGCACTCCTGGGTTAAAACCATCTTTTACCTTGCCGAGCTCGGGGCCTACATGCAGAGTGCCGCGCATTACCCTACCATCACGAAGTCACTTCTGAGACTGGTGCCTAAGAGCTTGATGAAGTCGTTCAATGAGCATGCGGTCTTCACCCAAAACAGGGTTGCGAAGCGGATGGAACTGGGCAAGGTCCGCCATGATCTGATTGAGGGTCTTATCATGAAGCAGGAGGACTGGGTAAGTGGTTCTTTTTGTCTCCTCGCGGGCTACTGATATTAGTCAGTGGGCAACGCAACTGCAAGATGCTGGCCCATACCATTCCTGCCACAGGCTTGCTGACAGTATCACAGCAAATGCCCCAGGCCGACATCGAATCCCACGCCGGCCTGCTCATCATAGCAGGGTCCGAGACGACGGCAACTCTCCTCTCGGGCTGCCTGTTTCTCCTTCTGAACAACCCGGACACTCTCGCCAAGCTGACCAATGAGATCCGCTCGGCCTTCACGGAAGAAGAAGAGATCACTATTGCCTCAGCCGGGCAGCTGGAGTACATGCTGGCCTGTCTAGACGAGGCACTGCGTTGCTACCCGCCGGTGCCACTTGGCAACCCGCGCGTTGTTCCTAAGGGTGGCAAAGTGCTGTGTGGGAAATACGTTCCCGAAGACGTAAGTGGACGGCTTACGCCTCCCCTGCATGATTGAATCAAGCATAAAGGTTTCGCTGACTGAAAATTGAAACAATAGACACACGTCGCCATCTGGCAGTGGGCGACTTACCACTCTGAAGAAAACTTCGTCGAGCCATTCAAGTACCTCCCGGAGAGATGGCTCAAGGACGGCAACCCCAAGTTCGCCAACGACAAGAAGGAGTCGATGCAGCCCTTCTCATTCGGCCCGAGGAACTGCATCGGTAGGAACCTGGCTTACGCCGAGATGAGGACCATCATGGCCCGCCTCATCTTCAACTTCGACCTCAAGCTCGCGCCTGAGAGCAGGGGCTGGCTGGATCAAAAGGTCTTCAACCTTTGGCAGAAGCCACCGCTGATGGTGCATCTTACTCCCAGGGCTCAGAACTAAGATGGGGTGGCGTTGAGAACCAAGAGGCATTTTGGTGTTTGGGCGGAGAGAAAGACAGATATGGCCCAGGTGGACTGGGAGTAGTAGAGGACGTTTCGAGACTTGTCTGTATTGGAATTTCTCTTATTCACCAGACTCGATACCAATGGCGTCAGTGTACAATCTCTCTTAGCCGAATTGGCCTTAGTAAACAGTGGAACTTTCATAACATATTCAAAATCAGATCACGACCCCCTCAACGATGTCAGAAGAATATGGTCTCACGTGTCCACTATCGCCTGTTCATCTGCCTGTTCCTCTGGTTCATCCTAGCCTGCCTGTCGGCCGCCCGTTTCGCAGCCTCGCGCGACTCCTGGTCCAGGATCACCAGGAAGGTAAGGTAAGCGTAGAGCTCGAACCGCTCGCACAGCTTCCCCTCAGCCCCGGAGTTGAAGAGCTGGTACCTGTTCGACTTGGAGCCGAACTTGCCCGTCTGCGAGAACGCGCCGACGCACTCCTTCTGGTCCCGGCTGCCGTCCTGGCCCTCGGTGTCGAGCCGCAGCAGCTTCCACCCGCGGCCGTTGGTCTCTGGGATCCGCTTCGTGTAGTGGCCCACCTCGCCGCCGTCGCTCCACCGCCACTCGAACGTCTCGAGCCTGCTCTGGCCGCCGTGGCCCACGGGCACGGTGAAGCGGAACTGGCGGCCGCGGATCTCGATCCGCTCCGCCTGCGAGTTGTCGCCTCCCTTGGACTCGTCTGGGAACAGGATGATGTCGATGTCGGAGGGCACGCCCGTGCGGACGCCGAGGAAGCGGAGCCACTTCAATGCACCCTGCTTCTTGAACGGGACCGTCTCGACCATTGCGATCTTCTTGTCCTTCTTCGTTGGCCCGCCGTAGATTTCCATCCGGAGACGGCCTGGGCGGTTGTTGTGGATGCGCGCCATGGAGATGGCCTCCTTCTTGTGCTGCCCGACGCGTGCTTTTTGTCCGATTTGCCAGCCGCCCTTGTAGTAGTTGATGTGGCTGGGGCCGCTGGGAACATAAGGTTGAGAGCTCATTGTGCTTGCAATTTAAGGTCAATCTTTGATCCAAGAATGCAGATGGAGGCGGATGTGGGGTTGGTGGTCGGTAGAACGAGGATATTGCCAGCTTGGGTCTGGTTCGAGAATAGTGATCGAAGGAAAGAGATCGTAATATGAATTCCGGAAGAGTGCCATGTCCACGGACCTGGGGATAAGCTTTAAAATAGAGAGACATTTGATTCTAAACAAGAATTCCATATCGGCTACCGGTCGCATTGGCCGTTCTCATGGGCCATGGTGGGCTTATGCTGACGCCCCTGGGCCAGCCAGGCGCGTCGACCATGTTCCAATTCCATTTCGACCGTGTTAAAATAGCGGACCCCACGTTAGAGCACTGCACAGTCAGCACAAATGTTTCCTGAAATATCCACTTGCCGCCTCCACGGCCATCCTCTATGTGACTGTGCCGCAAGGGAAGCTGAACATGGCATGAGGCCGCAGCGAGGAGTCGTTGAAACCCAGAACAACAGTAGACAGGGCCCCTAAATAATACAAGTTCTTGGATTTCATTCCGGGACTGTCACTATCATCGATACAGGTGGAGCATGGGTTCTTCTTGGCGGTAAGAACAATTGTCGAGACCAGAAACGTCACGGCGAGGTGGTCGAGTAGAACGACAATTCCAATGGACGACGATGTCGCACTTTCTACTCTCTCCTTTCGACCCGCAATCGATTGGACCGCAATACGTTGAAGTCATGGCCATGTCATGAGCCAATGAGGTCAGCATGAGGACCTTAAAAGCCAAACTGTTGATCTTGTGCTTCCCCATGGGGAAGTGGAGCACTTGTTCTATATCCTGAGGTCCCTTCGGTCCCCACCACACTGGGTCCTACGATAATCACCACACTTATACTATGCTTTTCCGGTGTGTGGATACTTATGCTCTCCTCCGCTGTGCCTGCCCTCAGAACGCCATATTTGAGTACTACTGGCCTCGTGAGTCGGTTCCTCTACCAAATATCATTATCCCGGGCGTGAGGTCTTCATCTCGTAAGGACTTGGCAGAGCTGTGGACCCTCTGCGCAGCCTTGACTGGCATTGCCGGGGCCCAGTTCGAGGACTTTTTCAACATCAACGCTTTCCCCAATGAGTAGAAAGAGAACGTCACCACCTGGGCATGTTGCTCAACGAGGCAAAGCACTCGCATAATAATAATTGAAGTTTTAAGCCGATCGGTCGTCTAGCTTTGCAAACCATTCGGTTCAGAGGGAACACAAAGTCCCACAATTAATGGTGGTGTCGTACTTGCAGCATCCAAGCCTCTGTCAGCGGTCCGAAACCTGAGGCCTCGTCTCACCTTGGCCGAGACTACCTTATGGTACCACACACCATGGCCTCCAGGCTGGGCCGAGAAAAAGGGGCCGGCCGGTTATTTGACCAGCCATTCGCACGCACCCAGGCCCAAACAAGAATCACAAGAACCCTGGAATCTCTCCCGTGCTTAATCCTTCAGCACCCGGTCAATCGCGCGAGACCTGTACACCCAACTCCTCGCCCTCTTTCCGAACACATACATCGGAATCGTCGTCGGCATCGTCGCCCCCACCGTCAGGCCGCCGATCACAAAGAACACCTTCCGCACCCCCTGCTCGGCCACCCAGTCGTTTGCATAGAATGTGAGTCCAAATGCGAACATGTTCTTGACGAAGTTCATGATCGCAAACGCTTCGGCGGATTGCTCCCGGTGACAATCTGTCACGTACGTGGCGAGGACGGTTATGCCGAATTGCACACCCAGATTGATGAGGCCCAGGCACACGATGACGGGGACGGGCCAGGGGTATTGCTTGTAAAGAGACTCGCCCCACGCGAAGAAGCCTGTAGATGCAAATGCTATAAACGTGACCATAACGACCAGGCGGAATTCTGGCTCTGTTCAAATGTTGTGGGTTAGAGGTTGAGGACCCCAATCAGGAGAAAGAGAGCTTGAATGTCCGCCGAAACTGACCAAAAATGCCCTTGTTTCTCATTGACATCAACTTGGCGATGCCATCGATGACATAACCGGCTACAAACGTAGCAAGTAGTGATGCGACGAAGGCCGAGACATTTGTTGCACCCACGGAACTAATCGAGAAGTTGTATGGTGGTGCCGAGAAAATTTGGGACAGCGTGATGGAGATCAACACGAGCCACGAGATGCAGATGGTCAGCATCAAAGTCGCCCACTGCACGACTGGACTCGCAAGCATAAAGAACGGCCGGATGAAGGTCCTCCAGAAGGATACCCGATCCCAGAACCCGGACCATGGAAGGAGTTCTCTGGTGTATGAAATGCGTGGATCCGATGCCGCCCGAACATCTTGGTTCTCTTCGACTTGGTCCACGCCCTTCTCTCCGACCTCCATAGTCTTGCCGCCGGTATCGATATTAAGCACATTGGTGCGGTGGAAAGCAGACTCCGGCATAAAGAAGATATTCATGAATAGCATCAGCACAAATGCACCGCCCATGGCGTGCATGGCAATGCGGTAACTGCCCTTGTCGATTACGACTCCGCCTGCCAATAATTAGTGCTGTTGTGATACTTCTGGCTTTATATTTACCTATTGGAGCAGCCAAATTCTACAGCGCGATCAGCAGATTGCCTCGCTCGAGGAATATTACTGCAACTTACAATACCCCCTAGAACGCCAAGATTGAAGATTGCCATCCGAAAGCCGCGTTCGTGCACATGCCATATATCCGCGACAGATGCAGGGATTAATGCTTCGAAGGGTGCTGGACAAAGAAGGACAAGACACCATTAGCGATGGAATATCGTCGCAGGATGTGAGTTTGGTCTCACCAATACAAAATCCCAGGACCGTACGGGCGCCAATCAGGGAACCAAAGCTCCGAACCTCTGCCGCCCAGAAACAACAGACAGCCAAGCCCAACGTGGTCGTAAGGTAGATCGGTCGTTTTCCAATCTTGACAGCGAGCGTATTGAATAGCAGACTTCCAAAGGCGATGGCTGCTAAACAGGACCCGTTCGTGCCTGTTCAGTAGCATCAGCATAGTTGACAGCTGTCAGACCTCGGGTTCATCTGACCGTAAGTGAACCGCGTGAGAGAAACGTTAAACTGCTCCGATAGTGGCACAAATGCTGGTGTGAGTAAAGGTCCCACGGCTGGGGGATGACACTTGTTAGCAAGCCCTGTTTTCTGTGCTGAATGGCACACCGTGGAGTTATCTTTATTACCTCCAACGCATCCGCAGCCAAATATGATGTTGAGAGTGAACAATTCCTTCTTCCACCGCGGCCAATTATACGGATCATTTGGGGAATCGGACGGCTGTGGTACAAGCACGATCTGCCCTGTCGGATCGTGCTTTAGGAGCGCGCGATCGAGGCCGTCATTTTCAATTGCGAGATCTGTACGGCCGACCTCGCTGAGTGGTGCCGTACCGGGGACATGCTCGAGTTTGCGGTCTTCGAGGATGCCAAACGGCATCGTTGCTATGGCTCCGGACGAGTAAAAGAGTAAGCAAAGCCTCGAGATCGGTCTTGATCAGTCAGGAGAGGTTGAGAAACAGATGGACCGTGTCTAGCGGGATGACTTGCGCTTGCTCAACTCAATAGTACACCTAATTCCATATGATGTAGAGACGAAACGCTGTATCTTTTTTGGAAGGATCACATGTATTCTTGGATCACACCACATATAGAGACGATGTTCTGAGAAGCTTGATTATACGTCCTCATCTCCGGAACTCAACGTGCCGATCCTTAGTTCAAGAATCCCCTGTCATTGATTACTATGACGCGCAGAAGTCATCCCCCTAGGCTAAACAACTGCAGATCCTCACACATTCTGCTTGCCAGGGTGTGATGCGGGGGTAGACTTCACGTAGTTGGGGTCACATCTGCCAATGTGCGAGCTTTGATAAGGTATATCTGCAAGAGTGAGACTGGAAACGCTGCCCCAGAGAGGAATAGGCACCAGCGAAGTACCACTAGGCAGCGAAGGATATCCTTCTCGAAAATTGAGCCCACATAATCAGCGCAACATTACAGTCCCAGGGAGGAGGCAACTGTTCGAGGAAATCTGTTTTGGGTAGTGTACCTAGGTAGGTACACTGCCCAACTTGATACTCTATGGTCTAGTTCCTTGTTCAAGAAGCACAGCAACCGACATTGAAGACCCTTGGAATCTAGACAGATACTAGATATGGATATGTAGTTCCAAATAGTACAAGATTAGAAGTGCCAACTTTAACACCTCAGTCCGCTCGGATTAGACGGGCCATGTGTGGTTTCGTTTTTTAATCCCCATACATGTAAAATGTACGTGGCGCCTTCATACAGTGGTAACCGCTCAAGACCCAGCGTTTGAAGAAATACAGTGCCAATAACAGTGGAAAGAGAATACAGTATAGACGGGCCATATTGACGTCAATATTCACCCCGTTTTCTAACCTGACCGGAGTGTGTTTTATAAGATCTTCCAGTTCCACACCAAAGTTCTCGCGCAGGGTCCTATATTAACTCGGCACCGGTGCTCACATCAGTGAATATCCATTCGTGTTCATTCTTTCCAGCCTAACTTCAGGATATCAGGCGGAAGTGGCCTAAGGATCGCTGGTCCCTCCATTATTTTATATTGGAAACAAGTTCCAATAACTTGTTGTAGATTCCCCTCGCTGGTACTGGTATCAGACTTAGCAGCTGCTGGGAGCCCAAGGTTGCGGTGGCCTCATCACCAGGCTTTACCTCAGCCGGTTCAATACCAATGAGGCCATTGATAGTGTTGAAAAGAGACATGCCTGGGAGAGTCGGGTATAATAACTAATAGACCATGTCTTCACCAAAACCTCTTAGGAAAGAGCGGCGCCTTGGTGGTGTTTCCAATACCCTTATGCTTATTATATGATCCTTTCGGGATCAACTCACTTTACCCGGCCCAAAACTTCTCTCTGAGCGTTTGAAAAAGAAGCGCAATTTGTTTGTAAACTGGTTTCCTCCTTTGTATTTCGTATACCTGCGAAGCCATACACGACTTGTTTACTGTTCCTGATATAGTAGACTTTTATTCTGCTGCTCGTAATTGAAGCAATACATCATGTGGTGGATGTGGCTAGCCCCAAGCCCGCCCGCATGAGCACCAAGCTTAAGGTCCAAGGAAGCGTCTATCAGAGACCTCCAACTTCCATCAGACACTTGGACGGCCATATTTAATACTATGTCTCATCAACACCCTCATGTTGATTGTGAAATACAACAGTGGAACATGGTAAGCGGATGCTGTTATGAGACTTTCGGGCGGAACCTCGGTATCCCTGCAAGATGGTGCGCTGCTGCCGCTGACCCCAAGACGACTCGGGCCGCCTTTCGGGCCTGGCTGAGGGAATAAGTTGGCTTGGCTCAGCTGGCGTTGGCGGGCCTCCGAGGTGCACGCCTCTAAGCCACATCCAAGCGAGCCCCGAAATGGGAGATGGCAACCACCAACTGTATCGCAGGCCTCTTGACTATTGGAAGCCTTGCCGCTCAAGATTGGCAGATTGAGAAGATGGTGCACTGCAGGCTAGGTTCCACGCCCTCGAGCCGCAGCACTTCTGCCTGATAGGCTTTTCACGGGCTCGGTTGGAGGGGTCAGAAAACGCCTTGGTAGGCCTCATGCTTGAACCATATGTGAGAGCTAGGTTCCCCGGCATTTATTAGTGTGTAGCATCCAGCACGTCTCTCATACAGTTCTCATTCCAGGTTCAATCCCAAGGCACTAAACATCATTTTTGTCTATAGTAACTTCTGTTCAATCCCCAATACTCGGTTGAGATATCAAGATGCTTGACAGTCTGCCAACCCACCTGCATGACAGCAAGAAAGTCGCGCCGTCCAGCCAATCCGCTCGCAAACCGTCAGCAACCCCGCCTCGGCGACGCTCACGGGCTGCAACAGATACGACCAAAGCCGTACAGCTGTATTTGGGCGACAGTATTCCATCCTCCCCGGATAATGGAGAGCATCGCAAATGGCGCCGCCAACAAGACGTGAAGGAGAGCCTCATTCGCTTGACGGGATGCACGTCGAAATTGAAGTACATTGGGGACGATCATGAGTGTTTCGAGCTCGACAGTGTTAAGAAGTTCTGTACAGATTACGCCATTGATCTGGAGGGCAACCCGTGGAAGAACTTCAAGCGCCTCTTGTCCGGGTACCAGGACCTCCCCTTCATAATACTACAGAATCCGACCAATGCCCATATCTACGAGTACGAAGAGATGAAGAAATGTCCTACCTTACAATGGATATCGGAAGTATTGGCAGAAATTGGACTGGCGCTTGAGGATATTGTCATCATAGACATCTGCAGCCTCCTCAGCGAAGATGATCTGAAGCGAATGGCAAGTCAGAGCTCCGACGGCCCGCAGCGAAAGGACGAGGCAGTCGAAAGATCCTACGGAATGGTCGAAGACATCCTGAAGTTCCTCAAACCAAGCGTGGTGGTATCGTGTCAGTGCGCCACCATGGGCACAAGGGAAAGGCCGACTTCTGGTGGGGCAGTGGAGAGAACTTGGGAGCCTGCGAAGAATATGCTGGCGTCATGTCTCTGTTCCCGCGAGTATCAAGCAAAGCGAGGGTGGACCAAGAACATCCGCATTGGAACCGACTATTCTCTGATGGTATATGCGGTGCACCCCCGCCGCTTATGTTTCGAACAGTCGATGATACCGGTGCTGAGAGGTATATTCAAGGACGTATTTGAACCGTGCATGGCTTGGTTCAAGAGCAATAAAGGAAACGGCCAAGGTTTCGACGGAGGCGAAACACAACAGTCGAAGAAAGTCAGAAGCAAGCCCGTTGTTGCACTACAAGAGAAGACGGGGTTCAAGAAGTCACCCAAGATGGTCGTAACAGAAGTAGATGAGGACGAGACGGAGCTCGGCGAGCAGCTATCCGCTCTAAAGCTTAAAGACGATGATTGAAGGGTTGCCTGGTGGAGGCAACTTAAAGCGAGAATAATCCTGCCCTAGATTCGAGAATCGATTTCATCCATTTCCTTGACCCCTTGGCCTAGAATATTATGATTGTCAGTTCAAAATATCGGTCTAATGGTTTTGTCGGGCTATGGAACACTGATGTAGTAGTTGAAGCAGGGGTCTGACGAGCTCATATCATATTGACCTGTGAGGAAAGTAACGGGACACACAAAGCTGCACGATGTTCTGCATAAGAGGTGACCTTGAATGCTACTGGGCCAGACCATCACATAGGGTATGAATCATGATACTCTCAGATCGCACTAGCACTGTAGATCCAGTTGATCGTCTTCATGTTTCACCACGCCTACGACATAGATAGTTTACCTACTAGTAGGTAGTTGGTAGTGCTGTCTTAAAAGACCCCCCCCCCCCATGCAAATCTATTCTCGTGTTGCAGCTACTACGCGCGTAGAAAGGCCGAACGGGACGCAATGATCACAAGAAGACTAATAAGAGCATCTGTTCTTCAAAGTTGTCCCATTAAACTTGACATTATTCTGATCGTGCCCCTGCGCTAGGCCCGTCCGTAAACAACTCACCATGCTTCGGGTCTGGCACAATGACGGGTTGACAGGTCCCGAGTCCTTCCTCCATACCTCATGGAACCCTCCCTCAATTCTATCGCCAAGACCTCGGGGAGAAGGAACCCCACGTTCACTACGGAGTACTGCTCAAGGTCCCATGTTCTCGTGAAAACTTGGCATCTCTTTCAACACTACCGTGAGAGGGGTGAGGATCAAAATCCCAGCAATTCCCCTCTAACAAGTCTCCACCACGCTCATAGAATGGAAGACCGAATGGCGTGACCATTCTATCATGTCCTCCACACACGTCTATCTATCACCAACCGCCAGTCTCTGACTCTCCTCGGGCACCATATCTGACCGAAGTACCCCCGCGCCATACTCGAAGCTAGGGATGTTGTGTCACTTTTCCAAGACTGCCGAGAAACACCTCTGACCATATTCTTGGCCTCTGACTGGCGATCGAGTTGTTGGTCTCGGCTGCTCATCTCTTATTGGGGGCCCCTCCCCGACGACGGCGTTGCCAAGCTCATTTCTGACCTTGCCGTTGACAAGGGCCAAGCGGATACCAGATATTGACCCCGCAGATGCAACTCATTCCCCCATTATGGGGAATACCCCGGATTCGCTGCACCCCGGCCTTGGGTGCACGTGTAGATAGATTTTGTGGGGTGGCTGGCTGACCGACTGTTGGGATATTGCAATAAAAATGCCCAGAGCCCGGCCCGCTGGTAGTGTTGCCAACCTTCAAGTCTCTTGCTTGTTTGAATCAAGAGACGCCACCAAAGCCAATCGTTAGCGGACCGTTGCTCAGGCGTAAACTCTAAGGTCTCGATTCTACAAAACTCACAATGGCTGCAAGCGAGAAAAGGTCGTTGTCGGCCGAGCGACAGAAGCACACGGTCGAGCATATTGACAGTACAATCAAGGACGAGAAGCCTGTTGAGCAAGATGAGAAACGCGACTGGACCGGCACCACGAGGAAGACTGATCCAGAGGAAATTAAGCTAGTGCGGAAGCTTGATTACCGGATTATGGTAAGTGAGAAGATCATGGGTATTGCTATTCAGACTTGCTGACAACACTACCACAGCCGACTCTTTGTATCATGTACTTTCTCAGTGAGCGCTACAGGCTTGGATTTTACCGAAACATCACAACTAACCCTGATCAGACTATGTCGACCGTAACGCGATTGCACAGGCCAGGCTTAATAATTTGGAGGACGACTTGGGTATGACAGGCACCGAATTTAACACTACAGTTTCCATGTAAGCCTCGCAGACCAAGCTGTTGAAGCTCGGATACACCACACCACTCACACTGAGCTAACAATATTTCAGTCTTTTCGTCGGCTACGTGTTGATGCAGGTTTGTTATTCCCAGGCAAATCCTTTCAGAAGTGCCTTGCTAAGAAGAACCAGATCCCTTCCAACATGTTGATCACCAGAATTCAGCCCGGGATATACATGAGCGCGTGGATGCTAGTCTGGGCTGTAGTCTCCGGTAAGTTGACATCTTCTGCCCACTGGGGCACTCATATCCAAATGGGAAGACCTTACTAACCCCGATATCATGTCAGGGTGCACCGCGTTAGTTCAGAACTATGGAGGGCTTGTCGCTTGTAGATTCTTCTTAGGAATCACGGAGGCTCCAGTGAGTTCCCTAAGTATCTGGCACATCACTATGATCTTGGCAAGCTTGACTAAACCGTACCATAGTTCTACCCTGGGGCCACCTACATGCTCTCCATCTTCTACACCCGCACGGAAGTTGCTGCTCGCATTGCCGTGCTGTACTGCGCCCAAATCCTCGCCACCGGTGTCTCCGGTCTGATTGCTGCAGGAATTTTCGCCGGCATGGACGGGCTCCGAGGCATCGCAGGCTGGCGATGGCTTTTTATCGTGGAGGGAGCAGCCACCGGCCTCGTCGCCCTGTTTGGCTTCTGGTTCTTGCCAAACACACCGCTCACCACGCGGTGGCTTAAGGATGGCGAGCGCGAGCTGGCGCATGCGCGTATCGAAAGGGACAGGGTTTCAGACGCCTCGGACGTCAAGGCCTCGGCTATGGACGGTTTGAAGCAGGCCTGCCGTGACAAGCGGACCTGGCTGTTCTGTCTCATGCAAAACTTCCATCTTTCTGCGTGCTCTTTCAACTCCTTCTTCCCTACGTAAGTCGGAGACATAAGAAAAGGGATTCTGGGCCTCTTTATCGCTGACTCGCTCTACATAGTGTCGTCAAGACGCTCGGTTTCAATACTACCGTCACTCTGGCGATGACCTGCCCACCGTTCATCTTTGCCGGCGCCGCTGGGATCGCTTTCGGATGGAGCTCTGGACGCTTTCATGAAAGAACGTGGCATATCACTGGAGGCCTGACTATCGCTATCATCGGGTTCGCACTTGCGGCCGCAACTTTAAACACGGCAGCCCGTTATGTAGCATGCTTCATCTTCGCCATGGGTGCTTACAGCGTCAATTCAGTCATTATCGGCTGGGCGTCTTCAACACTTGCGCAGACAAAGGAGAAGAAGGCCGTTGTTCTTGCCATGACAAATGTGGGCGGTCAGGTATGTTACTATCTACCTAGGTCCCTTGGCTTATATGCCAAGAGAGCGCCTCCACTGACACCACGTACAGATTGGCTATATCTACGGCGCATATCTCTGGCCGAAGAGCGATGAGCCACGCTACGCAATCGGCTTCGGTGCCTCGGCCGGTTTTGCCTTGCTCTCGATTCTGTGTGCCTGGTGGATCCGCGTGTTGCTTGTGAGAGAGAACAGGAGGATCCGCGCATCTACGTCGGAGCATGTCAACTTGTATGGGTACTAGATATATCAAGTGCCTCTATGCCGCGTCTATGGATTCGCTTGGAGAGCCTTCAGTGAATAGATATGCGTCTAGGATCAACTTCATTTACAATTCCGCCTATGCAGTTCTGTCACAATTGACTTGTCACATGTGCAATTAGCAGCGACTTGCTGATACCCGACCGCAACATTCCAGATCGTAATACTGTTCGAGGATAGCTGGGTTGTGCTAAGACCACTGAAGCGAAAGCTGTTTATGGGAAACCTTCTGCGGCAGAGGTTTAAGAGAACAATTCAAGATGGTACAATATGACCAGGTGATTCATAAGCCTCGAGCCACTCGACCCATTAGAAGTCAGTGCGTGTGCCAGGTTTAGCCGGCCCCAGAGGCATCCTACCTCACCCTACCCCAAGGGGAAGGTGAAAAAGCTTGACGCGGTTCATCCCATCACCACCCACCAGGAGATCGGCAAAACAAGCTCTAAGACCCCGGCATCCCGGCAGCACGTAACCTCTAATCATGCGGCCCAGCGGGGCATGCCTCACAGTGCAGTCGTACAAGTCGTCATTCACAGTGTTCCGGTGTGATTTAGATGAGTCCCTTGCATGCACTCACGTATATAAGTCAGCCAGGCCCGAGATGATGAGTCGGGGAGTACAGTCAATTTCGAAACCTAGGAGCAGGGGTAGCTGCGTAGCAAACTCGTATTGCACCAACACCATGCATTCGCTTCTGTCCGTTCTTGCTCTGAGCTCCCTGGCCTTTGCTGGACCAGGGTCCTTCCGAGCACCGTCGCGGTCTGCAGACCTCAGCACGCGCCAGGCCAACACGTACCCTCCGAACACGATTGATCAACCGATAGACCACTTTCCCAGTGATCCACGGTGGGCAACCCAGCCGCCTGCTTGGCGTGACGACCTAGAGAGCTGACCCACAATCAAGTTATGCTCCGCACACAAACGCCACATTCAAGCAGCACTACTACTTCGATGCGAGCTACTACAAGCCGGGAGGGCCGGTATATCTCTACGTCGGAGGAGAGACCGATGCGAGGAACCGGTTCTCAAACCTCAGGACCGGAATCATCCAGATCCTGATGAACGCGACTGGAGGCCTCGGCGTGATTATAGAGAACCGATACTACGGACAGAGTGTCCCCTTCGAGAACCTCACAACCGACAATCTGGCGTATCTGACAAATGAGCAAACGATCGCCGACTTTGCATACTTCGCGCAGCACGCGACCTTTCCCGGCGTGAATGTCTCCCTCACGGCACCGGCTACGCCCTGGATCATGTACGGAGGGAGTCTCGCGGGTGCTCAGACATCCTTTACCGTCAAGACGTATCCGGACATCATATACGGCGGCATTGCAGCTAGCGGAGTGTAAGTAATGATTGTTTTCTCGTTATGGGTCCCCATCTTTCATGTTCGTAAAGTACTAGAATTTACCGGTAACGCCTTTCAAGAATTCGGGTAGCCTTAGAGTATCCCGAATGGTATGATCCCATTCAGAAATTTGGACCCAGCGACTGTGTCCAGAGCATCAATGACATCGTGGACAAGTTCGATGCCCTCGTCGAAGCTGGCAACACCGACGCCATCCAGGAGCTCAAGTCAATCTTTGGCCTCGAGTCATTGACCGATAATCGAGACTTCGCAAAGACTATCGCATACCCTGTAGGGAGCCCGTTTGATTATCCCACTCCCACGTGGCAGGAGCTCTCCTGGATAAATCAGAAGACGCAGTTCTGGTCGTTCTGCGGCAATGTCACCAATCTGGATTCACCGGAAGAGGTTACGGCTGTGGATGAGCAGCTGGCAAAATACACGGACGGCGAGCCTTGGGAGAATCTGGGCAATTACGCCAAGTACATCAAGGACGTGATCTTGCCGACTTGTTCGAGCGGAGACTATGCCAGTGGAGACTGTTTTGGGCAGGGGAATGGTATGCCTGGATCCTGTCAGCCGCTGCTTGGTCCATGTATACTGACATCGCGTACAGCAACATTTTGGACAGAGCAAGTCGATTCCTCCACACTTGCCTACCTTTATACCACCTGTATAGAGGGAGGTCTGTACCAAAGCGCCCGAAAGGAGGGGAAAACACTACTATCCAGGGTTATGGATGCCACCTATACCCAGGAGCAGTGCACACTGGCCTTCCCGCCGGGTGAATACAACACAATCCCGCCAACTCCTGACCTAGACAGGTGGAACGCATACGGCAGCCTTAACTTTAGCGCAGACAGGCTGGCCTTTATCGATGGGAACCACGACCCCTGGCTTGATGGGTGCTACCATTCAAACCTTGGTCCGCAGAGGTACAGCTCCAATCTCCATCCGGCGTATCTGATCGTGGACGGTGGGCATCACTGGGACAGCAATGGTATTCTGGATGTTGAGAGTGAGCCTCAGTTCATCCGTGAGGCGCACAAGTGGCAGATCCGCACTGTCAGGAAGTGGCTTCGCAAGTTCCCTGAATGGCAGCCGGTGAGCTATCATTGATTCGACCAAACTGAGATGAGCGGATTGTGTAGTCTCCAGTATGCCTCTTGATTCATAGCAGCGAAAGTTGTTTACGTACGGTGTAGATGGACCGAGTTACTGCCAATGCCAACAGGATCTCGACTTGACTGACTGATGTATGGCTCTCTGAACCACATGGCTTGCGGGTTGAACATGAATCCGAATAGCCTCCCAGCAATGTTCATGACAGCGTTGGAGATTAGGTAAATTTATGCATGAATGGTCGCCACCTTAGACACCAAATTAGAATATGGTCGAGCTTAATCCGAGCTTGAATCTGGGTGCACATGTGATGGCACTGATGTGTAGGGTACGACTGCTAGGCGCACTGGCAGGAGGCTTAAGGTATTTTTTGCACCCATTCAGAGCATTTTATTATTAAGTACAACAAACGCTGTTGGATGTCGGAATTTTGCGTTGAACGTTACAACTTGTGGGTCCATTAACTCATACCGGCCAAGCAAAAGACAATGAATTCTCAAACTATCTATCCAGACACACACTAATCATCGCCAAATTAGCCGCGCTTTGAAATGAACAGGCTTTCATTACAACCCATATTGTTAAACGATGACACGGGGACCACGCGTGTCCTTCTTCACTCGAAGCTTTCTCATCACCTCAGACGTCCTGCTATGGCCCTTCTCCTTCATGGCCCGCTCGGGATACTTGGCGTAGGACTTGCACCATTTGTCCCAGGACTTGGCAGCCTTGGTCAGGACCTTGTCCATGTCCTCCTTTACTTGTCGTGTCTGCCACTAAGCCCCAAAATGTCAGTATGTGGTTCGCTTTCAGCACAGTACAGAGGTGCAGGACGGGAAACTCACGTTCTCATCCTCCCAATCCCCAGCATGCTCCACACCGGGGGCTCTTCCCCGACGGTCTGGCCACCAGCCGATACTCGCCAACACATCCGTCTTGGTGGGCGGTATTCCCGGGCTTCCAAACGCCTTTGGGTTCCTCTGGTGGCAAATCTCCTGGAAGTAGGACGCCATCGTATCCATCGCGTCATCAGGGACCATGCGGACTTTGAGGGTCCTCTTCTTTGCGTCTTTGTTCCCGCCATCCCGAGCATTTCGTTTGAGGTCGTCCTCTTCTTCATCATCTAGCATTTCCTCAAAATGCACCTGCCTGCTGTCCCTCCGCGTGTCTCGACGGCTTGCACCGTTGGCGCCGGGACGCGAAGTCTCGATACCTGCAGTATAGATGTCCTCTTCAGACACAGGACTCAACCCCCTGTCGGACCTGCTCTGGCCACTGTCTTGGACCCCTGCACCACTTTCGTCAACAACAGGTTCCCTCTCCATCCTCCGCGTCACACTCCGCGCCGTGAGATACCCAGAGATACTGGCATACATCCACACGCCATCAATCTCAGCCAAGCCACCAAAAGGCCAGACCACGGCCGCCAGTGTGTCAATAACCAGCGACGGCGGGAACAGCAGCGTGCTGATGATACTATCCCTCGCAGCCCGCCTCTGCGTCCGCGCAAGCTGCGCCCCGACCTCGGCGTGCACCTCATCGGGGGTGTGGTCGGCGAGCACAGAGGCCGGGTGGATCAGGACCAGCTCAGTAACGTGCTTCCGCGGCACGCGGTTCAGGAACGTGATGTCGGGCGTCTTGATCGCCGCCACGGCACGGTCGCACCCCCGCAGCGCCTTGTAGTGCAGCCCGCGCAGGGAGAGCGTCTTGCCGTCGTAGGTCTTGGCCTTGCGGACTTCCTGCTGGATGAGCCGCTTGGCCTTGTGGCGCTTGCCCTCCTTGACCTTGATGGTGCCCGTGTTCGCGGTGGTCGGCTTGAGCAGGTGCGGTGCGGGCGGCGTGTAGATCATGTACCGCTGGGGCACGTCGAGGGTCTGGCCCTTGGAGGAGGGAGGGGGCAGCGGGATCAGGTAGGCGATCACCATCTCTGGGTCGCGGCTGTATCCAACTGTGTTGACGGGGATGTCGCCCGTCGTCAGCCGGCGGCGTGGCGGCAGCAGGACGAGCTCGTCAGTGCGTTCAGGGGAGCGGGAGTGGTGGCTGTCTTGTCCTGTTGGTGGCCTTGGTGGTAGATCAGGGCGCTGCTCGTAATCATCAGGTGAGTATCGCTCGGAGGAGCGCGGCGAACTGTGTGGCCATTGAGCGGGCTCGTCACGGGGACGCGTTGGGAGAGGAGGCGGCTCTGGACTGCCCGGATGGCCTGATGAGAATGAGCTTGAGTCTGGATAACTTGTCTCGCCGGTGCTGTGATATGCCGCGTGTGCTGCAGGTGCGTAGTATCGCGGATCCGGAACCCAGGGGATGTCATCATGGCTCTTGATCGCGCTGCCAGAGTCGTATGTGTCCCCATAGTCAAGGTATGGGTTGCGGGATGAGAGTTGTGATCGTGAGCTCTCCCCAGTGTTGGTAGCATGCATGTAGCTGGCCTCTTGGAAAGTCATTTTGGGCGAGGCTGACAGCACTCTGAATGATTCTCTTTCTCTCTTTCTGTGCAACCAATTGCGGCGGGTACGATGTCTGGTCAGTTTTACAATGTTTACAGCGACTAGACACTCAACGTAAATGAAGGAATTATACGAAGACGTCACTCAGGAGGCTGGACAGAACCGGCCAACCAAGATCGCTGGAGCTTGTTTGAAGCGTTGGTGTCGACGGCATAATACACATGACGTGGCGGTTGAGTCGAACGTGGTCCTTCCCAGTCGGAGCCGCTAGATCACCAGGGCGGGACGCGGCTCACGAGGCTTACAAGCTTCGCCGCTCAGAAACGGACGAAGAATTCTAGAACTACGTCAGAGAGCCCTTCAGAGTTTGGAATCAATCTTAAAAGTCCCCGCGAGAGCCATTCTCCTGATCAATCCGTCACAGCTCGGATCAATCACCCCGGGCCACAGTTCTATCCTTGGTCCTTCTGACTGGTTTGGCATTGACCTGAGACAGTTTGCATATTTGCGTGTTAGTGTTAAAGCAAAGCAGTAGCAATGCCTAGTTGGGCGATCCAGGATTGATAACACAATGTGCTACCGTAAGGATCATCACGTGTAATAAAAGTCTGGAAAGTCTTGTCGGTCAGAACACGCTCGGACTCGACTTCAGGACATTAGCCCAGGGGTATATCATATCGGTCTTGGATTTCTAATTCTCCTATCGCACGGGGATCCTTCCAGCGCTAGGCAACCGCCAACTTTCCACATGCAGGGATACAGGGCGTTTCTGTTCCACCGTCTTTTACCCAGGTACCCACGTTAGATTTTCAACGTCTCTCGGCCGACAAATATGTTGATTGATCGAAAGGGGAAGTGGCACAGTCAGGTGTAGTAGTTTCGTTCAGTGATCAGCGAGAACTCCATACCTACAGCATCAAGCCATGGGTACACCATGTGCTCAGGTGGTTCAGGGTGGACCAATAACCACTTACTTAAGTATCTAGGTATGTAGAGACGGATTGCTCTCAGAGGTCCCACAGGGTGTATGAGAGCCAGCATCCATCCAAGAACCCATCTATTTTCGATTGCCTAGCTAGTATATGTTTAGCCGCGCAGACAACTGAGAATGAGGGTACGTGCTATGGCTACCCTTAGAATCCCTACTCTAAGCTACTTTAGGTATGAAGCCCTGTTTAGCTCTATGACTAATAAACGACCCTGTCATCAAGACTATGAAGTGCTAGAGGGGCAAAGAGGATTGATCCACTTGGGTTTGAGTGGCTTTCAAGCTAGAAGTACCGTGATTGTCTAGAGAGCATGGCTCTGTAGATAGTTAAATGTGGAGTGGAAGCTATCTTGAAGTGTATGGAGGCTGTTAGGGAAAGACAACGTACTGGGTAGGCCACCGAAAGGACCTGCGCAAATGGGCACCTAGGTAGGTGGATGCAGGCTGCTTTTGCCGAGTAAGCACTAATTGTACCTATACTATAACTTGGAGCCTAGATGTTACCTCCTCCTGCTTGGTCAGCCCGCAAGATCCTTCGTTCCAAGCATCCGTAAGTGGATTAGCCCCCGCGCGGACACTTTCACTTACCTGGGCGGCTCTCAATGTCAAATACGGTCTCTTATTTATTATAAAGGAGGTGTCTCGCGGAGTGATTTAAACGTTTGAAGAATCAACCATCAAGCCAGTCCTCGATTCCCCAAACATTCGAAAATTGCATGATTTGAACAAACAAAACTCAAAATGGCGCCCAAGACATCCTTCATCATCACTCCCGGCTCCTTCGTCACCTCATCCCTTTACGACAGTCTGGTTGCCGCCCTCCAACAGCAGGGCCACTCAGCGCGAGCAATAGACCTACCCTCAGCAAACGACGGCTCCCGCCTGCCCGCACCAACGGCAGACGATGATGCCAAGCACATCCGCGCAGAGATCACCGCCAACCTAGACAGTGAGACGGAGCCCACCGACGTGGTCGTCATGCTGCACTCGTACGCTGGTGTCCCCGGATCCTCGGCACTCAAGGGGCTGGGCAGGGACGACCGTGCCGCAGAGGGCAAGACGACGGCAGTAGTCGGCGTGCTCTACCTCGCGTCCTTCGTGCTGCCCCTGGGCGTGTCGAACCGCGCGTGGATGAGCGGCCACGACGCCATGCCTGAGCCCTTCAGGTCGGGTATCCCGGGGGGTTACCTGCCGCCTATTGACCCGTCTTTCGCCACGATGATCTTCAACGACATCGAGTCTGAGGAGGATCAGACGCGGTACCTCGGGATGATGACGCAACACAGCTCGGACAGCTACGATGGTGTGGTTGCGTATGAGGCGTGGAAGTACATTCCCAGCGTCTTGGTTATCCCCGAGAACGATGTTATTGTCCCGACGCCGCTGTTGGAGCTCATGTACGAGCAGTCGGTGGCGGCTGGTGGCAAGGTGAAGAGGGTGTTCGTTAAGGGGGCGGGCCATTGTGTCAATCTCAGCCAGCCGGAGCTTGTGGTCGGGGAGCTCATCAAGTTGGCTGCTGGGCAAGAGTAAAGTATGGGCTTGGCTGGGGGAGCGACATTGAAATTTTTGGACAATCTCAGTAATGGAAAAACTTGAAATGCTCTGACAACGCCACGCTCATACTAGTTGGGGGAAAGTACATAAAACGAATGGCTCTATATTTATACCTCTAGTGGGTTGACCAAATCTTTATTGCGGGGTTCTCCGTCGATTCGTTTGATTATGCGCGTAGAGAGGTGCTGTCTTGCTTGTCCCGGGCAGCCATCGCCAAGGGCACACGGAATGGGGGTGAGCCTCCCAGAAATTCTTTTTTCTTTTCTAAGGTTCCAAATCCGGGAAGGTGTTTCTTGCTTGTTTGACTAAGTACTGTGAGCGCAGTCATCACGTCCTGTGGCAGCTTCGTTCGTAAAACGGACTGAAATGGCTGCTGTGAACCTTGGAGGGCATTGCTGCTAACGTCCCCGGCCCACATTCCGATAGTCCCCTAAATCCAACCACCTCCTCCTTCAACCACCCCTTCACCTTAACCCTATTTACACCACTACTATAATTTTATCCTCCTTAATAATTAAAGTCTTTAATTAGTTATCTTTATTACTTTCCTTAAATACCTATCTAACCTTAATTTAAACCTATTAGACTACCCTAATATTTATAAATAACTTATTTAAATTAAGTTAAATCTTCTTCTTTTAGGTTACTTTATTAACTTTTAATTAATATTCTAACTTTTAAACTTTTTTTATAAATATTATTAAATTAATATTTTTCTAATTTTAATTTTTTAAAATTTTATAAAAAAGAAGTTATTATATAGAGTTTAAATATTTATTATAAATATATTTAACTATTATATTATATAACTTTTATAATTACTTAAAAGTTTTAAAATAATTCTTTAAAGTTAATAAAAATATTATTTAATATAAAAATATATATTACTTTATTTAATAATAACCTTTTTACTTCTTTATCTTAATAATCTATTAATTTTAATAAAATATATATTAAAAGCTTTATATTTAAAAGTAATTATAAATTAATTACTTACTATTTAAATTAAATATTTAATTTTATAAAAATTTTAATATATACTTTATAATAATAATAAAAACCTTTTTTATAATTATTAATAAAAATTATAACTACTTTAATATTATAAATATTTCTTAAAAATAGTTTTAAATAAATTAAAAATTAATATATTAAATAACTAAAATATATATAAATTAATAACTAATAAAAATAATATAAATATTATTTAAAAATATTTCTATATAAAGTTAACTATAATATATATATAATATCTATTAATTATAAAAGATATTATTTAAATAGGTTTTCTAATATAATTTAAAGAAGGAAGACTTTCCTTAATTACTTAATTATAATAGGCTTTTATTTAACTCTTTTTATTATTATAAACTATTAATTTATATAATCCTTAAAAATTATAAAAATTATTATTATTATATATTTAGTCCTTAAAAATAATAAAAGGTTTAAAAACTTATTTATAATAAATATATACTTTATAAAAGGTTTATATATATAAATTAAAGTCTTTTAAAGTAATTTATTATTTTTAAATAGTTAATTATAAATACTATTTTAAACTTTCTTTTATTAATCCTCTTTTATTAATATTCTAATAATTATTTAGTTTAATAGCCTTTATAATAAATAATTATATTAAATTAAACTATATAAATATATTCTTCTTTATTACTACCCTTAATTACTTTACTTTAACCTATTAATACTTATAGCTTTTAAAAATAGAATAATAAATTAGAAAAACCTTTAATTACTTCCTCTCTAATAAAAGGGTATTAGAGAAGGAGGAGATTATTTAGCCTATTAAAGTTTATATTTTTAATAAATTAAGGTATACTTTAAACTACTTTAATTAATTAAAAATAATATTAATTAATTCTTTTAAATATTAAAAAAAAGTTAATAAAATTTATAAATAATAAATTTACTTTATATATTAAAAAAATAATCTTATAATATAATATATAAAATATATTAAATTTTAAAGGCTTCCTATATAGATATTCTATCCCTAATTATTATAAATATATTATAAATTTTTTCTTCTTTATATTTTTTTATAATAATTAAAATAATATTTAAAAAAAGTTTAATAATTAGAAAAAAATTCCTTATAAAGTTATAAAAGGGTATAAATAGAGTAGGGATAGATATATATATATATAAATATAGGTATAGGGTGGTTGGATTTAGGGGACTATCGGAATATAGGCCGGGGACGTTAACAATCGCTATACTCACTTTTGGTGGTGTAGTCTCACCGAAAAAGAGGCCCTGCAGACGCAGAGGGGGGGGGCACTTTGAAGATGTCACATCAGAACCTAGCCTCCTCTAAAGTCCTGCAGTACATATGTACAGTAAATGTTTTGTGTCTTCAGGTGGACATAACCTCAGTACAGACCCGGGGACAGATGTTGGTCGCTGATGGAAGCAAGTGTGTTAGAAATTTTATCATCCAAACTGGAAATGTTCTCGCTGGATCAACATTGCTTATTCTCCATCAGCCACTCTTTGGTGGACTTGGACACCCTTCACTGGACTGTGTTGCCGTCTGTTCCAAGTCTGGGTAAAAGTTAGGTCTGCTTCAAACGGCCAGACAGATGCATGAGCGTAGGCATAGCGTTGTGTGACGATGGAATCGATCCAGTTGCGTAATGGTGGGCCTCATGCATCAATGATGCCCTCAAACTGCCAACAAATGGCAGCACACAGGCTTGGCGCTGCGAGTAGAAATGTCTTTCGAACAAGAAAAAAGGGAAATTTGGTGGTTCGATGTATCTCATTTTCTTCTTAACTTGATTTTGTTTTACGAAATCTGAAGCTGTGACGAGGGCTTGTTACCGCAAGGGGCTGCCTTGGGCTGCGCTGTCGTTTCTTTGTCGACGTTTGGTGGGATTTCGTTTGTTGATCCTGCCTGAAACTTGCCTCCAGAACTACTACATCCTTTGCGTTTTCACTCCTTCTCGTCCCCCCATTCATAATACTCACTCACCCCTCCTCAAATCTTCACACCCGTTTTACCAGCGCCTGTTGGTTTGCGCCTCTCGTTTCCTTTCAGCGAATCTCCATTCATCCAACGACTGTTCTCCATCCACTCGTCTCTTTCCCTCGAACCTCGACTTCGAACTCGTCGTCCGCCACTGTCGTTACGCCACTGCACCGTCGTCTTTCCACCGTCTTCGTCCCTCCTTTCTGATTCGCGCGACTTCTCCTTCTTTTCATCTACTTCCCAACATCTTGACCTCGCATTCCATCACTCGACCCCTGCCTGTCAACATGGATCCCCCGACGGCTTCAGCGGGCGGCTCGAGGTACTTTTCACTTGTCTCTGCCTGCAGGCTCCTGCTAACCGTTCATACAGCTCGACGCCGTCCAAGGTCAACCACAATCAACCCAACGGATCGCGCCGTGCAGATAAGGATAAGCCATGCCGTCTCTTCAGAGACAAAGGTCGGTGCCACTTTGGCAAGAGTTGCAAGTTCTCGCACGATCGATCTCAAGATACAAGTTCGCCTGCAAAGGCACCGCCCGAAATCGACCCCGCTGTGCGACGGAGCGAGGACAAGTTGAGATCCTGGCTGAGACTGCTCAACGCCAACCATGCCCCAAGAAGACGTCCATCTGACATCGAGCGCTTCTTTGAGCTGGCGCTTGAACTTATGGACGGCGACCTCGGCGCTTCGCAAGAAACCATCAGGAAACTTTCTACAGATCTCGGACTCGAGTTCATCAAAGACGTTGCGGAGCGAAGCATCCCTGACGCTGTTGATTTCCCAACCAAGATCGATCTTTGGCAGTCTCAAGTCAGACGGCTCTTCGATCTTATCACTCATTCACGACTCGTTGACTCCAACGTACTAGAGCAAGAGGTGGCGATGATTCATGGCTTCATCCTGGGTGTCAACGCCACTCGTGCGGCCAAGTTGTTCGACTTCGTGGTGGACATTGCTAAGGCCTTTCGAGAACGCGATGAGGACGAGAAGTTGATGGCTGTTCTCGAGCCGTCACTTGCGGTGCTTTTCAGACTTGTCGACTGCAACACCATGAACATTGTCAACGACACCTTTCATCGTCTTGTCGACCAGTTCGATGGCCTTATCGCCAAGTCATCCCAGCCCGTTGACAGCATGTCCAAGCTGCAAGTCTCGAAGTATCTCGACTATCTACATCGCCGCCTGGGCGTTGGTAAGGACATGGCGGAGGCTAAGGACAAGAAGCCAGCTGTGGTCCGCGCTGAGGAGTTCGTCTTGATGCAGGACCTACCCGGGCAGCTTTCTCGGGACGGGCCTCGCCACGACAATGACCATGCCGAAATATCCAAGATCAAGATCATGCCGACGTATCAAGAGATCACGGCCACAAGGAACGAGTACCTTCCTACAACCGATCCCTCCCAGTGGCATCTACAAGGCATTCGCGGCCGAGTTGACCGAGAGTTCCGGCTGCTGAGGGAAGACACCGTCGGTCAACTGCGAGATGCTGTCGGCGAAATGCTTGCGCGTCTTCGCAACCCTGGCAGGCAAGAACATCGCATGTCACAGAACAGCGCCCGCACCACTACTTATGATGATGCAACAGTCCATGGCCTGAGGCTGGACAAAGACAGGGGACTGGAAGTGACCATCAGGTGCCGGCAGCCTGATGTCGCCCGAAAAATGAACAACATGCAGAGGCAGCTCTGGTGGGAAGAAAGCAAGAAGCTCCAGCCTGGAGCATTGGCTTGTGTGCTCGATGTTGCTGGCATGATCCTGTTCTTGGTAGTCGCTGACTCGACGTTGAGAACCAGTAAAGACGCGCCCAAGAACGGCCGTACTGGTCCAGTCACGGCCGAAGCAGATGCTCAGAGCACAGCAAAGCTCACACTCTCATCGGACAAAGACCACCTCTATGTGAATGTGCATCTCGTCGGAAGATCCAATGGAGATGTCACCCGCGTGTTGGCGTGGTTTCGAGAGATTGGAAATGCTCCAAACAAACGTTTGGTGGAGTTCCCTGGTGTGCTGCTACCTTCATTCCAATACACCCTTGAGGCCCTTCAACAGCTGTCCCGCAAGCCGGACATACCATTCACGGATCTCATCGCTCCTGAAACTTCAATTCCGGCAGAAAGCGTCACGGTTCCACCACCACTTTTTGCGCGAGCACCGGCCTTTACATTCGATCTGAAGTGCATCACGGTGGACCACAAAGAGTTCTCCATTGACATCAACAATTTGCCCCCAGTGGAAAAGGTGACATCGAGAACAGGTCTTGATGCAACACAATCCGAGGCTCTACTCAACACTGTCTCGCGTGAAGTTTCACTAATGTGAGTACATGAAAATGTTAAACAGTTGCTTTGCTTCAGCCTGGTTGGTTTCAAGCCACTGACATTTACTACAGACAAGGCCCACCCGGCACAGGCAAATCCTTCACTGGCGAGAAGGTCCTCAAAGTCATCCTTTCGAACAAGCAAAAGGCAAAGTTGGGACCAGTGATATGCGTCTGCTACACCAACCATGCCCTCGATCAACTGCTTGAGCACCTACTTGACGACGGCATCAAGGGAATTATTCGAATGGGCTCGCGATCCAAGTCCGAGCGACTAGAGAAACTCAACATCAGAGTCGTTCAAGACGAAATGCCCCTGACGAAGGCTGAGAAGCAACAGAAGTTCAGTTACGTCAATCTCATGAGGCTTCTGGAGAATGAGGCAGCAGGATTATTATGTGATTTATCGCGTTGTGGCTCACTATTGTCTGTCCGGACGTTTCTGTCCTCTTCGTATCCAGCTCATTTCAAAGAGCTATTTCCGGACCAGGAAGACGGGTGGACAAAAGTGGAGCCAAAAAAGCACGATGTGATTCGAAAATGGCTGCTTGGAGGAAGTGATGTGAGAGTCAATGGGCGAATCCCTTCGCGCCCTATCGGAGATCTCAAGCGTACGTCGCTGGCAGGCATGGGCCAACAGGAACGAACAAGACTTCACAGAGCCTGGGTGCAGGAGATAAGAGATCCCATCATCACCCAACTCGTCGAGACCCTCAGAGAACACGACGAGGCCAGAGAGACCCGTAATCGAGTCCGGCAAGAAGTGCGACTCAGATGTCTACAACAAGCTAACATTGTTGGCGTCACGACCACAGGGCTTGCACGAGAGCTCCACCTTCTGCGGAAGCTCCGCACCAAGGTCATGCTGTGCGAAGAAGCTGGTGAAGTCCTCGAGGCTCACATTCTGACGGCCATGTTGCCTTCCGTGGAGCAGGCAATACTTATCGGCGATCATGAGCAGCTGCGGCCCCAGATTCAGAATTACCAGCTGCAGAGCACGAACCCGAACGGACGCCAATACTCACTGGATATGTCCCTGTTCGAGCGCCTCGTCCAGCCGCCACTCCCAACCGATCTCAGGCTCCCCGTCAGCCTCTTAGATACCCAGAGACGCATGCATCCGTCTATTGCGGAAATGATTCGATCCACAATCTACAAGACTCTCAAAGACGCCGGAAATGTGTCCCAGTATCCCGAGGTTGAGGGGATGCGACGTCGGCTGTTTTGGCTCCATCACGAGGTACTCGAAGCGGGGGCCAAAGAGCAAGATCCTCACAACACGTCCCACTCGAACGATCACGAGGTCGAAATGACTGCATGCCTGGTATCTCATATGGTGAGGCAGGGCAAGTACAGCCCGGAAGACATCGCAGTCTTAACACCATACCTCGGCCAGCTCCAAAAGCTTCGCTGGCGACTAGCAAGAGAACCCACGTTTGCCGTCAGCCTCGATGATCGCGATCTTAACCAGCTGGAAGATCTGGAGCTGGCAAAGCCCGAGAGGCCATCACAGCCACCCCACCAGACAGTGTCCAAGACAACTCTTGCAAAGAGCATTAGACTCGCGACAGTTGACAATTTCCAAGGAGAGGAGGCCAAGGTAGTCATCATATCCCTCGTACGCAGCAACCCGCAGAATCGATGCGGCTTCCTCAGCACGTCGAACCGGATCAATGTTCTCCTTTCCCGGGCCAAGCATGGCTGCTACATCATTGGCAACTCCAATACGTACCGCAACGTACCAATGTGGAACCAGATCATCCAACTGCTCCAGGCAAACAACAACATTGGGGACCAGCTTGAGCTTCAGTGCCCTCGCCATCTCGACACACCCATCCTTGTGTCCCAGCCTGATGACTTCGCCATGCTTTCTCCCGAGGCCGGCTGCACCTTGCCTTGCGACCGTCGGCTAGAGTGCGGCCATGCCTGCTATGGCCGGTGTCATTCTGATCTCGTTCACAAGGCCGTCAAATGCATCGCAGAGTGCCCTCGGACCAAGAAGGGTTGTAATCATGCCTGCCCACTGCAGTGTGGCGACCCATGCCACGACAAGTGTCACTTCACATTGAAAGACATCAACTTGGAGCTTCCTTGTGGCCACATCCTGAAGACGGCCGAATGCTGGCAGGTTCAAGACCCTGCTACCGTTGCCTGTGGAGTGCACGTGCAGAAAAAGGTGCCCGGATGCGAGCATACTGTTGTGGTTCCTTGCCGCGTGGATGTCACCATCGCGACGTTCAAGTGCGTGGCCGAGTGTGGGCAGCATCTCCCATGCGGCCACACCTGCCACAGCGCGTGCTGGAATTGCAACACGCGCAAAGAGGGTCAGATCACACAGGCCAATCATGGGTTCTGCAAACAAGTCTGCGACCGAAACTTTACAGCCTGTCAACATACATGCCAGCAGCTCTGCCACGGCGACTCAAAGTGTGGTCCTTGTGCCAAGCCGTGCGAGGCACGCTGCAGTCACTCCAGGTGCAGCAAGCTATGCCACGAGCCGTGCGCACCATGCGCCGAGCAGGTGTGTGCCTCGCGCTGCCCTCATGGCGAGTGCAGCATGCCATGCGCCGCACCCTGCGACTGGGTCCCCTGCTCGAAGCGCTGCACGCTGGCGTTGAGCTGTGGCCACCAGTGTCCGTCTCTCTGCGGCGAGGCCTGTCCCAAAGCGCGTTTCTGCCAGGTCTGTGGCTCTCAGGATGTCCTTTCCACTGTCGTCGACTTGCTCGAGATGAAGGAGTACCGGGAGATCGCCCTCGACGAAACCCCTTGTATCTTCCCTGACTGCGGCCATTTCCTCACCCTGGAATCTATGGATGGGCAGATGAGCATGCGCGAGCATTATGAGCTGGACGAGAACGACATCCCGGTGGGAATTCTGGCTGCCACGAAGCCGTTCTCCATGGACGAGGTCAAAGTCTGCTCGACGTGTCGCGGCTCTCTTCGGAGTATCTCACGATACGGCAGGATCGTCCGTCGGGCGATGCTTGACGAGGCCACCAAGAAGTTCATCTCGTGGTCAGCGTCCCGCCATTTTGAGCTGGTGGAGGTTCTCATGAAGCAAGAGCAGAAGCTGGAGGAAACCCTTGACCAGGTGAAAGATGTCGGTCGAGCTGGCCAGCTCGCGCTGACTGGTGATATAGTCGACCAAATCATCAATTTGCGAAACTGGGTCGGCCAGAAGCGATACAGTGGGCTGATGCAGACGTACCTCAGCATCAGCAAATTTGTTGCTCAGGTCAGCGTGGAGGAGCAGCCCTTCCACAGGGTTTTCGAGTTTGTGAGCCATGCGAGAAGGCACAAGACCACCGGTGGCGCGTTGCTTTATGACCCGGACATCATTCAGCTCCGGGGATACCTGCTTGCACTTTCACTGCAGCTCAAGTGCAGCATCGCCATTCTTTCTGACTTTTCGAGCCTCTGCAAGGCTGCTAAGTCACGCCAAACAAAGGTTATTGTCGATTTCGCCGCCAACTTCGGCCTCTGCGACAAACTCATCCAAGGCGCTGTCGAGACGAGTCGCCCTCAGCTTGAGGCTGAGGGCCACATCTACTCTACCCAGTTCTGTGTTTTCGCTCTATCTCTAAGCGCTGCTGATGAAGCCTCGGTCCCCGATCATGCCGCCGAAGGAGAGAAAGCGGCCGCGGGTGACACCAAGCAACCCAAGGAAACCCACTACGAGTATCACAAGAACAAGGGCCTCGATCACCTCTCCCGGGCCCGCGGACTTCTTGGCTCCGCCAACGCAGAGACCAGAAAGGTGATGGAGGCTGAGATCGCAGCTGCCGAGACCGTCCTCAACGGGGGCGTCTTCTACCGCCCCATTACCACCGACGAGATGCGTGCCGTGTACAACGCGATGGCGGCTGAGTTCAGCGGCACAGGCCACTGGTACACGTGTGAGCGTGGTCACCCTTTTACCGTGGGCGAGTGCGGTATGCCCATGCAGCAGGCGCGTTGTCCGGAGTGTGGGTCGCCTGTTGGTGGGCAGAATCATGCCCCTGCTGAGGGTGTCAGAAGGGCCGATGGAATTGAGGAAATCGCTAGGGGAATGGGCGGTCTTGGTATTTGAGTTGAGGGTGTGAGTGGTTGGAAAAAGTATCGGAACTCGATGTTTGTGTTTTTGGTGTGGCTGACGGTCGTGTGCCCTACGTTTGTGGCTCAAGGTCTGTTTCATTTACCTCGGTAGGCTACTACTGATGGTCCGGTCGACCAATTGAGGATCTGACCGTGTATTTTCGGTGTGCAAATAGTTGAAAAGGGGTTTCCCCTCATGATCCTCTTCGAACAGTTCTCAACTGCCTTACAGTGTTTGTAATTGTGTTTGTGAAATGTCTGCAGCACTCAATTACTGACTCATGTTTCACCAGGCGGTCTGTTTAACTCCCAACGGGCGTCCGTAAAGCTCCTACTTAAACAGATATCTTCCTTCTCGATACTCCAATCATCCAATAGAAATAGATCTGCATCCAAAGTGGTACCCATGCACAACCGTTAGATTGCCGGTTGATGGCTCTTGTGCCGCGGCTTCGGAGTGTCGGAGAACAGCTGGCAATGGTTCACATCAAAGTAGAAAAGAAATGGAACGGCAAAAAGGGGCCAGGAGAAGCTGCCCAGCATCAGGAGACCTCGGGTGGTCGAGCTGCTAGCCATGTGTACATTAATCATAGCAGCTTCTAGTACTTTTCGTGGAGAAATCCACATAGGCAGAATTTGTGGAAACATTTGAAGTTAACATTGTTTGAATGCCTTTCAATAATCACTTGAAGCTTTTCTACGCGATGATAGTGCGGCATCGCATTATCTTCGTAATTTCATAGCCTGGCCCCATCCACTCCCCTTAAGTGGTTACCCGTGGGCTTCGGCTTCCACTTACCCACTCCTGGTGGAGTGGGTAATAAAACCCCGCAACGGCTAAAATTATATAATACCTATATATTCTTTTATTAGGTAGGGAACCTATTAAAACTTAAATTTTAGATATAATATCTACTATATACTATCTATATATTTAAGTTTTTAATATAAATACTTTATTTAAATAATTAGAGGTTATTTATATAGTTTAATTATATTTAATTTAGTTTAATTATAATATTTATTAGCTTTATTATTAATATTTATATATAATATATATATTAGCTATTTAATTAGTTAGTATATTTTAAAGTATATTAAAAGTTATATTAAAGGTATTTAATTATTAAATTATAATTAAGGAATATTTATAATTTTATATATATAAAAATAAGGTTAAAATAGTATAGAAGATATTTTTAATATTTAATAAAAGTAATATAAGTAGAAATACTTTAAGAAAAGGTTTATTTAAAGTTTAAGTTAAAGAAATTTATAAAGATTTTAATTTAAGTTTTTATAGAGATTACTTAAAGGATTTTATAAGACTTTTCTATTATATTAAGTTTTTAATATTATTAGTTATATAAATTTATTTATATAGTTTTTAATTATTTTTCTTTTTATGGTTATAGGAGGAGGGTATTTTAATATAGTATATTTAATTGTTTTTAATAGTAGTTTTAGTTTAATTATTTTTATAATAGTTAATTAAGTTAATTTTTTTATTATTTAAGGTAATAATTATTAATTAAAGATTTATATTTTTTTATTTTATTAGTTAATATTTAAAATTAAGGAGATTATTAGTTAAGTTAGTTAAATTAAAGTATAAAATATATAAAGTTATTATTTATAATATAAACTTTTTTTAACTATTTAAAAGATTACTAAACTTATTATTAATTAGTTAATTTAAGTATATAGAATAATAATAAGTATAGTAATATAATTAATAAGTTAAATAGTTATTTTATTATTATTATAATTTATAAATAATTAAATAAAAATATTAAGGTTTATAATTTAAATAATTATAAGTTTATAATCTTTATAGGTATTAATAGTATTATTAATAAAATTATTTTTATATATTATATATTTAAAGTTTAGTTAAATTATTATTTTATTAAAGTATAATTTAATAAAAGTTTAATTTATTTAATTAAATATAGGATTTTTAATAGTAAGATTATATTTAATTAGTTTTATTATTTTAATTAATATTTTTTAGTTATTATATTAGTTTTAAGTATTAAAATGTTATTTTAGAGGAGTAGTTTAATATTAATTATCTTTTTATTTTAATTAGTAGGAGGAGGAGAACCTATTTAAGATAGTATAGGGTATATAGACTTTTAAAGGTATAATTTAGTAAGTGTTTTTTAATAGCTTTATTAGTTATTATAATATTAAAGTTATTATATATACTTATTAATTTAATATATTTTTATTTTTATTATTATATTTAATTTATAAGTTTTAATTTATAGATATTAGAGTTTTTAATATTTAAAAAGAAGTATTAGAATATATTTTAATAAATAATTTAAAAGGATTATTTTATAATTTTTATAAGGATTTTATTTATAAGGTATTTAGCCTAATAGTTAATATAGTATTTATATTTAGGTATATTATATATAGCTTTAAGAAAATTAGTCTTTAATTATTTAAATAGTAAGTTATATTAAATAAATTAATAATTTATAATATAAAGTTTTTATATTATTATATTTAAATTTATTATTAAATTAATTAAAATGTACTTAATTTAAGGAGTTTAGATATTAAAATATATAATTATATATTATAAGTACTTTTTAGTAATAATATTTAAAGGATTAATTATTATTTTATTAATAGTTTTAAGTTTATTATTTATAAAAATAACTTAATTAATTTAGTTTTAATTAATTAGTAATATTTAAGTATTATTATAGGAAATAATAGTTTATTAGGAAGGACTATAAACCTAATAGAGATATAATTATATTTATTTAATTAGGAGAACTTTATATTAAAGTAGTAACTTTTAAATAAGAAAAAGAAATTAATAAAAAAGAAATAATTATAAATTATTAATTAATTATATATTTAAAAAATAAGGTTAAGTTATTATTTATTTAAAGTATATTATAACTTTATATAGATTATTAAAAGGCTATTAAGTATAAGTATAATAAAAGTTAATTATAAGGAAAGTATAGTTTAAATTTTATTATTTAGTTAAATAGGAAAAGAATTAAGTTTGGTTGGTAAAGAGAAGTTATATAAGGTTATTTATAATAGTTTAAAGTAGTTATAAGTTAAGACCTTTATATAGTTTAAGGATATTCTATTATAGTTTAAATTAAAGATTAAATTTAAATTAAATAAAAATAGTTATATTTATTTTAATTATATTAATAAGTTTAAATTATTTTATTTAGTTATTAGTTTAACTTAATTATTAGTTTAGTGGAATTTAGATTTAATAAAGGGTATTTTAATTAAGAAAGAATAAATATTTTAAATATTTTATTTATAGGGTAGTTTGATTAAATTTAATTATAGTAATTATAGTAGTGATAGTGTATTTAGTTTAGTTAAAAGAGTAAGGCTATTAATAGTATAGATTATTGTTTAGGTATATTAATAGATTAATTTAATATATTTTTATTATTATTATTTATATAGGTTTATTAAAGTCCTTTAAAATATATAAATAAAATAGTGGTTAATAATCCTTTAGTTTAGTTAGTAGAGTATTTATATTTAGTTTAATTACTATTTTATAACTTATATATTTTATAGGAGGTTATTAGTTTAATTTTAATAAAGATTATATATTTTTTTTATTTAAAATTAATTTAAAATAGTTAATATAACCTCTTTTTTATTAAATTAAATATATATAGGATGTTAATAATAAAGGTAATAGATTGTTATATTTAAAATCTAAGTTTTAATAAGTTTTCTATTTAATAAAAGAATATATGAGTATTATATAATTTTAGCTGTTATGGAATTTTAGTACCCCTTATACTAAAAGTGTAGGGGGGTAGGGAAGGCCTGCCCCCCGGGTATAGTTTTATTTTTAATCCCTATATATATAAAATATATATAACACCTTTATATAATAATAAATACTTAAAATCTAATATTTAAAGAAATATAATACTAATAATAATAAAAAGAGAATATAATATATTTATAAGTATATAGTTAAGCTTTATACTATATAAATAAAGTTAAAAAGTATTACTTTTAATAATATTATATTAAAATTATTAATATAAATAATTTAAAAACTAATAGTTAATAAAATAGTTATATAATAAAATTAAAATAATTTTAAAATAACCTTTATAAAAAAGAATCTTATAATATAAAACTTAATAAACTAGCTTTTCCTATTAATATATTCATTATATAGTTATTTAAATCTACCTTTATTAAGTAAATTAAATATATTATAATCTCTATCCTAAATATATAGCTATTAATAGAATAATAATATTATAATAATAAATTTATTTAAAAACCTTCTTATATAAACTTTATAAAAGATTAAAACTTTTTTAAAAAATTAAATAAAATTTATTTACTATATATTAAATAAATACTATATAAGAAAAGTAAAAGTCTAAATATTTAAAAATTCAATCTTCCTCCTTTAAATATATTACTTTATTATTAAAAATTTATCTACTTTTATATAATATATAAGGAATATAGTAGAAAAAAAAGCCCTATAGAGGAAGTTAGTAACTCTATATATAGATAAATTTAAAGGTATATACTAAGTAATTATTAACTTTATACTTAAGGTATAAACTAATAGTTAGTCTAAAAGCCGAGAAGACGATAAATAAACAAACAGTTGAACAAAAAATACAATGTGGCCGAAGCCCCACTCCCCTTAAACGAGCCACGCTCTCTACCATTCCTTCTCTTGCCGGAGACATGCTGAATGGCTACCGCCTTTAAGACACATTAGGTTCAGTCTGCCTTCCATCGCGAGTTTTGTTGCCGGCACCGCGGATCAATTAACTAGCTCGTTGCAGTGTTGATAATCTTTTTGAGCTTCCCGTGTCAGCTGGGTCTTTCAACGCCGGATCCCACCGGGCCTAGAAATTTGCTAAAAATTGCTGCAGAAGAGGTAAACGCGAAATGGACAGCAGAAGATGAGATCCAGAACTTGCACCACCAGCACCACCGCTAAGTAGACCATGGCGATCACGAACTCTGCCGCTATCCACACCGGGGCGATGATGAGACCGCCAACGATCACGGCTGGCCGGATCAGAGCATTTCCGAACTTCTTCGCCTTGCGCTTGAATGCGGTTCGCCTGGCAGCCCACTTCTCCTTCCGCTCAGCCCGCCTGGCGGTCTTTTCCTGCTGTTTGGTCGTGTTGGGGCTGATGGTCTGGGAGAGTTGCTGCTTCTCGTTGCTGTCATGTTGGGGCTCCATGGTTTCGCACTGTCTAATCTCGTCATCCTGTTGGTGCAGTGCGTCAGAGCCCAGGTTCACGGTTTTAGTCTGCTCGGGCTGGTTGGTCTGCCTAGGCTGGTTGGTCCGCCAAGGCGTGTTGGTCTCCCTAGGCTGGTTGGCCTCCCTGGACTTTTTGGTCTGCTGAGGCTCGCTGGTCTGCTCAGGATCGGAGGCCTGCTCATGCTTTGCGTCCGTCTCGCTCTGTTTTTCTGCGGGCCTTTCGTTGTAAGTCTGGGGATTCGCCTCCTTGAGCTTGGGATCGAGGTTGTTGGTGAGCTTCTTGAGGATGCTGGCGTTGTTGGAGGCAGACATGGTTAAGATTTTGTTTTGTCGATGACGAAAACTGGAACGGTTGTTTCTCGGGCGCTCAGAAAGGCTCGGAATATTGAAAGAAGACTTGCGATGAGACTGTCTGACTGTTTCTGTCGAGTTGACGATATGCTGATTTCCAGTTGACAATTCTCGAATGGAACTCAGTTGAGAGCTGGCGGTTCTGCACCTGTGCAGTCAGGGCAATGTGACAAGTAGATGACGAAAGGGGAAGACGATGCACGATCTACAACTCAAAGACTGCGTGTGTTGTAGATGGAGGTGTAGAACGAGGCTATTTATAATTCTTGACAGGTAACCAAGGACTCAATTTGTGCACAACTGAGCGTTACCAATGAATGGCGGTCGGGTGACGGTCGCAAGTGAAGTGGAAATACATGATGGGGATAAGTGAATAGTTAGAGGAAAGGAAAAAGGTGCATAGCTCCTGCATGCAATTCCTACTGTCAAGCCAGAGTCCACCCTGCATTCATGACGAGAGTGGTGTACTTTTGAGGTCTTCAACAGGCCCTTTGTCCCGCCACAACCTCGAAAGATGTCCTGGGGTCAGAAAGAAAGGGCTCTGTCTTGTTGGTCCACGAGTCTTGTTGGTCTGTGAATTGAAAACCAACAATGGTTCCAACTGCAATGATATGTCCAAGAAGAGTACTGTGAAACGTTCCTCGTTCAAGAGGCGTTCAAGTTCAATGTGGCTGAGTTGGTCACGGAGAACAATGTCCAACGACTTTTTCAGGGCCACCTGATTGGTAGAAAAATTAAACATCGTCGTCAACTGTGCAAGTAGAAATATTGTGGGCGGGAACATACAATAAAGATAATAGCTCTGAAATCATCTGAAGTATGATTTCTCGCCGCAACTTCCTATTCACGGCCATTTGGTGCAGCAGTGTAAACGGTGTTGATGAGGACTTATTGCAAGACCGCAGCTTCTAAAAGTCCATGAATGCGCCGCCATGGGTCTCGAGCAGCAGGGTGAGGTCAAATGGCAATCACGTAAGAAAGAGCTCAATGTAGCCTTTCGGACTTCTTGCCCAAGTGCTCGTGCTATTCGCTAGAAACAGCTACCGGAATGACAACGGGTACTCTGAGGATATCACTCTGATGCACAGCCTGGTAATGATCGTTTATGTTTGACGCGTAGAGCCGCCAAACATGTAAGCCAGAAACCTTAAGAACACACTCACTGAGCAGCTATGTGGACATCGGGTCATTGTGTCCTTGGATGAAGCCGTATCTCCGAAACGTTATTCCCCAAATCCCACGTCCCACTGGCCACAACTCAGCTTGCCAACTCACATCCTTCTCTCACCAGTGCAGACTGTAACAAACAATCGTAGACATATGTAAGTAGGCAAAGAGTAATGAGACTTTATCACGGTTGAAATCATCAGCCGAAATTGGCTACTGCTGATTCATTGACGGCTGCTCGTCGTCCACTCCGCCAAATGAGAACTGAAAGCCGAATGAGCATACTACTAGAAGCAGTTGTTATATTAGCGCTCCAGTAAATTAAGATATATTTTATTAAATTAATAAACTATTAATATAATAAAATATTTAAAGAATAAATAAATAAGAGAACGGATATTCGCACAGGAAAAAACGGCTAGTACACAGGTACAAATCCCCCCCTAATGTACCGACCTTAATTTACACCACCCACTCACCATATAAAATACAAATTAATACTCATTAATAGGTATATATATCCTTATCAGCCCTTAATTTCTAATCCTCTTATCATCACTTCTAGTCTAGTAGTTTACTACTTCTTTCCTCCTTACTACCTAGGGTGTTCTACACTATAATCTCCTCCTAAGTCTCCTTTTTATTACTAATAAAGTCCTCTATATTAATAGTCCTATAAGCCCTTATATTAATAGAACTTCTAGCAAGGAGGGCTTTTAGTAAGAGAGTTTTATTTAATAGGTAAAGGAGAATTAGTAAGTCTATATAAAAGGCATAAAAAGTACTTCGTATAGGTGGTGTGTGTAGTTAGGGGGGTTGAATAAAACCCTCTAATTAGCTATAGCCCTAAAGGAAACATTGTACCTATATACTAGCCGTTTTTTCCTATGCGAATATCCGTTCTTATAAATAATTTTAAATCTTTAAAAATATATTTATTAATTTATATATATTAAATTTAAGTAGTTTATAATTTAAAAGGTTATTTCTTAGAAGGTTATTATATAGGAGTCTTAAAGTTAAGAGATTAGAAGTTAGGAGATTAGAAGTTATAAGGTTAGAGGTTAGGAGGTTGGAGGTTAAGAGCTGGGAGGTTGAGAGTTGGGAGGTGAAGTGCTGGGAGGTTGGGAGGTTGTGAGGTTGGGAGGTTGCGAGGTTGTGAGGTTAAGAGGTGGGAGGTTAAGAGGTGGGAGGTTAAGAGGATAGGAGATAGGAACTCAAGTGGTATGAAAATACATACTACTAGAAGCAGTCGTCGTATTGGCGCTCCGGGCATCAGACCATCCGGAGAACTGTGCGTTGGGATCGCCGACGTGTTGTAGGTAGCCGGAGCGATTCACTGCGTCATCCATGCGTTAGCAAGGAGGCTCTCTACTCAAAAGCCATAATGAAGTAGTCTTGGGTTGGTGCTCACCATTAATCAGACAACCACCAGATGCATAAAATTATCGGCTTGTAGAGGAAGTCCAGTAACTCGCAGAGGCAATCCAGTATGTCACAGATGATGTCTCCCTCCTTCTCGACTTGGATATGCCAGTCAAGGGGACCCTGCTCGTTGCGCCGTTCTTTCTTTTGTGTGCGGCCGTTGTCGACTTTATCGTTGACTGGGGCACGTTGTCTCAGCATCCACTTTGGGTGCTGCGTGTTCGTCAATGCCGCTTCGGCCTTTGCTCCCTGGGACAGGCTTCTACTCTTCCGTTGAGGCATCGTTGGCACATCTCCTGCCAAGCTCGACTATTAGCCCTTAGGCTACTTATATCGACGATTCTGGTGTGGCACCGTTAGGAGCGATGCCTTCTAGCCTTATCTATGCGGTACAAGGCTTAGCCACATAGCCACAGATATACTATATTCTCTTATTACTATTATTAGTACTATATTTCTTTTAACACTAGGTTTTAAGTATTTACTACTATATAAAGGCGCTATATATATTTTATATATATAGGGATTAAAAATAAAACTATATACTTAAAAGGGGGGGTACTAAGACGGTCTTTATAACTTATAATAAAAGAAGACTTAAATTATCTATAAAGAATTATTAATTTAAAGCTAGAGTTACCTAAGGAATAATATAGGGGAAGTAGTAAAGCTATAATCCTATAGTTACTAGCCCTAACGTCCCTAGCCCACATTCTAATAGTCCCCTAAATCTAATTACCTCCTCTTTTAACTACCCCTTTACCTTAACCCTATTTATACTACTACTATAATTTTATTCTTTTTAATAGTTAAAATTTTTAATTAGTTATCTTTATTATTTTTTTTAAATATCTATTTAACTTTAATTTAAGCTTATTAAATTACTTTAATATTTATAAATAACTTATTTAAGTTAAATTAAACCTTTTTTTTTTAAATTACTTTATTAACTTTTAACTAATATTTTAATTTTTAAACTTTTTTTATAAATATTATTAAATTAATATTTTTAATTTTAATTTTTAAAATCTTATAAAAGAGAAGTTATTATATAAAGTTTAAGTATTTATTATAAATATATTTAATTATTATATTATATAATTTTATAATTATTTAAAGATTTTAAAATAATCCTTTAAAATTAAAAATACTATTTAATATAAAAATATATATTATTTTATTTAATAATAGCTTTTTTATCTTTTATTTTAATAATTTATTAATTTTTAATAAAGTATATATTAAAGGCTTTATATTTAAAAGTAATTATAAACTAATTATTTACTATTTAAATTAAATATTTAATTTTATAAAAGTTTTAATATATACTTTATAATAATAATAAAGAAACCTTTTTTATAATTATTAATAAAAGTTATAATTATTTTAATATTATAAATATTATTTAAAAATAGTTTTAAATAAATTAAAAATTAATATATTAAATAGTTAAAATATATATAAATTAATAGCTAATAAAAGATAATATAAATATTATTTAAAAATATTCTTATAAAAATTAACTATAATATATATATAATATCTATTAATTATAAAAGGTATTATTTAAATAGGTTTTAATATAATTTAAAAGAAAAAACTTTTTTAATTACTTAATTATAATAAGCTCTTTTATTTAACTTTTTTATTATTATAAACTATTAATTTATATAATCCTTAAAAATTATAAGAAATTATTACTATTATATATTTAATTCTTTAAAAATAATAAAAAGTTTAAAAATTTATTTATAATAAATATATATTTTATAAAAAAGGTTTATATATATAAATTAAAATCTTTTAAAATAACTTATTATTTTTAAATAACTAATTATAAATATTATTTTAAACTTCTTTTTATTAATCTTTTTTATTAATATTTTAATAATTATTTAATTTAATAATTTTTATAATAAATAATTATATTAAATTAAACTATATAAATATATTCTTTTTATTACTATTTTTAATTATTTTATTTTAATCTATTAATATTTATAGCTTTTAAAAATAAAATAATAAATTAAAAAGCCTTTAACTATTTCCTTTTAATAAAGGGTGTTAAAAAGGAGGAAGCTATTTAACTTATTAGAGTTTATATTTCCTAATAGATTAAAATATACTTTAAACTATTTTAATTAATTAAAAATAATATTAATTAATCTTTTAAATATTAAAAAAGTTAATAAAATTTATAAATAATAAATCTACTTTATATATTAAAAAAATAATTATAAAGTATAATATATAAAATATATTAAGTTTTAAAAACTTTTTATATAGGTATTTTATTTCTAACTATTATAAATATATTATAAATCTTTTTTTCCTTATACTTCTTTATAATAATTAGGATAATGTTTAAAGAAAGTTTAATAATTAAAAAAAAATTCCTTATAAAGTTATAGGGGGGTATAGATAGGGTAGGGATAAACGTGTATATATATAAATATAGATATAGGGTGGTCGGATTTAGGGGACTGTCGGAATGTGGGCTGGGGACGTTAGTAAGGCTGAGGCTAGTACGGAGTAGCTACTACTAGTGGCGGCCTAAATCGATTCCCAGCAACAATCAGCAGACCAAGGGCATATAAATATCCCTCATCGACTACCGAAATCAATCAAGCACCTAGGAACTCTCCACATCCGCATCTTCAGCCAAGTACGACCTGCACAAACTCGAGTTCCGTTCGCAGGCCAAAATGGCACAGTTCCATCCTTTTCCCGGCCTCCCAAAGGAATTGCGGGATCAAATCTGGGATATGGTGATTCGCGACGATAATCCAGGGGTCCACTACTTCACCATCTACAGTACCAATAAAGACCCCGAATCCGTCGTTGACCCAGCCAAGAAGGTCCACGCCATACGATCCTCTGACGCGCACTACGACGCGCACTACTCTATCGGCTTCGCAGCTCCTCGGTGCCGAGCAAGTGGCCAACTCTCATGGACGGATGGGAATATCTCTACGTACCTAACAGATTCAGGCTTATGGACAGCCTGCTTTGAGTCCCGCGAGAGGATGCTACGGTATTTTAAACCTTTAAAAACCAGCCCACAGGCTTCACCTCAACACAAGCCGTTACATAAACACGTAATTTGGGATATATGCAATAAGCCTACAGCCTCAGTAAACATGGAGTTTATTCGTGATAACGGCGAGCACCAAACCCTAACAATACAACCATCGGCGGATTTAATCATCCTTCAGCTACCCGAAAACTCTAACATCTCATGGGATGACTCTAGACATTGGGAAGGGATTCAACACTTCCCCTCGTTTAGGTGGCATACTACTGGCAACCCTGGGAACGAAGGGCACTGGATTTCATCAGTCATCAACAACGTTGCCGTCGAGTACAACCCGGCATGGGCGGTATATAATGAATTGGGATTCTGGTCATGCAACGATGCCACTTTCGGCTTCGACTACGTCAACGATTTACACGGCCTCGAAGCGTTTTGGATTATTGACTACAGTCTAAAGCGCAAGTTCAAGGCTGAGTATGCCCACAGCAGACGGCAGACCTTTCGCGCTGGCAGATTGACGTTCATCGAAGTTAATTCGGGGGATGAGGAATGGTGCTGCTGCTCCAAGGAAGACCCCCATCCCTTGGAATGCTGTGATCGTGGAGACACAAAATTTTCGGCGCACGCTCTGGCGGACGCCCTGAGAAGATACATCGAGTTGGAAGACAATGAAGAGTGGGGGTTCGATAGATCCCACTCTTATGCTGGAGCTGATGTCGGAGTTCTCGCCTGTGTGAACTTGAAATTGGAGGGGGATTTACCGACATGGGGGGAGTGGTACGGTTTCCCGAAATGAATGTTTAGAGCTGTGCTACCTATGGATTTGTAGTCGAAGAATGCAATCCATCCATTCCAGGCGACCACTAGGATCTAAAGGCGGTGGTTTTTATGGGTTCTGCTGGCACGGGGAGTCGACAGGTCCCCGCGACGCGCGTTGGAAGCCCCTTTCCACATAACAAATGATGATAGTTCCGCAGATCGAGCAAGGGCTGACATCACACGCATTGAATAGCTCAATACTGATTCCACTTCAATGAAAAGTACGTCAGAGACATTGGTGACGCGTGCGCGTTCGCAAGGTGTAGTTCAGATACCTTGAAGGGGTATATACGAGGAAGAAAGGTTTGTTTGAAATTTGGGAAGGAATATTCAGAGATACTTTTACGCAGTCGTCTACTTCTTTCAGAGGGCCGTGGGCACTGAATTGTGAAGTTTGATGCCAAATATCCCAAGGGACGTTTTCTTTTGGGAGGTACAACAGCCGGGCAATGGCGACTTTCAAACCGGCTTCCCAATATGCAGCTGGAGACGGACAAGCACTCGCATTGTCGTGACAAAGACGCCATGGTGCTAGTCCGAAATGGTTCGCAGTCTCGGCTCTTGAGTCCATGCAGGCTACAAAGGGTAACGTCTTGCAGGGGACTCGGCGGCGCGATACGGTTGGCGGCGGGTCACGACCGCGCGGACAGCTCGTCATCGAGGTGAAGGCCAACATGGTGACTGGCACTCCCGGACATTGTATGCCACAGCATTTCTGTAGCATTCGAGGCTAGAACAAGGGCAGAAATTGTGGATGACATGTCTACCTCTGGTGTTACGGACCCTCGATGGTGTCCATAGTATATAATGCAAACTGGGTCAGTCAGTCAACGGTGTTTGTGCCAGACTCGGATGTCGAATGTAAAGAGTGAGGGTCTGACAGCGGTTGTGTCTACAGGCAGATCGTGTCCTCCGGGGTTACCGGTGACAAGGTCCAAGTGTCGACGGCCCGCAGCCGTGTGTCGAGTGATTATAGTCGAGCTCGTGAGGGTGGGATTGGAATGGGGGGCAGTCTTTAGAATCGTTATTAGCGTTGTTCACCATAAGGGCGTTGGGGATACTTGTCGAATAAATTGCGTCTCCGCGCTTGCCTGGCCTATTACAAGGCCAGCCCAGGCGATCACCACGAGGAGGTGCGGAGTCCGACTTCGTCGCCCAACCGAGATCAAACCCACAGGTTGATCCGGCCGATGCCTGGGCTCCAAACCACAGGCTATCGTCACAAAACTTACCGAGAGATTCGCCGATTCCTGTGTCCGAAACAACAGTCTATCGCCTCTCTCATAACCTCACCGAGAGATTCGCCGATTCCTGTGTCCGAAACAACAGTCTATCGCCTCTCCCATTGTCAACTCGGGGATGCTCAGGCCCGAAGCCGTGAGCCATCCCAGCATTCAGCCGATCCCCGGGTCCGAAACCACGGTCCATCGTCTATGCTCTCCTCTCACCTAGTTAGGGAGAATGCTGTCCCACTTGCCCTCCTTGTACGGGCTGGGTGGTGGGCTTCGGCCGCCCTCGCCGATCTTCTTCTTCTGCTTCCTCTTAGCTTGATCATCGAGCTCTTGCAGCTCCTTTACGGTGCAATAAGTCTGCTAATTATAATCGAAATTAGTAGACCTAATGAAACAAGGGAAGAGGCGCAAAAGAAAGAATACCCTAATAGAACTGAGAGAAGTATGAGTCTCAACGACACTAAAGGGGCAAATGCATATTCAACTATGGGCGTTTCGTGGCAAAAGGGTATCTCTTACCATAAAGCCCCAATCAATAAACCGCAATTAACCCAAATGACCTGACAGACCGCCAAGACACATGCATTCTGTCTCACAAGGCTTGCCCTGCCCTGCCCTGCCGTACCTAAGTAGTTTGATAAGCTCAGCTCAAAACAACGGTTTCTACACATCCGTGATAACGCCATCGCGGATCTTTAAGTTGCGTGACAGGTCAGACAGTATTCACGCAAGAGGAGGGGACATTTAAAATGTTCAGCTCATTGCTGTGTTTTGCTGCAACGGACTACCGGTTTGTCAAAAGGTGCATCTAAAAATACTGCTGATAGCACGCTCAATGTGTCCCCAAACGACACTCCATATCCCATCCATGGCTGATAGTTCGCCTCCAAAATTTTACCCCCCCCCCCTTGCCACACCCTCCACGGATTCTCATCCTCGTCCTCCTCTCCTAACACGGGGAATTCTTCACCAGTGACCGTGGATAGGCAATGCATGATCCGTCTTGCCATCGGTCAAAGGCTAGTGATGTTTTTTTTTTTTTTGGGTGGTCACCTTCAGTCAAAAGGCCACCAGATGCAGATCATCACAGGCGCGCAAAGGCAGCCCAGCACATGGATGATGAACATGACGACTGCGTCTAGCACAAAGCTGACGATGCCAATTGCCATGATGACTGGGGAGAAGACGGTAAAAAGTGCCACCATCCCCGGAGTGACCGCCGCGTCAAGGATCTTCTTGACTTTGATTTTGAAGGCAGTGCGTCGCGTGGCCCACTTGGCCTTGCGAGCCTCCCGTCGAGCCGCCCGCTTCGCCTTCTTGGCTGACTTATTACTGGCTGGGGACGTGATGGCAACGCCGACATCGTCTCCCTCCACGTTGGCTTGAGTGTGCTCAACAAGGGGACCCTCCTCGCTGTACCGCACCTTCTTTCTTGGGCGGCCAGCATCGATTTCGTCAGTGATGGAAGCACGTCGCTTCAACATCCGCCTGGTGTGCACCGTCGTCACCTTGCCTGGTTTCGGCAGAAGTCTCATCCTCTGTTGAACCAGTGAAGATGAACCTGTTCCAGAGCCAGAGGAAATGACGGGTCTCTGGGACTCGGCCGCGGTCAGAGCCTTGGTAATGGCAGACTCGCCATTGGTAGACTTGACGACAGCAGACTTGGCGATGTCTATGTCGTCGATGATAGTAGTCTCGACGGCGTCGCGCTTGGGAACGGCAGTCGCCTCATTGTGTTTGTCAGACTTGACGACAGTAGACTTGATGATAGCTACGTTGTCAATGGTAGTAGTCTTGGCGATAGTCGCCTCATTGTTTTGTGCAACCTCGCTGATGCCGCCAGCCGCCGTGTTGTTGACGGCATTGTTGGTCTCGCCAGCCTTGGGTTTGAAAACCTTGCCCTTGATGCTCTGCAGCTGGGCGCGGACCTTGGCGTTGAACTTGCTCGAGATGGATTTCAGATGAGTGAATGCCATCTTGATGGAGTTGTATTGCTTTAGTCACACAAGATTGTACTGATGGTGTTGATGGTCAAGCAAATGCAGACACTATCAGAGGGCAGTTGATGTACTGAAGGACAGATTAGTTACGTTACTTATCCGGTAGCAACACACGCGCTTTCTGGGAGAGGATGACTCTGCGGAAACCGCGAAAGCGTACTTACTGTGCGTACTGCCTGTCGAGGTACCTGCGAGTTGTTTGTGGTGATCGTCGTTGCGATCAGTCTCGTTGGTAGTGTATCAGGTAGTCAACAAAAGGTGACACAAGACTGGGAAAGACGGCACTCTCAAGAAGAGAGGAAAGAATCTACTCCCAGAAGAGAGTCGTAGAAGATCTGATGGTTTGTGATCATTCACGACAGGACAAGATTGTCAGATGGAGTTGGTTGTGGATGACATGGAAGAAACGAGCTCGAGGCTGGTGGCGGGCGAGGTATTTAAGCCTTGCTGCTACCCAAGCAGCAACGGCGTTGCGTGTACACCACAAGTGAATTGAGGTTGCTAGGTGATGGTTGCTAGTGAATGAGGGATGTGATGGTTGACTTGTTACCTATTCAGGGAAACAGGACAGCCCGTGCGGTGGGCCACTCGAAACGTGCTATCTGATGCTCTGTTACCTAAGTAGATATCATTATCAAGGGCAATAGTGAAGATGGTATGCCCAGGTGAATGATCGCCTCGCAAGAAAGGGCAGCTTCCATGTGCAAACCCATGAGTCCGTAGTCGTGTGAACTCCTCACAGTAATTAATGATTCCGTGTAACGGAGATAGCAAAAAGCCACAAATTCAGTTCTGAGACGACTTAGTCAAACTGGCTACAGAAGGTATGAGTGTGTATTTATCTAGCGACGGGGGTCCAAGTTTTCTGGCGACTCCAAGTCCATCTCAAAACGCAGATTACACACCTTAATATATGATGCATTGCGCCAGAAAAGTCCCATACGCTGACATTGATCTGGCGGGCCCAGCTATCTAGCAGATGGCCGCAACACCACGATGTTCCAAAAAGCTCCATCTAATTCCCTCAGATTTCTACGCAGAAGTTCCATCACCGCCCTTATCTCAACAAACAGGGGTAATTTCTTCGGACCAAGACCGTGCAGCTTGGTATTTCATGATCCGTCATACCATCGGTCAGTGCCCCGGGGTATTCTGTCCTTTCATCAAGAGATTGGATATTCGCACCCGCAGAAATTGAGGGTATACCTAAGCCCCAAGGAGTAAACTCCTATAGGACAGACTGCCTCCTACAGGACAACCTCCTATAGGATAACCTCCTACAGGATAACCTCCTATAGAACAACCTCCTGTAGGATAACCTCCTAGGATAACCTCCTATAGAATAACCTCCTGCAGGATAAGCCTATAAGATAATTAGGTCGTTGCTAACCTGAGTACTTTGATCTCTAAGTTGCCTATATAAGTACCTAGGTATTATGGGTGTACTCTCCGTTTTGGCGGGTGCGAATATCCGGTGTCTTCATCAAAGATGGCAAGAAGTTACTACTGTTCAGTGTCCTGTTTTTCAAGCATTAGTTAGTCAAGTTTTCACTCAAATCAGGTCTAGGCCAGTCAGACAGACTGTAGACATACCTTCACTTCTACACATGATGCAAACCAGAACAGGCGCACACATGACGTCCACGATCCGGATGATCAGGATGACAACCCCCTGGATCACGGTGAAGGTGATGTCAGCCACGCAGATGAGCGGCGAGCAGAGGATGCACGAGACAATGGTGGCAGGCAGGAAGGCGGCGTCGACCAGCTTGTTGGACCTGGCCTTGAGGGCGGTGCGCCTCGCGGCCCACTTCGCCTTCCTCGCCTGCCGTCTGCCGGCCCGCTTCGCCATCTTCTCCAGGTTCTTGGTGCTGCTGGCGGCGGAGCTGTTCTGCAAACCGTCTGCGCCCGTGTCATTGGGGCTGGCAGCGGTGGCACGCTCCTCACCATCCCTGCCGGCAGGATCGGGCTTGTTGGGGAGGGAGAGATGACCCTGGCCGGTGTGCGTAGGCTTGGTAGTAATGTTTTGGATATTTTCTGCGTCCTCAGACTTGACTACAGTCTCAGAGACGTTGGTAGGAGTAGCCTGGTCAACGTTGGCGAGCATGGTCTTGGTAGTAGTGCCCTTCTGCTGGTTGACGACCTCAGTCTCGACTGCGGCGTTGGGCATGTCGATGTTGCCCTGGTCAACCATGCTAGGCTCAGGCTTGATAGTATCGCCCTGCCCCTCGTTGACGACCGTGTTGATGAGCTCAACCTCGACTGCGGCCTCAGACTTGTTCACAGTCTTCTTCATGTGCAGCTTGCACATGACTTGGTTGAGCTTAGCCTCAACTCTCTTCGAGATGGTCTTCAGCTTGGTGAAGTATGGTGCCATCTTGAATGAGCCAAGTTGCCTTTTTTGTGAAGAAGGTCTTTTGTGGATGAAATACTGGCAATGGAATTCCAGTTTCTGAGGCGAGGGACTGAATCTGGATGAGAGGTTAGCTATTTAGGTACTCATCACTCCGCGACGCCGGCACACTTCTGGAGGGTGAGGGTCTCGCGTCAGCAGCGAGAGATACTTACAGATCAACCTGCCTTGGGATTTAGTGATTGGTGAATGTTGTGGTGTGATTGACTTTGCGACCACAGCAGATGAGCACGCGTGCGCGCTGAACCTTGGAAGGTAGTGTGTAGTGAGGTTTGGCAACCAAAGGTGACACAAGTAGGAGAGACTCAATATTCTGAGAATGATTGCTCTCAGAAGACTTCTGTAGACGAGATGCAGTCAACTAGAGGTGCACGAGGTTGTCAAATCGAGTTGGTTGCAGATGGGTGGAAGAAGCGTGGTCAAGACTGGAGGCGGGCGAGGTATTTAGTCTTGCCCAGCAGCCACGGTGGCGCTTGCGCACCAGAAGCGAATTCAGGGTTGCCAGGTGATGGTCGCTAGTGAATAAGAGACCTGAGGGTTGACTGATGACCTATTTAGGAAAACATGACGGCGCGCGTGGTGGAGCGTTGCCGAGGCGGGTGGCCCGGCCCAGCAACCATGGCGCGCCCACACAACCAGCACAACCGCACAACCAAGGTGCGTGGGTTGAGGTGATTTAAATGTGAATTCAAGGCATGCATGAAGGTTTCATTATTTCTTCATAAATCGATTAATCAACGCTAGCTGTAGGAATGAAATGAGTCACGGTCTGTGTTTGCCAACCAGGTTGCTTGCTAGGACACGCAAGGGCGAATGAACGAGGACGGTCTCATTGTGATTGATTGCTTTTATACCTGATGAACTCCCAACTTGTCTTCTCATACACGGGTCAAGCATATGTAGCAGACAGCTTTGCTAATGCTCACCGCCAAACCTCTTGTGAGGCTGTCTACAGCAGGACAACTTCCACAGTAGTAGCCACTCTCAGGGAGGCCCATATGCATGTAATCATAGTGCCCCGACTTCCACAAGATAGCCAGCCAGGCAAGCCACGAGGGACTGCATTCCCGTGCCCTGAACCTGGAACTCCCAGTGCCTCAGAATATTGAAGAGCTCCTCAATCATGCAGCGCACCATCTCCTGCGAGTCTGGTTGTCCCAGAAATTGGGGCTTTGGAACCCATAGGCCGACCAGCAAGTTGTGGCCGAGATCACAGGTATACAACCTGAGGGGCCACCAGCGACTCAGGATCGCCGTCCGTACCAGCTCGAAGTCTTCCCCGAGAACCAGCCACGCCTTGTCCTTGGGGATCACCACCGCGAAGGGCCCGGCCTCGTGAAATTTGTTGTCCCCGCGGTAGATCCTGGTCTCCCAGATCGTCTCCATGAGCCCCGCGTCCATGAGCCTGAACTGATCGGCAGTCAGGGGTGCGCCCGGCCAGTTCATGTGTTCGACAGGCTGGATGAAAGATGTGAATGGGTTGTTCCTGGCCCAGGTGGGCGTCTGCTCTTTGAGCTGACAGATTCCTCGTGCCTCTGCCTCGGTGACCCCAACCGCCTCTAGGAATTCAGTCGAGAGAGGCCCCTCGTGCGCGGGCCTTCTGAAGCGATACGGTGGGACTCGGTCGCCTTGCGGGACTGATCAGGTCAGGCTTAGGCTTATCCTTGGGTTCAGAATGACAGGCAGGCTGTGATGAAACAGCATTCGTACTTACCTCCACTCACCACAACCTTCCAAACCCGCCCTGCGAACCTCTGAACCAGTTGCTCAGCCGTACATAGCTGGCGGCTCCGCTTCCAGGCTGCAACCGCAGTTTCTAAAACCTCTCTGTTTGCGTTTTTCATGACCTTGGCCACGGTGGCATTGACATTGTCGTCGGACCGTCCCCTGCCCTGCAAGAAGCCGCCCGCTCGGGCGATGAAAAGCTGGACCGTCTGCCTGGTCTCCTCAGAGACGTGGTCGTAGGATCGGGGCCACATTTTGAGACTCTGCGGGGATGGGTTGGGTTAGACCGCCGTGACGCATTGGGATACGATGATCCTGGGGCATTGGGAGACTGCGAGCTTACTGGTGGCAGGATCTGACAGACAGGAGGGGCAGCAGGACGGTGAGAGAGAAGAGGTTGAGAGGTAGGGGGAGCGAGGGACTGACAAAGAAACAGACAGGAAGGATGGGTCTCGCCCTAGAGCTTTCAGTCTCCTAGCTCCCCTGAAGAAAAGCCTAGGGGTTGGATGGGACGAGAAGGGGTGCGATCACAACTTGCTGGTGAATTTCTGGTCGTGTGGAGAGGGGCCTTACAAGGAGACCGACCGACCGACCACGGATGGCTGTTGATCAAAAGCTCCTGACGCGCTGTTTACTCCCTCCCATACAGAGTCAGGGGATCCCAACAGCAAAGCCACACTCACAGCACTCGGCCACGCACCTCAATGACCAACTCGTACTCACAGGCGGTCAGTCGCTCGCAAGATCATAGATCAAAACACACAGTTAGTCAAATCCATCTTTCATTTCATGCGTGCATAAGGCGACGTGTATCCGCCATAAGGGCATATCATCCAAAAGGGGTATGTAAAAACGGAGCGCGCTCTCCAAAAAAAAAGTTATAAACACGAAAAAAAGAAGAGAACACACAAGACAGCAGCAGAAGGAAGGTGTAGGTGTAGGTATAAAACAGGAACACACACACACACACAGACACACACAGGCACGAGAACTCCAGGCTCCCTTTTCCCAACCGCCGTCTCTCACACACACGCACGCACGCCGGCACCGCCCTGCGTAAGACTTTTGGCCCCCTCGGCTCGACAACTCCCAACAGCGACAGACTGGGTATCGAAACCCCATCTTGATGGCCAGCCGTCATAAGTAGGAGGAGCACGAGGCAAGACCCCCCAAGTCGCGCCAACCAACAAAAAAACCAGTCTTTGAATCGGCACACAACACAAGCAAGAGGAGCCAAAGCTCATGCCGCCCAACAAGCCACGCTCACCAAAACCCGCCTGGATCCAAGCAGTCCAGATGAACGGCCCCACAGAACAGCGTTTAATCAATCACACATAACAATGAAAAAAAAGAAAAGAGAAAAAAGCCATTGGTCTAAAATCTAGAATGAGTAATCCAAAGGCTGCCATCCCGAGAGTTCGTCCGCTAGGGAACCCCCATCAAACACGGGGAGTCTTCTTGCGCACATGAGAATAATCAAGCAAGGACCGACCCATCCGCCTGCCCCGTAAGAGTATGTGAACAAGGCGCACGTTATCTCGTTTTCCCACCCAAAAAACAGGAGGCTCCTGGCGCTTATATGCCGTCTCCCAAAAATTTTGCTTCCATAAATAACCCCAGACAAGGTAGATAGATAGTCATCCCGACCCGGAAGCGTAACAACATCGTGGTATCTCAGAAATATGTGAAATGTAAGCAAATGTATGATGGTTGGTGAGCTCGTCCCCCCGGCTGCTCGCGGGGGCTCCAACCGCTAATCAGCATCACGGCCAGGCAAGGCAGGACGTGTCGCGCACGTGCGGGGCGATATTAGATGTCGTGAAGTTTGGTGGGGATTGGTTGCCCATCCGATGATTCCGCCCCATCAGTCCTTCTCCTCGGCGATGCTCGTCATGCTCATGCTGTGCCCGTGCACGCCGGAGCCCCCCTCGAGGAGGGGCTGGCTGGGAGGTGGCATCATCACTTTCATCGGCGTCGCACTGCCCCCGGCCGAGCTGCTGTTGGCGCTCCCAGAATTCGTGTTGGGGGCCGTGGTGTTCGGCACGCTTGCAGTGCTGGGCGACCGGGTCGTCTTGCTGCTGTTGCCGACGCTGTCGACAGTGCCCGCCTTGTGAGACTGGGTGCCGGCCATGCCACTCAAGGCGGTGGAGATCTCGCGATGCAGAGGTGAGGATTGGTTCGGTGAGCTGGACTTTTTCGAGTGCGAGTCACCATTGCCGCCGCGAGACGAGTTGCGGGGCGAGACTCTGCCGGTCTACGTGAGAGGTCAAGTCAGTAAAACGTCACGTGCTCAGTCGAGTACAGATAAGGGAACCCGGCTTGGGCGCACAGGCGGGGGTCAGTTCTCACCTGCTTAGCGTATCGCAGACCACAGCTGTTGCACAAGTCTCGCTGCCCACTCGGCCCTCGGCGCCACTCTGGGGTGTTACGAGTGTGGCAATTCGCGCAGTCCCGAACCACGTTTCCCACGCCCTTCCTGCGCTTTCTCTTCTTCTTGTTGCTCAGCAGCTGGCCCAGCTCCTCGGCCAACAGCCTGTTGACCTTTTCCATCTGGCGAAGCTCGTATTGCCACGATGAGCATCGAGTCGTCTTGAGCTCGTCGAAAATGTTGTCATCGCTGGCGAGGGCGGCATCCTGGTTACCAAGAACCAAGCCTCCGCCTGAGGCCTGAGAAACAATACCCTGCTCTGCGCCAGACACTGAGCGTACCCTGTTGGGCGAGGCAAGGGAGCCGTGCGATGGCTGGTGGGCGTCTTCGGGAGGCCCAGCGCTTATCATGGATGGGGCGGACTTGCCTGCGGTCGATGCTGGGGCCAGAGCCCTACTTGATGCTTTTAGAAGCTTTGTCTGGGCCAGGAGGAAAGTCGGCTTTTGCCCCTCGGCTGCGTCTCCGGGATACAGGATAGTCTGGGCTTGTAGTATTTGGCCCCTCTTGTTTTGGATCTCATGTTTGCACTTGACGATTTTTCCCTTCCGGGCCTTCTCTATTGACCGGCCAAATTCAGGCCGTGTCTCCTTGCGCATCTGATCCTGGATGCTGGTTCCCACGAGGTCGTTTGGTTGCAAATCCAGTAATGATCGGCAATTCGAAGACACAAACAAGTACATTCCGGACGTTGAAAGTTTTGACCAGAGCTCACCGTCGCCAATGCCGCCGTTGTTCTCGATGTTGCTCCTGCTTAACGCAAAGACGGGCCGTTTTCGGCCCACGAGGATAATGCATTTCTTGCCCTTTCCTTGCTCCACAAACAGCGACCCGTGGCTCTCAAACCAGGTGTAGCCGCTCTCTTTCCTCCGGATCCGAAAGACGATGTTGACGTGGTTGCCGACGGCCGTGTCTTTGAGCTCCCTGGTGACGGGGACAATGTCGGAGGGGTGACAGATGGAGGACAGCTGGTTGCCGATGAGCTCCTTGGTGTCGTACTCCAGGACCCTCTTACATGAGGGTGACAGGTACATGAACAGTCCTTTGAGCGACAAGACGTGGACGACGTCGTCTGCGTTCTCCAGGAGCATCTTGTCCCAAGACTGCTTGTGCCAGTCGCCCAGGTTGGTGCCTCCTGGTTTCAATTGCTGTAGCAGGGTGGAAACATCGTCGGCAGAAAGTGTTTGCCCAGCATCCGGCTCGACCCGATCACCCTCGGGTGGGTTCCAGATGTACTGGCCGATATCGCTGTGTTTGTAGTTGACCTGGACCTTACCCAGTTCCTGGCCCGCAATGGCGTCGGGGCACTCGACCAAGTCAATCTGGAACCCGATGAAGTATCGAATCTCTTTCGTGTCCCAGGGGATAGGAATCATTGTGAGCAGGTTGAGGAAGGGCTTGCCGCCTTTCCTGTAGTTGATCAAGCTCTGCTGGACCTCCTTGCCCTCCTGGATCTTCTGCTTGAGGTTGAGGACGGCCTCATTCGCGACGAATTCTCTCTTGGTGCCGGCCTCGACCTTGCCATCAGGAGCCTGGAGGAAGCGGCAGTTCTGGCCCATGATGTCATGACGGCTGTATCCGGTCAGGTTCTGGAAGTTGTCTGATATGTAGATGATGGGGCAGTCGTTCATGGTGACGTCGCAGACGACGAAGGCACAGGACAGGTCCACGGCGCCGAGCTGAATCTCCGGGTTGGGCCTCGTGGCGATGTAATACAAAGCCCGCACCAGGTCGAAGCCACTCTTGGAGTAGATATTTTTTGATTCTTGCTTGACCTCAGCACCCGGTGTGGCGGCTCCCGATTCGGCCGGGGCCGGCATGGGAGTTTCGGGGACGAGACTGCCCCGGGCGGTACTAACACCCGGGGAAACCGGGGACTGGTTGAAGGAATTTGCGTTGGACACCTCTCGCGACAGGGGCGGGGCCATATTGTAGGCCGCCATGGGCCCGCCGCCCGCCTGAGCAGCCTGGGGGGTGCCTGAGCCGTTGCTCCCGTAATGGTGGTTTCCAACCATCATGTCGTCGTCGCCATCGTCGGCCAGGTTTGAGCCAGTCGCATTGGCGGCGGCGACGCCGATGGAGCTGTCCGGGTTCATGTCCATGGCAAAGTCGGGCGATACGGGCTCCATACCGGTGTTTGCATACTGGGGGCTCATGTTTGGGTTGCTGTACAGGCCCATGCCGCTGGGGTCTGCCTGCATCTGGCTCATACTGAGGTTGGAGAAGCTCATCATGTTGTTCATGACATCGGGCGACATGGCCGAGAACTCAAAGTTGCCGGTGTGAGGGGGGATGGTCAGGGGCGAGGTCATGTTGCCAATGTTGGCATAGGAAGGCATGCCGTCTGCCAGGGACGAGGGCGGCGGTGCGGTGGTGAGTGGGCTGTCGAACTGGAAGCCCCTGTAGTGGTCGTTGCTGCTCCCAAACTCGAGGTTCATGGACATCCTCCGGTCGGGCTCGTCATGGGGGGGCTGGTTCGGGGAGAAGGGGTGCGGGACGCTCCGCCTCCTCCGAGTGGCGGTGTTCTGGTTGATGATCTCGTCGAGCGAGTCACCGCCCATCATGGCCGTGTCGGGGGACATTGTGGGCATCATGGGATGCTGCATGGTGGGGGAGCCGCGGGGGGGATGGCCGGCGGGGTTGACGCTGGGCGGCATCATCATGTTGGCGGGGCGGCCCTGGTGCTGGCGGCGCTGCTGTGCAGCAGCGGCCTGGGCCAGCTGGTTCTGGTAGAAGTCGTTCATGTTGGGGACGGCATCGGGGTGAGCTCCAGACGAGGAGGGAGCCGCGGGAGGGCGAGATGGTCAGGCAGTTTTCGGTGGGTCTCGAGCCGAGCCTGGATCGCAGATTCGAGTCGGGGATCGGGAAGGGAGAGTGGGTCTTATTCTCGCGGGCAAGAATGGATGCGTCGAGGTTGTGGAGGCATGGGCTTCGGCTGGCTGGGCCACGGCACGGGCATGAGAGCCCTTCCTCTTGGTGGTGTCAAGTGTCGGCTCTTGGCACCGTCAGGGGAGTCACAAGAGAGTCGGTCAGTCAGTCAGTCAGTCAGTCGACGGGGCGGAGGGCCGGACGGGACGGGCTGCGAGGCGATGCGATATGCGGATGTCGTGTGGTGTGGGTGGGCGGCGACGGCGGCGGCGGCGGCTCAAGGAGAGGATGGATGTTGGTTGTTGGGCCGAAGCAGTTCGGGCTTTGGGCCGTGCTGTGATGACGAAAGCGACTCTGGAAGGATCGGTTGCCGGCGTGGGCTGTCAGTGGCGAGGAGGGCCCGACAAGAGGTGGCACACAGGGGAGACGGGGTTCGAGTCGAGGTGGTGATATCGTGGTACGGCCAGGTGAGGCGTGCAGTCGGTGCAGTCGGTGCAGTCGGTCAGAGAGGCGGGCGGTGCGATGTGAAAGGTCGAATGGGATCCAAGGCATGCGGTGCGGTTCGAAAGTGGGACTTTGACTTTGGCCCGTGGTCAAGACTCACCAAGAACTGCAAGAGCAGGAGATACCTGGGCCGTCGGCGCACGGGTACCCGCGACTGGTGGAGAGATTTGCGCCAATCTGGGTGGGTGCGGCGGCTGCTGGCCATGTACCTGGGTACATCCCGTGCATCCCGTGCATCTCGGTGTATCATGTACTTTTGCCCGGCCAGGAAACGGAGCATGACGTGTACGGATTGGGACAAGCGTCGAAGGTATACGGAACCTTCTGCTGCACTACTGCCGTGCCGTCGAGAATGTTCATCTCCTTTCCCCTCCTGCCCAGCAGCCCAGCAGCCCAGAGGCCTTCTCCCCGCGGCGCCTCTCGTCTGCAGCCGAACCAACAGGCCAAGCTACAGTAGCTTGTATTACGGAGCATGTATGTGCCCTGCCAGGCCTGCCTGAGTCCTGCATCCTTCGAGACACACACATGCTCACATCCTCACTATTGCACTCCCACAAGCCGCGGAAAAGCAACCACGCTCAATCAAATCATTCATCAGCAGTCACTCGTCAATCTACGGCAGGCGGCAGGTCCCGACCGTGTGTCACGCCCTTTGCAGCTCTGTCTTGATGCTGCTCATGCTCATGCAACCGTGTTTCGTGGCCATCCCTGCCTGCCCGCCTGGCTGCCTGGTCGACCAACCCGCCGAGACGGACTGCCTGACTGCGAGATCCCCTCACTGCCGCCGTTGCACATGCAGGCCTACTGCAATGTGCGAGAATCCCGTCCTGCCCGTCCAAAACCCCATCAACCCCATCTTTCTCGCCCTTGAGCTACTCTGCCAGCGCCAGATGACCCCACCAGCCGCCGATCCCATTGGCCTCGACGAGACATGGTCAAGCTTCTTGGTCTCTTCGGATGGTCAACAAACACGTCGTGTGCATTCGGCCCAAAAAGCATATTCGCTGTCGCCAGAAAACTAGCCTGTCATGCCCGAACCTTCTATCGAGCATCCCAGCCTCTGAGGGCGCCAGAGACCGGTTGACCGGTATATCTAATGCATCAGGCCCAGGTCGAGGCCATAGTAAAGCTGCCTCGACGGCTCGGGCTATGACTCTCCGCCCGTCTGCGCGGGCTGGCGGGCTGTCGCTATGCCTTTCAGCATAGACACACAACACAGGATGCAACGTGATGAGGGAGGTGCATCAAGCAGACCGCCTAGGACGCCTCGCCACCGTCACTTCAGACTTCAGCCTAGGTTCAACCCGAGAATGATGCCTTGCAGACGGCCGGCTACAGCTGCCAACAGCTCGACTTCGACTGCTACTGCTACTGTAGTGTGTGCGTGCGGAACAGGTCGAAGCGCGCCGCGGGCGTGACACGGTGGAGGCGTCAAGCTCGGCCAGCAAGCACGGCCCGGCTGTGCGAGCCGGTGGGGGGGGCTTGCATCCGCTTCCAGGCCCCCGCAGAACCACCACTGCCGGGCTCTGGAGTCTCGACGCGTCCCTCACTGGTCTGCGTCGTATTCGCCCACCAGGCAGAGCTCGAAACCAGCGAGTTAGTTTCACCACTGGTCGCTCAGCTGAGAAATGCTCCCCCGCCATCCCGGTCCACAGATGCCGCCCCCCCCCCGGCTGATACGGCGCCCAAGTTATTATTGGGAGGCTCAAACCCGCAAGCCGTCTTATCTCCCTCAGCCGAGGCTGCCAGCCACCCGAGGCTTTGTAATTGCCCCGTTACTCGTCCTTGGCGCCACTGAAGCTTACTTCATCCCAACTGTTGTTCTCCAGCAGATATGCCAGGTGAAGCCAGAGCCAAGACCGTCCTCGCTCCTCTCGGTGTCTACCCATTAACTGTGCGCCCGCGACGACACTTGACCGGCATGACACCCATCGACTCCAGCATGACCTTCTGCGAAAGACTAGCTTGAAACCTGCACCTTGGGCAATGGTTCTCGCTCTTGTTCGGCTTGGTTGCGGCTCACGGGTTACGGCGATGTGACTCTGACGCTGAGAGTCCAACGCTGGCCCGCGAGCTAAAGGGCACTTGGGCGGGCTCTAAGAGTTCGCTTTTACCCAGCAACTGAACTGCGCCAGCCTTGCCAGAACATCCTCGCCGGACGGGCAGTGCCAGTGCATACATGGCTTGCGGCTCAACCTGCAAGCCAGCTCGGTCTTGTCCGGGCATGATTTGGAGGTTAAGTGTGCTGGTTGTCCGCCCTGGGAGCTGTGGGCGAATCAACTTACAGGCCGGGCTGCCGCCTCATAGCCACTAATAAGGCCAAACTATGTCACCGCTGTATTTTACCTCTCTGCTAACCAGGGCTCCTTTCTCGACAAGATGATTAGGAAGGCTGCATGTAGGGTACTGTCATGTAAGTCCTGCAAACCATATTTCCTCCATATGTGGTTTCGCTTCTATTCCGTATACGTCCGAGGACATACATGGCGCCTTCATACGGTGGTAAGCACTCAAGATTTCCTCCATATATAAGTGATATTTGCTATACTATAAGACATGTAAGTTCTCTCTTATAACTACTCCGTCTCTTTTCCTTCCGTGGTATATATACTCTCTAGATCTGGTCTCGTTGGCGGCCGGTACACACATACGGCAAACGGCATTGGTACCTCGTACATAGAGGACAGCATCTTATATATTCAACCATATTTCCAGGTAGACTCGTTTTCATACTTTCTTTTATCGGCGGAAACATGGCCTCCATGAGCAACCTTTCAGCCTCAGATATGGCTTTATGTCCATTACTATCAGCAGGGGCTACTACCCCTAGTCCTCCTTCTCAGTTCGCCCTCTTAGACATGTTTTTCCTTAACTTCTCTATCTTCTCTAACACTATTAAGAGATACTTCAAGGTTTTAATGAGTAACCTTATTAGCTTCCTATCAATATAAGAGTGTGGTATATGGCCTCATAGCTGATGGGTTATTAAATTCTTTAACCTAGAGTGTGGTATAATTGATGAACTTCATGGTGGCTTGGAGTGAGTATGTAGAAAAAGGTCAACCTATAAGAAGACAGCTGACATGCAGGTAACCATCGTATGAGTGTCAGACCTGATGTGCAGTGGTCGCTCAGCGGGCCTATCAGAAGTCAATCGGAGTTCCGAGAGAAAGAAATGATCACAAAGACGCCAAGAACTCTACAAGTGCCAAGGTGGGTGGGTCCTGTGGAAGAGCATATGTGACAACGAACTCGTATTGGATTTGTATGGTGGTGGACACTTTGAGAAGGTCGCCCAGGGGCCTGTAGATGGCAGCCAGCTGCGCACCCACTTGCACCCCTTGGTTCCTGCCATGGGTACGTACAGCAGAAAACGAATGTGAACGGCGATCCAGCATTCTACAGTATCTTCAACAATGAACAAAAATTATCCGGCTTTTCAGGGGAAATCCCAGGTAGCCACGGCAGCTCACAATTCCCATTTCCTGGTACCGACTATAACCAAGTGCAAAAGTAGCTCGAAACAAACTACCACTTTCTTGAAAATATTCGAACACATCCATGGATTGTTGTAAGCCTGGCTGTGCTTCTACGTAAAGTTGCATTTGGAAACAGCCTGTTGACATCGTCCACGCAGCTCTGCGAACATTTGCATGTGTGGCACGACACTACATGCAAGGTCCTTCCGGGCTGAGACGGCAAAATATGCCTCAGAACGCAGCGGGATGACAGATTGATTGCCCCGTCCACGACAAATCAGCCAATATTATGCATCCGTTCATGAATGCACTGCGCTGTGGGGGCGTAAGCTTCGGCAACCTGTCTGGGCCGATGGACAACTTGAAGGGCTGAGAACAGCTTCCATGTGCAGCTTGTGGATAATCGGCACAGGAAGATGACCTTCTCCTCCCGGCGTTGTCCGTTGCGTCTGGCCACGATAAATTTGCACCGCCCTCCTGAATTTACACATATATGCCAGGCTGCACCCTGTATCGGCCCGCTTTGTCCACCCAAGAGTTCAAGAGGTCCGAAGTCAACCTATGAACATTTTATCAAGCAGTGGCACTTAGTCTGATACAGCCTTCTCTCTAGAATTCCCCCACACCAACTACAGCTTAAAATATTGCATGGGGATTTCCCTACCTCTAGTTCATAAAGTCCAGCAAAAACGGAGACGATAAAGTAATGCAAGATTTTACGTCCATGGATCCTGATGGGCCCGCAATGGCGCCTCCTGATGGGCAAGCAACCGATTTTGACAAAGGAGGCTCTCACGCGATGGGTGAGGCAGCACTTATCATCTGCTCCACCTTGGCAACGCTCTCAGTAATTTTCCGGGTATGGTCACGACTCATCATGAAGCCGCGATTGTTCGGTATTGAAGAGGGGTTGCTGGTTTGTGCACTAGTAAGCAAGAACTTTGCTTTCCCCTACGGGACGGAAATCCAGGGTGATCCAGCTGACATGCCATCGTACATGGCGTATTTTCCGGTTTTGTTTACAACTGCTACGAGCTTACCATATTCCCTGGCTTCTTCGTCCATCAATGGAATATGAGGCTAAGAGACATGAACGATTTCACACGGGTGAGTGGCATCCAGGATCTAATCTCATAAACCCTACTATACGTACAGTATCCGTCCGCCCCCTTCTGCGGGAATAAGCACATTTTCTGACTCGAACACTGCCCCTCAGCGAGTTCACATCAACATGATTTTATACAGCGTTACGATTATGCTTCTCAAAGTAGCCATCCTGGTCGACTGGGATCACCTCTTTAATCCTCTGAAGAAACGCAACATTATGTTCTGGGCCATCCCCATACTGCTGGCCGCGAATGTGATCTGCTATATGATTGCAATATTCTTCCAGGCGTTCCGCTGTACGCCAGAGCGAAAGATCTGGGATGTCTTTTACCGAGGCGGCCACTGTTTCATTAATAGTATAAATTCGATGAACATTGTCACATCGGTAGTCAATGTCGTCTCGGATTTTGCTATTCTATGTCTTCCCCAATGGGTCATCTGGAGACTGAAAATGACTAGGGCAGCCAAGGCTGGGGTCTCCGTGCTATTTTTAATAGGAATCCTGTGAGTGAACGTCTCCTGCTCCAGATCTGAGACGACTTCCGTCCATGATTCGAAAGACAGAGTGGTGCCAACTACCTCTAGGTAGTTACGTTCGAACTGGAATTGACAAATGGTACAGGGCCGTCGTCTGTGCATTTTGCCGCATGGCTTGGCTCACAAAGTTTATGGCGGACACAAGAGAGGTGACATACCTTGCCCCTATCGCCGGCGCCTTTAGCCTTGGTGAGACCACTGCCGCATTCCTGATCATTGGCGTGCCCTCCGTTCCTAAGGTATTCAACAAACTATCCTCCCAGTGCTTGTCCATACGGTCCATGTGGGCCAAAATCGGGCTCTCGAGCTGGTCCGGGAGGAGGCAGACTCGTGGGCGCGTGGACGACGCCAGCAGAAGCGGTGGAAGGACACCGAACCAGCCCATCTGGCGTAGCCCGGTACATCACCAGGCTCTTGGCGCATGGGAAGTTGGCGACAGCGACACGTTTGACCTGTTGTACGCGTCGGCCGCACGCCTTGAGGCGGATCGGTATCCGGCTCATGCTGTGGACGTCCCACAAAGTTCTATCAAAAGGCAGATGAGCATAGATGTTGTTAACGAACGGATCGGGTAGCTGATGGTGGTCTTCGGGTACATTGGATTTGTTCACGAGGGTCGTCCGAAGGTCTGACGGATTCTGACATAGTTTAGGTTTGTAGTACCTAAGTAGCCAAGAAGCCGATGTCCGAGAGAGTTCGTGCACCAAAAACTAAGCAAACTTTCACGTCGTTTCTTCTCATGTCGAATTAAAATTATGAATGTAATAACCGCGGCTGGACGAGAGATCAACACGTTAATGTTTGAACGTGAATCAGCCCCGGCATTCTTCTAGGCGCGTGCCGTGGCCGGGGAGTCACCAGCGACAGGTGAGAAGAAAAACAAGCTCAGCATCATCTTGGCCCAGGGCACTGACCGGCACTAGCTCGGCCCTATTAGTGGGAGGAGACCGGACTCGACGTGAGAATTAGATGGGCCTGGCGAGTCTTCAGGCTCGATGCCGCTTGGAAGTGTGATCGCCGTAATTGTGGATAATCTTTCCCAAAATGGGACTTTATACCGTACCGGCACGCTCGTCCCGAACCTCGATAGTGCGATACCAGGTAATGCAATATTATTCTTTCAGGCACACTACCACCTCCTCTCATGCCCCATCTTACACATGCTTTTGATTCCTTTGCTCTTAATCTCCACATAAGCCGAGTCAAGTAAAAATCCTTTTCCGAGCAGCACATGCAGTATTATCACATGCCACAAGGCTCAAGTCCAGATGTCGGTGGCTACAGTTGCGTGGACGTGGAACTCGGAAAGTCTCGCATGGACATGCGCAAGCAGCAGACAGGAGGCTGAGGGGTCTATGGTCCTTGGCCTAATCATCAAGTGAATGCAGCTCTAGGATAGGACGTCGGATTATGTAAAACATTCGAAGGCTGGCCTACACTAATATTACTGTTGTTAGCTTACTGGTTGTTTATTCAATTAATAATGCGTGTCCGCGATTGCGGCTTGGATCAAGTCGGAACAAGTAAACATGCTTAACTACCTAGGTATATTATGCCATCTTGCTACGGGACAGGTAGTTAGCCATGCTAGGCTTTATTCCTTACAAAAGCCAAGCGGTCATATTCTCCACCACCAAGTTCACCATAGTAAGGTTTTAATTTACATCACCCCTCCTTTTATATACTATTTACTTTAGCTACATTTTTTCTTTATACTTTATAAATGCTTATTTCTTCCCTAATTTAGAACTTATATATAAAGTCTCTAATAGCTTTACATATATTCTTATAATTTTAGATGTAGATGCAGACTGCTAAGGAGTAGTAACCCTTGAGCCGGTAGGGTCCCTCCCTACTGGCTTAGCAAAGAAGTTTGCAAATCGACCTCTGTAGATCTTAGGACTTGGGTGACTCTGTTCACGGCCGAAGGTGTGGCACCTGGGCGCAATCCAATCACTTGAGCGCAGGCAGACAAGAAGACTTGGTCTCATCAATCAAGTCTGTGTGCCTTTGGATGTCGATTTGCTCACCATGGGACCGCTTGAAGTTGAACGAGGCAGGGCAGGGTGGGGGGCGGCAGGGGTCGGACCCCTGCAGCGATCCTTATCGATAACGCCTTATCGATAACGCAGCCACCTACACCCCTGCCACAAGGCCAAGCGCGCAACCTCATGCCTTCGATAGACCTGCTCATAACCTCCACACCATTTGGCCTCAACTTCGAGACATGATGCTGTTCAGCCCAATTGACGTCATACAAGATTTGGCTGCTTATTCCCCAACCGGACCTTGATCAGAGCAGTGCTTGAGCAACAAGAGCGCCGTACGACTGAGCACACACGCAAGGTCTTATCCCCGTGTATATCAGGTGAAATACACGATCTTTCTTTTGAGCGCCTGGAGATGACTTGGTGACTCTCATGCATGACAGGCATTAAAATGAATTATTTTATACATCTTGAACAGATACGCTTGTTTCCATACCACTCCCCATCACTGCTGACCGTTCCTGACTGGGCTCGACCGGGCCGTGTACAGGATATTCAGATCATCACATCTCGCCGCGGCGTCTCCTTCCGCCATGCCCCGCTGAAGCCCTTGGTCTCTGGCTCTAAATCAACCATAGCCGACATCGTGCCAGGTGTACTTTGAGGAGTTTCTGAGTCTGTCCCGCAATGTTGTTGATGGCCTCCTCCTCTTGTCCGTGTGACACCTTCGCCTTCTTGTTTGGCCCCTCGGTGTCTTCGTCATCTTCGGCCTTGCGCTTCGCAACTCCGGCGGTGGCAGACTCCTTGGCAAGAGGCTCGTTCTGCGGGGCCTCAATATCCGGCTGCTCAAGAGGCGGGGTGGCCGCTCTGGTGCTGTTCGCCGCCGGTGCGCAGCGGCCTCGCCTCCTGGGAGGGGGGATCGGGGGCAGGGACTGTTGAGGGTGGCTGGCGGAATCGGCAGCGGCCGTCGCAGTAGCTTTCGCGGCCTCGCGGGCGGCCCGTTTCGTCGCCCGTCTCTTCGCAGCCTTGCTCTTCCCCATGGGCGCGGGGGTCTTTGGCGGTGCTTTTGGTGGCGCGCTTGTCTCGGCCTCGGAGGCTTTGTCGGGAAGGGGGGGGGTTCCAAGCCATAATCTCCCGGATCTCACGGTCCATGTCTGACTTGATTGTTCTGTTCCAGTCCTCTCCGTCGAAGCCCCAGCACTTTCTCATCGAGTCGTAAGCTAGTCTGTCAGCCTCCAACAGCTGTGGGACTTTGTTGCGTGGGCACCAGTGCAGTTCTGCGGTGAGCTTGATTCCGTGGCCGTGAAGCATCTGTATCTCTTCTTTGATCATCTTGATCAACTTCGGCGGGACCGTTCGCATAGTCCTCTCTTTGACCACCGCGTTGTTGGCGACGTGGCGAATCATGCTGACGCAATCACTGGTGATCTTGACGGTGACTATGCCGTTGTGTTCCTTCAATACCAGAAGGTCGCGAGCGATGATCTTGTTGGCTTCATGGAAGGCCTCCAAAATTCCAACGCCCTCCATAGCCATCGACCCTGTAGCGGAGGGATATGGCCAAGCTTGCTGGGAAAAGTGCCAGTATGGCAGCTTGGCAGTGTCACCAGAACGCCATCCAAAAGGTAGCCAATGGGTCCTAGATACCAGAGCGACGCCGCCTCTGCCCATCCCGAAGCTGCCATCGCAGAAGAGGCAGATCCGAACCTCGTTGGTGCACGAGATGACAAAAGCTGCAGTTTCTGCGTCATCGATTGCTTGGGTGTCCGGTTGTATGATCGCCTTGCCCACCTCCAAGCCGTCAAGGAGGATCGGTAGTTGCTCCATCTTGTCGAACTGACTTTGCTTTCGGTGTCGCGTTGAGTTGATCTGCGCAAAAGCGGGTGCGCGCAGGCGGCGCATGGGTTGTTGACATTCAAGTGCGCTTCGATTGTCCTACAGACGGCGCCGACGCAGCGATTGGTGAGATGGTCGACGTTGGATGGTTTTAGGTTAAACTCACCTTCAATGCTTGTGGGAATTGCCCAAGAGGTGGTGGGGTGGCGTTGTGCAGATTGGACATTTCGAGAGGCTGCAACGACATGGCTCGAAACCCATTGAACTACCACTGGGGAAGGGCGTGTATTCTGCACATGAACAAACACCGTTTTGCGCCAAATGTGCCATGTCACAGGGATTGCCAGGCATCGCTAGCTGATTCACAACTCGCAGTCCGCCCTAGCAGTGGGCAGCTAAGTACACATTGTGAAGTAGTGACTTCGTCTTTCCAAGGTCAAACGAAGAGGCAGAAACTTGGGAAAAGGCACACATGTGATGGCAACACCATTGCGGGTATTGTTAAAACGTGGGATGAAAATGTCAATCAAGAATGGCAGTGGTGGACAGACTGACCTGGTGCGACCATGTGAATGCAGGTGGAGAGCAGCAGGTGGCTTCACAAGTCGAGCATCGGCGCCGAAGGGTGTCGAGTTGGTCCTCATGAGACCGTTTGATGACATACATGCAAGTGCTTGAAATGTGTCTGAATGAGCTGTGATGACTGCAATGTACCCGTTGATAATGAGCTGATGTGCGGGCGCATGTGCGTGTAGGTGTGGGCAGCAGTAGCTCGAGGGGACTGGTGGGGCGAGGGCGCGCTCAAGAGTTGTCACATACAGTTTCTCTGCTGCCTCGGCCATTGGAAACCCTTCCCAGGTGGAAGACTGCGTGGTGCTGGTCGGGGAGGTTGGGTGGATAGGTACTTCGGCCAGCTCGCTGTCCGCGCAGCTGGTTGACAGCTGGCCACTTGGAATCGAGCCACACCGGACAGGAACTGCCTACATAATGGCGAGCTACAAAGGCTTTACCATCGAGTTAACGGCCCGCCTGGTATAGTTAAACAGTTCAAGGTTCCAAAGACCGTCTTGCCGCTAGTCGGGATGCGTGTAAAGCTGTGCAGGCAACCTTCTAGAACGGCTGGGCGTAGGGCCGAGTTCGAGTTCAAGCCAGGACCTTTTTGTCTTTTTTCCTATCTGTTTACCAGTAGTTTTCAGCCATCCTATTTGTGTGCCTTGTCTTTGGGAAGGTGGAAAACTTCAAGCGTGGTCGTTTATAAGGTTTTATAAATGGCACAGGAGGGGGGCAATGTACTGGGGCTTTGCAGACGATTGAGTTTGGGAAGCTTCACTGGCATGCCTCCCAACGGCTTCTTGGGCAGGCCAGTGCAATTTGATCGGAGTTGCCTTGGTGTGCCACTGGATGAAGGCGCCACGTACATTTTACATGTATGGGGATTAAAAACGAAACCACTTGCCTTGATGTGTTCACTCCAGCATCTGTCTACGAACGGCCTGGTATGCTCGAGATGATCACAGAAATGTAGTGTTTGGAGGACACCCAGTTCAGGAGTTCTTTCTCCACCGTAAGAGTCTGTTAGAGTTACCACATTTAAAAAGGTTCATCATGAGAGCAAAGGGCTAAATGAAAACGTGGATGCAGTCCTGAGCTGTGACCAGTTGGTGTTTGCAGGTGCTGCAAGCCCGCGCGATGCGGTTGATGAGACCCCTGCTGCCCACCACACCAACCCAGATAACAAGCATGAGCTTTCTTGAAGGGGACTCTTGAGTTTTAACTACATTATTTAAAGCGTGAGGGTGTTTACATTGACGACAGGACCTAGCATCAATATCACGACGTTCGTTCACATCAACAGTAGCTGGTGGTTTATGGTATAGTTCCTTTTCAAGCCCCTATTTGAGATGAAAGGATTTTATAGTTTCGACTTACTGCCATGCGAGGCCGTTCGAGGACTGCTCTTTGTGTTGTGAAAAATTCTATGTAGGTGGTGTCAGCCAGTAGGTTCGAATCGAAATGGGACTCACGTGCAATGTCTGGTAGAAAATCGGGGGGAAGGACAACTATATAACATTGTCTTAAATGGTTACGTGACCATCATTAAACACATGGTGGAGGCATCATATTGAGCCCTACAACCCAGAATTCCTGCTTCTTATATGAGACAACTCAAGCAACTAAGCCATTCCTGCCATTCTTTAGAGGAAAGAAGAGATACCGAGGGTTATGTGCCCCCAACTGATAGCAGGAGGTCTGCTCACGTAACCTTCTTATGTAAGGCTCCTGCCGACCAACGACTCACAAATCGCTTCCTGTGCCGCACTCCAGTTCTGAGCCGGCAAAAGTTTCTTCGCATAGGCATCAAATCCACCCACGCCGCCTGTGACTAAAAATAGGGTTCTCAAAACCTGACATCACATTCTCACGCAGCCTTTCAGTAGGCAAGCACCTCGTTGAGTTTGTCGATTGATCGGACACAGGTTAGCAATCGGCTGGCATTTCCAGTCACATGCCTGCCCATATTTACCTACGTCTAGTCGCGCAACCCTCCCTAATAACCACAAGAATGGCACGAGGAAGTCAAGATGGACTCGAGTGGGAAAACACTTTGTTCAATCTCATACCACGTTGGACACGAGAACCTTCAGTTGAGGCCATTCAAGGCGTTTGTCGCCAACAGCTGAACGTCCCGGCCGGAGGTCCCTGCACCGCCTCCTTCTATGCAGCCGGTGCATTCAATAAGCTCTATCTGATCGCCTGTGCCGAAGAACCCTTCCTGATGAGAGTAACGCTGCCGGTGAGTCCTCACTATAAGACACGTGGCGAGGTAGCTACCCTGCGTTGGGTGCGTGAGCACACCAACATTCCAGTTCCCAAAGTCATTGCATTTGAAGACAACAACGACAACATCATTGGGTTTGAGTGGATTTTGATGGAACTCATGCCCGGGACTACGGCTTATCGACGGTGGCGAACAATGTCTCTGGAGCAAAAGTCAGCGATTGCGAAGAGTGTGGCGGAATTTCAGGTACAATTATCTTGCTACGGCGCACCCAGTTCTCCCTTTAGGAGTATTGGTACGCTCAACCTGTTACGTGAGCCACCAAGGATCGAGGCAGAAACAAGAGCCACACCAGGGATGATGATATCGCACGAATTCTTCATGGGCGATCGCATCAAATATGACATCCCACGAGGCCCTTTCAACTCCAGCCATGACTGGCTGAACTCAGAAATACGCTTGATTATACTGGAGCAGACAGCAGCTCTTGAGAACGCTGAAGATGAAGATGATCGGGAAGACGCCGAGGAGACCCTGGACGCAGCTCGAAAGCTTCGTTCCGTCCTTCCCAAAGTATTTCCCGAGGATCAGGAAGAAGTCGCGACAGCACTTTACCACGAAGACTTGAGTCTACATAATATCCTTGTCGACAAAGAGGGCAAAATCACGGCTATTGTGGACTGGGAATGTGTTTCAGCAATGCCTATATGGCTGACTACCAAGATGCCCAAGTTTCTGGTCGGGGAGAACCGGGAAGAGGAGCCAATCCGGGATATGTATGCGGATGAGATACCTGGAGACCCGCAAAACGACAGTGGCCCCGATAACCTAGACAACGAGGGCAAAGATGACCTGTACTGGATTCATCTAATGGATTACGAAACAACGCAGCTGCGAGCAGTGTACGAGAGGAGGTTAAGGGAGCTCTGGCCGGCTTGGCCTCTACGAGACAGTCAGATCAAGGTCGACTTCTTCGATGCGGTCTTGGAATGTAATGCTGGGATCTTTTTGGGGAGAGTGGGAAGATGGGCCGACAGTATAGAACGAGGGGACTTGGTCAAATGGGCCGACGTTGAATGAAAAGTCGCGCTGCGGAACATTAGAGCCCGACTGCCAGAAACCCTCTGCCACACTCATGTCTGTCGACTTTGGCGAGGCGTTCACAATCGACAGCCGCAGGCCTCGTGGCCGCAAATCATCGTTGGAACCGCCAGAGATCTGTTTCAAATACTACTAGTAACCCTCAGCCGGTAGCGACGCATGGGAATCAGTCTTCTTAATTTTCGAGATATCCTGTTACTGGCCCCTGTTAACAAATTATCGGGCTAGTTTCCGGGGTTCTCATACATCACACACATACTTTTACCTGGTTTCGCTTCTAATTTGCATACGCGAAGACACACATAGACACAGACTGTTGACAATTCAAATTGTCGCTTAGACGACCAATATTACGAGAGCCCCCATTGCCTGTCTCTGAAATTTTCAGATCGGTGAGCTCATGCTGGTGTCTAGGCGACGTTGGATGCACAGTGTGAAAACCCTTGGGAAGGCATAATAACATGCTTTATCCCACCACCTGGGCACCTCCTACTCCCCATCGACCACACTGTTTGAAAGGAATGCTCAAGGGCCAAGAGTGAGACGAAAAAAATAAAATGAGTGTGTAGATTAGTGGCCATCTAATCTAGTTTTAGTACTATTGATGTGATACAAATGGGAGAAATGTCGTATAATGAAGGAATAAAGTTGAAACGACATGTTTTCAGTTATTCCTTGCGCTGAATGTCCAAAACATGAATCTGAGAGACAGCCAAACCATAAAAGGTACCCCCTTCATACCTAGGTACTTGGATCAGGCAAGGCAAAAGGCGCCAAGGGCGACCTCGAACTGGGTGTCGACCTGGTCGGCGAGGACACCAATGAGGTTTTCGTATGAGATATCGACTGTGTGAATATTGTAAGAATCGGTATTCTCACGCGATCGTTGAGAAAGGCAGTTTTTGATGACTCACAGACAGCTTCAACGGTCTCGAGCAGCAGTTCCACCTCGACAAGCAGAGACTCCAAGGATGCGCATACGACGCCACCAAAGCCACTGGTGTTGATGGCAGCAGACTGTGGAAATTGAATCAGTCCATATTAGCTCGACAGTGCACGCAATCAGATCTCGAAAATTGGAACAGCAGTAGTAATAAATACCTTTGCCTGGACACCTCCAACAGCCCGTGAGAGCGAGGTCGTGAACAGCGCCACATCCGGGTACACAGCGGCCGAGTCAGCAACATTCAGCAGCCCCGAGATCAAGACGGTCTGCGAGACAGAATTGACGGATATTCCGAGGCGGCTGAATGAAGTCAGGAAGGCGAGCGAGTTCTCGGAGGTGGTGCCGTCGAAGGCTGCGACGGCGTTGCTGAAGGCCGTCACCTCGCCGCTGGCCGTGGCGATGGCGGCCTCGACGCCCGCGACGTCAGCAATGCGGGTCTCGATGGTCGAGACTTGTTGGTCCGCGGCCTGGCGCCTGAGGATGGGCTTGCTGGCCAGGGAGGTGCCGAGGAGGGTGAAGATGGCGAGGGTGGGGAAGTACATTTTGGATTGATGGAGGTAAGTGGTTGGTGTAATTCTTTTTTAGCAGTGATGCGATTGAACGACTGGATTGATAAGACGATGAGGCCTGGACTGAAGGCACGACTTCATCCAAGACCCAGACAGGATCTTCGCCTGTCTTATAGGCATCTTTGCTCCTATCATCTTGCCGACTTGCAGGCTTTGTGTCCACAAAATATTATTGCCTCATCATGCCAGTGCTCTCTGAAGCTGAAGTCATCATATTTCTACAGTCCCAAGGCCAGCTCGAGAGAAACTATCGAAAGTGTAAAATGCCCAGGACTTGATTTCTTGAAATAGCCACCACTCAACCACCTGGACTCTGCAGGTTCAATACGATACGACATCTCGTCCGGCATGTTGAACGGCGGCAAAGGCCCACCGTGGGACTCACAAAATTCGGAATGTTGCGTTCTTGAGTCGAGGATTTCTCGGCCGGTGCAACGTGGGGTGTCCTCACAACGGTTGGCAGCAGCACGTGCAGGTGGGAGCAGTCTGCGGTGTGGAGTGGAGATGCGACTTCTAAGTTTGGTGCGCTTGGCCTTTGTCTGCATCACCTGTCTCGATCGGCCGAGCATCCTACACAGCCTCGGGCGTGTAGCTGACGTGACAAGCTTTCTAGCTTCCGATGCCGTTGTCCCCGTAGATCGCATCCCGGAACTTTACGCTACGGAGCCTCAACGGGATTAGTTTGCAACCTCGGAAGAAACATGCACTCGTTACCAACACACTAAGGATGGCTTGCTCCGTGGCTTTGAATGTGTTTACATCTAATCCCAAATGCGCATGTGATATTCCTGGCTAATTCTAGGCGATGGCCAAGTTGAGAAGCTGAGCTCCTAGCTGTCTCCCTTTCTTTGTACGGCAGCATCTGCCAAGTCGGTATGCGGACCGACCGGTGAAACAAGTGTGCTGTTGACTCTGGTGGGCATTTCCAAGTGGGCTGAGTGATACACCATGGCTGGGATCGACGTCAATCGAGGTCAGATATTCGAGGACATACGGTCCCCAAGAGGAGTCCGGGTACTTGGCGATGCTCAAATTGGGAGCACGCACGGCCTGTCAGCAATGTCTGGGACATGCTTGCTGTCATGGGAACAGGCCCGGCTGTTTGTTTCTCGTACTGCAAGCCGTCAGCTGGGTGAAGGGAGGGCTTTGTTTGCAAGTTGCCATCGTGTAGAGTCGTTTGAGGCCACTCATACTCTAGACGACGATAAGTGAATCTTTCCCTGCTTCCACATCAACCTTGAATCTTGATTAAGATCCACTTTTCAAGCACCTGGGCAGTCTTCCACCCCTTCCTTCCACAGCCCCCCCCCCCCCACCATCTTACCTTCCTCCCCAAACGCACAGAACATACCTACACAACGTTGCCAAAGTCAAGCATCTGCCAACCTTGGAACCTTTGGAAGTCAGCCAGCACCGACAAGATGCAACTCAAGACCGGGTTCTACTACATCTCCACCATCGCCACCAGCCCCTGGGGTGAGCGTTGGGTCCAGCGCGACACCGCCGAGAACAATTCGCTGCTCTCCAAGCCCGTCAACATCCAGGTCGACGAGGCAGGCGCAGCCCAGGTGAGTAATCTTCCAGTACTCCTACATTTACCCTACTGCACATGCAAAAACACTGCCTGAGGAAATCATACTGACGCAACTCTCGTTTGGCAAAGTGGTACGTCGAGCAGGTCGGCGACGAGCAGATCTTCCAGATCTATGCCGGCTCAATCGACGCCGACCCAGTCATCACCATCGACCAGGATGGCAAGCTCTTTGCCGACATCAGCGGCAACGGCCCCGCGCAGAGCTGGACGGTGAAAGCGTGTGAGCAGACCTGTGAGGAGGGGGTTTACATGTGAGTTGTTTGTTTGCTATGACATGTCGAACGGGAGTTCCAAACGCTGACTCCACCTTTTCTTCTTCCCAAGTGTGCAGGATGACAAGGGAAATGCCTGGCAGACTCCACAGTGCGATGAAAAAGACCCCCAGGTAAGTTCAATCATGTCCACAGGCATGTTTGCCACACACTGCCAGTGTACTTTTGATCAGAGTTCGCTAAGCAGCGTTTGCCGACTTCACATAGATCCTGATCGAATCTCTTGTCATTACCGCCATCTACCCTCCCCGGTACCCGACCTATGCGCAGTTCAAGTTTGCCAATGTCGACGATGTCGACTAGATGGGCAATGCGGCACCTGGGTTCGTGACCGCGGATGAGAGATCCTCCGTTTGAGAGCCAAATATGAGGCTTGCTCTCCAGTTTAGGGACCCGAGGTTCAATTCCTGGTTAATGACTTGACCTAATTGGGCGGTCACTTCAAGTTTGCTGCTTGAAGGCTTTTGGCCAGACTTGCCATGCCGGGGCAAGAATGAGCCAGTTGAGGATTTGAAGTCTGCTGGCTTCTCCAAATGCTCATGCAAATGAAAAGTCCGTCAAAGAAAGAAGATCAATTCCCTAGGCCAAGTGAAAAGCATCGCTATTGATTTGGATGTCAATACCAAATGTAATTATCCACTCCGTCGCCATTTATCCCGGAGACATTCGAGCAACAACCGCTCCAAATCCGAAGAATACAGATCCACCTCACCAGTTGACCCTGGCATCCACCATGCAGACCTGCCATTCCTAGCCACCATGCCCAGAATTCCGTCCTGAACCCCTTCAGAGAGTCCTGTAGTCCATGGAGTAGTGTAGTATCGTGTCATAGTTATCGGTGGTCGCTGTGTAACTCGTGGAAGTCCGCGGTGGTGCCCTCTCTTCCTGAGCAACCTCGACCCCGAAAGGGTCGACAAACCTACCATCCTCAAACTCGTCCCCGCGGTAGAAGTTCTCGTGCCGGTTTGCTACCCATTTGGCGCGAGGGGGTTTGGACCGCGGGGCAGCGGTGCTCCTGGTCGAGGAATCGTGTGAGTTGTCTCCGTATGCACCAGTAGCAGCATGTCCCATGCCGCTGCTCTCTCCAGGGTAGTCCATGCCCTCTCCCATGTAATATATACCTTGGACACCAGCGAACTCGCCGCCGTATGGATCATCGGGATCATCGTACATCATGCCGCCCTGGCCTGGCGCCGGAACAGGTCTACCGAACGGACCAGGTACCGTGTTCGCCTTCTTCCCCTTCTTACGGCGGCGGGACCTGTATGCCTCCGGTGGTACGGGCAAGTCGTAGACCATGTCGTCTTCAGGAAACGCTGTCGGGACAGGTCCCATCTCAATGTTCTCGCCGGCGTAGGGATCGTCGGGGTCTCCGACATCGTACATCATGTCAGTGCCGCCGCCGGCCGACATGTGTGCCCGCTCTGGTGGCACGGGCTTGGCCTGCCGCGACCTTCCTCTTGGAGGCTCGGCCACTCGATCATTATTAATAAGGTCCGCGATATCCGGGTCGGCTGCGCGATTCCTGATGTACTCCCGGGCGAATTCCAAACCACAGGGGGCCCAAGAGACCCTGAAGTAAGAGCCATCCAGACGTTGAATGGAGGGTGACACAATCGCTACATCCTTGCATCCGGGATGATTGGATTTACACTGGTGGATCTCCTTGAAGTCCCTCTTTGAGCTCTTGCCGCTCTTCGTAGAAGGGCTGCGGTGGCGCGCCTGCTCCGAGTGCACCTCATGAGAAGCTCCACATCCCATGGTGGGATTTTGAGGCTGATAACATACGTCTGCTTCAGGATGGTTGCATTTGTCTTCTTCTTGGGATATCCAGCAAGTTTCTGTTTGAGAATGTCGCTTTGATTCGTTCTCGCTGTCTTGGTTAAGGTCCTTGCACAATCGTAGTTCGTCTTGTGTTGCGTGTACACGGATGCCAGCATTGCAGGGAGGCAGAAGCTGTCCACTGGCGAGATATTTATATCTCCCATTTGAAGACATCACCATGATCTGTGACCAACAACTTCTGGAGACTTGGTGAGAGTAACTAGTGACTGGTAATATTGGTTGCATGAACGACTATTTGGCGAGTAACATGCATTGATGCCATTCACACATAACTGCAGAAGGCCTATGGATACCTACCTAGGTAGGTATTTGCAGGGCAAGAGCCAGATTCTAAGCATTATAGAGCTACATATACCATAGTATGCAGATCTTAACTTCCGTACATATTTCATTTTGAGGTGATTGGAAACGAAACCATCTGCATAGCGCTATCCGCCACATTTTTCAAACCCAGGACTGCTACTAATCCGTGCGGCTCCTTGTCAAACTTTCACATTGCCAGACATTTCGCAATTCGTCGTATTGAAATTCACACTGTAGGGCTGAAGGTATGAGATTAATTCCAATTTGAGTCAACGCAAAAGTATCGTAGGTGTCTGTTCAAAAGACAAAATTCGAAATCAAAACCCCACAACCTTGGAAACGAGCCATGGGCGCCCACTTCTTGTTCTCTTTTCCATAAAAAAAATCGGCGCAGTGGAAGGTCGCAACCCATCTCTCGAAACTACCCATAGACATCCTGCAGCGGCCATCCCCATGTGTAGAACCCATGTTCACACTATTCAACCGAGATGCAGGTTTTCATGCTAATAGCACCAAGAACTGACAGCTTCACTCGTCCCACAGCCTGTCGTGCCCAAAAAGAAAAAGGCGAAAAAGAGGGAAAAAAGACCAAGCAAAAAAACACCGGACGTGATAAGGCATCACGTAACATCAACTTTCGCCAGAGCCTAAAGAAGGCCTTCAAACCCAGTATTCCATACGTGAGAGATTGTACCTCGGCGAGAGTGTGCCTTGTGGTTCCCTCCACTCTGAGGCTACTCATTTTCTCGGTCATAAAATTTGTCATCCGAGAGCATCTGCGGGTGGAAGGGCATCTGCGGCTGAGGCATGTAATACTGCGTGTGAGTGGATCTGGGCGGCTGAGACACAGGCGTCCCGTGTGTCGAATTTGTGTGCCCACTCGAGAGGGATGGAGTATTCCGCGGTGTGATCTTGCCATCGTATCCTCTGGGGAGTTGCGAATTAGTCGGATAACCCTGTTGCCCTTCAGGGTAATCCGGCTCCCTGGCTGGATCAAACTTCATCCAGTAAGGCCGGGGAGTTCGACGCTCCGGGAGATTATGTTGCGGACTGCCCGAAGTCGAGGGCTCTCTCTGATACGGAACCAGGCTCATATTTCTCATTTCCTGGACCAAAGGCGTGTCCTGGCGGGAATGCATGCTCCGAGATGGAGACCGACGTGACCTCTTGGATCTAGGCCTTCCCAGTCAGTCTTCTTTCCACAGAGGTGGGCGAGGCCTGTCATACATTCCTGTTGCCGCGCCCATGCTCTCATGCTGGGACGCACTGGGCATGTATTGTTCGTTGGGAGGTGAGTAATCCTGTTCTTGGGAAAGACCTTGTCCCCAGCGTGGAGGCGGCTCCCTGTAGCCCCTCTCGGGTTCATACTCATCCTCGTCCCCTCCTGTGCCGGACTCATTCATCGACCCTCGGTATCTGGGATTTTGGTACTCTGGGTAGTAGCGCATGGTTCACCGCCTGATTCCGAGCCCTCATAAGAACCTTCCTGTCCACCGGACATGCCCTGCCGAGAGGATGCGTATGACGAGGCAACATCAGCCTGAGGCTGTGGCATCCGGTCGTTGTGGTACTGCTGACGGGGGTCCACTTGCGTGTGCACGCTCTGAGGTACAGTACTTGTCGGTGGAACATCCCTACGATGCGAGTCTCGGCGGTGCTGGCCGCGGTGTTTTCTGGGCTTTGGCTTTCCATGAATCGGAAGCCGGCTAATGTAGTCGTGCTCATGCAACTCGTGTGACCCTCCCAGGTAAGCGATGGGCCCATGACTGGGAAGATTGCTCTGTCTCTTGGATCGAGTATGCTGTTCATTTCTACCCGAAAGGTATTCCAGGGCTCCTATGGCCAGGCTTTTACCATGCCGGTCTGGCATGCTGTCGGTCTTGGGGCGTGTCTGGGCAACACGCGTTAGCATCATGGCAACCTATTTGGAGCAGCCGCGACATACACTGTAAGGGATTTTCAAGCTTGACTGTGTGCCGTTAATTCCAGCATTTCAGGAAGGTAGAAGCTGTCTCCTAGCGAGAATTTATACTTCTAAACTGCAGCTATCACCAGAATCTGTGATCAAGGATGACTAGAGACTTGAAGTGAGTAGTTGGGGATATTCGCTACACTGGCATTAGCGGATCTGAGTAATGCCCTTATACATAAGATCAATGATTTGAAATTTCCAGTGAGTTAGTTGAAGCGAAGTTAGTAAACAAGTATCATGTTACTAGAGCTTGGTCCTTGCATTGTCTTCCACAGTTGGATAGTTGGACTCTAATACAGTTGCAGGCCTCTTAAAACCAGGGCTCTAAGGGAACCAAACCGTGCCTAGGCCCTTGTGAATTATACTTGAACTCCCCTATCGTACTTCAAGGGAATATTTCTTGCACCTTTAACACATGTCTATACTATTTATCAGCCAGGGAGAGCTCAAACTTTAGACCAATTCAAGTGAGGGCTATAGAGGAGCACGCCACGGGTGCAAAAGGCAGGAAAGTTGTAAACCACGCCAAGACTTTGGGGCACTTCAAACGAATTTGGAAAAGATAGTTCACAATATGACATTACATCTCGCATTTGTGGGCATATTCACCGAGCATCCATGAATAGCAGCAAGAGATCGTTGATTCCGCGGTAAACTCAAAATTTCCGGCTGGCCTGACAGCAGGGAACAAGGACCAGAAGAAAAAGAAGAAGAAAACCAATGTGTGGCACGAGTAGTCCCCAAAACCCGCATCCATGCGATTCCGTCGCTCATTAACATTGAAATATGACCGTGTGCCGAGCTCATGTCCACACCATCCAGCCGAGGTGCGGATATTCGTGCGAGCCAGCCAGCACAACTAAAATCTTGTGGCGTCCATGTTCTCCCGGGCATGTCGCCCCCATTTCCCATCATCAAAAAAGAAAACCAAAAAGGAAAAGACAAGAAATAAAGAAGAGAAGAGACAGCGCGGACTATCCGGCCTCCAGTCCCCGGGCTTCGCCAAGGAAACGACTTTCAATGTCGCGTGCTCCATTCCGTAGCTCAAGACGAGAAACCTCATGACACCTGGGAATACCCTTCGTGCTGGCATATAGTGCCGTTCTACGAATGGCTTCTGTATGAGTCAGGGGGCGTTGGCTCATTGTAGAACTGTGGACGTCTGAGTACTGGCTGTCCGCCACCGCACTGGGGCGCGTAATTAGCAGTCATTTGCGCCATTCCAGCTTCCCGCATCGCCTCCGCCAACTTCTCCATATGCTGCGCGGAGGTCATCTGCCTCGCCCAATCCACGATGGTTCCATCGCTTGAGAGGGTAGAGACTGTTGATGGTGGACCAGCGCCCATCGCATAAGAAGTTTGATACGATCTCGCGGACTGTTGGTCCATCCCAGAATGCGAAGCGCCTCTGTACACAGGCATTGAGCTCTGGTAAACCCACATCGCCGTTGCATTTGGATATTGGCCATACGCCTCCTGTGACTCGCCATATGCCTGGTTGTGATGAACACTACGGGTCTGTCCTTCGAAAGGGCCCCATTGTTGTTCGCCCGGCAGACTCCCATGCATACTGGGAGGCGGACCCATTCCATGAAGAGAGGCCACGCCCCTGGACCAATTGGAGTAGTTGCTTGGAGCCCCGTGTTGGGCCTCCCACTCCTCTTCCTCATCATAACTGCTCGACCGACTGGAAGCCTCCCACACAGAGTGTGTGGACGCCGGATTAGAAGGGGCCTGGTGACTAGGGGCCATCTGTTGACTCACGCCTCGGCTGAGGGGGGTGCCGGGGTTGCTGGAATATGGTCCGCCATGCCTCTGGGCTTGAGATTTCTTGGAGCCCTTTGATGGGCGCGGTCTATTTTTGTAATCATACCCGTGGGCCTCTTGCATGTGGTCGACGGCTTCTCGTTTCATGCATGGAACCCACTCGACCGTCCACAGAGGACGTCCGTGGCTGCCGTGGACCGTATGTGACGTCGATGGATTCCTGTGATTAGAATGCTTTGGATTGTGGTTGCAACGAAATTCCGTAAAATCAAGTTTTTGCTTGCGACGCGGATGTCCGCCACTTAAATATGTTCCGACGCGAACCGCCATATCTCGAGACATGCTGTCGGCTCCAGGACTTGGTAAGTGGCTACCAAACACACATTAGCATCGTCGCAAACTCTTGTGGGCAGCCGCGGCATACATGTTTAAGAGCTTTGCAAGGTTGACTGTGTGTCGTTAGCGCTCTGGTGGCTTTGACTATGGATGTCCCTTGGGTCAAAAAGGTTAATGTCATTGTTTTGGTACGAGGCTCGAAGACTTGCAACCCAGAAGCGGCGAATTTATATTCGTCTGTCAAGCCCATCTCTAAGATCTGTCACTCGCTGTAGCATGATGAATTGACGGCTGTGATATTCTCGAATTTATGACTGATATGGAGACACTCGCGGCGTGTAGTTGGGACGATGGCCGTGAATCAATGTTCATGATGAGCCTTTGGGCTTTTACCGAGCATACAGGCTCTTTACATTCATGAGCCTCCGCCTCGCCCCAAGGTCCATCTCGTCTAGCATTGGCAACAATTCGGGTATGAAGGTTGAGGCCAGGGAGACCGTTCGTCCGGTGCAGCATTTGAAAATAGCTGCCGTGCCGGGCATCTCGGAACCACAGATGCGAGCACTGTTGTGGATTGCATGTTGCATCCCAAAAATGATGAGCGTTTGTGAATAGGGAATTATGTCGGCTTGTCGGTCTGTGAAACCCCCCGACGACAATGGATCTTGTCAAGTCTGTTTGGAATTTGAGATACAAGTTGTGCAGAGATCCCAAAGCATGGTGTGGGCGAGATGGCATTCAAGCTACCAGCCACGAGAGGCACGCCTTCAAAGGATGCGGCAAAGGTACAGTGCTGCGTCACGCTGGCCCAGAACGGTCTTAATGTGCGTCAGTGTATTGGTAACTACGGCATGTATTCTTCAACACAAAACCAGTCTTGCTCTCAGAAAACGTGAATCATAACCTGAACAATGTTGAGGATGCGAACACGGTCAAAGGGAGCTCAAACTTGGCAGCTGGAACATACGCCAAAAACTGATTATGTACAAGCACGCCCACCTTTTGGCCTCTCCTGTGAATGGACAGCCCTGGAGGGTGCCCTTACCTGCCTCAAACAAAATCCTCGCGCAATCTTCTGATTTTAGGCGCACTTCTTATAATTGTCACTTAATGAAGGGCGGATTCTCCTTGGACTTTCGGTCATGCTGCACTGGCAGGGTGACGAGTACCCAGTGAAATCTTGTCTCTGATCGAGACCATTTGGGGGCCATGTGGGCTGAGCCCGTGTTTCCCTTTGTGGTGTGATTCACAAGGAAGAGGGCAATGCTCCAATGGCGTGATTCACCATATCAAGTGGGAGCATCTGCGGTTAGGGAAGCCTGGAAAGCGTTGTACGTTCCAAGGCTTGATAGGATCGACCAGACCTCCAGACACACTCATCCTTCAGTACCCTGTAAGAATGGTAAGAACATAGATGGACTGCCGGCAGCCCCCATTCCTGCAGGCCTCCCTTGCGGGGGGGGGGGGGAGATGAACTCCGAGGTGAAGCTGTTGAGCAGCGGCGTGCGTCCTACACAATAGGCTCCAGAATTATCTCCCTTGATGGGATTGGGCATATGGGATGCTGTGGAGCCCCTTCACGGCAAGCTCTATGCAACCGATTGCAAGAGCTTGACGCCGTGTGAGGCCACCGTTCATCCGGAAGTCGACCTGAGTACAAGTAGGTACATCTGCGGTTCACATTCCAAGTACCCGCAAACTCCAGTCACAGGCCATTCCGTGTAGGGGGTTTGCGTCTAACGCCCGTGGACTCCAGTAATTTGCGGTCACAATTACCACCATGCTGGTTTGTCGTACGTGAAAATATCCTGCTGCCTGTGCTGCCCGCAGCACTGATGTAACGATTTCGCTGGCGCAGCGTTTGACGATATGCAAGCCACATAAAACTTTGCACAGCATTCAGGAGACTGCGTTCCCATGTTTCGTTACATCTCTGATGGGCCCATAGAAGTCGATGAGGCGGAAGATGGACCAACAATGGTACATGATATTTCGTGGACGGTCAGGGGCATTGCACGAATCATGTGTACTGCCATCGCCTTTCGTACGTTTTGTTATTTCAAGGTTATTATGCACGAAGGATTGAGGATTCCATTGACTGATGAGTGTAGTGGAGATAGTCCACCACCATTCTATCGCGCCAGGAAGCTTGTCGCGCGGCTGGACGGCCTCAACAACCTTGGAAGCCTAGGCCAATTTCAACACCGCATCATGGCCCTCAGCCTCCACGCGCTCTCCTCAAGGCAACAAGATTAGTAGACCAGCCATCTTGTCCCCTTCATACAAGTCGGCCCGTTCTACGGCCAGTCTATCTCGGGGCTGCCGATGGACTGGAGAAGAGAACATGATCTGGTATGTGGGCGGGCAAAAAGGGGAACATGGACGAACTGCAAGCCTCCCCAAAGGCCCACCAGACAGAAAGGGACCTTGTGTAGGTAGCTTTCTTCAGTTCCTCCCAGAAGCCCCCCTTGCTTGGAAGGCGACCAAACAAAAGTCCGCTGTTAGTACGGGGCGCTAGAGGGGCGGGAAGGATTCAGTGCTGCTCAAGCTTGAGGGCAATCTGGCTTCGCTTGTCCCCCCAATGGCACCCAAGATTGATCTCAGGTAGTGACCAACCGGGAGATTGGAGGACGGCGCAGCTCTAGCCCCAAGGCATTTATTCAAGGAATCATCATCATCATGCACTACGGGCCGAGCAGATCGGTCTTGATTACCGAACGCGGAACAGACCCGTCGATGGTTCACAGTCTTGATCAACTCATCATGACTTGTCTCGACATTTTACCCCGGATTTTGGCAATTAGCGAGAGGGATAAATACCGAAAGGACGCGAGATTGGCAGGCCATGGCATGGCATGGCACCTTGGCCAGGGCAGGCGGAGGAAACATGGCATGCTGCTAAATTAAGACGTCTGGTAAGTCTGTGTTGCCCCTGGCTGTCCGTGACCTCTTCAGCTCCGGTGTCGAACAGTGCACGACTTCCAGACCGCGATGATACCGGGGCTACGCGAGATGGTTGGACCACTTACTCCTTTTCGAAGACGAGCTGATGCGAGTGGCGGTCCCCAAACACCGGAATGACCCAGATGCTGTCAAGCAGGCAGACGGGTCCAAACATTCACTCCGGGACCCTCATGAGTGGAGGGACCTCAACGGCATATGGCGTCCCCACAGAAAAGATTCCCGGGGAATATCTCCGTGCCAATCTGATCTATGCAGACCGCGTCCAAACACTCCCCTCAAACCCACATAAACACCTAACCAGAGCGAGACCAATCCCTCGAGGACAAGAAAGATCAACGAGCGGTCAATATTTCATGCAACACAACAGAGAGCACAGGCAAGCATTGTGGGGGGAGGGAATGCGGGTTTGGAAGCGGGCTTGGGGAGCGGCCCGCCTTCACCACTCACGGCGCCGAGAATTCTGTTGCCTGGAGCCGGGAGCCGGGGGTACTGGTAGCACAAGGGACACCAAGGGGGGGTCGCAAGCCACCACCTGGTGCTGCGGCGGGTCTCAGATATTTTTCTTTTGGCGCGTTGAGGCCAGCAGGATTCTGGCGGGGCCGGATATCCAAAGCTTGGACGTGACAAAGGGGGGAGATCAGTGCCCTGGCCCTTGGTTCTAGAAGGGATATTCGATGCAATAAAGAATCGTGGCATGAGTTGTCGTAGTCGTGCTGGTGGAGATGTTCGGGCAAGACCCCCCTGCGCCTGTCCTTTTTGGGTGGCGACCTCTGGGCGAGATTTATCTTCTCCTTGTTGGAAAACTCAGCTTCCACAATAGTCAGAGACTAACCATGATCATCGTCCCCTGCGTCTCTAGGCGATCTCCTAATTGATCATGGCCCGGTCCGTTTTACGTACAGCAAGAGCACGGAGGCTTTACTGGGCATTGGCCAGCCCGGCCATAGTCTGGACTGATCAACAACACCGGTGGATCATCAGCTCGGTATCTAGTCGCAATGTTCCGAGCGAATACCACGTATGATCTGCCCCGCTGCTAAACTTGCCCTTCCCAGAAATACAGATGCCTGGAAAGACAACAACCGCCGACGTCCATCACATATCTGCTGCAGGACTGAGTGACAAACCAGGCGGCCCGGAGGAGGGGTGCAAATAGGGGTCCCACCCAAACAGAAACTTGGAACCTTTGGGAACATGTGCAGTCATGAAACATTTCACTGTCCGGCCCTATCCCAGACGTTGACATGTCCATCCGTTGACTGACTCTGTATTACAAAATGCAATTTCACAATAACCTCAATCCAAGAAACCATACCTATACCATTGCACACACAGACACAACCCGTCGAAACCTTCCCTTGTTCCCCGATTCCATGTTCCAAAAATAGCAACAGAAGCCCTGGAGCTCCACACCACCCCCGTACGATATGAGCCTCCGTGTAACCCCCTGCCCGGCAGTGCCCATACTATGTACCAACCAACTGCTGCGTGCATGCATACCTACTTACAGTAGTCTACCGTTGCGAGAATGAAAACTTATCAACCAAGCCCTGGCAAGCTAGGTTCCGATCTTCCGGGGGGCGAACAACTATGTACTACGCCTCCCCGCCTGAGCCATGTTGTCCCGACGTGCAAGCCGGGCCTTTTAGCGAAAGGCAAAGACGGTAATAAGGAGAGAGGGTAACCAGGCATTGTCTCAATGTGGTCGTCCTAAAGTCTGACTGACGTCTTTAGCAGCACCCACGCCTCGGGAGCTAACTTGTTCTGGGAACTCATGCATACCTACTTACAGTAGTTGATGTACATACATAGATATCAGTCGTGTCTGGGGACCACAGAACGTGAGAATCGCCACTTCCAGTATGTACCAGTGGGCCACCACTACGGACTCCTTTCCAGGCGACAAGAGTAGAACACGAGGCGCCGAGTCGAGCTGTTGTAGATCAGATGACAACGTGGGTGAGGGGGGACTCCCCACGGGGGTGAGAAAAAAAGCAAAAAGAAGAATTAAGGGGGCCAGAAAGGGAGAAGGGGAAATCCTCTCCCGTTCGCCACAGCGTGGCACAGAGACACACACAGAGAAACTAACAAAGTTCCTAATCTATGTTACCCGTCCGCAGCGAGGACAGCCACTCGCTACCTTGCCTCAACGGCGGTCAAGACCCAGCGTAGCAGGCAGTTAGTCAAACATTGCCTTCAGCCTGCCTAAGGCCCCCAAAAACAGGTGGACCATTTCAACAGATAACGCAGAACATTATCTCGGGACAATGGAAGCGCCGTGACACCACCCACATGCGGCCCGCGAACGCCTCCAACGGACGATGGCTGCTTACCGGCGGCGCCAGAGGGCACAGCACCGAGCGAGCGTGCGCCTGAACGGGCAATGAGTGACTAATCAGCTGGTCACCTCTTCGTGTCGGATACTGGACGACGACACGCATTGGATTCCCCAATGCTTTACTTTCAGACACATCTACTAATGAGTGCTATAGGTAGGAGACGACAAGGTTCATCTCATCCTTCTCTAGCTCAGCCCGCACCGAACGGACCTCACACTGTATCCAAGTTATCTGGAAAGCAAATGCCTACACTTTGATTATCTGTAGCCAGCAAAAAGGTCGGGCTCTTTTCGGGGGACAGATGGAACGTAAAAGACTACCTAGGTAGCTACCAAACTTAGTCCAACAACACCAGCTCAACTCATGAAACCATACTGCAGAATCTCAACCGCTACGTTTCACAAATCGCTAGGATAGGAAAATAAAGGGGGGCGTATGTCTATATATGTGAGGATAGCTCGCTTATGTAGCAAAGTAAGTATGAATCGACCACAGTCTGTATGTGTGTGTGTGTGTATCAAAGCCCCCTCTCAATCGGCCCTAACCGCCCGTGGCTGTGTCGATGTGTGCCCAGGTGTGCGTGTGTGTGCGTGCATGTGTGTGAGTGCACACGTGCTTTGCCGTCCTTGGTTTCGCCCCCCACCCCCCAAGGCAATTAGTTAACCAAGTATCCCAAGGAGATATCTATCTCAGGCCTGTCTCACGTGGGGCACTGCGCTACCAACCCGTATGTGTGCCAGAGAAGTGTGTGCCACAAAGCTGACTACATGGATACATATTACCCTCTGCCCCGTTCCCCCGGTCCACCATGCGCACAATGCATATTTAATCCTGCTGCCTGTGTCGATCTCCTGTGGGTGTGCGGTGGTGCGGTGGAGACCCTTCTTGTTTTGTCCTGCATGCATGGATGGGGCCACTGTTGAAGGGGGGAGAAACTTGAAAGGGTCGGGACTAGACCGTCTTTGGACAAACGAGAGGACTTGACATGACGCGATTGGCGATAGATGGACTAGAGAGAGCAGAGAACGGATGACCGGCTTGATGCAGTGCGTGTTCAGTAGTAGTCAAATTCTGATACATTTTGATTCATTATTAGAGTAGCAGAATAATGAGATCGTGGTCCAAAATCTGCCTCTTTTTGAAGCTAGGACTGATGCTAACCTCCGCCGCTTTATTGGATATATCCTCCAATTTTCATTAAGATCGCCAAGTAAAACCGTAGGCTGATGCCTCACGGTGTACAGAATCCCATCCAGAAAAGATCTTTTTAGTTTTAGTAATACAATAGTAGTAACCAGAGCGTCTCGAGCACTGCGATCACGCCCTTGCTTCCCAAATACCCAAAGAAACCTGGCCCCTCATGGTCTCGTTGTAGCATGTCGCCCTCCCAAAAACGCCGGAACCCTTCAAAACCCGCCACTAAGCATATCTGCCGCCTGTGAACCACAGCTCTTCCGACCTAGTGGACAGTGACCTGCTGAGCCCAGGCTGTATATCAGGCCCACTGTAGCTGGACACCGGCGAGACCACGACGTTGTTAAGGGTGGCAGTGCCTGGCTCTCCGCTGAGGACGGAGACCGCTGCTCCTCCTCTTCCTCCTGAGGTGCTGCTTTCTGGAGGCATGTGTGCGACTGCCCAGCCCAGGGCCAGCTGCTCCCGCACGTGGTCGCGTGTTGTCGGCGGAGGATACAGGGCAGTTGCCATTGGTTGCCGCTCGCCACTGTTCCACCACTGGTTCTCGAAGCCATTGTCCACCGTCATCATTGCTGAGCCAAGCGCCTCCAGCTCGCGGACCCGCTCCGGGTCTTCCCTTCGATACCGCGGTGACTCGACGGGAGACTCGATCTGAACGACTGTAGGACTGGTAGGTGCCTCCTCCGAGGCCTGTGGCACCACCTGGCTGTGCTGTGGATCGGGAGAGGCGTGGGAGGAAGGCGGCTGGAGGAAAGGGTCCGGCTCCATGAAGGGCTCCCAACCCACGGGGACCTCCCACGACTCCCAAGGCATGCCTTCTTCTCCAAGCCGGAAGCGCGTTGGCACCTCGGGCAAGTCCTTCCACACATCCGAGACTGGTCGGTCGGCGGTGGCATATGCCACCGAAGAGCCCGCTGCGTTGTCAGCCATGAGCTGAGGGTGGACCACGTCCCAGCTGTTGTCGCTGAGGGGTGGAGGTGCCGAACGCCCCCTCCCGTGTCGTTCGCCAGACGCTCTCCTCTCTTCCCGAGATGGCCGTTGCTCCTCCTGGCCTTCTTCAGGCGGCGGGGCGAAATCGACCTGCCTTGAACGGTTTTGTTGGTGTTGTTGCGGGTGGCGTTGCTGTTGTGCTTGTTGAGGTCGTGGTGGCCTCTGTTGTTGTTGTGATGGTTCTAGAGAGCGTTGTTCGTAGAACTGGGGCACTTGAGCCTGCTGAAATTGTTGTATAGACGAGGCAGCGAGATAGTTGGTGGTCGGGGCCGGTACGTGTCGTGGAAAATGGGCTGCTCTCTCCCGTATGGCGCGTGACCTATATTGAAAACCACGAGGCCGGGGGGCATGCTGGGGAGACCACGACACGCCGAACTCGACTTTAACAAAGACTTGTGGCCTTTGCAGGGCGTGGGCACTCGGCCGCGTCAAAGGATTGTCCATGACGGAGTCAGTTCTCCAGTGCGTGACCATCGGGGTTCGCGAGGCAAGTTATAAGAAGTCTAGCCGTTGGGGGACGATAGTGGTACCGAGCGGATCCAGCAGTAACACTAAGCCAGCGGTAAGAAACAGGCGCCACCAAGGTACCAAGTAAAAGTGGCTGTTGTCCGAGGTGGAGGGCGAAGTATGCGAGCTGGCGAGTTGGTGCAGATCTTGTGTTGGTCTGCGTTCCACAGCAAAGGTCGGTCACACAAGTAGACCAGTGTCGGACGTAGTGGGTGGCAGTCGTATCTTGATGTCACCTTGGGGGAGATATTGTATGCACGCACGCGTTGCTTCCTCGGCGGTCCAGGGGTCAAGGTGGTGGTCCTCTGGGGGGTGCGAGTAGAAGTAGGCAGACGTGTATCATGTACCCCGGCCGAAATTACGGGGAATACTCGCCAGTACCAGGGCCGGGCAGATCTGAGGTACCCCTGAGGGTGAGCTGTCAGGAGGATGAGTGGCAGTGACTTTGCGAGTGGCGGGCTTGCGAGATGTGGTCGCTGCCGGGGGCCGCCGCTGTGGATGTTTGTCTCCCCAGCAGGTCGGGACGGGGTGGGCGGAGCGGTGACGGCCAGAAGGACGGAGACGTCCAAGACCCAGAATGGCACCAGCACCGGAATGGTAAGCTAGATTGGTAACCAGGAATCAGAATGGGTAAAATCCTGAAGAGGCCTGACAGGGGAGACCCGATCTGAAGGAGACGAAGCTGCTTCCTTGGTTCACCAGGGGTCTGCAGAGAGTGGGGCTGATGCTAGTCGCTTGCGTCCTTCGAGAATGTGGTAACGTGGGCGACTGAGCAACTAAGTGGACCTGGACTCGGGCTTCCGTGTTCCGAAGCCACGGCTTGAGCCCAAGGAAGAATTGAATGTTGCCTGGCAGTAGCCGCGGGTGAGATGGAGGATTTCAATGCAAGATAGTGATCTCTGACGTGCCGGGCGTCAGATTGTGGCTGTCTGCTATGCCGCCACCGGACTGGACTGACTGACTGACTGGAGCCCTCGTTGCAGATGCGAGAGGGCAGCTTAGCTGAGCTTCAAGACCCTTTGCTGAACCACGTTTTGCTGGTTGTTCCACCGTTCCCTGTGCTTCCTGGGTGCAGAGTAGCACCCGCCTGCTGGGCTGGCGGACGGACAAGTGCGAGCGAGCAAGAGGATCGGGAACGCTGCCCCGGTGGTCACGGTGCTGGGGCTGTGCTCGTCTGGTGGAAGGGCCAACTCATCGAGGGAGCGCCACACATGCAAAGTCAGCAGCAGGCAGTAGGTGTGCTGCTTATTGATCCTTCAGAATCTCGCGGGTCCGAGGAGGGAGTGGTGATCCGGGACTTGTTGCAGGTACAGCCGACGGAGGCGGGGCGGAGATGACAGGAAGGACGGACAGGATGTTCCAAGGTTGGCGGCGGAATGACGAGGGAGTGGAAATCTGGTAGGCGGGGACGAGGCGAGGTTGGACTAATAAGGCTAATATGAAGGACGGGCGGATGTCACGCACGTCCTCGTGGTTTGTTTCTGATATGGCGCATGGGATGCTGCCAATCTCGTCGCGGGAGCACAGAAGTCTGTGTTGAATCTAGCTAGCTAGGCCCGAGGCTTGGCTGGGCTTGCACTGCTTGCGCACCTCCAGGGCTGGCTGCTGGCTGCTGGCTGCCCGGGCGGTGGGCGGGTGAGGGCGCCACGAGAGCTGCAGGCTGGTGTGAATGGGCTTGATGTGGCCGGTTTCACATACAGTCGTACGGACTGGAAACGAGCATAAACGGCTGGATATGTTTGGTATGCCTGGAAATGTAGATGAGACAGATGGCTTGGCTCGAGTTGACCTCAGCGTAACGCCGATTCGAGTCTTGTCCTGTCTTTAGAGTGGCGAGAATCACCATGGACTGATGGACTGATGGACGATGGTATCCTGTCCCCGCGGGCCAGCCACGGCGAGAGGTGGTTTGATTTGGCGGGCGACGGCGTGGATCACACACCTCTGGTCGATCAAATGTGGTCTTATAGTAGGTAGTTGTCTTGTTGTATTGTGAGAGTCTCGTCAGAGATCACGGCGAGGCCTGCACGCGCATTCGTATCGTGAAGCAGTGAAGCAGGACCATGCTCGTGTGTGCCGTTGTTGCGATGGCTTCATAACCTGGGCTGGCATTCCACTCGAGGTTGAATGAGGTCGTGGGCAAGTTTCATCGTTGAGCTTGTTGGTTCGGATGGACATGGCTGACATGTCCCACTGCAATGCACAGCAGTGGCAAAGCACATGGAGAATGAGGGGTTGGCCGCCGTTGGTGTTGCTGCAGACCCTCGCACCTGCCCTGCAAAGCATCAGTACCCTGTGCCTGTCTACCCGCGGTGGCAGCAGCTGCCCGACCGAGCAGATCATCAGTGGCTGACCAAGGAAGGGGCAACTACTGTGTAACTAACTGACTTCCCTGACTGCCTGACAAGACTGATTGCCCAACAGGACTAGTGCAAAAAGATACAGAGGTACATCACATGCCTCGATTCTATTTTGAGCCTGACAGCTGCGCTGCGCCCACTCGGACATGATCCCACCACCACGCCCCATGTGTATCCCGTCAGTGCCAGCAACTCATCTTGTGCTGCTCATCTCACCACGACGCATACTCACGACGACAGCCGTCTTACCACCAGACAAGGCAGCAGGATAATGTGAGAGACTGCAGCAGCAGCAGCAGCAGCACCATCACAAACCGTCTCGACCGAGGCCATACTCCAAACTGGTGATGCTGAGCCTGGCTGGCTTCTCAGTCAGTCGCCACCGGGCCCAGCCACCTCGGCCACCTTCCACGCCTGATCCTGAAGACCTGTGTTACAATATTCTTAGACCGCGTCTCTTCTTTCAGTTTCTCGTCTTGCAACGTTGTGACCTGCCACTGCGACCCTGCCCTTCAACACGTGGACACCGCCTGCTTCTCAACCAACATCGCGCATGGACAAGATCCGGAGCTGACTGCAATCTATTGAGAATGGTCTTCTTATTGCAACCAACTTGGGTATCGTGCGAACTCTATCAAGTACAAAAAGAGAAAGAGAGAGAGGGAAGAAAAAAGAGTCAAGAATACAACCCAACATTCCAAACACGTGCTGCCAACCACTTCAGCTGCCAACCACTTCAGCTGCCAACGTCCGAATATCCAGCACAAGAGGCTGAGCTGGAGAGAAGCCATTGGCATTGATCGTGAGAGACCAATACCACCCGCCCGACTTGGACACGTGCAAGGGCTGACCACTCACTCACTCATCCATCTCCAGCCGCCACCACAACACCCCACCTGGGCATCATCGCCTGTCCCCTCAAGCACTCTCCTCGTGCCCAGCTGGCTTGGCCTCCCCCTTCACACCAGCCACCTCCCTCTTGCCCGGCTGACCCTCCTCCCAGAACCGGTCCTTCTTGTCGCGGCCCGTCGCCAGCCCGTAAAAGTCAAACGGGTCGAACAGGGTCGACAGGAACGACCGGCTATCCTTGTAGCCGGGCCCGTCCACCTCGGTCACCCCGTCGGCCTGGCTGAGGAAGATGTTGGTCGTCGCGGGCAGGTACCGGCGCGGGTGCCGGATGTTCCACAGGAACGCGTTGGCCAGCATCAGGCTCGCCTCGAAGACGTAAAAGAACCACTCGTACCGGAACTCGGGCGGCAGGTCCCGCAGGTCGGCGCCCAGCTGGATCCGGGTGCCCGCCAGCCCAAAGTACTCGACCGTGCGGTAGATGGTGCGCGCCTCGATGAGCGCCGTGGAGACGTACAGCGTCAGCATCGAGCTGTTGACGCGCCGGCTGTGGATCCCCGCCCTCCGCACCCGCCGGTGGAACAGGACCGCCAGCACCACGAAGCTGTTGACGATGATCAGCTGCAGGATGAGCGACGCCTTGAGGAGCGCCTGGCCGACGTCCTGCGTCCGCGCCGGCAGGTCCCGGTTCGCCGAGTACGAGGCGCCCACGCCGCTGAGGGCCTCGACCACCGACGCGAGCATGGCAAAGGTCGTCCACACGCGGCCCGGGTGGATCGGGGAGTGGTAGGGCACGTAGAAGAGGACCCGGCCTAGGATGTGGTAGTTTGCTGCTTCGTACAGCGGGCTGGGTGGTTGTTCTGTCAGCTCCAGCGTCCTTCCGGCTCCTTTAGGTGTCTGTGTCTGTGGGTGTGGACTCACGGCGCGGCGTAGACCAGGCACGAGCTGGCTATGAACACGGGTAGGTTCTCGTAGTCGAAGGCCCCTATCTCACGGGTGATGAAGCCCGCCGTGAAGATCAAGGCGCACAGGGTGTAGTGCCAGGTCACATGCCAGCACTTGTACTGGCTGGTGGGTAATGTCAGTCAGTTGCATAAGGCTTCTCCCTAAGATGTGTCTGACTTGAAGGGTGGGGGATGGGAGATGACACTCACTGGCCTTGCCATATCTGCCAGAGCCCAGAAACTGCAAATGCGACGGCGAAGAAGACGGGCGCCCCCTTGTTTGGCGCATAGATCCAGTAGCTGCCTGGCACTGTTCGTCGTGTTGGTGTGAGTATATATTTACTTGGCAGTGGGAAAAGGGTCTTGGGGAAGGGACGGTCCAGACGTACCGACTTGGCCGTTCTCACTCATATTGACGATGTTGCTTGGTGTTTAGTGTCCAACTCTTCCAGGCCCAGTTCTCGATATGTCCTTTATGTAAAACAAACAAATAAACAAACAAGTGTCACCAGACCAGCAAGAGATGCTCTTCAGTCTTGCCAATGTTAGATAAGATGTCTGTCTATGAGACCATCGACATCTCACCCGTAATCGTCAAGAGATCCCAAGGCCATCTTTATATATCTCAATCTCAATCTCACCGTACGTCTAGCCCTACAAGTGTAACAACAACAACAACAGCCTCAAAGCCCCGACCGATCAATCGCAGCAATGACGCCGACCCGCCCCTCTACAGCAGCGACTCGACAAAAAACAAAGGAAGACCACCATAAGCAGCCACCTACATCAAGCAGCGCCCAAAGCCCACCGACCAATCGCGTCCCTCGCTCACGATACGGTTGTGCGACATAAGCCCTGCCGCATGTGCCCACTGGCCCCTCAGCCCCGCCAGCCTAACGCCCGAACCGGAACAGCCGTCCCCCGTCAGCCTCCCGGAAGCGCTGCCGATCGATCAGACACAGCCTTCAAACGTATTCCTCGGCTTTTTTCCGTCCGTCTCTTCGACCGTAGCGCCGAGAGAGACAGACTAGACTAGACTAACTAACCAACTGACTGACTGACTGCCTGACTGACTGGCCTTCGCTCCCGGTCCAACCCCCTCCCCTCCTTGCGGCGCCCGGCCGGGCGGGCGGGCGTAAAGGCGTCGGAGGGCCCGAGTGCCCACCAACCCAACCTAACCCATCCATCCAGTTGCGCCGGCAGACTCAACTCGGCTCATCTGCTGTGTAGACCCTGCCAACTCCCCTCCCGCCGTGTGTGCCTTGCCGGGAGCCCTCTCCACCGCTGGGCGCCACGCCGGTGCTGCACGCATACAGAACATACAGAAAGAAGCCTTGCCCCCCTCTGCCGCGTTTCATCATTGGGCCCGGGCGACGGGCAGAGAGGGTGATCTTGTCGGGGTCATCGTGCGTGAGCTGGCTGGCAGGCTGGCAGTGATGATTCCCGTCCGAGCGGAGCCCGTACGGACGGAGGAGGAGTTGCGATCGATGGGATGGTGGGGGCCACTGCAGGCAGGCAGGTACTGCTGCATGCTGCATGCTGCAGCTCCTACAGCAGCAGGATCGTGTATTCTTGTTGGTTTTTTTTTTGGTGGTGGTTTTTTTTCTTTTCCTCCTCTGTTGGCGACCACCCCAATCGGTGATATGCGACGGCGGTGGTGGTCATCATCATCATTGTGACTTGGCGTAATAAAAGTCCATGCAGTCAGTAGTGGTGCTGCTCGACCGCCTGTGTTTGTACTCCCCCCACTGCGTGCGATGAGACGCGGGCGGAACTCCTCGCTCATCAGGGGGTCGGGGTGTGTTCTATTCCCTCCTACACACAGGGCAGTCAAATGCAACGGCCGTGAGGGCAAGGTAATCATGAGCGGCCGCTGTTGTTTGTTTCCGTTGCTGCTACCGCCGACACGCCGTGCGCCGCCGCTTGAAGCCATCAATGATTCATTCTCAACATGCTATCAATCACAGTCAATCAGACACATCACACCACTGCAGCAAGATCAAAGCACTACAATGACGCAACAGGGGGGTGGGGGCTGTTCTTCTTCTTCTGGCCGCATACCAATTCAACGGTCACGAGAACAGCTCTCAGGCGACGCAGGGCGGAAATGAGCCATAATGAGACGCTTCTTGTGCCCATACACGGGAGCGCCAAGCTCGGGCTTGCTGACTGCCTGGCCGGCCGGGCCTACTATTGACGGCCAGCTGCAAGCACACCCACAGGGCCCAGGGACGGAAGCATCCGTTGCCAGCACAGGCGGGCAGGCAGATATGATATCATGCCCTGCGTCCACACTCACCCACGATGCGAAGAGTCCTGGAAGCTGGCCAAGCCCAGCACACACAGGATTCCTTGGCTGCAGGGCAGGAGAGGGAACCCGAACTTGGGGTGGAAAAGAGAAAAAGAAAGAAGAAAAAAGGGTAGAAAATAGTGGGTTTTGGTATCTTCAGAAATCTAACTACTGTCTTTCACACCTCCTTTCCACTCGTCCTCTCTCCCCTGTAATGCTGCCCCCTCGTTTCGACCAGTTCCATATCCATTCCATCCAACCACCAAAGAAGGGGGCGGGCACACAACCAGAGGGTAGGAGGAGCCCATTGGATCCGTTGTTTCCGTTTACTGTCTTTCTCTTGCTGTCCGTCTTGGTCCAGCTTCCGCTCGTTGGAGGGAAGCCGGGGAAAATATGGCAAAGTCACCAAGCTGTCGCGGGGATGATGATGAGGTTGAGCCGTAAGCCCTAACGACTCCCTCTCAAAGACTTGCCTCGTCGCAGGTCCATTACATGGGTAACACAGCCAGTTCATCCACACCCGTGTGATAAGTCGTCCGTGGAGCACCGCCAGCCCAGCCCCATGTTCAATGCAGCGCTCGTCCTCTCGTGGGTCTCAGGGGAGCCGCAATTGGGCACCGTTGCACCCGTCAAGGTCGTCCTACAAGCCCAACATGGTAAACGCCACGGCCGAGCCGTTGGTCCTGGCCCGCTGCCCCGGGCGGTTTGACACCGGCGCCGCGTTCAGGTGGCCTAACGTCAACCCCTAGTTGAAGAAGGCCATGATCACCTGCTGGGCGTCGGGCGTAAACTGCTGGAGCAGAGGCGTCGGGTCCGTGTTGGTCACCTGGAGGAGGACCTTGGTGGCCGTGCACACGCGGTTGGCCGTCTGCGATGTCAGCGTCTGCGACTCGAGACCCTGCGCAATGTAGAGGAAGATCTTGTCTGGCTGCTGGCCGACCACGGGATGTTGCCTGGAGTTTCGACGTTAGTGCAAGTGCTCGGGATGGAGGGAGATGCTCCCAAGGGATGATTTGAGTCTGCTGTGCAAAATTTCACTTACTTGTCAATGAGTTCCGCCAGGTAAGCATATGCATATGGAGCTGCCTCCTCGTCGTTTGTTACCGGGAGCGTGTGGACCCACTGGGCGATAACCTCGTCCTGGTTGGGCACATTGCTCGCGTTGAAGTGCAGGATCTTGGCGATGGCCGCGCACGCGTTCTCGGTCGCGTAGACGTTGTCCTCATTGCGAGCCTCGGGCACCTGTGTGGCCTGGAACAGGGCCGGGACCGAACCGCCGAGGAACTGCGCCCAGGCCTGGCCACCCTTTTGGGCAGCAACGCCAATACCGTACGCGGCAGCCTGGCGAATGGCAGGCGATGGGTCACGGCAACCCTCAATGAGCGGTGTCATTATGTAGTTGGCGTAGTGGATGGACTCGGGTCCACAGTACTCGAGCACATCGTCCATGATGCACAGGCCCCACTGGCGCTGCGTGGGATCCTGCGCATTGTTGAGGAAAGCCTCGTACGTCGACATGAGGCGCTCCCATGGGCGCAGGAACGCCGATCCGTGGTACTTGAAGATGGAGTGGAACGCCTTGTTCATGTCTGACAGCAGGGTCTGGTCGTCTTCGATGGCCATAAGCGTCTCTTCAGCCTCGTCTTCGACGTCTTCGGGGTTAGCTCCGTCGTTCTCCTCGAGGCGTTCCTGCACACGCTCCTTGTAGTCGTCCAGGGCCGTCTTGACAGATTCGATGAACTTGTCCATGTGCTGAGGGGTCAGGCAGTCCCGGCCCAGGCACTCAACAGACTCGTAGAAGCACTGGTACATCTCCGCCAGGGTGTCAATAGCAGGCTCGGCGGTCAGCACCTCGAGGAGCTTGTCAACGGTGGCTGCCCAGAGGCCGCGGAGCTCGTTCGACGGGTTGCCGTATGCCTTCTTGAACGAGTTCAGGAGCTGAGGAACCAGCTTGGCAGACATGTACCTCACGGGGTCGTGGAAGAAGAAGGCGAGGCCGGGGAGGGCGATCTTCTCCATGACCTCTGCAACGTACGGCGCAAAATTGCCCTCGAGGACCTGGGCGTAGACCACAAGAAGCTCGATGGCCATGTGCTTATCGTCCATGGTGCTGGTCTTGATGCCGATCATCTTGCCCTTGAGGGGGACAAGCTCCCAGCCATCCTCCTGCTGCAGGGCCTCGACCTGCTCGTCGTCATCCAGGAGCTGGATATCGGCGTTGGCCTTGGCGAGCTCCAACAGCGGCGGCATGACGTTGGGCAGGAAGGGCAGGAACTCGGTGCCCATGACACGGCACATGCGGCCCCAGCAGTGCATCAGGTACTGGGCCTGCGGGTCGTCTGCATCGGTGACGCTCGTCTGGATGTGGGCCAGGATCTGGACCAGCTTCATGGCATCTGCGGCCAGGCGGTCCTTGCCGACAGCGAGGCCGATGAGAGTCGCGCACTCCATAGCCTTGGCCTTGAGCAGGCGGGTGTCCTTGTCCATCGGCGATTGCAAGACGTTGAAGAGGAGCGGCATCAAGGAGTCGTAGTACTTGCTGAACGCTGCCTCTGCGGCATCGGCAATGGTCGCGATGGTGGAGAGGGCCTGCTCCTGCACGTATCTCTTGTCATTCTGGAGCAGGCGGAAGAGCGAAGAGAGCAGGTCGTCCAGGTATGGCTCGAGGACGGACTTCTCCGCCTCCTCGCAGAAGTTGACCAGGGCGGCGGCGGCGTGGGACTTGACGCGTGGTTCTGGCGAGTCTAGGACTGGAACGATGGCCTTGAGGATCGCATCGTAGTACTCCTTCTGCATGAGGGGGGCGAAATCAGTGCTCATCTGGCCGAGCGCGTTGCATCCAGCCCACCGGACGCGGGGGTGAGGGTCCTTGAGGGCCGGCACAACGAGGTCGAGAACCTGTCGCAGCTCCCCAATCATCTGCTCCCGGCAGCCTTCTGAGATGGCAGAGATGGCCATCAGAGCAGCATGCTTATCCTTCCACGACATGGACTGCATCATGCGGGGCAGCCAGTTGAAGGTGGGCGCGAGGATGGTCAGGCCACCGAGCTTGTTAGCCAGCCGATCCATGCATTGCTCGCCGGCGACGTGGTTTTGATCGCTCTCTTCTTGGTCAAGCTACTCAATGTTAGCGACTTCCTAGGACCGTCCTCTTTTTCAAATTCATATATTTCTCTCTCTCGGGTTGGACGTACGTCGTCGGCGTCGAGCCAGTCCTGGACGTCCTCGTCCTCGCCCAGATCCGTCATCAGGCTGAGACACTGGGTTATCATGTCGTTGGTAAAGGAGCTGTCCTTCTTGCACATGGACGGCGCGTAGTCGGCAAATGTGGCCATGAGCTCCAGGGCGTTCTGGCGGCAGATGTCGCTGAGCTCCTTGTCCTGGATGACGGATATGCTGAACTGGACAAGGTTGTGGAACAGGGGCTTGAACATCTTGGGGGCGGATTCGGCCAGGTCGATGAGGGCCACCAGAGCCTTGCTGAGGTCCTCCGAGTCCTGGGACTCCTTGATGGGGACGAGAATGTTGAGGACCTCGGGGACCAGCGGGTAGTATTGTTGTTGGCTCTTCTTGTTTATGCTCCTAAAGAAGGAAGCGAAGGCCTCCATGGCCGCGAGGCGGACCTATGACTGTTATCAGCGCTGCCCCGCGTGATGGGAATTGCGGCGCATGAACCTACACCCACGGAGTCATCCTTAAAACCCTTGGTGAAGGCCTGGCCGACAGCCTCGTGGTGTTGCTTCTCGATAATGCCGGGGGTGGTGTTGAAGACGCGGAAGGCTGATTCCCGCTTGCCGGGGTCTTCTGCTATGCTCAGCTGGAAGAGAACGGTAAGCAGCTCTGGCCACGGCTCGTCTGTAGGATCGATCGTTTAGCAAACCCGGCGGGGAAAACACACATGCACGCACACACACGCGGGCGGCGCGACGGAGGTAGGTGGTCACGTACTCGCATCTGAATATTGCCTTCCGACCTCAGCAACGCTGTCGCTGATCTTGTTCCTGACCTGCTTGTCGGTCTCGGTGACGAGGCACTCGAGGAGTTTTTGCCTGACAACGAGAGCCTGCTCCTTGGCCAGGGAGATGAAGACGTCGACGACCTGGCCCTGCTCGTTCTTGCGGGTCTTGGATGCTATCCTCCTGAAGATGACGGCAGCGAAAGAGCGGACCTGGGTCTCCTGCGACCCGGCAATGTGCTCGGCCAGGCCCATCAGCAGGACCTCTGGACGCGTGGCGGTCCAGTTGTTGGCCAGGACCTCCTCCGCCTGAGAACGGACGGTGTTGTCGGGAGACTGGAGGCCCTGGATGAGCTGGCCCAGCTCGGCGGTGATCTCGGGAGGCAGCATAGACATGTTGGGCGGTATATGGATCGAGGAGGTCGGAGAGGATGTGCGCGGGGGCCTGATGGCTAGGCAAGGCGCCGCAGCGCACACGCGGGGGAGAAAAAAGGCTTTTAGTCGAGAGGGAGGGCGCGTGGGACTGCGAGGGGTCGGAGGCGCAGGAGTCCGGGGATCAGGACGCGATTATTGTTGTTGGCAGAAACGGGGAGGATGGTTCGACAACTTTGGGTGCAAGTGAGGAAAAAAGAAGGGCTGCCAGTGCTGTGGTGGTGGTGGTGGTGGTGGTTGCTGTGTTGACGATGAGTGGATTGCCCCGCGGTGGGACGAGACAAGAAATGGGGGACGGGGGTGGTGGTTGGATTAAAGCCGACCAAAAACAGGTCGGTTGATGGCCCGTGCAGGGGGTGGGTGGAGAGGCAGGCAGGCTCTGGCTGGTTGCAATATTTATTAGAGCAGCAGCAGAGCAGCAGGAGGGCAGCAGCAACAAATCAAATTGAATGGAGCCACTGTTAGGGGAAGGCGGCTACAGCAGGCAGGCAGGCAGGCATGCAGGCACGCATTCAGCAAGGCCAAGGAGGGTGTGGGAAATGGAAATGAGTCCAAACCAGCCAGGCACACACAGAACAGGGTGGATTGGGAAATTTGCTGTGCCTGGGAAACAAACAAGAGATAGCGTCTGTCTGCGGCCAGTCTGCCAGGGTGAAGTTTGACGTGGCTGTGGAAGGGTTCCGCTCTAGTACTTACTGTACTTCTGGGTGGGAGTGAATGATGACCATTGGTGAGTCTGGGTGGGGTGCGACTGGGGTGTGGTGGGCTCTCTCTTTTTTGGAGGGGCACAGAGCAGTGCGCATAACATTATCGCCCCCCGTATAATTAATCATGTGCTGTATGCAGATCATGAATTTCTTTACATCCTCTGGGGCAGCCATGATAGAAATTGCAAACACTCGAGTGTGGCATAGCATGGATATGAAAACAGAGGACAAAGAAGCTGTCATGTCACGGCTGACATCTAACATCTATAAATGGACATGTGTAAGATGGAGGAATGTAATGGAATGGCCTCTCTTCCTCAGGCACACACCCAGTCTGCCAGTCTGCCCCTCTGCTTCCGTCTGAGGGCGCAATCCTGCAGGACCGCCGCATGCGAACATTTCAAGAGGACCCCAGCAAATATCCTCCAGCATATTCCGTACCTACTTGCAGCCCTCCCTTGGAATACTGTTGCTGTGTACCCATACAATATGCACACCCCTGTGCCCTGCTGGCCTACCGTGTCTGCGTGTCTGCGTGTCTGCGTGTATGGCGTGTTAGTGCAGATAAAAAATTATTGCAACGAGCAAAATTAAAAAGGCAGGGTCTCGCGACGGCACTAGCAGACTAGCTGGCTAGCTGGGGCCACGGCAATAGCTGGTGGCGGATGGCATTCTTCTGGAACCGCATACCAAGGGAGGAGGGTGGTTTTAGGTAGGGATGGGCCATGCAAGCTGGCTCGTCAGCTCGTCCAGCCAGCCTGCCACTGGTGCTCCAAAACCCTCAGACCCTCAGCAGCCGAGGGCCTGTCACTGATCTGCCTTGGCGGCGACATGCGACGATCCCATCACTTGTGGCCCTGTGGTCCAAACAATTTAACTTGATCTTTCTACTCTCTGCGTAGTACCTGTAGTTACCGTTACATTTGCAGTTATAGTTGCAGCTGCAGCGTACCGGAAGGCGGGTTTCTCATCCTCAACTTGCTGCCACCTGGTTGATATTCAACCTCATGGCTATGCCCTTATACCCCAACGTTGAAGTGCTCTGCTCAAGTACCCTTTTACATGGATGGGCGTGACGGTTTACTCCCGATGTGTCGTCAGGGCACACACGCTTGAGTCATATCATGGCGATCCATTGGAGGACACCCCCTCCCCAAGACCCGGGACTATCACGAGCTTGCGAGCTCTACACTAGCAGCATGATCTGCTAGGTCTTTATATTACGTCTGTATGTCTGTATGTCTGGGCCAATCGACACGGTCCCTTGGCCCATGTTCTCAAGGTTCTAGCTCTTTTACCTCATCCAATTCACTGCAATATTGGCCCATCACCACAACATCAAATCCTGCGTATTCACCACCAGTCTGTCTGTCTGTCTGTCTGTCTGTGTATCCAAGAAACGGGCAGACAAAACCGAGGTACGGAGTAGAAAGTGAGCACCAGGACCAGGGAGGAGGATACTTGCTAATCGAGCTCATCCTCCTGGCAGCTGATAAGGAACAAGAACCGAGGAGGGTACTTTCTTAAGTACCTGGTCTTCCGACTTCCGACAGAACAAGAGGATCCAAGCAGGACGGACAAGTAGAAGACGGAGGAAGAAGAAGAAAAAAAAAGAGTACACAGTACGGCAGCCCCTCTCCTGACAGCTCGGTCAGAGGCCTTGACTTGAGTCTGGAGCTCCGTCGTCACTTGTTTATCCCCCCCCCCCCCCCACCTTGCCGGGATACGGCCAATGAGCCTGGCTCGGCTGCGCACCTCGACCCTCGATTACTCCACCAACAACCCCGGACACGAACCAGCCAGCCCGCTTAATCCACGACCCACGTTCACTTCCCCGAATCTGGCAGCCTGGTCTGTCTCTGTGTGCTGTGTGTGTGTGTGTGTGCAGTGTGTTTGTGTGCAGCGAGTGAGTGCATCTGACCTTGGACGAACGACCTCGTCAACACCAACCCAGCGTCTCCAACCTGCTCGCCGCGCAAGCCTGTGCAACCACGCGATTCTGCGCGACAATCTCCTGATCTCACACCCGACCCGAGCACGGCATTATAACGCCAGCAGCCTCGCCTCGCCCCTCCTCCCCCACGACAGCCCGACTCCTACATATCCACCATCACCACCGATCGACCGTCGTCAAGATGGACCAACAACAGCAACAGGGCAAGCAGCCGTCGCCGGCGTCCTCGGGCACCAGCCTCGACAAGCTCGCCCACCCCAACCTGCCCCAGCGGTCGCCCTCGAGCTCGTCCCTCCACAAGTCGGTCCACTCGCACGCCCACCGCTCCAGCTTCGCCGAGAACCTGCGCAACCACCACGCGCCCCCGTCCCCCCGCACATCCCGCCACCCCTCCTTCACCCAGGCCGCCGTCCAGGACCTCATCAACCACCCGCCCTCGTCGCGCCAGCCCAACCCGAGGTTCGCCGGCCGCGACTGGCGCGAGGTCCAGGTCGGCGAGCTGGTCGCCCTCAACACCGACGAGGTGCGCTGGGTCGACCTGGACAGCAGCGTCGAGGAGGCCACCATGGCCCTGGTCAAGGGCAAGGTCGCCGGCAACTGCGTGCTGGTCAAGGACGGGCCCCAGAACAAGGCCGTCTCCACCTTTGACTACAGGGACCTCAACGCCTACCTGCTCGCCGTCGTCGGCCTGGCCAGGCCCGAGGACGAGCACGTCGCCCTCTACGACACCATCGCCACCCGCGCCAGGGAGAGGGAGGCCATCCCCCTCAGGGACATCCAGCCCATATGCCGCCCCGAGCAGCTGCTGTCCCTGCCGCCAGAGACCTTCCTCCCGGGCGCCATCGAGGTCTTTGGGAGCGGCGTCCACCGCATGCTGATCATGAGCGACGACGGCGAGGTCACCGGCATCCTGTCCCAGCTCAAGCTGCTCGAGTTCTTCTGGAACGAGGGCATCAACTTCCCCACCATCGAGAGGCTGTACCCGGTGCTCCTGAGAGACCTGCAGATCGGCTCCCAGCAGATAATCTCCATCAAGTAGGTCACTCCCTCTCTCAACGCCCGACTCGACTGCTGTTGTCCCCGGTTGTCCAATGGCTAACAACTTCCCAGCGCCGACGCACCCCTCGCAGAAGCCCTCATGCTCATGTCCAACGAGGGCCTCACCTCGGTAGCCGTGATCGACAACGCCTCCAACGTGGTCGGCAACATCTCGAGCGCCGACGTGCGCCTCCTCACCTCGGCCGCCTCCCTGCCGCTCCTCCAGTCCACCTGCATGCACTTCATCACCGTCATCCTCTCGGAGCGCGGCATGGAGAAGGGCCGCGACTCCGTCCCCGTCTTCTACGTCAACCCCTACCAGACCCTCGCCGCCACCGTCGCCAAGCTCGTCGCCACCCGCTCCCACCGCATGTGGGTCGTCGAGAGCGCGAGCCCCAGCCCCAGCGCCCCCGCCACGCCGCTGCTGGGCCCCGTGGGGCAGGCCACGTCGGCCTGGAGCGCCGGCGGCAGCGCGGCCGCGATGCAGAGCACGACCGGGCAGACAACCGTGGTGACAGGCAGCAGCAGCAGCAATAACAACAGCGCCGCGGCGTCGCCCTCCGTCTCGGCCAGCAGCAACACCGCCGCCCAGGCCCAGGCCCAGCAGAACCAACAGCCCTCGGCCCCGCCCTCGCCGCTCCCCATGTCCTCCTCCGTCTTCTCGCCCACGTCGGGCGCCGCGCCCGGCTCGGCCTCCATCCCGGCGGCCGCGCTCCCCGGCGCGCACCTGTCGGGCCGCCTGACGGGCGTCATCTCGCTGACCGACATCCTCAACCTGTTCGCGCGGTCCTCGGGCCTCAACCCGGCCGACCCGGGCGAGCAGCGCGCCATGCGGAGGCGGAGCTCTAGCGCGTCGGTGCGGCCGAGCCTGGACGGGGAGCGGGGGAGGGGCAGTTTGGATTTCAGGAGGTGAGGGTGGTCTTTGGTGTGAGATGGGTTGGATTGAGTTTAGTGAGTGGGTGGGCGGTGGGTGAGTGTGGATTGGGTGCTGGAATGGTGGTGGCACGAGGATGGCTGGGTCTTGCAAGTCATGCTTGAGAGAGTAGGAGAAGCAGCGGCCAGTGGCGTCCGGTCAGGTCAGGCGAGGGTGGAGGGCGCAGAGGCATTGGGGCCAAAGGTCAGACTGGGATGGGAGGCTTTCTCTGATGTGGACGGGCGGACGGGCGGGCGGGTTCAACTAGGCGGGATGGACCAATGCATATCGAGGCGGCGTTTTAGGAGTTCATCACGGTGGATTCAATAGCTACATTTTTACTTTCTTCTTTTCCTCTTCTTTCTGAGGACAGTCCAGCCAAGCAAGCATGCGAGATAGTTCTCCCTTCTTGTTCTTCCACTTATTCTACACACAATAAGAAAGAGCCCTGGCTGTTCTTCTCTTCAACCACTTTATGTTCTTCTACTTCTGAATTTGGCTGGTCTCGTTGTTATATGCTGTTGCATCGCGAGGAATGAGGAATGCCATGGATCTCGTATCATGTTTCGGGAGGTTATTGTACACACAGACTGCCTGTTTAGCCTTTTGGGGTCAGGTGGCTGGATTTTTTTTTAATATCCAAACCAACACTTGAAGTTATCGACCAAAAGAGCCTTCAAGTGAAGGGCAAAAGATCATCACTGAACCCATCGTGACACCATTTTGTCTCTGTACTAGTGCCGGCAGCAGCAACACTCGCGAATATATCACATCGGTCGGGCAAAAACAACATCTCTAGATGATCATTAGGCATTCTTGTTCTTACAGTACTCCCAGGTCGCAGGCCACACACAGATCAGTGTGGAAATCGCCCGCTGGACCGCCTATCAACAAACTAGATAATACACCACCACATCGAGAAAGAGAGCCCGAGATCTGCCCAATACAGCCAGCTGATGCTCCTCTCCGATATTTGAAAACGCCGGCCATGCATGCTCGTGGTATCTTACACCCTACAATCCTCACCGCCGAAATCCCCATCCGTCCCAGCAACAAATCCAGGACAAAAAACAACCAGTGCAAATGATCCCCGCCCTAGTCAACCCCCCAGCTACGGCTCGGGTCCTCCTCCTCGTCGTCCCAGGGGTCCTGGTACGCGATAGCCTTCCCCGACGCCCTCGCAGGAAGAGGCCGTGACAAGTCCGCAGCAGCAAAGCTGGCCCTGATCCTGTCGCGGCCGCGGGTCTGGCGCTGCGCCGCCGACCGCCGCGCCGCGTCGGTCCCAAAATCAAAATCCGACTCGTCCCACCCCTCGAGCGCGGCGCCCTCCCCGTCGATGTCGCTGTGCTCGTCGCTCCAGTCCCACCGGACATCGACCACCTCGCCGCCCTCGCCCATGCCAAAGACGAACCCGCGGAACTCGCCCGCGGCGATGCGCGCCGCCACCTTTAGCATCAGGCTGATGAGGTGCGCGGGCGGGCCGAGGATCATCTCGCATGTCTTGTTGAGGATGGCGCTCGGGATGCGCCGGATCGTCTTCACGGCCGAGGAGGCGCGGACGGACAGCTCGGCCGTCGACGGGAGACGCCGGAGGCCGCCCTGGCGCGGGGTGAAGAGGTTGGCGGGTGGGGGCAACGGGGACAGGGCGCGCGGGCTGGTGTGGGAGATCGAGACCGAGGTTGTTGCTGCGCGATGGCGCATGGCCGTGTTGGACCCCGGGGATGATGCCCTGGATGCAGCGGATGACCAGGATGTTGATAGCGAGTCGGTGTCTGCGGCTGCGTGGTGCTCCGCTGCTTCGTCTTCCGCGGTGCTCTTAGTGACGGTGATGGCCTGGGCCGGTATCTCGGGCTCGTCTGACCGCTTCACACCGGCCTTATCCTCGGTGTCAATGTCCCCGCTGTGGTCTTTGTAAAACGGTGTGATGGGTGTCCCAGATCCACTTCCGGCAACCGCACCTGTCGAGCTCTTCTCCCATAATGATACAGTTGGCGTGGCAGCTGACTCCGACCCGTCTCCTGTCCTGGCCAAGGGGATGTTCTCGTGTGGATACGGGTATGCCCGGCTGGGGGACATGGGTGGTGAAGGAGGAGCAAGAGGTGAGTGCCAAGACTGGGTGCTGTGGAACGAGTCAGACGACTCGGCCGGTGAGCCAGGCTCGGACACTTCTTGGGGCGCCTCCTCCTGAATGTCCATGGCTGGCGTTGAAGTCCGAAGTCTCAGTGCAGGCGCTGTGGCAGCCCTCCTAGACGCGAATGCAGCTACCCTGGTCCGCCTCAACCTCATCTGTCCGGATCCCTCAATCGAGCCAGCTTCTTCGGAACTTATCGAGTCGTTTCGTGTCGTGCTGTCTCTCTCCGGGGATGAGTCACATGTTGAACTAGAGTTCCCGGTAATTTCTGTCGTAATCTCACTCTGACCTTGCGGTGCCGATGGCGCCGCGGGCTCAAGTGAGCCCGCCTTTGGCAGCGCTGGTCGCGGTACCTTCCTAGCCACTGCAGATGGTTTCTTCGTTATCCAGATGGGCTCGCGCCTCTTTGGAATAGCCAGACTCCTATCGGGCTCTGGGGCTTTCGGACTGGCTTCTAGGTCTGTAGGCTGTACCTCCGCCTCGCCAGGTGTAGATGCGTCCGAAGTAGGCTCGACAGGCTTTTCGACGAGTTCCCGCGGAAAGGCAGTAAGGGGTGGCGTAAGCGGCTCGGGTTCCTCCAGCACCGACCTGAATTTGACGCCAAACTCTGGTTTCGCCTCGTCAGAAGTGCCCTCTTCCGGGATTGTCTCCTGCCTGGGCGTGTCCATCGTCTCCATCAGCCTCCGTGATGGCGGCCTTGTCGGTGTGCCGAATCTCGCCGACCCATCTGCAGGCTTGCCCTCGGCCTTCGCTTCAGGCGTCTCAGGCGCAGCGCCGTCTTTGGACAGATCCACTCCAAAGTCAGAATGCCTCCGCGCGTTTGGGTTGTAGAACCTTGTCCGGGTCGCAAACTCAGGAGGCGGCGTGACTGGCTGCGGTGGCCAATCCATAGAGACGGTCCGCACGGGAGGGGTCCATGGTCGTTTCTTCACCGGAGTTGTCGGTCTCTCGGGCAGCTGCACCGTAAAGTCCCGCTCGAAGGGGCATGGTGTCTTTTCAAACTGTAGTATCTTGTCCAATATCTCGCGCAACACGGCGGCTCGGCGCGTATCCTCCTCATCGCTCACAGGCACCTCGATCCTCCAGTAATTTGGTCGGCGGATCTGCAGTGCGAATTTGCTTGAATTCTCGTCGAGGGTCCAGCATTGGCTCTTGGGTAATATTGGCTGTAGGGCTGAGCCACATCGGAGGAACGCGACGGAACCGGGGGCTCGGTAAATCTGGAAAGCACCTGTAAACGGGGTTAGCGAAAAACATCCAATTAAATATAATAGTCTTCGCACGTACCAACGGCTAGGGTCCTCTCAAACTGAGAGGAAGATGGCAGTGAGCCGGGTCTCTCCTCCGAGCCAGGGCCAAGCCGGTCGAAGGCGGATTTGCCTGCAGAGAAAGCCACTATCCTCACGGATGGGTGGTTGAAGAGGGTCTCGACGGATCCATTACTGGAGACAGAGTTTGATGGCGGGCGCGAGGGCGATGGCTGGAAAGAGGTCGGGACGGTGGAATGTCGTCGAGGTGGAGGGAAATTCGTGGTATCGCCAGGTGGCCGCAGTTGGTCCATGATGGGCAATGCGATGGCGTGTAAGGTGGTCGAGGTTGGCGAGGTCTTGTCAGACAATCATGTCTACAGCAGACGAGGGGCAGCGATAGTCGACATGGCAAGAGGAGCAGCAGTGTGGAGGGGTTGGACGAAGGCGAATTACCAGACCCAGATAATGGTCGCAGGGTGGAGGAGAATCAGTTCATCGAGAAGAACTTGAGACACGAGTCGAACGATGTCGCCAACTGACGCAGCAAAGCAACAGCTATGACCAGGCCCGAGCTGCGAGAGACGATGAGGCTCTGTTCTGTTCAGGGCAGGCCTCGGGGCAAGGTTGTGTGCAAGGTTGGACAAGAGATGAGGATTGGATGAAGGGTCGAGGTCTGAGGGCGAGGGAACTGCTAGTCCTCGGAGTACCTGGGTACCTGGGTACTTCAACTTTTCCCATGTCGAGTCGCTGCCCGCGACTATTACGGGTAGATACACACTACGGATAGCCAGCAGTCTATTAGAAGAGCAGCACCCACACAAGGCAGGGGTTGAAATTGGAAGCGAGTAACGGTAACCCACTTCTGCAACTGCCCAGTCCAAACCCCACTCAATCGCGCAATTCAGCTCACATTCCAGGAAGATGGAACCCCCGCCCCCCATATCACGGTCGTTGAATCCAACTGTGGCATTGGCTACTGCACCTGCTCGAATGAAGGCGTAACGCCCAGAATCTCATGACAAATGATGGCTGGCTGGCTGGCTGGCAGGGTGCACATTCTCTAACAATGAGTGGCGTGTTGATGTTTACACAATTCGTTTCTCATGTATCAAGATATCATCTGATGGACTGATTGATCGTCTGGCTGGCCATAGCTTCCATATCCTGTGCAGCTTGTCTCCCTGTCAATTGGGGCATTAGTTGAGAGCAACCTGGGAATAGCGGACCGTTTTGGGATTTTGACGGTGCTGACAGACTGGGACAAGCATCGCTACACTAGATCCAGGGACCTATGTGCACCTGGGGAAACCTTGAACGGCAAGAGCTGCAGCTCCAGGCGGCCCATGCTTACTCCGTACTGCCGTCGTGCCAGGCTAGTAGCTTGCTGGCTAGGCCTCGACCCTGTCCGTTTCTTACCAGGTTTCCCGTTCCACCGTTCCACCTCTCCCACCTTGCTTGGCTGGCTGGCTGCACTCGAGCTTGGAGCTGACATCATCTCTCGGGTCCAACGGCCGAGTATGCACAAGCCACAACCACACAGCCCACTAGCATGTCAAAGTGCCTCGTCAGCTCTTCACATCGTGACTGAGGCCTCGAAAGCTGTAAATCTTGGCTACGAACACCTTTTTGTCCACAGCAGCGTATCCATAGTTGCGACCTCCTGCCATCCAAACTGAAGTTGCAGCCATACCTCAAACCTACAGCATCAACGACGACCATCAATCACCATGGCGGCCCGCGAGAGGAGACCGCAGGGCCAGCAGCAAGCGCAGCAGCAGTCCACGCCCGTGGAACTGGACAAGGAGAAGCTAAAGAAGGCCTTTGACATCTCCCACTTCGACCTGAACGCCATCCTGCGAGGCGTCCAGCTCACCCTGGTTGGAGGTAAAATGTTCCGCCCTACTGCTTGCCAATGTTGGTCCTTGGCGCTGACAGACTCCAAACAGCTCACCGGGCCCTCCAGAATCCTGCTCTTTTCAGTTCTCAGCACTATCGCCAGGCCGCAATCGCCGTGGGAGCTGGTATAGCAATCCGTCTTGCCATCTATATCCCAGTATGTGCTCCATCCTCGCTTGGAAACCGTGACACGTGCTCACATGCCCTTCTCAGATCCTCGGGGTCCGCGTCTTCCTCTGGTTCCTGTCTCTCATCTTCCGCCTTGATTCTGTCAGCTGGGATGACAGGATCCTGGAAGGGCTCGATTTCATTGCAAACTATGTCTTGCAGGTGCCGCTCTTCCTCATGACGCTGATGCGATATGCCACGCCGACTCTAGACAACCTGTGAGTAGACCCCTGGAATCTGATTTGGTGGCTTGCGATCTGACCAGAGACAGGTTCATGGAGTCACTGAGATGGGTCGATGTGACCTACGTCCAGAAGCATAAGCACGACGACCCCAAGGAGCTGCGGGACATGTACTATCCCAACCTGAGGCAATACTCCACCCGTGATGGGAGCACTCACACGACCAGCACCGCCGAGGCCATCTCCATGTTCCTGTACAGGTTCGCTCGCAAGGCTGGCATCTCTCTCGCCGTCTACCTCATGTCATACCTGCCCGTGGTCGGTCGCTTCGTCCTGCCCGCAGCCAGTTTCTACACCTTCAACAAAGCGGTTGGCCTCGGCCCGGCCTCCGTCATCTTCGGAACGGGCATCTTCCTACCGCGGAGATACCTCGTCATCTTCCTGCAGACCTACTTCTCGTCCCGCAGCCTCATGCGTGAGCTGCTTGAGCCCTATTTCGCCCGCATCCGCTTCAACAAGCATGAGAAGCGCAACTGGTTCCGCAGCCGCGAGGGACTGCTGTTTGGATTCGGGATCGGCTTTTATACCTTGCTTCGGGTGCCACTGCTGGGTGTCCTCATCTATGGCATCGCCGAGGCTTCGACCGCGTATCTGATCACCAAGGTCACGGATCCGCCGCCACCTTCGAACCGCAGTGATGGTTTCGCAGCCAGCCAGCAGGAGTGGAGAAACAAACAAAAGTTCCTCAGCCTACCACTGTCAAGTCTGGATAAGATCCATGACGAGCCACCCGCGTATTCCGAAGTGGATCCCCATCCCGAGTCCCGGCCGGCCGAACTCTAGCGGCTGCACAATAATGAGGGGCATGGTCAATGCCAGTCAATGCAGCAAAGTAAAAATGAGAGAGACCAAATGAAATGACAAGATATGCCCTGTTTGGTTGATTTTACGTACTGGGCACTTCTGAGTTGTTACCAGACGGTCTCGACATTCCAAATCCCGTACCGTCAAGTACCCGGCGATCTTATCTGCGGAGATGTGGAGTCGAGGGGCCGATCCGGGCGGATGGGTGCGGCCAAGCTTGGGATTGGGTGAGTAGTCCCAGATAAGGGCTGTAACTGACTCCAAGCCGTCAACTACCAGCTCCTCCGATAACGACCATCCTAATCTGTGTAGTCAGATTTCATTACGTCGTCCCAGGCGAGTGTTCATCTCATGAGGCACGGCATTGCCGTACGCTTGTGCGGGGTAGTTCATGAGATACGATATAATTGTAGACCCGCCGCCATGGCCCGGGGAACAGAATAGCTAGGCTCTGCTTCACGGCAGTATCTCATAAAATATACCTCTGGGGTCATCATATTCACAACTGTACAGCTCGATCAACATGCCTGGTGCAATTCGAACCGTCTGCAAGGTCGACCTGGAGAAGCCTGCCAACGAGCAGCCTCAGCTTCATGTAAGTCGCGTACGCTACAAGCGTCTCAGCCCGAAGACTAACAAGTGAGGGTTAGAACAGATGGCATCCAGACAGTGAGAAATCTCATAGAAGCTTTGAGACGCTAGGTCCAAATTAACTATAATCCCAGTCCCCTTCGCCGGCAAGATCAAGGATGGAGAAACTGTGAAGATTGAATGTGTGGATTGGTAGGTGGTCACTTGGTCTCATATTGGGTACGCCTAATTCCTAACACGCGTTTGCTTTAAAGGACCGGCGGCCAGATCAAGAACAATGACTCCGCAGACGACATGAGGAACGTGGATCTCACCAAGATCCACTACCTCTCGGGCCCCTTTGAAATCGAGGGCGCGAAGCCAGGTGATGTCCTGCTCGTCGAGATAATGGACGTCCAGCCCTTTCAGGACCAGCCATGGGGATTCACGGGCGTCTTTGACAAGTCAAATGGCGGCGGGTTCCTGGATGAGATCTACCCATCCGCGTAAGCTATGATCCCAGCCATCGAAGTTCCATCTCCTTCTGTGCCAGGGATCGCCAGCTCACATGACAAACGCAGCGCAAAAGCGATCTGGGACTTTGAGGGCATCTACTGCACGTCCAGACACATCCCGCACGTCAAGTTCGCGGGTCTCATCCACCCGGGCATCCTCGGCTGTGCCCCGTCGCCCGAGGTCCTGGCCACGTGGAACGAGCGCGAGGGGCAGCTCATCGCCTCCTCCAAGCTCGAGGGCCGCGACGTCGCGCTCCCGCCGCTGCCGCACAACTGCCACCCGGGCGGCGTCAGCACGACTGAGGTCGACCTTGCCGAGAAGATTGGCCGCGAGGGCGCGCGCACCGTGCCTGGGCGGCCGGAGCACGGAGGGAACTGTGATATTAAGAACCTGTCGCGTATGTATCAATTGGGCCTCTCATGACCGCTCTGCTTTTGCCAGGCACCTAGGCTAACGCATCCTCTCCTGCTCAGGCGGCAGCAAGGTGTACCTCCCCGTGCATGTTGACGGCGCCAAGTTCAGCGTCGGCGACCTGCACTTCAGCCAGGGCGACGGCGAGATCAGCTTCTGCGGGGCCATCGAGATGGCCGGGGTCATCACCATCAACTTCAAGGTCCTCAAGAATGGGCTGGCCGAGCTGGGCATGAAGAGCCCCATCTACATCCCCGGCCCCGTCGAGCCGCAGTTCGGTCCCGGGCGGTACATCTACTTTGAGGGCTTCAGTGTCGACCAGCATGGGAAGCAGCATTACCTTGATGTTGCTGTTGCGTATCGGCAAACTACGCTTCGTGAGTACATATCCGTTTCTTGTATTTGTTTGCTCCTGTGTGGCACTGTGGGCTGACCGCGCCCCAGGCGTCATCGAGTACCTCCGCCGCTTCGGCTACAGCGACTACCAGATCTACCTCCTGCTGTCGTGCGCCCCCGTACAGGGCCACGTCGCGGGCATCGTGGACATACCCAACGCGTGCACCACCATCGGCCTGCCCATCGACATCTTCGACTTTGACATCTCGCCCAGCGGGCCGGCCAAGAAGCTGGATATGGGCACGTGCGCATTCGAGACGGGCGTTACGGAGGGCAAGGTCACGGCAGGAGGGGAGAACAGCGAGCACAGCTATGGCGGCGGTCTGACCTACAAGTCGTGAGGGATCACTAGCAGCTTAGTAACTAGTTTTGGATCAGAGCGCTGGTATTTAATCGATGCGAAAATGACCGTCTATGTTCCGAATGTTATCTAGTCAGTCACCTTGTATGCCTGACCCAGAGAATCTCTATCACGCTCCGAAAATGTAGCTCCACGCCATGCCATGAACTTTCCATTCCCATATAGAACACTTCCGTGGACCGCGCAGACACTGCTGCCACGCACAATGTTGACCCTGTCAAAGCTGCCGGTCTACCTGAAGTCGCAGGACTTGTGCGTCCTCCTAGGTGATCTGCATCTCGCTGAGGGCGGAATGTCCGGTCTCCTTCATGTGCTTGCTAGCCTGAGCGGCCCCGGCGCCGATCCAGCCGCACCCAGGGACGTCACACCTCAGCACAAAGTCGGTCGTGTCGGTGTAGTAGTGCGCGTCCTTGAGCTGCTTGGCGAGTCGCTGCGCCATCTCCACCACGGCGTCGTTGCCCGTGTCCCACTTGGTCTCGTCAAAGTCCGCGGGCAGGCTCAGGTCCATGGTGAAGGCGATGCGGTCGTAGTGGATGCCCGAGTAGAGGAGGAGGCAGCGGGTTGCTTTGCCCTCGCCGTAGCGGTCCACCCGTTGCGTCTGTGTGGAACCTGTCAGATGAATGAAGGCATCATGCTGATTGATGTTCGTGCTGTGCTGTGTTTTGTTGTTGGTGGGACTGCTGAATACGTACCTTGACATCCACGGAGCAGATCTCAATGTCGTAGATATCCGACAAGATGCCCAGCTCGATGGCCCCGCCCCACCTGTCTGGCGAGAGCATCGTCTGCGCGTACCGCTGTGGCTCCATCTCCAGGATGACCTTGGTGTACTTCTCCGGGCGCGCGAGGATATACTCCCCGACCTCCCGCCTCAGCGTGGGCGCCGGGTCTGCGCGCTGGATCACCCCGCCGAACGCGGTGAACATGCACGAGTTGTCGTCGGGCATCACCCGCAGCGCCAGGTACCCGTCCTTGTCGGGCCACTCGATGACCGTGTGGTCGGGCTCTACCGCCTTGGGCTTGAAGGCTGGCTTCGTCGCCGTGGGGACCTCTGGCGGCGCGGACGATGACGAGCTGGCTCCATCCTCCTTGGGTACGAAGGTGATGGCCTCACCTTTCAGGTTCAGGGGTCCGATGGCCGCGCTGGTGTTGCTGAGGTCGATGTTCTTGAGGGGGTAGCCGTACTTGAGGGCGGATGGCTCTGCGCCTTGCTTCTCTCGCAGGTGGTCTATCACCTTCTGAATCGTCCAGTCTGGCGTTGCTGTGACCGTCTCGACCCAGCCTGGGCCTCGGACTCGGAACCGTATCTCAGCCATGGTTCTCCCAGCTGAGAAGATGAATGTGAGGAAGAATAAATCCTCGGCAGGGCCTGCGTGAGGTAGGTGTGTGTGATGCTTCCTCCCTGGCTGGCCGGCAAGTCTTCAGAATTTGGCCTGGTGTGGTGGTCTTCTAGGGCTGGTAGGAAGGGCCCTCCGCTGTTATCCGCATATAGTCAGCCTCTCGCATATATATGCGACTATCCCCGTGTTACTAGGGCGTATGTCCAAGTCCACAACTAGTAAGCCAGTCCAAGCTCGTGAAGTAGTCCCACCTGCCTGGCCTGCCTTGGACTGACGGGGAACCAGAACCTTTTCTTTGCGGCTGTTGTTTTTGAGCACTTCTGAACCAACTTTCCCACCACCAACAAAGAGAGAAGCAGTCGAGGACTGCTTCCAAGCCAACTCTGAGGTGAGTTCCGAGTCTAATTCCCTTCCCAGTAGCAATACCTGCACCTGGCAGACGCGAATTTCCCCTTTTCCAGTCGAACAAGAGCTGTTTGGTTCTGAGTGTCCCTGGCCGCTGCAAAGCAAGCGTGGTTTGGTGAGGCCTGGTTTCCAGTTCTGGGGGCGCAAGATGAAGATGGGGAAGGGAGGACTGAATCGCCAATTCCATGTATTGCCATGGCTTTGATATGGGATTACCCATTCACTGACTGACAAAGCAGGTCACCAGCACCAATCACCTGCACTTTCAGCGGGTGACGCTCGGGCCACACCCGCCTCACGACTCCACCCTGCTATCACCACGCCCTCCGTCCAGGTAAAACACCGAACCCTGAAGTGAAGAAGCAACACCCCCACCCAGCCCAGCCGCAACATGGCCCCAACTCGCCTACCATGGGCCAGTACTGGTCCCGGGACCCCATACCGGCCGTTAGCGCCGCTCGGCCAGCTGCAGCAGCACCAGCAGCGTTTGGGGAGTGGCAGCGGCGGCGTTGCTGCTGGCCTCGGGCACGAAGGCGAGGACGAATTGCCCCCTCCCAATTCGTTCTTCTGTCGCGTCCCTCTGGACCTGGACAACCTCCTCCCCCCGAGCTCCCGCCGCCAGCTCGAATTGCAGCCAACGCAGCTCCGCCAGGCACGCAACCGCGAACCCTCAGGCAGTGTAAGTAACCCGTTGTTTTCCTCTGCTTTCCCTTTCCTGCTGCAGCTTTTGGCTGCCTGTCCCGTTGCTGCGATCGTCACGTTGTCGCGTGTTTGCCGAACAAAACACACCCGGCACGCTGCGCATCGCGTCTCGGCTCGGTCATCGACGAGGACGTGACATTGACGTGGTGCGACGCGACCGCGGGTGACGATCACCACTAGGATTCCTTGGTGTTTTGGGATCTCTCGGGAAGCTGACACGCACGCAGCCACCGCGAGTCAACCCCGACAGAGCCTCCTTCTGGGAGCGACAAGGCGAGAGAGGGGACGGTTTCGACGACGACAGCAGTGACGACACCAGCAGCACTGAGTCAAGCGACGACGACCCACCTCCCGAGGCCGCTGATCCCGAGCACCCTGACGAACCCGCTCGGCTATTCGACCCTTCCAACATCACCGAGGCGCAGTCGCGTAGGATCCTGCACGGCATCGCTCTTGGAGTACTCACGCTTGAGGACCTGCAGGCGTACCTAGGCCCTCAGTTCCGTGACGCTGCCGCCGTCTTTCGAAGGACCCTCGAAATCCAGGCGCAATACGAGGCTGAACGCCTCGAATGGGTTAACAGTCTCCAACGGACCATACAAGCCTATCACTCCACAGCGACAGCGGAACGTCGCACCCGTAGAAATCAAGAAGCTGAAGACTCTGTGGAGCCTGAAGAGGCTGACGACGAGAAGGAGGCTGAAGAGACCGAGGAGCCTGACGAAGAAGCCACAGACTGTCAGGACCCCTCCAGTCGAGACGAACACGACGACGACGAGAACGGAGGGCCAGGGCAATCTGGCACTGGAAACGGTGGACACACGAGCGGCAACGACGAGCACGACCGGTCTTCTGACCAAACCCACAGACAGACGGACGGCAGACAGCAGGACCCAGATCAGGGAACGCACGGCCAGAGACGAGGCGAAGGTGGGTGTGAACAGACAGAGAAGGAGCAGCAGGGCCCGGGTCGAGACCAGTCGGCTGATCTCGACGCTGGCAACAAAACCATGGCGCCAAGATCTGCAGACGAGATTATGGTTCACGACTCGATCGAGGCCAAGGGCGACCATGACGTCGAAATGGAGGATGCACCTGCCGCCACAAACGGTGGACAATCCACAGCTACGAGGCCCACTGTGAACTCGGGTGACGACGCCAATGGCGATGTGGATGCCGAGGGCGAGATCGATGCGGACGCGGATGCCGATGCAGACGCGGATGCCGAAGCAGATGCAGATGCAGATGCCGAAGCAGATCCAGATGCGGACGGCGAGGCTGACAGCACTGAGCCGCCCGAGTCTTCGAAAGGTCGGCGCGGGAGAGGACGGTGGCGGAACGTCGACGACCCCAACAAGGAGTTGCGTCAGCTCATTGATGACACCCAGAAGTACCTTACCACCTTTACCGAGGAGTAAGTATCTGCAGCCCTGAGCGAGCATATAACCAGACACTAATGTTCCGGGTCCACAGTGACGACGAGATCTGTGAGCCGTTCCAGCGCATTCCGCGCAAGAACATCTTTCCAGACTACCACGAAGTCATCTCAAACCCAATTGCATTTAGCACAGTCCGGGTAAGTAGTCCCAGCGCTAATGCATCCAAAGGCATTGGGCTGACTAGTCACAGGGCAAACTCCTCAAGAAGGAATATACGGAGTTCTCACAGTTCGTTTTCGACGTGGCTCAGATATTTCGCAATGCACAGATCTACAATCGCCCCAGCTCCGACATCTTCAAGTACTCCGTCCGGTTGTTGGAGGTGTTCAAGGAGAAGCTACAGGAACTGATAAACGACGGTTCCATCTCTGCCGAAGATGCGGTGCTGCCCGACTTTGGCGAGCTACCTCCCGTGGACCCCTCGCCAGAACCAGGCTCCGAAGACGAGCTCGAGGAAGAGGATGAGGAGGATGAGGAAGAGGACGAAGACGAGGACGACGACTCCTCAGATGACGAGGGCGGCAGGCGACGCGGCCGCCGCCGTGGCCGTTATTCCAAGAAGGACGCCGACGATGACGACGACTACCACAAGAAACGTGGCCGTCCACCGAAGGTGTTTACTCCGACGGAAGCCCGAATCAATGCCGTGCTCAAAGGTCTGCGCAAGCCAAAAGACGAGGACGGGAACCTACGCGTCCTCGACTTTGAGAGGCTGCCCGACAAGCAGCTCAACAAGGAATACTACCAAGCGGTGGCCAACCCGATCGCCCTTGACCAAATCAAGCGAAACGCCAAGCGCAAGAAGTACCGAGATGTGGACGAGTGCCTTGCAGATCTGGAGCTCATGTTTCGCAATGCGATGCAGTACAATGAGTCTGACAGCCAGATCCACGAGGATGCGGTTGAGCTTCTGAAGGAGGCGCAGAGGCTGGTTGAGCAGGAGAAGGCCAAGCCAGATGATGCCTTCCGCGATGAAGAGGGCAAACTGCCCCTCTCAGAGGCCCAGCACAATGGCGAAGTTTGGAGAGTTGGTAAGTCTTTAATAAACCGGGTCAATCCAATCACAATGCACGCAAGATTCGGCCGGGGTTGTGCTGATGTTTTGTCATTTGTCCTAGGCGACTGGGTCCATATCCGCAACATGAACGACCTCGAGAAGCCCATCGTGGCGCAGATCTACCGGATCTGGCAGGACGAGGCTGGAAAGAAGTGGATCAACACATGCTGGTACTACCGTCCGGAGCAGACGATCCACCGCGTGACGAAGCGCTTCTACAGGAACGAGGTCATGAAGACGGGCCAGTACCGCGACCACCGGATCGAGGACATTGTGGACCGCTGCTTCGTCATGTTCCACACCCGCTACCACAGGGGCCGGCCCCGAGGTCTGCCGCCGGGAAAGGAGGTGTATGTCTGTGAGGCGCGCTATAACGAGGAGAAGTTCACCTTCAACCGCATCAAGACCTGGACCAGCTGCCTGCCAGACGAGGTGAGGGAGAAAGACTATGAGATGGATCTCTACGACATTCCTCGCAAGGCCAGAAAGGAGCCGACTCCTATTGCGCACCTCCTCAACGAGAACGCAAAGGAGACGGACGCGATGCCGAAGCCGAACTGGGGACACAAGGACGCGCCGCCTATAATAGGTGGTGTCCACATCCGACCCCGGGAGCCAAATGTAAGTCAAGTTCCAAAATCCTCCCCTCTTCTTTCGCCTGCCACAAAGACATCACCAATGCCGAGTCCGAGTCGTGCCTCTTCGTCTGCGTCCTTCTTTGTCTTTGGGTGTCTCGGTGACAAGCAACCGGGCGAGTGTCTCGTTGGCTTCAGCCACAATTTCCTTATCGTCCGTCACTCACAGACTCGCTTAATCTGGCTCATCACACACCCACCCTTCATCCTCTTACACACCCCTACCTCCCTTGCACAACAAACTTTTCCTGAGTCATCCCTGCCCCTGCCCTGGGACAAGTCAACGCGGCTTGGAGTAAACGCCTCTGCGGGAGGCACGTTCCGCAAGCAGAGCAGAGGCTGCCGAGCACATTAAGAGCACAAGAGCCAGCAGGCGTGTTTGGACAAGCTTGGGCAAGCGAGAGCTAACGGCAGGATCCCTGCACAAACAGGACTCCCCTTCGCCAGAGCCGACCCCAGAGCCGGCAGCGGTCCCACCGCCCTCGATGGCAGCTGCTGACCCGATTCGTCGACAATCTGTCCCGATGGGCCCTGGGTCGACCGCCTTCCACCCCGGCGTGCCGGGCCCGATCCCTTCCCCTTCTTCTGCACATGCACATGCGCATGCAAACCACTACCAGCCGCCGCACTTCATCCAGCGCCCGATCCCGACCACGCCTAGCGCCATCCCCGTCGGGTCTGCTCATCACCAGTACGCGCACCAGCAGCACCATCAGCAGCAGCACCCGCACCAGCAGCAGCACCACGCCGCCCCTTCGCCCGTGCACCACCACGCTGCCGCCCCCCATTTTGCTCCACCGCACCCCAGCTACGGCCACCATCCTCAGCAGCACCAGCACCACGCGCCACCGCCGCCGCACCAGCACTCACAGCCCCATTTCGTGCCCAGCGCCACGCCGGTGGGTCATCACCACCACATCCCAACCCCAGGCAGCTTCCCAGGCCAGCCGCAAACCCCTTACGCCGGCCAGCCCCAGCACCACAACCCGCGCATGCCAATGGCGCCCACCGCGAGCAACACGGCAATCCCGCATGCTAATGCCAACGCGACCATGCACGCAGCGCCGCGGTACGACTCGTGGGTCCTGTACGACGACGTCGACGCCGCCATCCCGCAGGAGGTGCGCGACCAGTACCAGACGGACGACAAGGGCCACGTGCTGTTCTTCACCGCGCCCCCCCAGAACAGGCCCAACCACGGCGTCGCAGAGGAGAACGCGACGCTGGGCCACAGCGTGCGGTACCTGAGCGACATCGCACAGCACCGAGCGGAGCGGGAGCGCAAGCGCAAAGAGCGCGACGACGCACTGCGGCAGCAGGAGGCCGACCGGGCGGCGCGTGACAGGGAGCTCCGGGAGGAGACGAGCCGCCAGATGAGCGCTGCTGCAGGGCGCCATATCGGTGATTGGATCCTGGGCATGCAGCGCGAGAACGAGGAGATGGAGAGGGAGCTCGCGCCCGTGCGCCAGCAGAAGGCTGCCTGGATCGCTGAGAGGGATGCGCTGAAGCAGCAGCACTGAGACTGGGCGAGTCTGCCTGGCGATCCTGCCCGCCCACGACAAGGAATTGTCGTCTCACACTCCCCAATTTAATCGAAGACTCGCTCCTCATCAATCACCCTGACACCTTTCACCCATCCTGCCTTTCGACCGGGGAGAAGGAACAGAGCCGGGGCTGAACAACGCAGCACAGTCCCTGCTTACGACTTGACTTTTCCCACGAACGGCACAGATTATACCCAGGCGTTGCAGCACACGACGGTCTGAGGTTTCCAAGTTTTCATCATTATTCGAACCCCTCGTCTCCCGTGACAATGACGGGCTTGGGGGTTTATTTGACTTGTGCCCTATGGGCGGATCACTGTAAGGAGTTTCGGGGATAATCAAAAAAAGAAGAGAGACTCCTTGGGGACAGAAGCGGGTGATGCGAGAGCTATCTGACGGAAGTCCTTACTCGGCTTCTTACTTTATGAGGGGATTGATCTCTTGCTGATGACGCATGCCATGATGGCTGACGAGTTGGCGATGAGGATGCAGCTGAATGGCTGGGGGTAGATAGCTCTGCAGATACTCAAAAATCTGTTGTATTACTGTAATTTTGCTGCCCTGGAATGTGATTGTATGTATGCCTTGCTCTGTGACTACCGTCCTAGAGCTCCTCATTTGTTCGAGCCGATGGACAGGCGCAGGGCTCAAAGGGCCTTGGTGCTTGGCTGCTACAGACACTGCCCTGATAGATACCGGTACCGCTGACGAACATGTCACATGTGCATAGACAAGCTGTCTCTAGATGAAGTCCCTTTCTTTCTGGAGCCACCGTTTCTAAGGAGGTTCAATACATTTGAGCGCCTGCCCTCGTCGTTTACAGCCAAATTTCGAGACCGGTCGCATGGCAGCTTGAGCCTCAGGTTGCTCCCTCCACTTGCAGCCTAAGCTTCAGGGCAGCAGGCCAAGCTGGCTGGAGCTGCAGGTACCCCTCGTCCCTTTGTCCAACCCTTTGAAAATAGGCAGGCACAGAGTTTTGAAATCAGGTGGCTGGGAAAAGACTGCCTGAAATATCAAACTGGCTTCCAGTTCTGTCTACATCTGAAAAGGCGTTTTGGTGCGAATGCCATATTAGATGTTTCCAATTGTCGAGTGCAGCAGCTAAAGCGAACGGTACACTGTAGAGGCAGTGAGCATTATTAGCCAGCCAATTAAATCCTCCCATGCTGCCAATCTGCCCCACCCTCCCTCACCAGCAGCCGAAAACCGCCACTCGGTCTGTCGCAGGCCCAAGTCGATTGGATCATTGACCTCGTTGCCGGCCTCTCGAGTCACCACCACCACCACCATCGCCTTCTGACCTACCTCTCTTCACTCTCGACTCTCCCCCAGCACGCTACCACCACCGTCCTTTTCTTCAACACCCCCCAAATTGTACATCTTGGACAATCCTCACAGCAACCATCTTCTTCGAGCAGACAGTGTGCGCTTTTGACGGCCTTGATTCTCTCAGTCGCCTTTCGTTACTGAATTGCCACCCAACCTCACTCACCTCACCAACCCACCACCGACTGACGACCTTGCGATAACTAGCACTCGCCAACGTCGCCTTTCCCCTTCTCTTCACCTCACCCCAGCACTCATCCCCCTTCGAGCAGTCTTGAATGGCCCAGCGCCTGTTCCACGGCTTTCGAAACCCCTTGTCTTTCATCTTCTCTTCCCTTTAGCCACCACCTTGTCTAATATCACTGAAACACCGACTTGGCCATGGCTATCTCTGTTCTGGCAACTGCCAAAACGGCCTCAGGCGTTGACCGTCGAGCTCGCCGAGTCGGCCCTCGCCCCAGGTCTCCCAAGCTGGGCAACTTTGCACGCCTCTTCAAGACCGTCGGCGACATCAGGGCCGACGACTCCGACAGCGACAAGGCCGACTCGCCCCTCCGCCTGTCGCTCCACCAGTCCCCTGCCAGCAGCCATGCCACCTTGGTCGGCCCCACATCCACCACATCCACCACCCCCCTTCTGGGTACAGGCCTCATCAGCATTACCGACAGCCTGGCTAGCCCCAACAGTAATAAGGGTCCCGCTCAGCAGGGCTCCAGGCAGCCCAGGCTCGCAATCCCAGCACTTGACGGCTCGACTACCGACGACGACAGCCCTGCCAGAGACACCCCCATGTCTGCTGACATCGCCAGTTTCAGCCGCGACACCACCCCGACTTCTGCGAGCCCAGCCACCCCGGCTGAGGCCGACTTGAGCCCCAAGCTCAACATCAGATCCCTCTTGATCGGATCCACCCCCGAGATCTACTCCTCGGACGACTGTGCGGACCCCTTCTGCGACCAGATCCACACGGTCAACCCCCAGGAGAAGCATGCTGAGTTCCACCACTTGGTCTTCCCAGCTGCCGCCCCGCTGAAGATCCTCAACCCCAACGACAACCATCTCGGCAAGCTTCAGCACAATGAGCGCATCGCCCTTGCCCAGCTTGCCGCCAAGCAGCTCTTCTCCCCCGTTGCTGAGCCGCTCGTCCTTCCCTGGGACATCAACGGCGACTTCCTGCCTGGCCACTACCAGCATACCGTCACCAGCCCCTGGGTCCCTCGCAAGCCTGGTTACCACTATGTCAAGACCGTCTCCAAGAACTCAATCGACCCCCTCTACCGCGTCGACAAGGAGACACAGCTCAACATCCTCAAGGCCAAGCTCGATCAGCGCTTCGTCGAGGACAGCCTGATGCGGTCGCATCCCCAGACGGCCCAGTCCCAGGAGCCCATCCACGTCTTTGTCGACCTGTCCAACATTGTCATCGGCTACTACGACTGCATGAAGGCCAAGCGCGGCGTCTCGAACAACTACCGAGTCCAGGCGCCCCCCTTCTTCTTCGAGGCCTTCGCCCTCATCCTGGAGCGCTACCGCCCCTGCGCCAAGCGCGCCGTCGTCGGCTCGCTCAAGCCGGCCAGCCAGCACCCGGACTACATGGTGGAGGCCGAGGTGTGCGGCTACGACATGAACATCCTGCAGCGCGTCACGGGGCCCAAGCAGCCCAAGTCCAGCCCCAACCAGAACCCCAACGTCACCCCCAAGATGCCCATGTTTGCGTCGGGCGCCCTCGACGAGGAGTCCGACGACTACGGCCCCTGGTGCCCGCCCATCCAGGTCGCGATGAAGCACCGCGAGCAGGGCGTCGACGAGATCCTGCACCTGAAAATGGTCCAGAGCATCCTCGACGCGCCCAGGCCCGGCACCATGGTCCTCGCCACGGGCGACGCCGCCGAGGCCGAATTTTCGGACGGGTTCCTCAGCAACGTCGAGCGGGCCCTCGAGCGCGGCTGGAACGTCGAGCTCGTCGGCTGGAGGCGCAACATCTCCGGCGCGTGGCGCAACCAGGCGTTCCTTGCCAGGTGGGCCGTCGGCCAGTTCCGCCTCATCGAGCTGGATGACTTTGCGGAGGAGCTGCTTGGGTTCTGGCTGCGCCCTGGCCAGAGGGGGTCTCTATAAACCCACCCACTCGGCACAACACAACAACCGCTGTACAATGCTGCCTGCCAACTGGCGTCTACCCGCCTCATTTTGCAGCAGCTTGTCGCCGACTGAGCCATGAACCGCTCGGTCCGTTTTGGCACGTTTCGCAACCCTTCGGTCGCTTCTGTCAGGACGAATTACACCCTTTGACCTGCATGTCAACTCTGTATCGATTACATCCATCATTTTTCACGAGTCGACGTGGCCAACGCAGGCATGTTCACCTTGCCCTGTCGTTTTCCTGACAGCCCATCACATATCGAAGCTGTCTTGAGAGGCACGATCGATCGCACATCTACTGCGCTCAGCGCGCCGCCTCTTTTACGATTTGGCTCCCTGTTGCTCGGAATTTCTGTAATCTCTTTTTCCAAGTTTATCTCCCTTTTCCTTTTCCTTTCCTTTTTTTCGACTTTCTCTCTTTTACTATTCTACTACTCTAATCGACTCACCGCATTCACTCATTACGACATTTCAACTACGGAGACGGAAACAACATTCATTTTACAGCATCGGCGTCGGCGGCAACGTTTCGAAAGAGACCTCTTTGCCAAAAACATCAGATATGAACAACACACACACACACACCCCAAGCATCAATGATGGCATTTTTCGCATTTCATCAGCGCATTCAGCCATGGCGTCGAAGGGTGTACCATCAAACAACCACTTTGACTTTTCGGTATTACGGCGTAACGGAACGGAACGACGGCGTGCATCAGAGGAAACAGGGAATCTCAGCAGGACTGGCTCGGCTTTCACCAGCCACGAGCTCTTTTTTATCGGATTTTTCTTCGGCATTGGTCTTTTTCCTCTTTCGCCTTCAATAAGAACACGGTTGGATCGACAGGATTGATTGATTGGTTGACTTGGAAAGGGCGGACGGACACGGTCGCGACTTCTTCGTTTCCAACCTCATCTCATGGTGCATAGCGATACCCATCCGACTTTTGGCTTCGTCGTCAAACCCTTTTTGACACGAGCACCCCTGGACTTGATGATGCATATGGCAAGGCGTACGGATTAGGACAGGAAGGCACTGGGAGGCATGGATGAAAAGGCCTCCCGTCCACATTTGATGACGAGCAGAGACGCTCATTTGGTTCCCCATCTCGGCACTTGGCACTGGACGTCGTGGTGGGTTGTTTGGTCTTGAGCCGTCTCTTGGATTCCTGGCAGGGTTCAGTAGACGAGCTGGACGCACCTACCTCTGGCGACTCTGGCGGCTGACACTGCTGCTGTGTTTAACTGTCCGGAACACAGCACGATGGGGCGACACATATCTGAAAATTGAAAGAAGAAAAAAAAGTTGACAGCGCACGCGCTGTGCGGGGAGGATGGAACGGGGTTGATGGATGAATAAGCGTGGTTGCCTCTTCGAGTTTCCGTGGGAGGTGGGATGTCTCTTGTCCACCACGGCACCACCGCCATCTTCGATGTCAGGCTCTCGACTGGTTCTGGCAGTTTGCAGATTCTGTCGTCGAACTTCTCGGAGGCAAGGGGGGCGGACGGCAATAGGTTGCCTGTCGTCTCCTGCTGCCGGTCTTGAAATACAACAATGTTCCATCTCTCATTAATGTTTCCTGCCTTGATTGCTTGTGACTGTTATTGTGTTGACTTTTGGCCAGCCCCAAGTCCCCTCCTAGGTCGTTGGAGCAACTCAAGACGAACGACCGACCACTTATTCGTCCGGGGGGTTCAGGCGTGTGGATACCTAGACTGCTGCGTGCTCGAGGATGCCACGTCGTCTGTCAGCATGCAGGTTTTGAACCCTACGCTTGGCGGTACCTCCAGCGTCTTGAGGTACATGCCCTCCCAGCGAGGCTCTGGCTGCTCGCTGTGCGAAAATATGAGCCAGGCAAGTCCCAGCTCTGCAGTCACGCCCAAATGTCACCATTCCACCTCATCTTTCTGACCTCGTCACAGCCTGCTTCTCGTCCTTCGAAGTACCCCCACCATGTCAGAGTACAACGACCTCTTCGACTTCAGCGCCACGCAGCCCGGGTTCGACGTAGTCGGCCCCGAGTACCCACCCCCACCAGCCAACTTGGCCCACTCAGCGGCCTGGACCATGCCTCTTCACCCCGCCTTCGGGGCGATGGAGGGTGACACGGCAGCAGCACAGCTGCAGCAGGGCGTGGGTCCCGCGCCTGAAGGCGCGGGATCTCACCGGTAGGTTTTTTTTTTTTTCTAATAAAAGATTTAGAGTACCTTGGCATGCATGTGCCGTCTGCCTCGAACCCTACCAGACAGATTCGGCCCTCCACCGACACGCCATCGAGGCCCAACACCAGGCGTACAGGTGCAAGTGCGGCACGGGCTTCAGCAAGGCCTCGGCCCTTAGGCGGCACGTCGAGACCAAGGACGCGGTCAAGACCTTTGCCTGCGCCCTCTGTCCTGACAGGTTCGCCCGCAAGGACAAGCTCAAGGACCACTGTCGCCATTATCACAAGGTGACGGACCACGGACTGCGGGTGTTGTTTAGCTCTCTGGAGGTGAACCAGCCCCGGGCGCCGGGCGCTGCTACTCGCCGCCGGCGGGCTCCTGCTCTGCCCAGGGTTGCCGCGGCATCATCTGGATCTCCGGCGGCGTCTCCCGCCCACGCTCCTGTCTGGCCCCGCGCGGCGTCTACTGACCAGCAATACACCAATGCTCCGGCCGGCCTGTCCATCCCTACTGGCCCACTCGCCACGATCAATGCACTCCAAGTCCCGGACAGTATTTCCATCTCAACTGGTCAATTCGCCTCAAGCGCGGACGCCTTTGCTGTTGATCCTGCCCTCGACGGTGAGTTCTCGGGCATGCTTGACGACATCCTCGGGGACTACAGCTGGGCCGAGGGCTTCGACGCTTTCGACGTCTGAGGGGTCCACTTCCTGAGGAGCTTCATGTCCGCCTGGTCCTTTCACCTTGCGAGCTTTGGGCTTTTCTCCGGGGGCACACACAACCAATCCCCTCACCCTTTTTCCTTTACAACCCTGTTTTCCCTCCTCCGGTCACTTTTGGCCGTCATTCCATTCAATGCAAGAACGTCGGCAGGATAGACTGTGGACTTCACTACTACTATTGGCAGCAGAAATGTGGATAAATCAACACAAGGCAACAAGGGATTTTCTGTATGTTAGTTACTTTGCAATTTTGATTATGGCTGTTCAACTGCCACCACCCGCCCATGAATGTCCTTCGACGTGAAGTACGTACTCTTGCCTCGCTCGTCTGGCCTGGGGAGTCACGCACAATGAATGAGCTACTTCCAAACGGGCATAAACGGATGTAGGAAACCTGGTACATCCAGTCGCGACCACTGCGCTGGAAGGGGTCCACGATGGGACTTCGTTAGGAGTAATTCAAATAGGTGGCATACGTCAACGACGGATGCCCCGATTTACACACAGTAGCACAGACGTGTGCCGCGCAAACTCTCCCGGGCGCGACTAAAAAGCCTTGACGAGCTCGGATCTTATCCACACACCTCGCAACCCATTTGATGGGCCACAGCCAGTAGGGCTTCTCTGAAAAGCAAATTTCTATTAATTAGATCTATATCAGTGGAGATGAATCACATTGTGGAGTGCTGGGGTGTGACTAGGTGGGCCGAATGCCATCACGGCAACTACGACGCTGCCGTCTTTCAGACTACAGACCTGACTCTGCACAAGTAAAGGTGACTTCTTCGCACATATGATAGCACAATGGTCATCGAAAAAAATAGCACGGTTATAATGACACAATGATAAAATATGAGGATCGCCAAAGGCCCATATTTGTACTCTATTAACTGTCTCAATTCAACTGGGGCTATTATTGTGCTACTATCATCCGTGTGATGAAGTCGCGGTTGCGTTGGTTGGCTTCCCAGGTGGCTGATATTTCTTATATGGCGGTGACTACTCACAGTATGATTCCATTCATGCCTCTCTTTTATGTTTCTGGTGCCGCCCCGAGCTGCTCTCATTATGTTTCCTCTTCCTCTTTCTGGGCTTTGTTGCAACACTCATTGGCGTGTACAAATCCAACGGGAAGATCTGTCTACTCATTCGATCCAGGGACAGAAGATTCTCTGCAGTCCCCGATCCTCGAGAAGCTAAGCTAAGCCGTAACAAGTCGTTGACCTTGGCGAAGAAAGGCAACTTCCAGTGCAGCTCCTCCTTCTCCTTGTTAATCAAGACCGCGCAGAACTCGTCAGTGACATTTCCCAAGACCACGTCGCTACTAAGCCGCAGGAATTCCGAGAGCACATCGAGGTACAGTGTTTGTGTCGGTGGAGACTGGTCCAGCATGTCGAAACAAAATTCGAGGTAGACCACTGCAGCAGCCCTGCTCTTGTAGGTGCCAGACGCAGGACTGGGCCCCACGATTAAGGCGCCAGGGTCAGCTCCAGCTTTCAGGAAAAGCTTGAGGATTTCTACTTCGAGTAGGAAGGAGAGGATCCGCATTGCATATTTCTTCTCTTTCAGCCACCAGTGGCACATATGGGCCAGGAGTTCGTTCCAGGGACTGATTCCTTGGCAGTCATCCTCCTTGTTCGGATCCATGCCATGATTGTCCAGTAGACAGGCCAAGACGTCGGTTCCTCGTCCTCGTTCCAGTTGGATATTCTTGGTCGGATCCGGTGAAAAGAATCGCAGTACTGGAAGCGTCCCGATGTTTTTCAAAAAGGTTGGATCAGAATCCAGCTTGCTTCGAAGGTAATCGAAGTGCCCCTGTTGTACGAGTTGCTCTCGCAGGAATGCCTGCTTCATTTTTGACCAATAGCCGGGAACAAACTTGGTATCTTTCATGGAGAACATGCAAAGAAGACTGCGGTCGAGTTCATCCATCAGAGCGTGGTGGCGAATATCGCCGGCCATATGAGATTCAATCTCACTGGCATATCTCATGGCTGACCCCATTAGCTTCAGCACGCTGTGAAAGGCTATGTTGTCGGTTTTTACCGGCTCGAAATTCGCAAAACGCTTTCGCTTGATAGTATGTGGGACCTCGGAAGTTTTAATCGTAGCAATGAGGGCTTTGAGGATGCTGAGGATTGGACGGAAGTTCAGACGAGGGTCAGCTTTGGTGATGAGAAAGTCATACATCTCCTGAGTATTCAAGAAGTCCCTAGCAGTCCGGTGAAGGAAGGCTACAGTTCCATCTTGAGAATTGACCTCGAGAAGCCCGCGGGTTCTGCTGTCGAGTTGCCAGGATGTGTTGCTCCGTATCTCCTCGATCTCATCCGCATTCATGAGTCGAATAGGATGATTTATAGCGTAGTCGCTGTCTTCATATTCCTGGAAGTGGAAGTTGTAAACCAGGAAGCTGAACTGACTTTCGGTCGAAGCGTTGGCAATTTGCAGTGCTGTTGACATGTGGCTGTGATAGAAAGGCTCAACGGCTTCAAGCATGGCCTTGAAGAAAGGTTCGAGCTCTGACGGAAAGCTTTCCAGACGCCGACGGAGGTCCGCAAATGTGTCTCGGTTGGTCATCCCTTCTCTCAAGAGCTTCGTGACGAGGAACACCCAAAGAAAGACCCCGTTAGATTTCGCCGCAATTTCTGAGACTAGCCACTGCCCTTGAGAATGGTTAGCGGAGACTGCAGCCCACCTCGTATGCTCTTCGAGTCGACTGGAGGTGTAGTTCTCAATATCATCTCGTGTCAAGTCCTGCATGTAAATTTTGGGACATTCAAGCCCGAATTCCTCCTCAAAAATATTCCAGGGACGGCTGGATAAGCAGAGCTTTATATTGCCTGACGTTGTGAGACCTTTCAGGGTTCGACAAAGTTGAGTTCGGTCTTCGTGGTCACCGCTGTATTCATCCAAGCCATCGATGAAGAAGCACAATTTGAGATTAGCATGGTCCATTGTCACAAATGTCTGCAAAGCTCCATGGAGCTCCGCCAGCGACCAAGGGGCCACAGTTGCTGGGCCATTCCACCTGTCCCAGCATGTTTGCTCGATCAGATCTGGGCGTTGGCGGAATATGTCGAATAGCAAAGTCTGGAGAAGACCCTGTTGGGACTTTTGCATGGGTGTCCCTGTAATCCAGAAGTAGTGACTGGCAACTGCTGCTCTGCAAGGTCGAGCCCACTCGGCAATGAATTGGGAAGTGACGCTGGAATCGGCGATATATTTCATGAGGGTCGACTTTCCTGATCCAGGTTTTCCGGACACCCAAAATATGCCATCTCCTTGTTTGAGCCAAGAACCAATGCTGTGACCAAGAGTTGGATCCTGATTTGTCGTGAGTGCCCATTTGAACGTCTTCTTGTGGGCAGGGGCGATTTGCGAATGTCTAACGGGACGGCTTTCGAAGGTGAGGCTCTCTAGGATGGCTTGTTGTCTTTGCACGTTCTGTTCTGAAATAGACAACGACTGCAATTTCTCCTGCAAGCAGTTGACATCACTCAATGTGAAACCGTCTTGTGGATGTTGCGAGTACCCTGCTTGTAGCCCTAGACGCACCCTATGCTCTAGGTCTTTGAGTCCTTGACTGATCCGCTCGAGGGATCTTCCTTGATCTGCCTGCAACAAGAGACTCTGCTGTTGTAAATATTCTACCCGCTCCGACTGAGCGCGGCTGCAATGGCTATACAATATGTCAGTGAAACGGAGGGTGTCGTCATGCGTTGGATGGTATTGGAGGTGCTTACTGTGCCAGGGTGCATATATGGAGTGTCATGGTGACTTGCGTTCGGGAGAGTCGTTCTTCAAGCTCATCGATGCTAGATTTTTCCCAGGCTTTCTTCAGAGCGACTTTGAAGCTATCCCACTTTCCTCTGGAGCCGTTCTTCGTCCTGAGTGTTCTTGTGATTCGAAGAAGCTCATGTCCGTCGGTTCTGCAGGTCGCGCAAAGGCTCTTGACTGCAACGAATACCTTGCTGACCTGCTCCTCAGCATCCGTCCCCGGGATTTTATACTCGGTGCAAGACTCGAGGCCATCGCACAAGTCTTGCAGTTTCTCACAAACTACGTCGAGTCTAGTAACATCAATGCTGCATCCAGTAGCCGATGCGCTGATTTCAACGGTGCCTTTGATGAGACCGGCTGCGAATGAGACGAACGAGAAGACATTGGAAGCCAGGCCCAACGCGGTCAAAGGGTCCATGGTTACCCTTGTTGATTGCACGTCCTCGAAAAGGCGTGTTAATTTGACAGATAGAGATCAGGCAACCAGTACTGCACATGTGGGATGGGAGAGCCAGGCGCATGGACATGTAGAGGAGCGAGGCAGCTTCTTAAATGGATAGGCATTAGACATTAGGCAATTGGACGCAGCTTACTGCATGTGAATAAGGAGGTGGCTGATGACCGAACTTGCACCGTATCCTTCTGAGGTCTCCCATGCTAATGTACACAGCCTCAGTGGTTCCGACTGAAATGCGGTGGCACAACAGCCGACGTGTGTTCAACAGCCCCCGCGCCCCTTACGGCTCTCCACCGTATGAAGGCGCCTTGCATGTCCTCGGACGTATGCGGAAAAGAAGCGAAACCAGTAATGTCATTAGACGTGGCAAGCATCCCACTCGACTCTCATCTACCAATCATTGACAACCGCCCCCCCCCTTTCAAATGAGGGTTAATTCAGCTTGCCAGTCGTGCTAATAAGCAGGACGGTGAACCAACAGAAGTGGCATTAAGAGAGTACCAAGCAAACATGCCTCATTTAAAGCGGTTGCTAATGCCTCAGTTTTCAATGATTGTGAGAAGTATTACTTTAACTCATTTCCTATTAGAGAACAATCCAGTATTGGAAGTTCCATTGCCCGAAAAGATCGCTTTGGCAATTACGGGTTCATGTTGCCAAAAACTTAGGGTAGCTGCAGTCCCTACTTGCTGCGCCATTATCTATATGCAGCCACGCTGCGTACCAGCGTGCGATCCGAGCCAGTCGGACATGTTGGGGTTACACATGTGCAAGTCTGCCTTGCGTCACGGCATGTTTGAACAGGTTCCAAGACATGTCAGCCTGGACTTTCTGCGATACGACATGCAGACTGAGATTGGTATCTCGAGCGCCTCGGACAACAAGTGGCCTCATGATGCAAAGCTGTTGTGCATGACTGAACATGTGGTTGAGCAGCGGCACCTGCAGCATGAGGACAAATTCAGGCGATGATGACAGCTGACGGTTCAATTGAAAAGGCCCTCATTCACATCCACGCTCACCACCTCCCAAAATGTGAAAAAGATGGAAACGGTGAAATGAAAACCTCTCCAGTGATCGAAGAGACCACTTCACAATCAGAATTGTAAGACATTCTCTAGTAAAGTTTAAGAACCAACATCTCTCCACTTGCAGTCAAATAAGTAATCCTCAAAAGGCAAGCCACAAAGGTAGTCTTCCCAATGTCAAAAGAATTGATATAGTTCGAGTTAATGGCCAGTGGTTTCATTGTCACTGGGGTCACAATTGCGACAGTCCCATTCATGTTGGAAGTTTCACGGCGATCCACAGCCAACCACTTGTAAACCCCTCTGTATTCAAATTGTTTTATGAGAAACGCCTGCCAGAACAAGCATTACCACTGAAACAATAGGAGAATAAGCTGTTCATCCAAGCCACCAATGTAGGACTCTGGTTAGGCTCGTCTCGTTAACCTCTATATCCGTGTCGCTGCTCGCAGCCCAAGCTACTCGAAAGTCTGGTCGGATTAGCAGGGCGACCACCGAGTTCCATTTCTCTCCCGAGGCCACAAGTGGCGTCTCTAGCACGTGAACTTGACCTTCATGCCCACTTGCCTTGACTATTGTCTTGAAGTGTCCCAAGTCTGTATCTTCCGAGCCGCTCATAGTAGCAAAAATAAAAACGCCCTGGTCAATTGACTTCAGGAGGGGTGTCTCGTTGTCTTCTGCAATATGTGTAATCCGAGTCCCTACAACTGACTGGGAGCTCTCACCTACAGCCTTGTCTGTGAGCGCAAGTTGGTACGGCTCAACTGGGTCCCCAAACCCCGTAACTCGCCTCGCCCATGCTTTGTTTAGACTCGGTTGACCTAGCGCCTCCACAACAAACTGTGAGACCGCCTTTTCATCCTCACTTTGCTCGTAGAAAACCTGCAGCTGTACCCGGATGTTACAGATCACAGCCTGGGCCGAGGTACGGCGTTCCGTTGAATAGGTGTCGAGGACTCTCTCGACAGCATCGGTTCTGGTCCTACCGGTGATGACCGCAGCGAGTTTCCAGCCAAGGTTTGTCGCGTCCAAGATGCCCGTGTTCATCCCCTGGCCGCCAGCTGGAAAGACCTGGTGAGCAGCATCACCGGCGATGAAGATGCGCCCAGACCGGAAGGTTCCGGCAAGTCTCATGCCGCTTCCAACAACTGAGGACCACGTTAGGTTGTGGAAGTTGTAATGGCTACCAAATATCTCTTCCATCTTCTGGCGGACTTGACTTTCATCCAGGGCGTTAGGTTTCTCGTCTCCTGGGAGCCGCGGCGCCATCGCGATGAACCGACGGGCGGTCGGGGCGCCCCCAAGCACGCAGACTATGGATCTGCCATTGCTTTCCTGGGCTGTCTGCATGGTAGGTGCATCTAGGCTGCAATGACCATCGGCTAGCCAACTGTAACGTGATCCTCTGGTGCCGACAAACTCAATGCCAGCTGCTGTGCGGACAGCACTCTGGGTCCCGTCGCACCCTACCAGCCATGTAGTGCAAACAGTCTTCATCTCTTCCACCGAAACGTGGGAGGAACCATCAGCTCTCATGGCTTGGAAGGAAGCCAAGACGTCTGTCCCAGTCTGGCTGCAGGTAGAGAGACGTAGACCCCAGGCGAACTGTATGCCGACCTCCTCGCATCTCGTCAACAGTATATCCTCGGTTAGGATCTGCGGAAGATTCAAATTAAATGAGTATTTCGTCCCCAGAACGTCGTAGTCCAAGGTGAGATGCTGACGTCCGCCACCAAAGTGAGCCTTATATAGCGGCGTGCCGACTTGAATGAAGCGGTCGGCGATACCTAAGATCCGGAAAACTTCCAGGCTGCTGGCACTCATACTGAGCGCCTTGGACCACCTGTTTGATGCTTCGCGAGCGGGCCTCTGATCGACAATAAGAATGTCTCGGGCGGGAACGCCGCCTTGCTGGAGGCAAAGAGCAGTTGTGAGGCCCACGGGGCCTGCCCCGACGATTAAGACTGTTGGTGATGGCATGGTCTGCGGCGGGCGAAAGGCGTCCATATCAGTTATGTTTTGTTGTTCATTTCTCTCACCAGCAGGAAGAACTCTAACTTGTCGATTGCCGTTTAAATACTGGGTTTTTTGGTAACGGTATCATCGCGTCGGCTCTTCGGCACTCCGTCCTGGGGTCTCGCGTCTTCACGTGGCACGAAGAGTCAGTCCGTAGCCTACCAGATAATACTCACATTTCGCCCTTAAAGCACCCGCAGACCCGACGGCAACTATGTGTTCCACTCATGCCTTTGGTCACAGCAAGACATAGGTAATACCTATACTGATTCTCGCGCTCTTGGCGCCGGCCAAGGCAACCACGCCATCGAGTCGTCACGGATCACCCCACCGCTATGCGCATGGTCAGGTATAGAGGCGTTGACAACTCCGGTTCCACTGCTTTGGTGTCACGATGGGGTAAGTACCGCCTAGCCCAACTGTAACATCCCCGAGGAGCAGACTTGAATGTTCTGATCTAGGCGAACTAGCACCTTTTCTCGTCACGATGAGCCAGCCAGGAGACTGGAGCCCATTTGCTCCCGCTGGAGCAGGGCTATCTGTTGGAAGACGGCAGCTTTGCCACCCAATGTCCCCAATGAATTTGTCTTCTTGAATGGCAGGGAATGGCAGGGCTGGACTTACTGGGCAGGTCAACCCCTCTTTTCTTTTTAACACATGCTCTTGGCCGCTGCCACACGCATCACGCGCACGTATGTGCGACCTGCTCCGCCTCATTCACAACCAACCAGGTGCTGCAACAACATGCCTCCAAGAAAAAGCACAAGGCCTAGATCTGCACTTACGGTTGCCAGGAGGGTTTCACCAAACGCTTCGTGCCCTGGATCGGCCCATAGAAGATTCCAAGCCGACTCGTCACCATCAATGCCCTTTGTGCGACCACAACTTGGAAGTGCAAGACCTCGGGAGGCTTGCACATGTGGCCATGTCAAACAACACCTCCGTCTTCTTGACAAGAAGTCAAAGGTTGAGAGCAGGGACTTCGTCCGTCTCCAAAAGACAAAGACGCGTCGGGGATCTTAGTAGGCGAGTGCCGCTTCTACCAGCATCCTGACGACTGGCTTTATGGGTGCCCAGGCCAAACCCCCCCGAGGCCCGTCATTATTCTTGGCAGACCATGGAACGGCCCGAGTGGCCTTTACGCTGCCGGCCACGTCGAGCGACCGGGCTCTCGGCCCGGACATCTGTGGTATTAGGCGATGATAATGACGGTAAGGGTGGCTGGGGACTTTTATCAACAATCAGCAGCAGCTCCAGCAGGCATACCCGGCCCAGCCACAGACGCAGCCACTGGAGCAAGCGATGAATCAGAGCTCGGACAGAGTCCCTAGGGCAACTGCTGGCGAGTGTGAATTTCTCGGGATGGCCGTGACACCTAACCCCACTCCTACCAACATTTCTCGACTGCTTGAGGACTTCACCAGGAGGACAGGGGAGGAAAACCCCTCTATCCTTGTAACCACACATGCTCAGGGTGGTGAGATTCTGGACTATCTTGCTAGTGTCGCTGATTCGACTGCAGCGGGGCAGAGGCAAGAGCAGGCCGGTCGTGGATCGCTGCGTGGCGCTCGCAGCGCGCAGCTCAACCCCGCTGGTATGGGTTTGTCTGGCAACTATCGGGTGGCGAGGTCTGGTGCCGCTCGAGGACGGGGCCAACGGGGAATTGTGAGGGGTGGTGGTAGAGGACGACGGCCGATGCATCTCGACGATAACACGCAAGGAGACGAACTTAGTCATGGCACTGGTCCCATGCGCGCCCACGGTCAAGAGAACAGGGGCAGAGGAGGAGCTCAAGGAAGCATGGACCAAGAACAGCGCGAGGTTGGTAATAATGGCGCCCCAGTCAACGATCCCGGTGTGGAACAGGACTCGCGCGTCGAGGATGGAATACCCGGTGTCGACCAGTGTCGGCGAGATCAGCCCATGCACTCGGACATGCCTCGCTCTGAGGTGGCGTATTTCGGTTCAGATGAGGCTGTGGGCATGAATCTCGAGACTCATGAGGTCGAGGCTCTGATCAATCGCATGGCCCGGGCACAGGCCCCTGGCACCCGATTCGACATGGAATTAAGGCCAGTATCGACCGAAGATGGCCCGCGTACTATCGAGGATGTCAGGAGGAAGTTTCTTCAAAGTCCCCAACCTTGGGAACTACCGGAAGGGGCGTACTTTGTCAGCGATGACGGAAAATGTCATCGCTTGGTGTGAGATCATCAAGGACATTACGCTGAGGGAGCAATTGGAACCCGAATTTGGGCTGGATCATCCTGGCTCCGACAGAGCTGAGTTACGGCAGCGAATCTTCAACGCCGAGCTCTGAGGAGGCACAAGTAAAGGAAGAGGAGACGAGGTTACAGAAGACTGAGATTGTGCCGGCGGCCGACATTGTGTGACTGCTCATAGCCACTGCTTCGTCCCTGGGGTAGGCTTGAGGGGCTGGCTTCTGTTTTCTTGCTAGATCTTCTGTACAAGAGACGGGCTACACTACTAGTATTGCTGACTCGTTTCATCAGCTAGATACCTAGGTATTTCGAGAATCTTGATGCTCATCAAGGAAAACAAGTACCTCTCGCAGTCCCGTCTTGCCGGACCATCGTTGCTAGTGTGATTGTATAAGAATAAAGGGATAGATTTCTCTCAACTATAGACCTATCTAGGAGGGAAAGGATAGTCCCTTTTATAAATAAAAGTAAATCCTTTAAACACCTATTAGAATATTATAGAAATTAAAAAAAATAAGTATTCCTTATATAAATTAATACTTTATATTTAAAAAATTAAAATAATAGTTATATTAAACTATAAATAAATATAAAGCTATTAATAAATAAAGTATTTTAATAATCCCTTAAAAACTAAATATATATAATTATTTAAATAACTTTTTATAAAATATAAATATTATTTAATTTAATTTTAAAATTTATTATTAAAAAAACTTTTATAAAAGAATAAAACTTAATAAATAATTATAATTATAAATATTTTAATTAAATAGAACTTTTATAAAAAAGTTTCATTTATAAATATAAAATATAAACTATATATACATTAATAATTTTTAATTTAATTGATTAAATAAAATAAAAATTAAAAGTTTAAAAGTTTAATTATATTAATAATTAAACTTAAAACCTTTAATATATAATTATAATTATTTTATTAAAAAATTTTATAATTATATTTATATATTATTATATTTATTTATATATAAATATATTTTTATATAATTTAATTACTATATCTAAACTATTATACTATATATATTATAAATTTATAAAATATATATAAATTTATAAACTTATAAGTATAGGTTAAATATAATAATTATAATAGTATATAATATATTATATATTATAAATTAAAAAATTACTTTAAACTTTTATTTTAAATTATTTTAAACTTTTATTTAATAATATTTTTAAAGTTTATTTAATATATTTTTAATATATTTATTAATAATTTATAAAATATAAAAAATATTTACTTTTTAATAAAAGTTTTTAATAATTAAAACTTTTAATATATAAGATTAATTAGAGTTAATTATAGTTTTTAAAGGAGAAAATAATTTATTTATAAAGAGTAAAATTAAGTATTTTTATTAAAAATTTATTATTTTTAGAAAAATATTTCTTTTATTAAGTATATTATAATAAATATTATAATTTATTTATAATTTTAAAATATTTTTATTTTAAAACTCTTTTATATATATATAAAATATTTTTATATTTATTTTTATATAAATTATACCTTTTAACTTACTTAAAATTTTATTTAATTATAAATTTTATTAATTAGTTTATAAGGTTATTTTTATATTTATTTTAATAATTTTAACTAAACTTTCTTTAATTATATATTTATTAAAATAATATATAATATTTATATATCTAATTTATTTATAAAATACTTAATTTTTAATTAATTTTAAAATAATATTATTATTTTATATATTTTATTTTAAAAATATTATACTTTAATTTTAAAAATTATTAAAATAATTTAATAATTTATATAAATAAATTCCTTCTTTAATAGTTTCTTTTAAAACTATATATTCTACTTTATAAATATTTAATATAAATATTTTTATTATTAAAAACTAATTAATAAAGTTAAATATTTCTTCATTTTTAATAAATAAAAAAATATAATTTAAGGTAAATTTTCTATTATTTATATTATTACCTTAATTTAAGTTATAATAATTTATTAAATATAAAATATTTTCTTAAATATTAAAATTTTATATATATATTAAAAATTTTTAATAAATATCTCTATAATTTATTTAATTCTTTAAAATATTCTCTATTAGAGTTAAATATATATTTAATTAATTTAAATATTAAAAATATATATTTAATTTAATTTTAAATTAATATATAAAAAAATCTATTTATTATTAAAAGCTTTTATTTTTAAAAACTTAATTTATATTTTTCTTTAAAATTCTTTTAAAAATATAAAGTATTAATTTTAGTTTTATTTTAATATTATTAATATAATTATTTTTAAAAATATTAAATTTTATAAAACTTTTAAAAATATATTAATTTTAATTTATAATAATAATTTTATTATTTTTATTAATTTTAATATTATTTTTAAAAACTATTTAATTCTTTTAAAAATCTAAATTTATATCTTTAAATATTAAAAATTAAATTATTTATAATATTTAAATTAATATTTAAAATTATTATGTTATTTATATAATATATAAATATTATTTATAAATTTATATTTATAAATATATTTTTATTATAAAATATATTTTAAATTTACCTTTTATTAAAATATTAATTAAATATTTATATTATAATAAAAGTATTTATTTAAAGTATATATAACTTTTAATAATAAAATAACTTTATTTTTATATTTTCTTTATTATATATAAAGTTAAAAATTTAATATATATTTTATAATTTATATTAAAATATAAAAAATATTTT